GCATGGATCGAAGGTGTGTGCATGCGGGTGCGAGCGGGCGTGGGCGCGACGAGACCCGGGCGTCGGCATGCGAGTGTGCGTCTGCCTGAGCGTATGTGCGTGTGTGTGCAGGTGACGGTGGAGGGCAGCGAGTGCCGCGCCAACGGCCAAAGCGGCGTGCATGCGCACGGCAGCGGGACGGAGGCGACAGTGCGCGGGGCGAAGTGCAGCGACAACATGCTGAACGGCGTCGGGGCAGCGCAGGAGGCGAAGGTGCGCGCATGCGGGTGTTGATGCGGGCGTGGTTGCGAGTGACGGTGCGTGACGGCGCTCGAGCACTTGTGCGCATGAGCGCGGATGAATGCGTGTATGTGCAGGTGACGGTGGAGAGCGGCGAGTGCTGCGCCAACGGCAAGTGCGGTGTGTATGCGAGCGGCAGCGAGACGGAGGCGACAGTGCGTGGGACGAGGTGCAGCGACAACAAAAGGTCCTATGGCGTCGGTGCAGCGAAGGGGGCGAAGGTGCGGGCATGCGGGTGTGCACGCGGGCATGGACGACACCTGCGCAATGCACGGGAGGCGCAGGACGACGCACGTGCGCGCGAGCGTGTGCCTGAGCGTGCGTGTGTGTGTGCGTGTGCGTGCAGGTGATGGTGGAGAGCGGCGAGTGCTGCGCCAACGGCAGTTGCGGCGTGTATGCGAGCGGCAGCGGGACGGAGGCGACAGTGCGTGGGACGAGGTGCAGCGACAACAAAAGGTCCTATGGCGTCGGTGCAGCGAAGGGGGCGAAGGTGCGGGCATGCGGGTGTGCACGCGGGCATGGACGACACCTGCGCAATGCACGGGAGGCGCAGGACGACGCACGTGCGCGCGAGCGTGTGCCTGAGCGTGCGTGTGTGTGTGCGTGTGCGTGCAGGTGATGGTGGAGAGCGGCGAGTGCTGCGCCAACGGCAGTTGCGGCGTGTGTGCGAGCGGCAGCGGGACGGAGGCGACAGTGAGCAGGACGAGGTGCAGCGACAACAAGCAGTATCACGGCGTCGTGGCAATGGAGGGGGCGAAGGTGCGCGCGTGCGGGTGGCGGCGCTTGATGGCGCCCGGGCACTAATGTGCATGAGCGCGCAAGTGCGTGTGTGTGTGCGTGTGCAGGTGACGGTAGAGGGCGGCGAGTGCTGCGCCAACGCCGCAAGCGGCGTGCATGCGAGCAGCAGCGGGACGGAGGCGACAGTGCGTGGGACGAGGTGCAGCAACAACACGCAGGGCCATGGCGTCGCGGCACAGGAGGGGGCGAAGGTGCGTGCATGCGAGTGTGCGTGCGGGCGGCGCAGGACGACGCACGTGCGCGCGAGCGTGAGCATGCGCGTGAGAGTGCGTGTATGTGTGTGCGTGTGTGCAGGTGACGGTGGGGGGCGGCGAGTGCTGCGCCAATGGCCAGTGCGGCGTGTATGTGAGCGGCAGCGGGACGGAGGCGACAGTGAGCGGGACGAGGTGCAGCGACAACAAGAGGTTCTATGGCGTTGGTGCAGCGAAGGGGGCGAAGGTGCGCGCGTGCATGCGGGCGTGGGCGCGGGCGTAAGTAAGTAAGTAAGTGCGGGCGACGGTGCGTGGCAAGGCACGGGCGCGTGAGCGTGCGCGTGCGCGTGTGAGTGTGTGCAGGTGACGGTGGAGGGCGGCGAGTGCTGCGCCAACGGTCAAAGCGGCGTGTATGCGCACGGCAGCGGGACGGAGGCGACAGTGCGCGGGACGAGGTGCAACGACAATCCGAAGGGCCATGGCGTCGAGGCAGCGCAAGGGGCGAAGGTGCGTGCATGCTCGCAGGCGTCGGTGTGCGGGCGGCGCAGGACGACGCACGTGTGCGCAAGCGTGAGCATGCGCGCGAGCGTGCGTGTATGTGTGTGCTTGTGTGCAGGTGACGGTGGAGAACGGCGAGTGCTGCGCCAACGGGAAAAGTGGCGTGGCTGCGTTTCATAGCGGGACGGAGGCGACAGTGCGCGGGACGAGGTGCAGCGACAACAAGGAGGGCCATGGCGTCGTGATAGTGCAGGGGGCGAAGGTGCGGGCGTGTGTGCGGGCGGGCGGGGCGCATGACAACGCACGTGAGCTGCTCACGCAGCGTATGTGCGTGTATATGTATGCGCGTGTGCAGGTGACGGTAGAGGGCGGCGAGTGCTGCGCCAACGGTAACTATGGCGTGGTTGCGCACGGCAGCGGGACGGAGGTGACAGTGCGCGGGACGAGGTGCAGCGACAACAACGAGGGCCATGGCGTCGAGGCAGCGCATGGGGCGAAGGTGCGTGCATGCGGGTGCGCGTGCGGGCGGCGGTGTGCGGGCGGCGCAGGACGACGCACGTGCGCGTGAGCGTGCGTGTATGTGTGTGTGTGTGCGTGCAGGTGACGGTGGAGGGCGGCGAGTGCTGCGCCAACGGCCAAAGCGGCGTGGCTGCGTTCCAGGTCGGGGCAGTGGCGACTGTGCGCGGGACGAAGTGCAGCGACAACAAGGAGGGCCACGGCGTCGAGGCAATGAATGGGGCGAAGGTGCGTGCACGCGGGTGCGCGCGCGGGCGTGGGTGCGAGCGACGACGCATGATGAGGCCCGGGCGCGTGAGCGTGTGCGTGCGCGTACGTGTGCGCGTACGTGTGTGCAGGTGACGGTGGAGGGCGGCGAGTGCTGCGCCAACGGTGACAGCGGCGTGCATGCGAGCGGCAGCGGGACGGAGGCGACAGTGCGCGGGACGAGGTGCAGCAACAACGTGTTGACTGGTGTCGCCGCAGCGCAGGGGGCGAAGGTGCGCGCATGCGGGTGTTCATGAATGTGCATCGCACGGCTTGGGTCGTGCGTGTCATGCATCACACACAATGTACAGGCAGCGAGACGGGAGCATGCGTGCAGTGGGTTCAGTGCGAGCTGCCATGGGGCCGCACCGTGACCGGATACGGGCGCGAGCGCGTGAGCAAGTGCGTGAGCATGTGTGTGTGCAGGTGACGGTGGAGGGCGGCGAGTGCTGCGCCAACGGCCTGAGCGGCGTGGCTGCGAGCGGCAGCGGGACGGAGGCGACAGTGAGCGGGACGAGGTGCAGCAACAACAAGAGGGTCCATGGCGTCGAGGCAGCGCAGGGGGCGAAGGTGCGAGCATGCGTGTGTGCGTCCAAGTAGGCGTAGGTGTGCGGGCGGCGCAGGGCGACGCACGTGCGCGTGAGCGTGTGCCTGAGCGTATGTGTAAGCGTGTATGTGCAGGTGACGGTGGAGGACGGCGAGTGCTGCGCCAATGGCCAGTGCGGTGTGGCTGCGAGCGACAGCGGGACCGAAACGACAGTGCGCGGGACGAGGTGCAGCGACAACAAGAAGTACCACGGCGTCGAGGCAATGGAGAGGGCGAAGGTGCGCGCGTGCGGGTGCGGGCGTGTGCGTGCGGGAGGCGCAGGGCCAAGCACGCTCGCGCGAGCATATGTGTGTGTGTGTGCGCGTACGTGTGTGCAGGTGACGGTGGAGGGCGGCGAGTGCTGCGCCAATGGCGCAAGCGGCGTGCATGCGAGCGGCAGCGAGACGGAGACGACGGTGCGCGGGACGAGGTGCAGCAACAACATGCTGAACGGTGTTGAGGCAATGGAGGGGGCGAAGGTGCGCGCATGCGGGTGTTCATGAATGTGCATCGCACAGCTTGGGGCGTGCGTGTCATGCATCACACACAATGTACAGGCAGCGAGACGGGAGCATGCGTGCAGTGGGTTCAGTGCGAGCTGCAGTGCGGCCGCACCGTGACCGGATACGGGCGCGAGCGCGTGAGCAAGTGCGTGAGCATGTGTGTGCAGGTGACGGTGGAGGGCGGCGAGTGCTGCGCCAATGGCGCAAGCGGCGTGCATGCGAGCGGCAGCGGGACGGAGGCGACAGTGCGCGGGACGAGGTGCAGCGACAACAACTGTCCAGGCGTCGCGGTACTGGAGGGGGCGGAGGTGCGTGCATGTGCTCGCGTGCAGAATCGCCCATCGTGCCTTTGCATTATTGGCAACAATATCCGAATCATTTCTTGCGCACCACTGTCACGACTTACTCCACCGAGACATGATGACACGGTTTCGTCTTAGATGGGCTTGTGTTTCGCTGCATGTTTGCGGCGATTGCGGGCACAGAGCGCCCTGAACATGGCGCGTTTCCATGAGTGCAGATCACGGGGCGTCAGCTGTGCATGAGCGGCAGCCAGGAGAGCGACATCAGTACCTGCTCGGGGGGCGTCGCAGATGTACAGTGACGCGAATGTCGGCACGTACTCGCTCAGCAGCGAGGAAAATGGGAGCGATGACGGCCGTCAGGGTACTAAAACTTTAACTTTGCTGGCAGGCATTTACGTGACGCGCAGCATAGCGACAACTGAAACGATGTAGATGAATCACATGTGTTCGGGACAGCGTTGCCTAGGCCCACACTCGTGAGATAATCAAATCGAAACAGCCAAGCTCCTGTCGAAGCAACGCCGCCATCCCTGCGTCCGTCGTCGTGTCGCGAATTCCCGATGCCACGTAGTGCCGGCGAGACCGCGAACGCGGCGAGCAGGCGGAGCGTTGCCGGCGCACGTCCGCGGCACGCCGGGCAGAGCGTGCGAGTGCGAGCTGGGCACAGTTTCTTCTCCCGCTGTCAGGCAGACTGGGGGGGAGTGTTCTCACGGGAGGGGTCTGGCGCGCCGCGGCCCGTCGATGCGGCGCGCGCTCGCGCTGTCCGTGCAGACTCTCTGCGGCGACCCGACCACTCACTGTCGCACGAGTGTTGAGACGCGCGTTGCTGACAGTGTTGGTTTCAGAGCATCAAGCAGCAGCTCCGCCTGGACGCAGCGCGCACGAACGGAACGCCACCACTGAGCCAGCGAGCGTAGAACCCGCAGCCGGTGGGCGAAGGCCGTGGATACCGCGCGGGCTTGCACGTGCGCGAGCGGCGTGGAGAGCAGGAAGCACAGTTGCGCTTGCTGCTACGTGACCGGAGCGGGCGTGATGGCTGCGCCAGGTGTCTGAGAGAGCTCGTTGATACGGCATTGACATGGCGCACCCCACGGCGCCGAAGAGCGCGCGCCGGCGCGCTAGCGCGGCGCCAGTGGAGCCGCGCGTGGTGGACTCGCTGGCTGGCATGGAGCCGGTGGTGGCCAGTAGCGTCGAGAAGGTACGGCGCAAGCAGGACAACCTCGGTATCACGCAGCGAGGATGCCGCCCGCCCCTCGACCGCGTCCGTGCGGGCCACGAACCCCGCCCAAGCGCGCCACCTCCTTCTCTCGCGGACAGCTGCGTCCCTCTGGACGCTCGGCCGCCGCCGTGCGGCGTGACAACTGCCCAGTTCCTGCACAACCACGCACCGGCTCGGCGCCGCCGACCGCGTCCTGTCCTGCGCGCTCCTGCAGGTACACTGCTCGGCGCAAGTCACCAACTCGTGCGGCGTGCCGTTCGGGGCAGTCTTCACGCCCTGCGCGCTCTCTCCAGGATCCTTCGCCACAGTACAGTCCGTCCCGCCGCGCTGCAGCACCTGCGGCGCCTTTTACTCGTCGCTGTCGTCCATAGAGCGCGGAGGCTCTGGGTGGACGTGCCCGCTCTGCAGCTCGTTCACGCCCGCAACGCAGACCCCCGACCAGCGCCTCCCGCAAGACATCCCGGCCTCGCTCGTCATCGACTGGGTCGAGCCCTCCGGCCCCATGAAGCCCGCCAACGGCACCCAGGCGCTGGTCCTGCTCGCCGACGCCACCCTCGACGCGCGCGACACCGCCGCGATGCGCCGCTGCCTCGAGAGCGCCGTCACGACCCTCCCGGACCACTGCCGCGTCGCCCTCGTCGTCTTCGGCGCCTGCCTTCGCGCCGCCCACCTCGGCGCGTCCCACGACACGCCCTCGGCCAGCGCGAGCGGCGCCGCGTCCCCGGCGCTCCGCCCGCAGCAGGGCGTCGACGGCGGCGCCGCGCAGGCCGTCACGGCCGTCCACTGGGACGCCTACTCGGGCCTCGGCGACGACGTGGAGTCCTCCGGGGGGGGTCTAGCGTTGCTCCGCTTGCACCGGAAACGCCATCTGGCCCCCCTGGGGGAGTGCCGAGCGACGCTCCTCGCCGCGCTGCGCTCGATCAGGCCCTGCCCGTCCCCCGCGGCCGTCGCGGCGCGCGCGCGGTGCCTCGGCGCCGCCGTACAGGCGGGCCTGGAGCTGCTCGGCGCGAGGGTCGGGGGGGACTCCGGACCGGCCGGGGGGCGCGCGGCGCCCGGCGGGGGGCTGCTGACGACGACGGCGCTCGGCGGGGCGGGGACGCGCGGGCGCGTGATGCTCATGACGGGCGGGGCGAGCACCACGGGCCCCGGGATGGCGCCGGCGGACGGCGTGGACGACGAGGACGATCCGCAGCTGTGGGTGCTGATGGCCAAGGCGCGGAAGTTCTACGCGGCGGCCGCGAACGCGGCGCGGCGGGCGGGGGTGTGCGTGGACGTGGTCGCGGGGGGGTCGCGCGCCACCAACATGCAGCTGCTCGCGGTGCTCGCGCAGCAGTCCGGCGGGAGCGTGCTCGTGCACGAGGGGTTCGGGGAGTGGCTGCGGAACTGCTGCGCCGCGGCGGCGTCGCGGCCGCCGGCGTTCGCGGGCTACATCGACGCGCGGGTGTCGGCGGAGGCGCGCGTCACAGCGCTGACGGGGAGCGTGCTGCCGGTGAGCGAGGCGGTGACGGCGCGCGAGAAGGAGCTGATGGTGTCGCCCGCGGCGGCCGCGCTGCCGTCGTGCGAGCCGGACCGCGGGTGGGGGGTGTGTTTCGAGCTGGGGGGGGATGTCTCGCGGCCGTTCGTGGTCGTGCAGCTGGTGGCGAGCTGGGTGATGCCGGGAGGGGAGCGCCTGACGCGGGTGTGCACGTACCAGGTGGACGCGACGTCGTCGTTGCCGGCGTTCGCGGCGTCCGTGAACGCGCCTGCGGCGGGAGCGCTGCTGGGCAAGGCGGCGGCGATGGCGGCGGTGGAGGCGGGCTGGCCGAGCGAGGACGCGCTGGACGCCGGGAAGAGTATACTCAAGCAGGTGCGCGGGCGCCCCGGATGCGCGGCGGCAGCCGCATATCCTATATTCTATCCATTGCTGTTCTTGTTGCAGCCTTGGCATCAAAAGGCCGTCGCGACGTGTCGGACGTGCAGCGTCTCGCCAGCGCAGCGTTTCGCGCACTCAAACGACCGTCAGCCTCGCCGCGTCCCCGCAGGCCGTCGCGTCCATCCGCACGCGGCTCGGCACGGAGGCGTCGGTGCGGCGGTCGCTCTGGGGCTCCACCGTCGACCGCTGGCGCCTCGCGGCGCCCCTCCGCCCGCTCCTCCTCGCCATCTACCACCTCGAGCGCGGCCCGCTCCTCGGCGGCGTCGCCGGGCACGCCGACGAGTTCTCCCTCACTCACATCGCGATGCTGGAAGCAGGCCTCCCGCGGGCCGTCGCGATGGTCTCCCCGCGGCTCTACCGCATGGAGCACGACGGCTCCTTCACGGAGGCGCTCCCCGTCGACCTCGCGCTCATGCCGACCGCCGTCCTCGTGCTCGACCACGGCACTCACATGTTCTCGTGGCTGGGCCGGCACGCGGCCGCCGCGGCGCACCGCGCGCAGCTCGAGGGCGCGTGCGTGGAGTTCGTCGCGCGCCTCGGCGCGGGGCGCTTCCCGGCGCCCGTCGTCGTCGCCTCGGAGCAGAACGCCGGCGACGCGCGATATGTTGTTGCGCGGCTCATCCCGGCGCACCGCGACGCGAACGAGGAGCACGAAGAGGACTTCCCACCGCTGCGGGCGCTGCGTGCGGAGGTGCGCGCGGGCCTGCTGCAGCAGATCCCGCGGACGGACCAGGAGTCGTTCCGACAGTGGTGCCGCAGCAACATGGTGGAGTTCGAGCCCGCGGGAGGGGGGGGTGTTGCGAACGGGGGCGCTCGGGCGGGGATGTAGCGCGGATGGCGTGGAGGGCCGGGGACCGTGATTGCGCGCGGCGTCGCGTCTGTGGGAGTGCGAAACACTCTGTGATCGTCGCAGATCGTGTCTACTGCGTTGGCGTGTCGGAGACGAAAGGCGGCCTCGCGGTCGCGGGCACGGCGGAGCGAACGACACCTCTGATGTCCGCGAGCACGCATCAGTCAGCGACGCATCAGTCATGCTGGATCATCACCCCCAAAACATACACACACCCTGTCAGGCGCCGCAGTCTCAACTCACATTCGCTACACGCCCTCGCCTCAGCTCCCTGCTGCGGGCATCGACCCGTCTCTTGGGAAGGCCTTCGCGGCCGCCTCGTCCCGCACCACGGCGATGCCCATCGACTTGCACTGCGCCAGGATCGACTCGCACCACGCGCGCAGCGACATGTTGGGCTGGTCCGCCTGCTTCACCGCCGCGATGTGGTACACGTGCTTGAGCGTGATGACGCCCTGCACCTTGTGTCCCGGCTGCTGCGAGGACTTTTCCACCCCCGCACACCGCTTGATGAACCACGACGTCCTCGGCGTCTGCGGCGGGCGCGGCAGCGGGTGGAGGGTGGGTGTGGCGGCGGGGAGCAGCAGCTGCAACGGTGGCTACTACTGATTGATGATTTGTAATTGCTGGATCGGAATAGGATGATTATTCGATCTCTGTGGTTCGGGTGGGGTCGTTCAACAGAGCACAGGATGGCGATGCATGTCTCGTATGTGTGCGCTGCGCACGAGCCGCAGGCGGCGCCCCACGTAGGAACGTCTGGCCAAAGGAGCCCTGTTGTCCATCGCGAGCGGCTGCTGTGTATGTATATATATATGTGCGCTACATCGCGCACCGCATGGAGCGCCGACTGAGGGGCGCGGTGCTCGCCGAGGGCTTGCATGAATGCCTGCCATATCGCGGCACGCGCACCGCCACGGCATGCCGGACCAGCGGGCGGCACCGCGGGGCAGGAACCGTCCGCAGGGTGGCGTGGCCCATCCGTTTCCGTGCACAGAGCGCGGCTCCCGGAAGATATCATCCCGGCTGTCCACGGAGGGACCCAGGTAGGAAGCTAGAAGGGCTGTCTCGTTCGCGGGCGCCCTGCCTTGTGGCATGACCTACCTTGACGGTGAACTCGTATGATTTGTCCCTGAATGCCCGGATTTGGCAGCGCATGGGCGTCTCCGGCACGTACTTCTCCGTCCTCGCGTTGAAATCCTTGCAAAACTGCGCGCACAGCCCGCGCCAGCACACATAAGCCCCGCGCTCGCCCTGGCCGCGACAAACGGCGCGCCACGGGCAGCCGAGCCGAGCTGTATCGCACCTGCATCAAGTTGAGGCCCGCCTGACCGATCGCCGGCCCCACGGGCGGCGCGGGCTTGGCCCCGCCCGCAGGAACTATGAGCTTAATGCTCGACTGCAGTAGCTTGCCACTAGTGCTCATCTCCCCCGCGAACGCCCGCACGCCGCGCCCAGCAACCTACGCGACCAGCCTGCCTCGTCTACGTGCCACCGGACTGGCCGGAAACGCGCCGCCGCGACCGCTCGAGCTGCCGGTGTGCCGCTGGAGAGAGAGGGGCGTGGAGCGTGTGGGAAGGGTCGTGCTCCCGTCTGTCGCGTGTGGCGGGCTCATCGGGCGCTTTCCGCCGCCGCAGCGTCATACTGCACGCACTCTGCGCTCTCGCGTGTCGGACGGACGTAGGCGTGAAGTGCGTTGCCGTCGACGGCCGCTGTGGCACCTGGCTGTGCTGAGGTCGCGGGAGGCCGGCACTCAGTCGTGTTTCGTCCGCCACGCCGCCTGCGTCATAGCTGGAGACACCACCGGGCGTGGAGGGGCGCTGCGCGGACGGAGGTGATCGGACATAGCAGTTTCTGGCAGTCGAGCGTTTGAGAATGCGCTGAGCAGAGCCGTTTCTTCGAGTCCGGGCTGCTCTAGTTGTTCCAAATGGGCTGCTTCTGCTTCCGCAAGCCGCGGGGCGCGGTCGCGGCCATCGAGGACGGGAGCCTGAAGCCGCTCGAGGGCCGCGAAGTCACCGTGGTGCGTGAAACAAGCCCAGGCGTGCCTGCGCTCAACAAAGCTTCGCGCTCCCTGGGCGCTCCGGGACGCCCCGCCCGCCCCCGGCGCGCACGCCGCTGCCAGGAGGAACCACAGAGCTCTCCGTTGCTCGAAATCCGAGGCGCTGAGAACCCGCGTGGTCGCGCAGCCGGCGCCGCGGGCTCGCGCCGCATGCACCCGCGTTGCCGCGCGCGCGTCCCGGGCCGCGTTCGGCGCCTCTGACCGCCGCGGCACGCTTGCTCCAACGACATAGACGTGCACTGGGACCGCGTTCGCCGCACGCGGTGCCTCGGCGCGCGGGCCGCATCGAGGCGTCCTGCGGGCGCGCAGCGCTCACGTTGTCCGCGTCTGCGAGGCTCCGTGCGCGCCGGCGCGTACCGAGCGCGGGCGGCGCCGCTTCCCTGACGCGCAGATGCTCCTCGGCGTCGACAATGCGGGCAAGACGACGATATTTCAAGCGCTGCAGGGCGACTTCACGCACACCACGCCTACGTGGGGCTTCAACAACCAGCGCTTCGCGTACAGGGGCGTGCACGTCAACCTCTACGACGTCGGAGGGGGCAGGTGCGCCGCCCAGCGCCCGCTCCCGCTCCGTCCAGTGGCCCGCACGAGCAGGGACAGTGCTTCACGTGTTTCCGGCGTGCCGCCCGCACCGCCGCGCCGACCGCGCTCAGTTGTCTCGCCGCGCCTCCTTCGTCGCGCCGAGTCCGCAAACGCGCGGCGTTTGCGGCGTTTCGCGCGCCGTTGCGCCCGCGCTTTCAAGTGGAGAGCGCTGCAGCACACGCGCCACGCCCGCGCCGCACGTCCGTCGTCGACCGCAGGCGCATCCGCGGTATCTGGCGGCGCTACCTCCCCGAGGTCCACGCGGCGATCTGGGTGGTGGACGCGTCCGACGCGGGCCGCCTCGACGACGCGCGCGACGCCATCACGGCCGCCCTGGCGGACAAGCACCTCCAGGGCAAGCCGTTCCTCCTCCTCGCGAACAAGCAGGACGTCGAGGGCGCCGCGGCCGCCTCGGAGGTCGAGGCGCGGCTCGGCGTGTCTGACGCGCTCGACACCACCAACACCCCCTACCGCGCCGTGGCGTGCTCGGCTCGCACGGAGGAGCACGACGCGAGGGACGGCGCGGCGACCGTGAGCAAGGAGGTGGACGACGGCGTGGCGTGGCTGATCAGCCGGGTGGCGAGCAACCACGCCGCGCTGTGCGAGCGGGTGGAGAGGGACGCGGAGGCGCAGCGGCAGGAGGAGATGCGGCTGCGGGAGGAGCGGCGGAAGCGGATCGAGGAGCGCCGGCAGGAGGCGGCGCGGGAGGAAGCGGAGGCGGAGGCGGAGGCGAAGAGGTGTGGGGTTGGTGCGGAGGTGGAGGGGCACGTGCAGGGCGAGGGCGAGAAGGACGAGGGCGGGAACGACGGGGTCGTGTCGTCGAAGGACGGGAAGGAGGACACGACGCTGGCCGGGGACACGAACGGCGCGGCGTCGCAGGCGGCGTCGCGAGCGGAGTCGGAGGCGTCGGGCGACGGGGCGCTGCCGGCCGGCAAGCCCGGGCCGGGGCTTGCGTCCGAGGGGAGCGGGTCGACGGGGCGGCCGTCGAGGTCGCAGGTGGCGCCGACGGCGCCGCTGTCGTCCGGGAAGGCGCAGAGCGTCGCTGCGGCGTAGGAGTCGTGGCCGTTGAATCCACGGTGGCGTGATTGTAGATCGCAGCGATGGCACTCACGGCGCGTGCTGCTCGTCACAGTGACGCGAGCGCATTATAGCGCGCCCGCGGCTCTCGCCGACCGTTCTGCGTTGCATATATTATACGTGTGAGATTGCTGCGTCGAACTGTCTCTGCGTCCCCTGCTGCGGGGCTGCGTCGTGGCGCGCGGGCTCCCGCATGTCAGCGAGCTGCAGGCCCGCGCCTCGCTCGGCAGAGCCCCTGCGTCAGGGACGACTGAGTCAGTCCGACTGCGCTGTTCTCAGTCCGGGACATGGTCGCACGCCGCAGCTGGTTCGTCGCACTTCACGGACCGAAAGTCGCTGAAAGATGGAGGCTGTCCTGAGCGAAGTGGGCGCGAAAGGGCACGTGGCTCGCGAACGGGCCAGAGCGCGCGTGTTGAAGTCGCATCGCTGGGCCCTCGACCTGTGCTCAGAAGGGCGCGGTATTTGCCTGATCCGCAGAGTCCGCCCGCCGCCAGATGCGGTGATCGTTGCGGTAGCAGCGCTCGGGGGCCTGTATTGCGTCGGGCGTCTGGTCTGGAGTGTTGGTGGAAAACTGTTTCGCCGGAGGTCTGATTTGGAAGGTGCGCCTTCGCACGCAACGCGTCCGGAGAGCTCAAACCTCGCTCGGCCAAGGCTTGATTTCCGCGCGACGTGCTGTCCGCGCTTCGCAGGGCGCAAGAAGAATGAGCATCGAAGGGACGGCGACAGTCCTCGTCCGGAGCGGGTGCATGCAAGCCCTGCTCCGGAGCCGCAGAGGGACGAGAGCAGCGCCATCGGAGCCGCGGGCTGAACGTGACCGTCAACGGCGTCAGCCCCGGCATCGCGCTACAAACCTACTGTGGCGATCACCACCAGCTCCAAGGGGTTCGTGCGGCGGTACTAGCTCGCCGAGGCGCTGTCGTCGCGTAGCCTGCTGCGCCGACACCGCCGAGCGGCGGCCTGGCGCGCCGTCCGCATCGAGGCGCGGCCTCAGCGCCCTCTGTGCAGCCAAGGCTCGTGTGTGAACGTCTCTGTGGTTCGAAAGTGCTGTTCGTGCGCGTCTCGCGCGCCGGAGGGGCGAGCTTGGACGCCAGTGGCACCGTGCGTGCGTCGCGGCGCCCGACGCGCGGCGCGAGGGCGCCCGTCGACCCGCACGTCTGCCTGTCGGTTCACATCAGATAGCACAGCAGCAGAAGATCTCCGTCTCCGATAGAAGATCGTGCTTGTGCGTGACGCCGCACGCAAGCCCGCGACGCAGCCATCATAGGTCACGGGCACGTCAGGGCCCTTGCGGGGCTCTGCGACGTCGGCGTGTAGCGACGTTGCCGCGACGGAGGGTTCGTGGTGCCCGGATGGGCGCTGGAGCCGCGGCACGCCCACCAGCGCGGCAAGCAGCCCTTGCGACGGCCGCTCCAGACATCGTACCGGCCGTGACGGTGCGTGAGGTCCGGATCTACGCCTCGTGCGAGCAGGAAACGTAGGCGCGACGGTACGGTGTGGCGAACGGGTGCGTGGTCCTCGGGAGGACGATGCATGCCGCGACGGTGACGTGTCGGTCGCACAGGCGCGTCGCGGCGACTGAGACACAGCAGGCAAGCGATCGGTGGACCCGTGCGTCGCTCAGCGTCGCCCCCGTGCGTCGCTCAGTACCTGTGTCAGGGGGGTACAAGTCCTGTTGAGCTCCGCAACGAGGCTGCGCGCCGCAGGTGGCCCGCGGCACATCGCGAACCTGACAGGCGCAATCATGGGTGGCTGCCTGACCAAAGTGGCTGCCAGAGGGCTCAAGTGGCTCGAGGACCGGCTGGTTGTGGTTTGGGAACACATGTGCAAGTGGCGCATCGCTGGGCCCTCGATCACTGCCTTGGGGGGCGCACTCTGGTTCATGAGCGTAGAGCCAAAAGGGTCGCCAGACGTGGTGGCCATTGTGGCGGCTACATTCGCGGGCGCTCATATCCTCGTGCGATTCATATACGAGGTGGATCAGGAAGTCGAACGCTTGCGCAAGAAAGAAGGTAATCGACGCGCACGTAACCCGTTCGGAGGTTTTGACCTCCTCAGCCACGGCTCAATTTCCGTGCGACGTTCTGTCCGCGCAGAGGCGTCCAAGAAGAAGTCCAAGCCCAGCCCTCGTCCGCCGCCGAGGGTGGCCTCACCCCCGTCGCCGTCGCCGCGGAGCAGCCCGAGGATCGCCAACAACGTGCCCGAAGCAGTTCCGTACGCTCCCCAGGTACTGCAGACGTCGGGCGTGACCGTCAACGGCGTCCGTGTCCAGTCTGTGCAACACCACAGGGCGACCACCACCAGCTCCCAGGGGTTCGTTCTGCGGTACTAGCTCGCCGAGGCGCTGTCGTCGCGTCGCCTGCTGCCCCGAGGCCGCCGAGCGGCGGCCTAGCGCGCCGTCCGCATCGAGGCGCGGCCTCAGCGCCCGCTGTGCAGCCAAGGCTGTGTGTGAACGTCCCATATGGTTCGAAAGTGCCGTACGTGCGCGTCTCGCGCGCCGGAGGGGCGAGCTTGGTCGCCAACGGCGCCGTACGCGCGTCGCGGCGCCCGACGTGCGGCCCCTGAACGCCTGTCGAGCACCTGACTGTTCACATCAGATCCAGGCTGCACGGCGGGATATCTCCGTCTCCAAGAGACGATCGTGCTTGCGCGCGACGCTGCACGCAAGCCCGTGACGCAGACCACACCAGGAATGCACTCGTCAGAGCGTGTAACGGGCGTCCGGGGAGCGTGCCGCGACGGAGGGTTCGTGGTGCCTGGATGGGCGCTGGAGCCGCGGCACGCCCACCAGCGCGGCAAGCAGCCCTCGCGACGGCCTGTTCAGACCTCGTGCCGGTCGCGACGGTGCGTGAGGTCCGGGTCTACGCCTCGTGCGAGCAGGAAACGCGAGCGCGACGATACGGTGGTGCGAACGGGTGCGTGGTCCTCGGGAGGACGATGCATGCCGCGACGGTGACGTGTCTGTCGCGTAGCTGCATCACGACGACTGAGACACAGCAGGCAAGCGATCGGCGGACCCGTGCGTCGCTCAGCGTCGCCCCGTGCTGCACGGTGCAGCAGCTGAGTCAGGTAGAAGAAGTCTGTGGCGCCCAGCCGCGTGTCCGCGACATGGCCTCGCGCCGCGGGTGGCCCGTGGCGCATCGGATGCCTGGTGGTACGTGCGTTCGGTATGAGTGACGAGCGCGACGAGTGGGAGGACTTCATTGCGTGGGGCGAGGCCACGTTGGGGCCATGGGTGCGAGAAGCCCATGACAAGTGCCTCGTGGGGCCCTCGATCGCGGGCATGGGCTGCTTCGTGGTCCTCCTTGCCGTGGGCTTTCTCCCTGCGGTAGCTGTGGGAGGGGCCGTCTTTTACTTCGCTCGAAAGTCCTGTTTGGAGGAAAGGGACTCGCCAGGTAAGCTAATCGACACAGCTTGATTGCGGCAAGAACACGCATTGGCGCGCCACTCACTCGGGGCTTTGGAGCTCCTCACGGCCAAAATGCGATGTTTCGCGCCGCTCTGTACGCGCAGAGGGCCGCCGAAAGCGCGACCTTGCTCGCCAGCAGCGGATGCGGAACAACGCGACCAACAACGTCGCGAACTTCTTCAAAGACGTGGTCGAAGCGTGTACTCCCCAGGTGCAGCAGACGTCCAGCGTGAGCGTGAGCTCCAGCGTCCGCGTCGGCTCCGCACGCGCCACAGTTAGCTCGCGCAGCGACAGGGTCGTGCTGCAGTGAGACTCGCACGAAGCGCGCTTTTTGCACCGCTGTGTCGATGAACAGCGCATCGCGGCCGCCCAGAAGGCCGGGAGACGCCCGGAAGTGGTTCGCTCTGCAGCGTCACACAAGACAGGGGAACTGCGTCTCTCTGAGCTCCGACCACGCACGCGTGTGATGCCGTACACGAGTCCACGGCGCAGACAACATAGTAACTGCCCTCGAGGGGCTCTGCGACGTCGTCCGGCGCGCGTGGCGCGGCAGCACGCGCTGTCGCTGCAGCGGAAAGCCCGCTACTGCTTCGATGCGCGCCGGAGCCGCAGAATGCCCGTTATCGGTGTTTCGAGGGCCCTCGACGACCCGAACAGATCCTGCACCGGCCGTAATCGCACGCAATCTCTCAAAACAGCACTCATGCGCCCCGCAACGCCCCGTGCGACGTTTCGAGGCACGGAGGGGCACGTGGACGCGGTGCGCGGCGACGCTGCTGTACCTGCCGCGTGAACGCGCCGTCGCGACCGAGGCCCACCGCTGGCACGTCAGCGAGCTGCGACCCCGTGCCTCGCGCGGCACCGCCCCGCACACAGAGCCCCCCTGTGTCGGCGGCGTCTCCGGTGGTCCGACTGCAGTGCCCCTTGCCCGCGTCATGGCCGCGCGCAGCAGGTTGTCCGCGGCACATCACGGACCTGGTGATACGTGTATCGAGGATGGGTGATCCGTACGATGACGAGTCGGATCCGATCGGGGAGTTCCTGTGGCACTTCTTCTTTCGGGAAGCAGTTGGCAACACAGTCGGGGTGTTTTTCGGCTCGATCGTTGCTGTGCTCGTTCTCTCGTTCTGCTGGGGTCCCCTTGGTTTCGGATGGGCCGCGGTCGCGGCACTAGTGAGCTTCTTCTTCGTGAAAAAGCTCTGCCAAGGTCCAGGTGGGAATCATAATCGACACAGCTCGATTGCGGCAGAACCGCGCCCTCGGACGCACCCCGCTCGACGCCATCGAACTCCCTATAGTCCGTATGGTGACATCTCGCGTCGCTGTGCCCGTGCAGGCCCCCGGAGGCGCCCTCCCCGAAACCCTCGCCAGAAGCGCATCCAACGGACGGTGAACAGGTGGTTGAAAGCAGCGTCGGTTGTCAACGACGTGGTCGCAGCGTTCACGCCCCAGGAACGCCACACGACCACCGTGATCACGAACGGACACTCCGTTATTACGAAGAACGGCGAGATTGTGTACTGGCACTGAAGTTACTTGCCACAGTGGTGCAGCCGGCGGACGAAGCGCGCTGTTTGCACGGCGAGGCCGATGACTAGCATATCGCCTGTGGCTCGGCCGTGGCGAAGGCCCCCGACCCCCCACGGGCGGCTCAGCAGCCGGGCGTGTGACAAACCCTTCCACACTCGTGCGCGCGCCGTGTCTCGAAGAGCGCAGCTTCTACGTCGACGGTGCCTCGCGCGCGTCGCAGCGCTCGATGCGCGGCCCGCGGGCGCCCGCTGCGCTGCCAGTCTGACGGCTTGCCTCGCTCTGGGTAGCAAACATGGGCTCCGTTCGGCGGCGCGAAGCCGCACACGAGCCCACAACGAGTTGAGCATGGCAGACCCTGTCGACAGGGCATTCCAGGAGCTCTGCGACGGCGTCCGGCGCGGATGGCGCGGCGCGAAAGAGCGATGCTTGGTGGGGCCTAGCATCGTCGCTGGAGCAGCCGTCTTTGCGACGTCGGGGCTCGGAGCGCTCCCTGTGGCTACTGCGGGTGCTGTAGCGTTCATCTTCGCGCGCGGCATTGCCAAAAAGATCCGGGACGCCCCGCCGCGGGGCCCTGACGATCGAGACCAGCCAAGAGGTACGTGGCCCCCGGGGGGCGCAACGTTCCGACCTCACGGCCCGAACGCCCGGTTACAGCGCCACGCGTAGCTGGAGAGCCCGATTCAGTGCGATCGCGCCGCCTCGATGCACCCGCAGCGCCGCGCCGGAGGGACCCTGGGCCGCGCATCCAGGGTGCGCGGGGCCGTGGCCGCGAACGCAATCCGGTCGAGAACGTCGTCGGTGCCATCGTGGACGGCGTGAACGAGATCGCGCGCAACGTCACGGACGTCGAGGCGCGCGTTGCGATCGGGCCTGTGCTCATCGGGGCCAGATCTGAGCGGCAGCCGGGCCCACTGCGAGGAATCCTCCGCGCGCTCACGCTCAAGCACCTGAACTGAGCGCGTCAAGAGGCCGCCGGTGCTCCTGCGAGTCCCCGGCCTTCGCGTCGGCCAGCGAGCGCGAGGCCGAGACATCGCACACTGAACGTGCGCAGGAGGAGGGGATCTCGCAGCGTCTTTTCACGCGCCGTGGTCGAGCTGCAGGGGCAGCGAGGCACGAAGGGAGTGTGAGTGAGCCGTTCGGTTCGAGGGCGTCGCGCGCGCCGACCGGGGACGGTTCGCCTGCACTTTGTGCAGACAGTCACCAGTGTGTCACGCAGCGCCACCGGCGTCCCGAGCGCCGCCGATGTCACCGAGGCTCGCGGAACACGCACCGCGCGCACCAGGAACGCGTGCATCGCAGCGCATGCGGCCCCTCGCCGCGCACTGTCGTATACGGCGACCTATGTCATCAAGGCCCCGCACGCACCAGCACAGCCGAAGCGGGTCCGCCGGTCTCGCCTTGGAAGCGCCGCACCACGGCCCCTGCGCCGGCCTTCAAGGCAGCTGTGCTACGCGGGCGACTGCACGGCGCGGAACTCTTCGCTCTTCTGCAGTTTGTCGAACGACAGGAGCTGCAGCTCGACCTGGAACGGCTCGCCGGGCGCCTCCGCCTCCTTGTACGACCGCACGCCCACGCGCCCGCAGCACACATACGCCTCGCCCTCCTCCCGACAGAACAGCAACACCGGGTGGCACGCGTCTGCGCCGTTGGAGCTGCCGCTGGCGGGGCCGTCCGCGCGCTTGCCGTTCTCGCAGAGCGGCGTCGTGCTGAGGAGCTTCTGCACCTGCGGGTGCTCCTTGACTTGCTTCACGCCGAACCACAGGCAGCGCCCCCCGTGCGTGAAGCTGTTGAGGTAGTCGGAGCCCGTCCGGCCCGTGACGTTGACGAACAGGCACATGCAGTTCTTGAACTCGATCACGCCGCTGAACCTGCACGCGGCGTCCGTCACCCAACCACGCTTCAACCGAGGCTCCCTCGTCAAAACAAGCGCCACGCGCGCAACGCAGCGCCGGCACGCAATCATCGCAGGTCAGCCGGCTCGTGCGACGCACTTGTTGAACTTCGGCGGCCTCTGCCCGTTCCCCCGCACCTCCCCCATCACCGCAGCCTTCATCGCCCCCGTCCCGTCCCGCGGCCGCACCCGCAGGCCCAGGTGCCGCTCCTCCATCCCCTGCCAGTCCGCCAGCGTCGCCCGGGACGAGCTCGCGTCCACGGGCGCCGACGCAGCCCCGGGGGCCTTCGCCTTTGCGGTCCGTTTCCTGGCCTTGACAGTGGTCGCTTGCAGCTCCAGCACGTCATCGAGATCGTCAGGCAGCGGGCCGTAGTCCACGGCTTCGAGCTGCTGCACGCGGCGCGACCGTCGGCGCTCCTGCGAGTCCCCGGCCTTGGCCTTCTGCGTGCGCGGGACAGGAACGCTGAATTCGATCAAGACTATGTGTTTGTTGTTCTATGGACGAATCGTGCCGAGACACTTCGCGGGCATGCGAAAACGAGCGCTGGCGATCCGTCCGTGGCGTCGTCGACCACAGGGCGCGCGGGCGCCTCCGTCTGGAAATGTCGGACGCGTGTTTGCCATGTGGAGTGTGTACCTTGCCAGAGCCCGCCTTCCTAGGTCGACGCTGGGCCTTCTTGACGGCCTGGGCTGCGTCCGCGACGCCCAGCGCCTTCAACCGCTGCCTGTTCCGCTCGATGCGCTCGTTGCGCGCCTTCTCGTACGCTGCGGCGATGCAGAGACGGCGGAGTGTGGCTTGGGAACCAGCCGCCTAGGGTTCTGGCGGGCACCTATTGGAAGACGATCGATCGGTGCGAACGAAGCTTGCCAGACAAATGTACCTGACTGTGACATGTCTCCGGTGTCACTCAACCGACGACACGAAGCTTGCGCGCAGCGCCTGACGCTGCAGAGGCTGTGGAGTGCCTTTGGTTGCTCTTTTTCCTCCTTTTCGCACGATGAAACAAGGCTCCAGCTCGGAAAAACTCGCGGCTGTGATCTCGCTAGTGCAAGGGGTCAACAGTGATTGTACGGCGATGTTGTAGCGACTGACCGGCAGGCACGACCGCAACTGCCATGAGCTGAACCCCCGCGCACTCTACAGGAGCGCTCCAGGCACCTCACAAGTGCTTATTTCAACAGCTCAATCACCATACAACAACGATTACGTCATGTGAATGCAGGCAATAGGACGGTGGTTATGTTGGCCGCACGGGCGCTCTGCCCGCCAGACCCGCGCCAGCACAGTGACACAGGCCCCCCGACGACATGAAACTAGTCCTTGCGGCAAGTTGCCCGTTCCACAGAGCGCCCCGCAAGTCGCGCGAGCGCGACTCGCGCATATTGCGGAGCGCGCCCGACACGTCAACCCGTCGCACGAGCGCACTTGCAACAACTTCTCTCTTCTCCAGTGGAACTGAGGACAGCAATCAAGATTTCTCGAGCCGAAACTTTCGCACGACTGCAGGCATACCAAGGGCAATCACGGCATACTATGTCGTCCTGCCGTCCTGTGCGTTCAAAGCAGCAGCAGGTACCAATACACACTATCTTGCCCGCAGGCCGCAAAACACACCGCGCGGACTTGAGACGATCCTCGCGCGACGTCTCGATCGCCCACAATGACTCTGGTCCACCGGAAGTACCAGATGCAGTGGGCCGGAGGAAGGACAGTGAGCAAGCGGAAAAAAATGGAAAAAAGCACCAGGATTCTTGGAGAGGAGTAGCGACAAATTATCGTTGCGCTCGATCTCTTACAGATCGTCGTGATTTCTAGTACCCGCTTCAGCAGGTCTCGTTTGAGCGAACGCCTGTGATGCAGGTGATGACGAAGACTGCCAGGGACAGTGCCAGCAGGATGGCCACACGCAGCAGCACCCGCAACCGTGCAGCAGCAGACGCGGAGCTGAAACTCCTTGACAGCGTAAACTTCGCTCTGAATGCCGTCAGCAATGGCGGAAGACGCAGCCTCCTACTTCCCAAAAATCAGAGCATCCCAGTCCCGACCTGAACGACCTACACGATTCGTGTGATGTATCTGGAAACCTCCACGTAACCACTGATCGCGGCAGAAAGGCGGCACACCGTGATGCTGCTTTCCGTCCGCGTCAGCAGCCGTCGCGATGAATGCTGCAGTACCGTCATCCAAGAAGCTTGCGAAACGACCCAGGACTTGTCAGACAATGCAGCTTTTTGGCCGCGAAGCAGCTCTTCGAACGCCTTTCGAGGTGCGGCACTTTGGTCGCGACGACGTCCTTCACGCAGCCAGCACGACAGCGAATCTTGCCTTTTGCGGCGCAACCATCAGCGCTGCGCCGCAGAAGCACACGGCCGCTTCAGCGCCGCGAGCCGCGTCGTTCCCACAGCGCCAGCTCGCGCTCCAGCGTCCGCCACGTGTCGTGAAAGCCGTCCGACTTGTCGGACAGCATCGAGACCTCCGCGACACCTGCAACCAAGTCAATAGCCGCGCACACATCACGCATCGTCCCTGTCATCATGAATGCCAGCGTGTCAGCTCGCGGAACGCCAGGCAAGATGCGCGTTCGTTGTCTCGCACCGTATGCGGCTGCAATCATGGCCTTGTAGGCCAGGTCTGAGGCGTTCGACGCGGGCTCGGTTCGCGTGGCCCTGGCGATCTCCGACACCATCCCGTGTTGCTGGCGCAGCAACGTCGACACGTTTTCGGGCCGGGCCATGATCGCCATCGCCTGTGCCCACGTCCCGGATGCTACATGAGGCGCGTTCATCTGCGAAATCAGCAACAACATAAAAGGTGGCGTTTCGCTTGAAATCTGGCAGGCAGAGAGGGGGCATACGAGGGATCGAAAGGCGACGTGCGCGTGGGCGAGGGGCGCACCTTCAACCGTGTTTTGATGCAGCTGAAGAGCTTGGAGTCGTCAGGTGCTTCTCGGAAGGCATTCGAGTCAATGTACTCCACCAAACGTTCATTGCATCTGCATACATGTGGAATGGAAATCAGGCTTATCTGATGGCGCAGTGCTCCGGAACGCGACGTTTGCCTGCTAGGGTGCTCCGTGGACGAGCGCAGCACACGGGACGCCGTCTCAAGTGTCCTCCGCACGTGACCCACCTCTCGATGAAGAACTCTACAAGCTGGCCTTCTGGGCGAGCTCCTAGCAGCCCCGCGGATGCAGCGGACATGCCTGCCTCATGCGCTGCTTCATTCAGCGCAGCCCGCGACCAGCCACTCGTGGGAACCTTCTGCAAATCATCCAGGGAAGCGCAAATATTCAGCTACGATACGCCTCGCTAAAGAACGTCCGGAAAATCATGCGCTTGAAACTTCAGGTGGGCGTCCTCGTTCCGCTCGCCTTGAGAGCCCGACGCAAGACATCGAGGCGAAGTCTCTCGATGTCCCCCGATGCGTCCTCGTCGAACTCCGAGCCATCGGGGAACTCCGGGTCATACGGGCGCTCGGAGGCGCCAGCCCCAGACGAGGCTGCGCGCTGGAGAAGAGCCATGCTTCCTTGCAACGCTTGCGAAGAGGTTCCGACCGCCCGCTTCGCCCAACTGGCGATCCTCAAAGCCGACATGTCCGCTCCTCGCCGCCTGTCGAGGCGCTTGAGTCGGAACCGTTGTCTACAACAATACCGCGCTTCTTGTGTGTCTACGTGCACAGACACGCTCCGTAACGTCACGACGTGGTCCGTCGATTGCTCCGATCGACGGAGTTCACTGCGGAGACGATGCGGCGCGCGAAGGGACCGGCGGCTTCGCCACCCAGCAATCCCGTGTATAGAACTGAAGTGTTACTCGAACGATGAATGAATTGATGGGCTCTGGACAGTTGTGCGGTGCTCCGCAAGATCGATTGCGCGAGCGCGTCCTAGCATGCGAGAGGCCGCTGGGTTCTGCTGTGAAACGGGAGCGCTGCGAGCGACGCTCATGTGCTGGCCGAGTGGTCGGGGTGGTGTGGTGTCTCCTTACATATGGATTTGAGAGTGCCCTGCAACCCTCCGCGCAGGTCTCTCTGTAGCTCGAGGCCGTTGGAGGCCGAGCGCAGCGCACAGTCTTCGCGGCGGCGAACGCGAAGGCCGGCGAAGTTTCCCCGCATCAACAGTGCCGTCGCGGCCTCCGCGCGGACGCTGTCTCGGCCACGCGCGTTCGAGGGCTTCGAGGCTGGCTTGGCCACAGCGCAGGGAGCGTGCAGGTCCCACCGGGCCCCGTGCAGCATGACCGAGGTCCCCAAGTAAGACTCCAAGCTTTCCCGTCCCCTCTCGACGCCGCCGACCTCCGCACGGCGCGTCCGCGGTGCACGCGCGCTCACGCCCTGGCAAGGTTGGTCACCGCAACATCGTGCGGTTCCAACCATCGTTCCCTGCAGCGGCGGCCACGGCCGCGTCTCGGCCATGGACATCTATCAGGAGCTCGGCGTGCCTGTCACGTACGATCCTGCGAAAGGTGGGTTCCGCGCCACGCCTGATGGAGACAGTGGAGGGCTGGAGCCAGTGCGCGTTGGTGGCCGTGCACAGACGTGGCGTTCCTTTCGTCCACGTGTCGATCGCCATCGTGCGAGTCTCTTCGCGCACGAGAGATCTTTCTCGCTTCGCGGCACGCGCCGTTCCTGGCTCTCTGTGCTCTGCGCGACGCTTTTGGTGCCGCGACGGCGATTTCCGCAGCCAGACTTTGCCGACGCGTGGCGCCCGGCCGCCCCTTGCATCACGGTGATGTCTGCCGCTCGGAGGCGCAGTGCCGGCTGCGCTGCGTGCCGGGCGCTCTTCGGGTGCTTTTGGCGCCTTGTGGCTGCAGCTGGGGCGAGCAGGCGCGTGACTGTTCGCGCCGTTTCCTCTTGCAGTGATGGAGGACATTGTTCGGAGGCTAGCGGCGCTGGACCGAGAGAGGTTTTTCTTCGCGCCGGTCACGGAGGAGGTGGCGCCGGGCTACTTCAAGATCGTGGACGAGCCCATGTGCTTCTCCATGATGATCGAGAAGTGCCAGGAGTACCGGTATCACACGTGGAGGTGAGCCGTGACGTCCTCGCGGCCGCAGACCTTCCCGTCGTGCCGGTGCACGAGCTCTCCTGCAGCTGTGCTTCCTTCCGATTTTGATTCGTTTTCGATCGCCTGTTCATCGCCGCAAATGGAGCTACGAATCACAAGGACAATCGTTCATTTATGACACGCGATAAATCTATCCTATTCGAGCCGCCAGCGGCCCAGATGCCACCCTGCCAACCACCCTTCCGCCGTGCGTCGCAGAAGCTTCGTCGCGGACTTCGAGCTCATCTGCAACAACGCCATGAAGTACAACCAGAAGCGTTCGCGCGTGCACAAGGCCGCGCACACGCTCATCCGCGCGGGCAAGAAGACCCTGCAGGGCGCGGAGCTCGAGGGGCGCAAGGCGGTCACGCTCATGCACCCGGGCGGGCCGCAGCAGGCCGCCGCGGACGAAGAGAAGCTCCGCGTCGAGCAGGAGCGCGCCGAGGCGGAGCTGCGGCACCGGGAGCGCCAGGGGCTCGCCCGCCCGCCCCCGTTGATGCGCAAGGGTCCCGCGTCCGCTGCCGTGGCCGGGCTGCGCACGATCCCCGTGACGGAGGAGTTCGCGGTCGGGAACTCCGAGGACGAGTCGACCGGGACGCTCGGCGGCGACGCGCGGGCCCCGCAGACCCCCCCTGACAAGGGCGGTGCGGCGACCTCGGGCAACAACGCGTTCGTCGCGGCCGCCGCGGCGCTCGGCCGGCCGCTGCGCGACCTCGTCGGCGCGGCGTGCGCGGTGATCAACTGGAAGGGCGAGTCCACGCTGCGCAACGCCGCCCCGGCCGAGAAACCCGAGTCCCCCCCCCCAGAGACAAAACAACCCCCCGCGCGGCACGGCCCGCTGGCGTGGCGGCTGCGGTGGATGGAGCTGCGCCGGAGGGAGCTGCGCTACCAGGCGCGCGAGCTGCGAAAGCAGCTCGAGGACGTCCGGCGCCGCACAGAGGCGGCCACGGCCCAGGAGGAGGGGGGGCCTGCGGAGCCGCGGTCGGCGGGGCGGGCGACGGCGGTGGACGCGGAGACGGACCAGGCGGCCGCGGAGGGGCCGCGCAGGAAGCGGCGGCGCGTCGCGGTGCGCGTCGGCGCCGTCACGCAGGACATGGCGCGCCTGCCGGTGTTCAATGCCAGCAAGGATCGCGTGCCCGGCCCCGCGCTGCACGAGCTCTCCGGGCGCGGCGACGACGAGGCCTCGGAGCGCACGTTCATGGCGATGCAGCACGTCGGCGTGCGCGCCGCGGTGCTGCGCCACCAGCTGCAGCGCGCCTTCCATCGCCGCGTGACGTCGCCGACGCACCACCTGCTGACGCCCGAGGCTGGGGCGCGCGCGCCGCCGCCGACGCGCGCCGAGCTCGACCAGGCCGCGCCGTCGATGCGCGTGCTCGAGCCTCGGGACGCCCCGACGGACATGCGGAGCCGGGGGAGTCTCCGCGCGGGGAGCAGCGCGGGCGCACTGCCGGCGGGGAACGACGGCCTGGGCGGCGAGTGCGACGAGTCGATGCGCCGGAAACGGACCCCGCACGGCACGTCGGGGTACAACATGGACGACATCGTCACCCCGAGTCACGGCGTCGCACCCAAGTTCGTGGAGCGCGTGCGCGTGAACGACATCATCACGCCGAGCGCGCGGCGCATGACGGACACGGAGATCCGTGCGCGCGACGCGCGGTTCAGCGGCGGGCGCGGGGCGGGCGCGCGGGGCCGCGGGCGGGCAGCGCCGGCGCGGGGGCCGGCAGCGCACGAGGGGTCGAGCGAGGAGGACACGTCGGACGAGGCGTTCGAGCGCCGACACCGGCCGCTGGAGGAGAAGGAGCGCCGGAGCTACCAGGCGTACCTGAACGCGCGGGAGCTGCGCGCCACGGGCAGCGTGAGTGCCACCCTCTAATGTTGCTCCTGCGAGCTCGTGCCGCGCGTGCGCTGCTTTCGCTGCGCAGAGTGAGGCAGAGGAGGACCGGTCGTGTGTTGTTTGGTGGTCTCGCTGCAGAACGTGGACGGCAACGACGCGGATGCGGACATTGGCCGTTCGCACAACAGTGGGGGGGTGCCTGGGCGCGGCGGGCGCGCGGGCGGGCGCGCGCAGGTCCGTGGCGGGCGCATGGGCGGGCGCACGCAGGTTCGCGGGGGCATGCGCGGCGGGCGGCACGTCGGCCGCGTCGACGCGCACGCGGCCCGGTGGGGCTCGCAAAGCACCTCGCGCGACGTGGCGGGTGAGCCGTCGTCGGTGACCGAGCCCGACCCGCTCGTGGGCGACGGGCTGCTCGGGAGCCCGGCGGTCGGCGCGACGGCGTCGTTGGCGGGCGAGCCGATCCTGGGGGAGCTCGGCGGCGAGGCGGGGGCGTTGGCGGACGACGTGGGAATGCCGCTGGTGCCGCTGGGGAGGCTGGACGAGAACCACGATGACGAGGACCTGCTGCTAGAGTGAGTGAGCCGGTGGGGCGTTGGCCGTGGTGAGGTGAGGTGTTACACTCGCGTCGTCAGCCATAAGGCTTTGGGACCTGAAAAGATCACCCGACTAGGTGGCGAGTCATACAAACCCCCCACCGTTGTGGTAGCGACAGGTTCGGCAGCTGTCACAGAGTCAGCCTGGAGCAGATCCTCGATGCCACGCGCGAAGATCGCCATGCCTCGCTGATTCGGCAGGTTCAGAAGATAATGCACGGCAGCGCTGGCAGCGGTTTCCGAGTCAAGTGCCGCGGCACCGTGCATCACACTGCCAACCTAATTTCGGGCTTCATTTCCCGCGCTGCTCCAGGGACAAAAATCCCTGGAGCAGCTGGAAACCGCGCGGGCGGGGCCGCGGCGCTTCCGGGGGGAGCGCCCCAGCCTCGCGTGTCTCCGCTACGGAGACAGTCTCAGGTGAGGGCGAAGAACGGAACACCTCACCCGCACCCTCAGACCTGTAACACCGATAAATTGCGTAGGCGACGCCACCAATCACCACGACAGCTGCCACGTATTTCATTCCACGGAATGTCCACGCGCCCCGCGGGTTGCCTTTCTGCGGGTTGGCGTCCCGCGGGTTGCCGTTCCGCGGGTTGGCGTCCCCCACTCCCCCGAGGAGGAGGCGAGCAGGTACGCTTTCGCTCCGCCCAGCCCCGTTGGTCACGCTCTGAGGCAGTACTTGCCGCAGCCACCACGGCAGCCTTGCCATCGGATCTGCGGTATGCAGTGCAGGTAGGCAAACACGTGTCTCGTATTGTCTGTTCGAAGACACTGAACGACAGAAGCACGCAGCACAGTTGATCGCTCCAGAAATCATGCAGTACTCGTCGCAGGGATCCCCACCCTCGGGCTCATCATCCCCAGACCCTTGGCCTTCGTCGTGCTCGTCACCGTCGTGTTGCATCTCCCGTAGGCTCCTCAACATCCTTGCTATCGGATCTGCGGTATGCAGTGCAGCTAGGGCGGTGAGGCAAGCGAAGAAGAGTACAGTACAATAGATGAGAAAGCTTTCCGTTGTTGCCTCGAGGTGTCAGTTGACTCGACCCGTATACACCCCGCGGTCCACGCATGTCACCGCGTGGAAACAAGGAATCAAAGTTGTGGCCTCAGCAAATCGAAAGCAGCCAGTCAGATGGGTGCAGGCACATTGGGCAGAAAGGACCCATGGTGGGTATGCTCGTGCTTCGGACAGGTGTCTCGTATTGGCTGCTCGAAGACATTTTACCGACAGAAGCACGCAGCACCGTTGATCGCACTAGAACTCATGCAGTACTCGTCGCAGGGATCCCCATCCTCGGGCTCACCTTGCACGGGGAAATCATCCCCAGACCGCGGGGAACGGAGACTGTCGTACTCGTCGTCGTCGTACTCGTCGTCGTCGTACTCGTCGTCGTCGTACTCGTCGTCGTCGTACTCGTCGTCCTCGTGCTCGTCGTCGTCGAGCTCGAACTTGTGCCTCTTCATCATCCTTGCTATCGTTGTCTGGGTCCGCGAACTTGCGCTGTCTCACTCGGTGCGTGAGGATCGACTGCGCAACTGCCGTGGTGTGGTCGTGCCGCGCCTGTTGCAAGCCCCATAGCCTCGCGGGATGCTTCGTGGCGTCACATGACAGCTGTCACTGCCACGGCATCGTGACACGCGAACCATGTGAACGCACAAGGATTCGTCGTCAGAATCCCAGCTGGACTGCCACGAGATGCAAGCGTAGATTGAGCAAGGCCTCCTACGCTCAGATGCGCAAGGAAGCTGGCAGCCATATGAGAACGCGAGAGCTCCGCAGAGCTCCCCGCCGCACGGGGCGTACCGCGAGCCGCTCGCGGACACGCTCCTGCCCGAGCACCACCTTGGAGTGATCCAAGCCAGCACCTTGCGGGCCACTGCGGCTCAGCCCCCACACGCTGCAGATCGTCCCGCAGTTTACTGGGATTTCATGGTGATATCCTCCGCCTGCGGAACGCGATCGCGGGATTCGTCGCGCACTCCAACGATCCCGCAGCGGAGCTCCTGCGGCGGCCCCTCGAGTGCCGCCGATGGGCCCAAATGTTCCGCGGGTGTGCGTCCCACTCTTGAGACTCCCTTCGGGTCGGTACACCGAAGATAGCAGCGTGTGCAGCAGATCTGAGGAGCCGCAGTGGCCACTGTTGTGTGTCAGCTGCCATATGTTGTGTGGTGGCACCATGAAGCCACGTTCCCGTCACCGCGGCACGTGCACAGCCACGCCGTTTGGACTGCGCAGCCCCCCCTCGTCCATCTGCCCGCTGCTGGCGGACGCCATGTCCTGCGCGCTGCGCCGCCCGCTCGTGCAGGACCCGTCCGTGAAGCCGCCGTCCAGCACCGACTCCCCCGGGCTCGTGTCCCGCGACTCCAACTCCACGGCCGCGGGCTCGTTGTGCCAGCACCACGGCTGGTCCTGCATCACGAGGTTCGCGGCGCTGCGAGGGCAGGAGAGGGAGCGAGCGCGCACGGGTCAGCGCGCTCGTCTGTGCGTGGTGGACGGGTGGGCGACTGCAGGCGCGCGTACAGAATGAGCCAGATGCCAGTGTCCCACGAAAGGACGCCGGTGCTGCGTGCGTGCGGACGTCCGACACAGCGGCCGCTCATGTTAGTACAGAACAATTTGTACTTGAGATATAAATACAAAGAAAAAGAAAAGAAAAAGGCATGTAATGTGATGCATAGAGAACGAGGCGGTTCATGCGCCACCGACGGACCGCCGTTGCGGCGCGGACAGCGCCAGGCGCGACTGGGGCGGCGGCGCACCCGTCGTCCCCGCCCCGCTTGCCCTCGCCCGCCTGCCCCAGCCACGTGGTGGCCCCGAGCTGTTCGTCGCGCAGCAGGAAGTCCGAGAACTGCCGCTGGTTGAACGCCCAGTACAGGAACGCGGACCCGATGAGCGCGATGCCGAGCCAGCGCGTCGCGTCGGACCCGTCGAACTTGATGGCGAAGGAGCACGCCAGCGACGACAGGAAGCACGCGACGCCGAGGGAGAACATGCGGAAGGACCAGCGCCACTCCTCTTCGCAGCGGTGCACCCAGTACGTGTTGAAGTTCCTCCGCGGCTGCGGCGGCGCGGCGTCGGTCGGGCAGCGCGGCTTGTTGACCGGCGTGGTTCCCGCGTTGCGCGCAAATGGGTCGTCGGGCGGCGCGGTGCCGCGGGCGTAGGCGAGGCAGGCGCGCATGAACTCGGCCTCCTCGACCTCGCCGACGAAGGACTTGCCGATGCGCAGCACCGCGGCGTGCATGAGGGCGCAGACGATCATGGAGTTGGCGGTGAGGCCAACGGTGAGCGCCGTGAAGGCCGCGAAGAGCGCGAGGAGCGGCTCGGAGGTGTCGTCGAAGTCGACGTTGAACTCCAGGATGCCGACGACCGCGAAACCCGCGATGAGCGCGGAGAGCTCGGACATGAGACGCAGCAGCTGCGCCTTCTCCTCGACCTCGCGGCGGTTCTTCTCCACGAAACGCAGCCAGAGGTACCGCGCGTTGTCCACCGCGCGCTGCTCCACCTCCGCGTACCGGAACCTCCGGTCCTCCTGCCTCCACTCCATCTGCCGGTTCATCTGCGCCACGTCCAGCTGCAGCTTCGTCCGCTCCTGCGTTCGTACGCGCACACGAATCGCCCGCCGGTCAAGCGCGCTCGCGCGGTGGAGACTAGTCTAGTCTCCCGGAGCGCCGCTCCATGTGTCAGGTACCCGCCTCCTCGCGCCACCGCATGTCCTCTTTCCGCCATTGCCGCTCCACCTCCCTCCACTGGTACGACGCCTGCGCGTCATAGCCCGTGATGGTGGCCTGCACCACCTCGGGCCAGTCTATCGCGGAGGACCCCATCTCGAACTGAGCCCCCGGCCCCCAGAGCGCACGGATGCGCCTGCCCAGGAGGCAGGTGTGTGTTGCTGCCTTGCAATTGTCGCCGCAGTGCAGCCCCAGCCGCGTCACGGCATCAGTACGCGGCGCCTCCGTGTCACACGCTACTGAGCCCGCACGCGCCAGGTCCTTGTACCACGGCCTGCAGCGTCTGTGTCGCACGTTCGATGCCAAGGCCCAATGGGCTGAACGCGAGACCCCTTTTCTCGACTGCCGAGGAGACGTTCAGGGCTCTTTCCGCCAGAGTCCCCCGAGGATCCGTTTCGCCGGCCGCACGGCTTCATCGCCGGCCCCGCGCAGCGCCCGCGCACACAGGACCACGTGGCGTTCAGGCCAGTGCGTCGTCGTGGCCTCTGCAGCCACCCACCGCGTGGGGCACCGCCTGGAATGCGCTGCGCACCTCCGTCCCGACGCCGGACCCGCCCTGCGTGACGGCACAGCGTGCGCGCGCGGCTCGACAGGCCTAGGGGACACGGGCGCGAGGATGGATTTGAGTCCGAATGCGGGGCGCGTGCAGGCGTCGCCTCCGCGGCAGGGCGCGACGGTGCGCAGCGTGGACTTCGCGCAGCGGGACCGCGCCCTCCAGCATATGGAAGAGGACGTCCCCGAGCTCGGACGGATCCTCATGAGCGCCCTGTGGGATCTGAAGAAGCTCAGGTGCGCGACAGGCCCCGGCAGGCACTGGGCATGCAACATGCGTGGGGGCTCGTGAGGCTCCCGCTGCGCCGCTGGAAACCCAGGGGGCAAGCGGCACGGACGCGTGTGGATCTCACCACGCGGCCGCGCTGGCAGCGCGCGGTTGGAGAGGCACGAACGGGCGCTGGGGCCGGGTCACCCGCACCTTGGAGAACAGGGTCGCGTAGGGCGCAGCGACGTGGCGCGAAGGCCCATGTCGGGCAGCGTGGCGATTCACAGCTGTATTGAGTGGCCTGACGCAAGCCGCGAGAGCTTGGTGCTGCGCAGGGAACGCATCAACGGCGCAGCTGCAGATGCAGCACAACGCGCTCGGGAGGAGAAGGAGGAGAGGCGGGCGAAGCTGGAGCGCGACCCCTCGTTTCAGGAGCTCAAGCACTTCTCGAACCAGATCCAAGAGACGTGCGTGCCCCCTCTGCAGCGTCGCTTCGGCCGACCTTGACAGTCCCATGCCTGCTCGCCCGTGCCCGCCGAGCTCGAGCACATTCGCCCGGAAACCACCGTGGCGCGACACGCTGGTATCGCTGCAGGGGGTACCGAGCGTGGCGCGACTCCACTGGCACGGAGCAGGCCGACGCGGCCCGGAAACACCTCCAGAGCAAGGACAGGCACCTCCTGGTGGAGCAGGACTACACCTGGCACGGCCAGGATGAAGAGCAGTCGCAGCCACGTCGCGGACGGTCGAAGGGCGGACGCGGCGCGGGCTCCTCGGGCCGCGTAGAGAAGGCGAGCTCGTACGCGGGATCGGGATACAAGGCAGCGCGTCAGGCGCGACGGGAGGGCGGCAGCCGCTTCGCGCGCGAGGCCGGAACCTCGGAGAGGTCGCAGGAGGTCCTGCGGCTACAGAACAAGGACGCGGGGTACGCCAGCGAGCAGTCGCACGGGCCGCACCAGGCTGCGCGCTCGCGCAGGAGCCGCTTCAGCAACTCGGGCGACGACCGCGCCGCGTCGCCGGGGGGCGGGTTCCTGCGGCAGGGAGCGGCCGCGAGCATCGAGGAGAACAAAAGCAACCTCTTCGCGGAAACGTCGAGCTCTGCTGGGCTCCCCGCATCGGCAGCGGGCTCCCGCGAAACGAGTCACCCGGGCGGGGCGCACGCGCGGTCGTCGCGGCTCGCGCCGAGTGTCGAGCCCTCGGCCGACTCCCTCGAGGGCACGATCGCCGCGATGGAGGCGGCAGCGCGTGGCACCTTGGGGGAGGGTGTCGGGCGGGGGGCTGTGCGGGAGGAGAAGGAGCGAGAGGGCGGCGCTGGCGACGAGGCTGGCCCGTCCGGTGTGGGTGACGAGCGGGAGCAGGAAGGGGGTGGCGGGGCGGTTGAGGGCGGCACTGCTGCGGCAGCGGCACCCGAGGCCAGGACGCCGGAAGGCGCCGCTGCGCCGGGGCAGAAGCCGCAGCGGGAAGATCGCGCGGGGAAGAAGGGGCGATCGAGCGGTCGCGGCAGGGAGGGCGCGCGCCCGGTGGTGTCCCCCGGGGGGCAGCGGAGGGGCGCAGCGCGGCGGAGGGAGGTGCGGAAGCTCCCCGCGCCGCAGGCGGTCGTCGAGTCCGGCGGGGCCCTGGACAACTGGGACAGGTCGCGTCCCGAGAGCGTTGCGTTGCCGCCGGCCACCACCCCGCCGCCGCCGCAGTCTGCCGACGCCACGGGGCGCGCGCCGCGGCAGCAGAGGACGCCCGGGGCCGACAGCAGCGAGTCGGCGCACCTCGCTGGCGCGGCCGCGGACCTCCTGGGCGAGCTCGTGCGCAGCGACGTTTCGCACATCACCCTGAGTGCGCAAGAGGTGGCCAGCGCGCTCGCTGCGGTGGACGCCGCTGAGGAGCGGCTGCGCGTGCACGTCGGCGTGCTGCTCGGCCTCTCGATCGACCAGACGCTCGAGGCGGACCGCAAGCTCCCGCCGCGGCTCGTCTCCGCGCGCACGCAGGCCGAGGCCAGCCCCCCCGCGCGACGCAAGTCCGCGGCGGAGGACGAGGCCTCCCCCGCGCGGCCGCAGAGCTCCAGCGGGAGGCACGCGCAGCCGCGCAAGGGCCAGCTGCGCCCGCTCGCGCCCCGGAAGCGCGCTTTGAAGGACTGGGTGTTCAAAACGCTGGGAAACCTCGCGATTCCCGAGGAGGCGTACCTGGCGCGGAACTTCGGCGCGGCGGCGCAGCAGTCCGTCGTGGCCGCGCCCGAGGGCGGGTCCGTGCACGTCAAGCTCCTTCCGGAGCTGCCGAAGTTCGAGGGGCGGTCGGCGGGCGGCGCGCAGCCGGAGGAGGAGGAGGGCAGCGCGGCGGATAAGGCGGCGCCGGTGCGGAAGCCCGTGAAGGGCAAGGCGTTCCTGTCCGTGACGACGCAGCCAGGCTCCGGCAAGGAGGGGTGGTCGGAGGAGCTGTACCCCGCGCGGCCGATCACGACGCCGCAGGCGCGCGAGCGCGCGGAGGCGGCGCGGAAGGAGCTGGAGTCGATGGTGCACAAGGCGAGCATGCCGCTGAACATTTACTTCACGCGGCCGAAGGAGCCCCCGAAGGAGATCGAGTACCCCGTGCGCAAGGCGGCAGAGGAGCGCGAGCGGCGGCGGATGGAGAAGGAGATGCAGGAGCTGAAGAGCCGCGGAATGATCGACGAGCAAGGTGCGCGTGTGTGCCGCGCTGGTTGCCGAGCTGTCGCCGCTTGGGTCGCGGGTGTATCTGGCCCAGCATGAGCTGTTGTTGTTGTTGTTGCTGCTGCTGCGGCGCATGGCGGTGCACGCGAACGGTTCGGCGTTGGCTGCTCAGGCACCAAGACACGGGTTCATGTCGCTCGATGAACAGAAGCGCGTTCCTGCTCTTGAGTTGGGAATGTTTCAGCCACATTTCCGTTCCCTTCAAGTGTACGTGCGTGAGCGAGGTTGCCACGTCGCGTTCGTCGCAGGGAACGTGCTGATACCCGGCACGGCGCCCGGGTGGCGTCGCGGGGGGCGCAAGCACCGTCGGGAGCTCGGTATGATGGGGGACATCACGGGGGACCAGGTCCTCAAGGCGGCCAACCACAACTACCGCAGCTCGCTGCCCGGCATTGCGGGCCAGGACGAGCGTGTCGAAAGCGTCACGCCGACGCTGCCATCGCAGCCCAGCGCGCTGGTGCGGCCCCTGTCTTGTCATGCATTGAGGGTTTGCAAAGGCGGTCCGCGGAGGGCGCCCGGCCCGGCCGTGGAGCCTGCGCCTGCTCTTCGATTGGATGACCTTGCTGGTTGCGCGGGAGAACCAAACATATCTATGTATCTGTATCTTTGTTCGCACACACATATATATACATCTGATTGATTTGTGCATCCTTCGTTGTTCCCCGGCGCGCGCAGCCCCCGGGCCTGAAGGTCCAGCTCCCGCCGAGCATCCGCGAGGTGGCGGCGGGCAACCGGCAGGCAACCGAGGGGCGCCCGGTCGTGCCCCCGATGCGCCCCGCGTCTGTCCCCGAGGACGTTTGGTACAACATGACGGCGGCGGCGGCGCAGCTGAGCGACCCGGACAAGCCGCCGTTCGTCATCAAGATCTTCCAGGGCACGATCCTCGAGGGCGAGGCCTTTGCGGAGTTCTACCAGCGCCACCGCGACGTGTGGAACCCCATCGCCGTCATCCTGATGGAGCTCGAGGACTGGTGCTCGAAGATGCAGGTCCGCCGCGCGTACATCAACACCGAGATCCTCGTCCCGCTCGCGCTGTCGACCATCGTGCGCGGACAGGCCCCCGAGGCCGCGGACATCATGATGTGTATTTCCAACATCCACGAGATCGAAGAACAGCTCCAGCTGCCCGGGTGGCGGTTCCGGCGGCCCGACGGGCTCGAGGTGGCGGCGAGGTACATCCAGGCGGCGTGGCGCGCGTTCGCGCGGTCGAAGGAGCTCGAGCGGATGAACCGCGCTGCGCACACCATCCAGACCAAGTGGCGGCTGCGGCGCGTCCTCGCGCGGACGCGCCAGATCATCCTCGAGATCCAGGAACGCCGCGAGGCCGCGTTCTGGCGCATCCAGGTACGCAGCGCCCCGCCCGCTCACCCGCCTCGCATCATGCCCCGTTCCACACACCCTGCACAGTGCGCCGAGCCGTTGTTCGTTCGTTTCGGCGTCGCCGCGCGCAGGCGTCGTTCAAGGCAGCCTGGAGCGACATCGTCAGGGAGCCGCACGTCGTGGTGCACCTCCCGTCGCAATCCATCTACAACGAGGAGCTCGAGTTTGGGGTATTGCACCCGGAGTCTCGGCACAACGCGCAGATCGGGCGGCTGATGGACGTCGCGAACGACCTCTCCGACGTGGTCTACGTCGCGCCGCACACGCGCATGGAGGACGTCGATGCGTACTGGAACAAGATCCTGTCGGTGTGCGGCGTCGACAGCCCCGACCGGCGGTACCGCATCGTCGTGCCGGAGAACCTCGGCGCGATCCCGCTGCACCTGAGCCTCACGAGCACGCTGCTGTACTCGCCCAAGGCGATGGCGCGCATGCGGCTGTTCATTGGCAGCCGCCCCGCGTACATCGTGGGCGGCGCGATGGGCAAGGAGGACATGGACCTCGCGGTGGCCATGGGGCTGCCGATCTTCGGTCCGCACCCGCTCCGCGCGGCCGCGATGCGCCGCAAGTCCAAGCGCCGGCGCATGCTTCGCCTGAGTCAGGTCAACATGGCCCCCGGGGTGGAGCTGCCGACCAACTTCTGGAACCCCGGGCTGAGCACGAACGACGACGACGACGACCCGGTCATGAACCCGCGCGGCGGCGACGAGGACGAGCCGCAGCGGCACCAGGACGTGGAGCTGAGTCCGGAGGAGAAGGCAGAGGCGGAGGAGCGGCTGCGGGTGCGGGCGGCGGCGGCGGTGGAGGAGGCCAAGGCGGACGGCCTGTCGGTGTACCGCGCGGGGATGCACGGCATCCGGTCCTCGTCGATCATGCACGTGCGGGACTTCCTGACCGAGGCGCGGCGGCTCTACTGGGTGTTCTCGCCCACCGAGGTGCGAGCACGTGTTTGCTCGCGTGCGCAATGGTGGTCGTTCACGCGCTTTGTGTCTTCCTGACACGAAGGGGGCGACGCAGGTGCATCGAGCGTTCGCTTCGCGTTGCTTTTTTTGTTTTTGTTTTTTGTTCTTGTTTCATGTCTGTGTTCTGACGTGTGTTCGTCGCCCGGGTTCGCGCCGTGCTCTGCAGATCCTCGCGAACGAGCTCTCGCTGCTCATCGCGCAGTACCCGCGCTTCGACCGCTGGATCCTCAAGGTCGACGACGAGGTGCGCGGACGCGGCTTTGCGTGGCTCGACATCGAGGCGGACCGCGCCCTCGCCGACGAGGTGCAGCGGCTGCGCGAGCTGGACGCCCCCGGCGAGTACGCGGTGCCGCTGGATGCCGAGGCGCGCGCGCTCGCCGCCACGGAGCTCGCGCGGCTCCTGGAGGCGGCGCTGCCGGCAAAGTGCAAGATCGCCGACACGCGGCTCTTCCCGAGCTGGCGGCCGTACGCGGACGCGTTCATGCGCCGTGGCGGCGTCATCGAGGCGTGCCCCGAGTCGGTCGTCGGCAGCCCCGAGGTCAACATGGTCATTTCTCCCAACGGTCAGGTCAAGCTGGTCGCGACGCACGAGCGCGTCTTCGCGACGCCGTACCAGGCCGTCGGCACCGCGTTCCCGCAGGTGTCCGTCCCGCCAAGCGCCGCGGTCGACGCCGCGATCGCCGTCGGCCAGGCGCTGTTCCGCGGCGGGGTCATTGGGCACGTGTCGGTGTCCTTCATCGCGCTGCGGCAGGGCGGCGTGCTGCGGCTCTGGGCGAACGACTTCCAGATCGGCTTCACGCAGTCCGCGAGCACCTACAGCGTCTTCAACCTCCTCGCGGACGGGGAGTTCTCGGCGCGCACCGGCGCGTACTTCACCGAGGAGCAGCCCGACGAGTCCGACGACGAGGACACGTGGGCGCTCCCGAACCGCGGCGGGCAGGTCTCGACGGGCATCCTCTCGAAGCGGTGCTACCTGAGCATCGACTTCCTGCACCACCCGGTCCTGGGCCGCATGCCCTACAGCGAGCTGTTCGAGCGGTGCCGGATGAAGGGGATCTTCTTCGACATGGGCGCGCGGCGGGGCACGGCGTTCACGCTGATGGATTCCTTCACGGGGTGCACGGTCGGGCTGCTGTCGGTGGCGGAGGACCCCTTTGACGCCATGCGGCAGGCGACGCAGGTGCTGTCGTTCGTGCACCACCAGGCGCAGCGGCTGGGCGTGGCGGGGCCGACGGCGGCGGGGCAGAACGAGCAGGAGGATCTGGACCACTTCTCGCGGACCCTGGCGGCGTTCCGGTTCCTGTGCCGGCAGCTGGACCCGAAGAACCCCAGCGGGAAGGGGTCGCTGCAGGCCGCGGGAATCACGGCGCCGACGCACAAGATGAGCCCGACGAGCATCGCGGCGCTCCTCCGCGACGATTCGTCGAGCGAGTCGGACATGGAGCTGCCGCCGCAAGAGGACGGCAGCCTGTCGGGGGTGCACAGGACGCCCTCGCCGACGGCACAGCAAGTCTAGGCGTTGCCGTTGTGACACGAGAGCGTGTTTGTGCAGCGGGAGGGCGCGGTTCGGCCAGCTCATGTTTTCTGTGTTTTATGCACTCGGTCGACTGTACTTGTTGGTGACATCTGTTGGTGGCAGGCACGGGAAGTGACTTGCAAGGAACGGCCCGCAGTAGCTCGGTGAGTGGTTGTGCGCGTTGCAAGTGTCAAACGACTTGCTTGGGCTGGCGACGTGTCCCATAGCCTCCTCAACCCGCTCAGGTGCACCCATACGTTGCCGCGGGAGGCAACGCGGCCCGAAACAGCCCAGTACTGATACATTGCAAGTGACGATTGCTATAGGGCAGAGATTGCGGACAGGCGGCCCCTCAGTAGGATGTCGCCTCAGTAGTGTGTGTCTTCCAGGTGAAGACCGAACCGGCGTCCCGGGCTTGCCGTCAGCTGCACTCCAGACGAGTCAGATTACAGCGTGCAGGCAGCTTGCGGGCCGTCGATGCACGGGTGGTGCGCAAGACGACCTGCTCAGTGGTGATCGTGGGCACCGCGGTCGCGGTTGTATGCGGGGAGCCGCTCGCTGTCCTTCGCGCGCCAGTTGTCGGACGCAAGCACGTAGTACCTGCACGGCAACGGTCAGGCGCGCAGGTGTCGCATACACGAAGAACAAGGCTACCTTTGGCTGGAACACACTCTTGCTCACGGGACTCACCTGTCAGGGTACAGGTACTCCCCGAAAGACAGCTGATACCATGCGTACAGAATGCAGGGTCCCGCGAACCACAGTGCGGTCTTGAAGGAGAGGCGTGTGCTCGCGGCCAGCGGGCCCAGGGGCTGCTGCGTCACTGGGCAGATGGTCTTGCCCGTCTTCGAGCACTTCACCCACGGCTCCCCAGCCTGCGCGATCAACCAGACCGAAGATCACCGTCACGACGTGCGCATCAAGCGTTCGCCGGCCGCAGGGATCGCGACGTTTTCCGTGCACACGGTACTCCGCGACCCGCAAGAGCTGCAGCGCGTTCTCACCTCCGGCAACATGGGAGCCCCCGTGTAGGGATCCCGCGGATACTCATAGCCCCTCTGCGTCGAAACGTTCGACTCCCCGCTCTTCACGACGTTGCTGCGGTGCAAGCTCGAGTTGTGCACGCCAGCCTGGTTCCGCCCCGCCACCGCACCGTTCTCGCCCACCGCGGCGCCGAAGTTGTTCCCTGCAGAACAGAGACGGAACGGGGCTTCAGACCGCGCTGTCAACTAGGCAGCGGCCTCTCCTAGACGTCGAGAACGCCACGACTCGTGTTGGGGGGGGCAAGCGAGCCACGCGAACTGGCGACTTCCGCCGCAAACTTTCTCTAACAGAGCTACGACGTACATGATATGACATTCAACATCCTTGCGGACGTGTTGTTTCGTGACCGTGAAAAAAATTTCGGCACGGGGGGCCAAGCTCACCTGGGATCCGCCTGCCCAGCGACCGCAGGGCTGAAGCGGCACGCTGCATCGCCAACGCCCCCGAGTCCCGCTAGTGCTGCGTCGCAGACAGACTGAGCGTGCACGCGCTGGCTGCGCGCACAACAGCTGCCGCACATCAGCCAAGCTGAGTACGGGGAGGCCTTACGCAGGGCACTGCAATTCCCAAAACATACCGACACCTTGATGCTGTGAAGTCACAGACGTGTGGATCTTGGAACAGGACGCCGGAGCTTGCTGAGACAAGGCGGAGAGCTCCTCAACCTTGCTGCCGGCAAGGTGACGACATGGAGTGGGAGATTGCTTCTAAATGAAAGCACTCGCCGACACTCTTGGAGACACGTGGCTGCACTCATGCACCGCACCGCGCAAAAAGACCCGCTCACATGGTGCGGGATGCCAGTGCTGTTTCAGCCTCGGGGATGATTCCACAACTCTCAACGGCATGATGCGCTGTTCAGGGAACGGGTCGCAACTTTCATCTTCTTTGACACAAGCGCTGCGGCCGAGGATGAGGCGCAGTCGACTCGAGGGGTGCAAGCGGGTCCGTGGATGTCACAAGAGATTTGAAGATGAAGGAGAGGGTGGTGAGTGTTTCCTCAGTCGTGCTGGTAACAAAGCATATAATTGCCTACTGCTGTCAACTACGCACCCTTCCCAACGTATTTCCCACGCTGCAAGTATGCTTGTCTCAGGTCATTCAGGGCGACTCGCAAATCAGAGTCGGCTGCGGAAAAGCTAGCATGGAGGTTCCGGGCCCAAGCTCTGGACGTGCCCGCGAACAACACCCAAGTACTCTCCTGCAAGAGCGCGGCGAACTCCGGAGACACTGCCCTCATTCCTGCAGAGCGAGCGGGCCTCAAACGAAACGTGGTTCAGAACCGCCCAACTACATGGCGACAGTAGCCTCCACACCAGATGAGATGAGAACAGACGTCGAGTCATCACCTGTGGCATCTGTGTCCAGCGCTGCACGAGGACTCGTGCCGAGGCTCTGGCGGCGGGTGCCCTGTGGCATCAGCTGGGATGCCGCAGCGCAGACGAGAAGTCCCGAGTACCTGCGGGAGTGTGGAGATCGAAACGATGAGGATTCCGTCAACCTTATCACCTTCCGAGCACGCGAAATAGAAGCACTACGTTGTCATGCCAGCAGATCCAGACAGCATCCTCACGATCACCGCAGCCCGCCGAGCGTGCGAAACAGAGCGGGAGTCGTCGCATTCAATGACACAGGCCTTGTGCGGAGAAAGTGAAACGCTGCAATCATGTCGTGTCGTCCATAGAAAGCCCAGGAGATTGCGCCACGCATCTCGCAAGCGTGGAACAAGGCACTGTGCGCCCTGGAAAGATAGCTGCAGTCGGAACAGGCGCTGGAGTCATTGTCACCTGGCAAACTTGTCATCCGCGAACAGCTTCGTCAGACAAGCAACCACAGCCTCGCTTGCGGACCAGAAGCGCTGCTGCTGCGACGCCGATACGTGGTCCTGACTGTCTGCGTTCGCCGCCGCGATGAGCTCGATGATGGCACAAGCTGCGTAGGCCTCATGTGCCGTGTGTCCCTCGCTGGAGGCCGCTTGGCCGCGCGCTGCATGCAGAGTCTCCGCCAGGCAGACCAGCTGCGCGAAACGTGCTTCGAGGGTGCCACCGCCCCTCCCATGGTCCGCGAAGCTTGCACACATGCCGCTAATGAGGCTTGGCTGCTGCCGCAAGGCCCGTGGATGCGCCAACGAGGACGCCTGCAGAACCTGCCAGGCTCCGGAGCTCGCATGTGGCGTCCCAACGTTCCACAGCGAGCGATCACGCTGCGAGAGCGCGTTCACCGACCGTGCAAGGCTCACCGCAGCGCCGGAGCAGGCCAGGTGCACGGCTGTGTCCGCGCGAGCGCTCTTCTGCCGTCGCTGACGCAGGAATGCAACGGCCGAACACGTGTCGCTGTCGTCGGTCACGCGCCGCGAGGTCGCGCTCGCCAGAGTGCCGAGGATGCGCATCATGTCACCCGCGTGCGTCGCCAAAGAGAGCGTGGCGCCGCGAGGACCTGCAGTGCTTGCCACACCGTGCGCGTGCAGCAGGCCGACCATGACGCCCAGGACGCGCGTGCCTTCGAGAGAAACGTCGATGCGCTGCGAGCTGCTCTGTACCCGCTCCAGGACGGCCTGGAACGCGGCGCACAATGCTCCGCTGTCGCCCACGCCCACTTCCGCTACCGATGGATGTGTGGCGCCGCTCGAGGAGCCAGCCAGAGCTACTGACGCAGAGTCGAGTGAATTGAGAACATGCGAGAGAGACACAGCCGCAGCTTCGTCCGCGGCTTCTCGCCGGTCTTCAGCCCCGCCAGTTCGAAGCACGGCCGGATGCGGGCGCTCGAGGGCATGGGCGAGGGCGGCGTGCCCGTCGTCGACCATCTCTCGAATTCGCGTCTTTGGCGAAAGATCGTTTGCCAGAGGCGGAAGTCTTGATGACCGAGGCCTTATGGCACCACTCAGCCCGAGTCGCTCGCCGCCGCACTTGTCGCTCAGGTACGCGTCGATCAGGTGTCTTGGTGTAGGTTGCGCATCTCTTTCACCTGACGATGGCGAGAGCGAAGCAATGAGCCCGATGTAGCTGCGGCCGCCGACCACGATGTCCAACGTTTCCGGATGCGCTTCGATCGCCCCCAGCACAGCCACGTCGTTGTAGAGTTTCAGCAAGCTGAGATGCAGCGGAAGGCACGCAACCCCACCCAGGAGGGCAGCGGGTGCTTTCTCGGGCCTTGCCTTGCGCCCCGAAGATGGCGCGGCGGCGATCATGGCCTTGACAGTCCCCTCGACAGCCATGGCCATCCGCTTGCCCCCTGAAGGCAGAATTCGTATTCCGCAGATGCAATGGGACAGGAATCGACAAATCCCTTCTTGCAGCTGCGTGTATGTCGGAATGAGTGCGGTGACGGTCAGGAAACGATTTTCGTCGCCCGGAGGCCTCAGTAGCTAACTGAATGGCTTCACGAAACACAACATCCATGACGCAAGAAGGAAAGAAGAGCAGATGTTGAAAAAGAAGAAAGGAACCCAGGATTCGCGACGTACCTCCGATCGAACACTTCGAACAGCCCTGTGGGAACACAGCTCGACCATCTGGGCGGCCTGCTCCGGCGGCGCGTCGCCAATGGCTCTCCGGGCGCTGTCAAGGACCGTTGCAGCCGAAAACACCACCTCTGCGCCCTCGCGAACCCCGTCGCCCTCCCGAGCGTCTGCGACGACGTCTAATAGTTGTGTCGCAAGCAGCACCAGCTGATTGCGCTGAGCGCAAGTTTCCACGAGCCTCGTCACGAACCCAACGTGTGGTCCTTGAATGCCGCACTCCTCCTGGCAACCAGTTTGCCGCGATCGAGCGAATACGGCACCCGGCTCGACGCAGCTGGCAAGTGCACAGCTCGCGCGCAGCCAGGTGCGGTAGTCGCTGGACCTGCTCGATGTTGGCAAACTGGTTGCCAACAGGAAGGCCTCAGTCAAGTGCTGGTCCACGTCGCTCCCAACGGACTGCAGAGGTTGCGTTTTCATGGCGCAACCTTGCACGTCCACTTCGCCCGATGTGGGCCGGCACCTGACTGACGCCCTCTTTGCGGCGACGGAAGCGGCAGCATACGACTGTGCCGTCTCCGCCAGCAAGCGGACGAATTCGTCAGCGAGTTCGGTCGTCTCCCGCGTCGTCAGCAGCTGGCACTTGCTCGCTTGCTCGAACACCTCAGTCAGCGTCTTGACCTCTGAGACGACGTCTGCAGGTGGATGAGACACACATGAGCTTCGAAACGATTTCAGGCGCACCAACATGAACGAATGTTTCATACATGTCATGCAGTTATCGCAAACGGGCAAGGGAGTTCGAAAGCAGCACTGAATCACTCACCGAGCGTTTCTTTCTGGCTCGTTGCCTTTCCTCGCCACTCCTCAAGCAGATCCGAAACCACCCGACAGAAGAACGTTCTCGCAGCATCCAGCGCGTCGTCCGGGCTACGGTAATCCCCTTGATCGCGCTCTCGCGGTCGTCCAGGACCAAAGCCGGCTAGAGCTTCCGCGACTGTGTCCGGGCATGCTAGCACTCGCAAGAGCCAGCTGATCAATCCCTTCGATGTGCTGTCCGTTGAATTGCCGCTACTGGCCGCAGAGCAGGCGTGACAGAAGCGCGCGAACGCGCTGCTCGGCGCGCTCGCTCGCTGGTCCGGCTGCTCCTGACGGCTGCATGCTGTGCGTTGAACAGCACCTGACGCTATGGTGCGGAGCAGCGTGCGCCGACGACGTTCACTGAAGCTCTCGGAGCGCGCTTCGCGGGGACGAGACAAGTGCACCGCTACACCTGAGTCGCACGCCGCCTGCAGGACGAGAGGCGCTGGAAGCTGCTTGCACACAGAGTGTATGTGCTCTGCCAAACATCCCAGTGCTTGTCCGCGGGGCCCTTGCTCCACGACAGCGCTGATGACGCACTTGGCGAGCGCCGCGGTATCACCTGACTTGGCGCAGGGACGACCGCGAGGCCGCAGCGACAAGCGAGCGAGCTCGGCAGCCTCCTGCAAAAACACGAACCACGATCCGTAAACCTCTTCAAGTTGTTAAGAAAGGCGCTTCGCCGAAGTTTGTTCCGGCCAAGCATGCTTTGTTGGGGATCGAATGAACATCAAGCTGCACAAATCCTGAGCACTCACCGACGCTTCGAGACCGGCTGCGTCAACAAGTTGCCGCTGTGCAAGGTCCAACAACTCGGAGTCAACCTTGCACTGCGTCGAGGGACGAGCATTTCCTGTTGCCGCCAACAATGTCGTCAAGAAGGATGCGGTGGCGGAGCCAGGTTCCTGCGCACGAGTTCGCAACGCAATCTTTTGTTGTTTGCGAGTGCCAGAAGAGGAAACAGTCCAGATGAAAATTCTTCCCCTTTGACGTCTGCCTTGGCAGGAACGTTGCTGAGTATGTGGGGGCTTGTCGTACCTGCGCTTGCCCCGTTCCTGCTTTGTCCTTCGTTCGGACGCTGGCTTTTCCTGGCAAAGCAAGTCTCTCGCAAGATTGTTTCGCGATGCCAAGACGAGCGGCCACCAAATGCGGCGGCTCGAGCCCTCGTGTATCAGCCATGTTGTCCGGTGAAGTTCCTTTGATGACGCTGAGCTCCTGCCGCCGGGCACCGTAGATGGACTGATTGGTTGGGCTGGTTTTGCGTGCGCGCACTTGGAGGTCACAATCCTGCGAGATTCAAGCGCCCCATAACCGACTGTGATGTTCAAGGCTATGCAGATATGTCGCGTCTGACAATGTGCTCTCTGTGAAGAAGGAGGAAGCTCTCGCTCTTCACTTGCCTTCTTACTTGCGCCTAATCTTCGCTCCCGAACGGAGTGCGTCACCCAGCCCCCTAATTCATCGCACACGAAGCCACACTACTTCGCATATTTATGCCTGTCTGCTTCGCATCGCACCGCTGCTGCACGCCAAGGCAAATGCGGCTGGCGAACAGCAGCGCGAAGCAACGGTGGTCCCTGGCCACGCCAGCGCCGCAGCACGGCACTAACGAGCCACTTCCTTGCAGCTCCGTGATGAATACCCTAGCGAGATATGATTGAACAAACTTTGACAATGTGAGGCCCTCGAGGGCGAGAGAAAGCGGAAAGTGCTCCTCCGCGCCAGTGCTTGGGACTGATGCTGCTCGCAAGTCGCGGATAGCGTCTGAGGCTTTCAATTTTCCACCCCAACGGACTCGTGACTCCGGCTTCTCGCGACACGTGAACTCGCTTGCCAGGAGCGGGCCTCTTTGAGACCGCTGCGGGGCACCCCTGGTTGCAGCTCCGCTGTACTCCCTAGGGGTCCCGGACCGTCCGTCGACACGCCATGCAGCACATGGGCGCTTGCCGCTGCCCAGCGGCCCCAGTCTCGCGTTATGACGCCCTGCACAGACTCGGGCGCATCATACCTTTCGGCACGGATGCGCTGAGGGGCGCGGGAGCAGACAGCGCACTGGCGCTGAATCGGCATTCGTGCACGGGGAGTCTCCGGGGTTCGAAATCGAGCGCAGCGCGTCACAGGGCATCGGGGCAGTGCGCGCCCGCTTTCGCGGGCGTGGTCGCGAGGCGGCGCGATGCAGGCTGACTTGCCGAACCGTCTGCAGGCAAGGAACCTTCGCCGTGCGCTGGCCGGGCCAACGTGTCAACCGCGTTCGCGTGCCCGGCGTGTCCGTCCGCTTCGGCGCAGTCGGCCGGGACCGTCCAGCGCGCGCCCTGGCGAGGCTGGAGCTGCCGGGCCGCGTGGACGCTGCGTGCATAGCAGGGGCGCGAAGCTCCGTGCTTGGCCATCTTCCGCCGCAGGTAGTTGTGCGGGTGCGCCCAGAATTAAATGCGGAGGGCGGCGAGGCGCAATCGGCGACGACTGTCCTGGGCGACAAGAGCGTCCAAGTGGCGCTGCCCAGGGACCGGAACCTCAAGGCAGCCGTTGCGGAGCAGGCGAACGCCAAGGTGAGCGTCCGACGCCCGCGGGGCCGTGCCGGGCACACGGTGGAGTCAGAAAAGCGCTCGCTGGCGCTTCACGTTACCGCGAACCTCCCGCTGCCTCTGCTGCAGGTCTTCTCGTTCGATGCATGCCTTGGCCCGTGCGCGCAAGCCGACGTGGCCGAGGCGTGCAAGCTCCGGAGGCTCGTGGAGGAGGCCGTGAAGGGCTACGCGGTCACGATTTTCGCGTACGGCCAGACGGGCAGGTGCGGCCCCGTTCGGTCCCGAGCCTCGAGCTACCCTAGCATTGGTTGTTGCCATCCTGAACTGCTGCTGGTCGCATCCTGCACGTCGCCGTTACCGCCCAGCATGACCCCCGGGTGCCGCGCCGCGCCCCCTCGGTTGGATGCCCACTTGCCGACGCATCACGCCCGCGCTCCCTGGTCCTGCAGCGGCAAGACACACACCATTGTGGGGCCTCGCTTCTACCAACCGGAAGAGGATGATGGGTTGCAAGCCGAGGTTGGGCAGTCAGACGGCCTGCTGTCCCAGGCGTACGCCCTGGCGTTCGAGGCCGCGAACAACGCACCCTCCGAGAGTTCCGCGGAGCTCAGCCTGTCGTGTTTCGAGATATACAACGAACAGATCACGGACATGCTGGTGCCGCAGCCCACGGGGCCGCTGCACGTGCGGCATGACAAGTACCGCGGATTCTACGTCGAGGACTTGGAGGAGCGCGGCGTGGCCAGCGTTGAGGACGCGCTGACGCTGATGCAAGGCGCGCTGCTGCGACGACACAGCCGCGCACACAAGGTGCGTTGACGATGCCACGAAAGATGCCGTCAAGTTGCTAGTCGTGCAGAGCGTACGAAACATCAACTTGGAACTTCGTGGCTCTTTCGCTTCATGTTACGCTGCATGCCCCCATGTGCATGCCTTGCAACCACACCTTTCGTCGCTGCCATCGAAATGACTTTCGATGTGCATCGATGCATTCGTTTGCTCTGGGATGTTGCAAGCTCGCTGGGTGGTTTGCAGCGGAATCGCGTGAGACATTCCGAGGCCTTTCATGGCACCACGTGCACCATGCTGATTGCAATGGCTGTTTCTCCCCGCGACGCAGATGAACTTGCATTCGTCTCGAAGTCACTGCGTCATGACGCTCAACATCAAGACCGAGCAGATGGAAGATCAAGAAGGCGGAGAGTCGGCACCTTCTGCAAGGTGAGCTTGCCGGATTGGTCAAGGCTCACCGCTGGAACGAAGCCGCGCGCTTGAGATCGCTCATAGTTCCCGACTTCAACGCGATGTTTCCGCAAAGCATGTACATGTTATGAACGTGCCATTGCGATGTACGGGCGCAGGTTTGGCAAGCTCGTCCTGGTGGACCTGGCAGGCAGCGAGCGCCTTTCGCAGACACAGCAGACGCAGATCGATGGGATCAGAGAAGCGGGCTCAATCAACAAGAGCTTGTTCGCACTCAACAACGTGCTCACGGCCCTTGCGCGTCCATCGGGGAAGAACTTCGTGCCGTACAGGTGAGCCCACGCAAGTTCTTGCATGTGCAAGGCTTGTTGCAGCCCAACCATTCCGGCGCAAATCAATCACGCCTTTTCGGACGTCCTCTTATCGCTGCAGAGACTCTACGCTGACGAAGCTTTTGTACGATTCGATCAAGGGCGACGGACGAACGCTCATGGTGGCCTGCTGCGCTCCGGAGTCGAACTATGCCGACGAGACGCTGCACACGCTCAGCTTCGCAAGCACCGCGCTCCGGCTCAAGGTAGGATCGCGCGCCTGTCAAGCCACGTGATGCCGGGGAGGTTTGGCAGCTCGAGCAGCTTTGGCACGCACCTTTTCGGCGCCCTCAGCACATGGATGAAGTTGCAACTAGGACATTTTGCTCCGAAGAAGCCCAATCTCAAACTATCGCTGGCCGTGCACGTGGAACTTGCAGTGCGAGCCGGTGATCCGGCGCGATCCCCACGACCAGCTCGTGATCGATCTGCGGCAGAAGATCGCCGCGTTGAAGGACGAGAACAAGATGCTGGCCGCGGCTCTCAACTCGGCCACCAAGCGTGGGGACTTCGGCGGGGACGCCGGCTCCATCTCCTCCCGATGGTCCTACGCGGCGACGCCCGAGAAGAAGAGCGACACGGCGCAGATGTACGCCCCAGCGGGGGCTTCGGGCGACAACAGGCGGCCACAGCGCACCCCGTCGCAGCTCCGCCAGCACAACATCCAGAAACTCAAGACGCGCCGCATGCAGGCCGCGAAGGAATCGGTGAGCGCGCTCTCGTGCATGCGCCCGCGCTGGTTGTCGTTGCGTGGTTCGATTCTGCTGCGGTCGTGATTCGTGACGCTGCATCTCTTCGATCCTTGTCTCTCGTTTGCAGAATCGTCGCATAGGTCTCCAGGCGCACGTCCAGGGCTTCCCAGCGGCGCCACCGCGCCCCGACCCGGCAGCAAGTACGATGGACTTCCCTGAGCTCGCGGCCCTCGAGCAGCAGTTCCAGAGCGCGATGCAGGCGCGACAGGCACCTGCCGCGGACGACAGCCAGACGACGGTGAGCAACCCGCCGCCATCGGAACACGAGCATCCCGACAACGCGGCGTCGGCGGCCGGCTCGGAGGCGACGGAGCCGCGCCAGGCGGAGCCCAGGGCTGTCGTGTGGGCAGAGGACAACCCGTGGTTTGGGTCCGACATGGAGATGACCACAGTGGCGTACGGGATCCACGACACGCTCGTCGAGCAGGAGGGCTACGACCCCGACTCGCCGAGCTACTACGCGGAAATCACGCGGAGGGTCGCGCAGAAGTTCCCGACACGCATGGAACAATGGCGGCAGCAGGGGCGGGCGCAGGCGGCTGGGAAGCCCGTGGGAACGGAGCCGGCGGCGCGGGTGGCATCGCCGGACCGCGCGCGGCTGACTGCGCGGAAGCCGCTGCTGCGGGGCGGTGCGGGGGGGTACACGTTGCGAAGAGAGCAGATACTGCGGGAGTTGGAGCGGGCGAAGGAGGTGGCGGAGGCGGAGCGGAGCAAGCTGCTGCGGATGAGCATGAAGTTGCAAGGGGACTCGCGGCGGTCGGATGTGTGGCAGCGAGCGTGAGGGTAACACTGTGAGATGCAGTAAAGGGCTTGCTTTCGCTGCCTTGAATTCAAGGACAGCTGCACCAGGCGATCCACAGATGTATGAGTGAAATGTTGGGCGGTGTCCGTGCCAAAGTGGATGTGCCCACGAGCGCCAAGGCTTTCGCCTGTGCCTCAGCCAGCCAAGGCCTTCCGGGCGAAAAAATATTGGATGTCAAATTCATGCACAGCAGAGCTGTCAAAAGGTTGTACATCAAGCACAGAAGATCCAAATCTCGAAACATTTGCGCATTCGTCGTCACAGCTGGTGGCAGTGGCTTGCGGCATTGATGGCAAGTGGCTCTCATGCGTCGTGCGTCGCCGAACTGTCGTTCTCTTGCCAGTGACCCGCATTCATTGCAGGGAAGTTCGATGCATCTCGCAAAGGTGTCGAAAACGTCGCAACAAAACGCACTTCGACAGCCCTTTGCCAGGAGGGCAGCTGGGTCGACCTGGAGGCAAAATATTGCATGTCTGATTCCTGCTCCGTTGAGAACACTGAAATCTTCTGATGAAATCTGCATGGTTGAAGCCGCGTCATAATTGGCCCGAAGTCGACGATCAGCGTATGGGCCCATCATGATGTGCGGAGAGACGCTATCTCCCGACGGCATTCCTGCAGCCTGAATCCATCCCCACGCAGTCACATGTACATCGTGTACCTTCTCGCGAACGGCAGCGCCCCCACATACCCCGGTTGAGCCTGGAGCGGTCGCCCTGCTCGGCACGACTGCCCGGTCCGACTCGGAAAGGCCCCCGCTGCCCACAGATGCCGCCCTGCACGCTCCCGTGCCTACAGGGGTCTCCTCGCAGCTCTCCCGCCACACTCAGAGCGGCGCGTGCTGCGTCATCGCCTGCGGCGAGGGTGAGGGCGCGTCCCCGTGCCAGCAAGCTGGCGCTTCCCGCGCGCCGCGCATAGCGAGAGACGGAGTCGCGCGCCATGGGCTTCAAGGTCAACATCCTGATCCCCATGGCCGGGGAGGGCTCCAGGTTCCGGAAGGAGGGCTTCCTGCAGCCGAAGCCGGTCATCGATGTGGGAGGGCGGCCCATGATCGACTGGGTGCTGGGCAACGTGATCCCGGGCTCGAGCATCGACCTTGAGCCGACGTTCATCGTGATCATTCGTCGCGCGCACGACGAGCTGTACGGGATCAAGGAGAAGCTGCTGGCCATCCGCCCGGACATCAGGGTGTGCTTTGCCGAGGAGCTCACCGAGGGCGCGGCCTGCACGACGCTGCTGGCCAAGTCGGAGATCGACAACAGCGACCCCCTGTTCATCATAAACTCGGACCAGTTCATCGAGTGGGACGTGGACGCCTTCTGGAGGCAGGTCATGCAGGAGCAGGACTCCAAGCAGGGCAACATCCTGTGCTTCGAGATCCCGATGGAGAAGAACGACGTCAAGTGGAGCTACGCGAAGCTCGACGCCGACAACCACGTCGTGGACGTCCAGGAGAAGAAGGTCATCAGCACGCACGCCACGGTGGGCGCGTACTACTGGCGCCGCGGCGCGGACTACGTGGCCTGCGCGGAGGAGATGATCCGGCGCGATATCCGCGTGAACGGCGAGTTCTACGTCGCCCCGGTGTACAACATCGGCGTCGAGCGCGGCATGAAGTTCACGATTTCCGACTGCGAGCGCATGTGGGGCCTGGGCGTGCCCAACGACCTGTCCGTGTTCCTCTCCGAGTACCTGCGGCCGCGCCGCAGCAAGGACGCGTCGCTCCTGACCGCGCGCAGCGACGTCGGCAAGGTCACGGCGGACGCCGCGTCCGAGCTCGACAACCTGCGGCGCCTGCGCTACATCGCGCACCGCGGCAACGTGAACGGCAAGGACGTGCCGAGCGAGAACGACCCGGCGTACATCATGAAGGCGCTGAACGCCGGGTTCGACGTCGAGGTCGACGTGTGGTACGACCCCGCGCAGAAGAAGTGGATGCTGGGTCACGACGAGCCCGAGTACGAGGTCCCGTTCGACTTCTTGCTCAACAAGCGGTTCTGGCTGCACTGCAAGAACGCCGAGGCCCTCAGGTACGAGCGACGCCGCCACCGGCTCGCCGAACTGGCACTAGAGATGTCCTTCGCATCTCTCTCTCCGCACTGCCCTGTCCTTCACGTCGTCATGGATGTGTTTGTAGATGTTCCCAAGCCTCCCAACGCACACACGCGCGGTACGTGCATCTCCGCAGGGTGCTCGCGGGCGACCCGCGCGTCACGTGCTTCTTCCACGACGTCGACGAGTTCACCCTCACCTCCAAGGGCCACGTGTGGATCTACCCGGACAAGCCGCTCCTGGGGCCCAACTCCATCGCCGTCATGTTCTCCGAGCCCTCGAAGCTCCTCGGCCAGCCGCTCCTCGGCATCTGCGCGGACAACGTCGGCGAGCTCCGCGCGCAGGCCGAGGCGCGCATCAACACGCTGCTCAACCCCGCGGGGCGCCCGTCCGCGCCGCTGCCGAGCCTGCCGCCCGTGGACAAGCGCGTGAAGCTCGTCGTGTTCGACCTCGACGGCGTCCTCGTCGAGTCGAAGGACCTGCACTACGACGCGCTGAACGACGCGCTGGCCCACGTGGCGGGGCCCGACTTCGTCATCGGGCGCGCGGAGCACGAGTCGGTGTACGACGGCCTGTCCACGAACCAGAAGCTGCGCATCCTGACCGCGCAGAAGGGCCTCCCCGTGGACCTCCACAACGAGGTGTGGCAGTACAAGCAGGAGCGCACCCAGGAGCTCTTCCGGCAGCAGATCCGCGTCGACAAGGACATCCAGGACACCATCATCGCGCTCAAGCAGTGCGGGTTCCCCGTCGCCGTCGCCTCCAACTGCATCCGCAGCTCCGTCTCCAGCCTCCTCGAGGCCATCGGCGTGCTGCACCTCGTGGACGCCTTCTTCTCCAACGAGGACGTGCCGTCCGCGAAGCCCGCGCCGGACATCTACCTCAAGGCGGCCAAGTCGTTCTCGGTCCCGCCGAGCTCCGTCGCCGTCGTCGAGGACTCGGTCAAGGGCTTCGAGTCGGTCGTCCGCGCCGGGTGCAACCTGCTGCGCGTGGAGGGCCCGCACGACGTGCGCGCGAGCAAGCTCCTGCCGCGGATCTTCGAGGTCGAGAAGCAGTTCGACACGCACGTCAACGTGGTCTTCCCGCTCGCGGGCTCCCACGTCCAGTACTGGCTCAAGGGCCCCGAGCGGCTGCCCGAGGGCGTGCCCGTGTACCTGGCCGACGTGGGCGGGAAGCCGCTGATCGAGTGGGTCGTCGAGAGCGTCAACAACTCGGGGCGGAAGGTGCACTTCACGTTCATCGTGCCCGCGGTCGAGGCCGAGGCGTTCAGCCTGCCCAGCCTGCTGTCGCGCGCGACGAACTTCGCGCCCACCACGGTGCTGACGCTCAGCGCGCCGACGCTCGGGGCCGCGAAGACCGTCCTGCGCGCGAAGCACCTGGTCGACAACGACCGGCCGCTGCTGATCTGCGACGGCGGGCACGTGCTGCGCTGGGAGAAGGACGTGGGCGACATCCTGAACTGCAGCGGCGACGGCGCGGTGACGGTGTGCGAGGGGACCGACCCGCGGTGGAGCTACGTGCAGCTCGCGCCCGCGCGCGACACCGTCGAGCTGATCCGCGAGAAGGCGCCCATCAGCAACCTGGCGTGCACGGGCACGTACTTCTGGAAGCGCGGCGCGGACTTCGTGGCGGCGGCGGAGAGCATGATCGCGAAGAACACACGCGTGAGGGGCGGGTTCTTCATCGCGCCGGTGTACAACGAGGCGATCGAGAAGGGCAAGAACATCAAGATCGTCGGCGTGCAGCGCTGCTGGCACGTCCGCGGCCTGTCGGAGGTGCGCTCCTTCGCCAAGGAGGTCATCACCGCGGGCGCCGCGAAGCAGCTCGACGGCGTGTACGAGGAGATGCGGGAGCGCAACTCGCGGAAGATCGCGGAGAAGGGGTACGGCCACGACGAGAAGCTGCGCGGCGAGGACGGCCGGAGGTGCCTGGCCGTGTACACGCTGGCGGGGGCCGACAACTTCTCCGGCGGCGCCAGCTTCGGCGACCTGGTGGCCGACCTGACGAACGCGCTCGGCTCCAACCAGGTCATCTACACGGCCGAGGAGCGCCCGGGCGCGCTGTGCGCGCGCCTGCACTTCACCTTCATGCAGCTGGTGACGTTCAGCATGTACGCCGGGTGCCCGACGGACGAGGAGTACCGCGAGGCCGTCGAGGCGATCCTCATCTCCAACCTGCCGTCGTTCGAGGTCCGCTTCGACCGCCTCATCTGCACGCCGGGCAACCTGCTGCTGACGGGCTACCCGACCGCGGACCTCAACAACGTCCGCGAGACGGTCCGCAAGGAGATGGCGCGCGCGGGGCTGCCGCTGTTCGAGCCGTACAAGGTCGACATCATGCACATGACGCTCGCGCGCTTCGCCAACCCCGTGTCGGACGCCCAGAAGGCTGCGCTGGACCAGATCATCGACAAGTACTCGGGGGCGAAGCTGGCGACGCTGCGCGTGAACGAGCTCAAGATCTCGCCGGCGTCGTGGAAGATGCAGCACGCGGAGCTGGCCATGCACGCCGCGGAGACCAGCCACGTCGTGCTGCAGGGCTGATGGCTGACAAGAGGGGGAGGGGGCGCCCGCCGACATAGGGGTGATGGGGTGCACGTGTGATGGTGACCGGATCAGGGCGAGCGGCAGCGTGATCACGAGCCGTTGCGTGCGCTGCCGAGAGATGCTTCGGGGCCATCACAGAAGAGCGCAGACCATCAGAGCACAGCCAACGACGGCAGAGATCGCCAGCGAGGCCGCCGAGCCCAGAGCTGTCCCTGCCGACACCGCGACCTGCTGTACAGCGACCGACTGCACCGCGACGCCGCTCACCGCCACGCCGGTAGCCGTCTGAAGCGCCGCACTCACCATCGCTGGAGCGGCCGGGTCCTCGAGCCGCGCCTTGACTGCCGTGGAGTCGTCGACGGACGTGGTGGTGTAGCGGACGTTCACGTCGTATGCCGTGGCCAGCAAGCGCCGCACGGACGCGGATGCAGCCACCTGGAACGTGATCTCCAGACCTGCGCAACGCACACAAATATAAAACAGAAATTGCGACACTTGGCGCGCCGATTCACGCACTGCACGAGTACCGACGCCGGACTCACGACCATCCGGTCAGGTGGGGTAAGAAGTAGAGGTCCTGCGCACCTGGGCTCGGGAACGTCATTCCCATGCTCTCTGCAATGCCTCGCTGGGCGCCGAGCAGCTGGTTGTCCGACAGCGCGGAGTCGAACGTCACGCTGAGCTGCGACACGACCGTGAAAAATTCCGTGACCGTCGGTGCCGGCGTGGTGGCAGGTGCCGGCGTCGCCGCAAGCGTGGGCGAACCCTGCTGACTAGGAGCACCCGCAGTCGGGGTCGTTGAAGTCGCGACCGCGGAGCCCTGCGTGCCCTGCGGCGCCTGGGTCTGTTGTTGCTCAGGTGCCTGTGTGTCCTGCGGCGCTGTCGTCTGCAGCGTTGATCCTCCCGAGCTGGAGGAGGAAACTTCGCTTTGGGTGACGGTATAGGAAAAGGTCTGACCAGTCTGGCAGCTCTGTGGGGCGAGGTCCGCGCACGCCTCGGCGTCGTCGATCAGCTGCGCAACACGTCGAACGGCACTACAGGTGATGCTGCCGATGTCCAGCTCATGCCAGTGCTCGTCCACGTCTCGAAGGAAAACGGTCTCACCTGCTGCACGAGCCTGTCGCTGCCGATGTAGGAGGTCTGCATCAAAGTTGTGAAAGGAACAGGCTCGCAGCGACACAAATAACGGGAAATGGGGCCACTTCCGGGCACCTTATTGCCACTTGGTGCATCGCGCCGTGCGACTTCTGCCATGCATGCAGACTCGTAGTAGTAGTAGGTGGTTGCAGTGGTAGTGGTCCCTGAACTCGTGGACGTCCGGAACGCAGACGTCCGGCGAGACTTGATTTTGCACGATCCCAGCGCCGTGCATGACTCCTCCGTGCCGTTGAAGCGCTGCGGGCCCAGGCCATCGTTTCTGCACGGCGTCACTTCCCCCGCAAGTTCGACGCTCTCACGACGCTCGCACGTCCCGAACAGCGCGTCGCGCTCCGCGTCGCTCAACCGCAAAGCAAACTGCGAGCCCAGCACAGGAGTCATTCGTCACCATGCACCGTGGACGCGACCGAGCACATATCAATGTCTCCGTGTTGGACAGCGGCGTGCAGCACCTGATTATGTTTGGACAGCAGAATGTCGACACGATTCCCGACGCCCTGCTCCCGCTGAAGGGTAGCGGTTGTCGTGGCCTGAGCAGCACGGTAGAACTGCGCAAGAACCGACAGCTTCGACCCCTCGCACGTCATCAGTGACGCGATCGTGGCGGGAGCAGGCTCGCACATTGGGTTCTCGTTGTAGATCGGGTTATAAGAGTCGATCTGCACTTGCACCGAGGGGCAATCTCCTGCAGATGAGCGCTCATGCCGAGGGAGTTCGATGTACTTCCCTGCGGCCGTAGCTTCAGTTTGCCGAGTTCGTCTTTCTTTCGCAACAGGCAACGCGCGAACAACCACGACGACATCATCCTGTCCGCGAGTGGTGGTTCATGTGGACATGGATCGTATACAACGGTCCAAACAGCCCTGCGCAAGACACCGACGTTCAATCAAGCGTGCCTCCGCAGACGATGCGGCGGTGCGCGCTGGCATCGCACCTCAGGGCGGCTGTCGTATCTCTCTTCCATGAACGTGTCCATATCGAACACCGCCAGCCCAAGTTGTTCCACGCTTTGCTCGAGATCGGCCTCCAGCTGTTGCCTGTCGTCAGAAGTCATGCTTGCGGAACAGCCCACGTATGGAACACCTGAAGTCCCTGACCTGAAGTTGGCGTAGCCGTCCGGGTACTTCGAGCCGTCACCGCAGCTCACTGTTGTCTCACCCGAGCTGCTTCGTTGTTGACAGAAGCCCGTACCGCTGCGGCCCTCGGAGCTCCCAGGGGGTGGCGTGGCTAGGTCGTGGGACGAGCCCGTCACGCTGACCAGCATCTTAAACCGCACGACGAAGTATCGCGGTACGGGCACGTCCGTTCGTACGCTCCCTGACGAGTCATACGTGTACACTTCAGCCGCCGTGCTCGTCGGCACCGCCGCCGTGATGACCGGCTCGTGCACATTCGTCTTCGAGCATGACGACCACTGGGCGTTGATGAAGTCCGCAACACGGACACGGAGCTGTTCCAGGACTGCCGGCTGAGGCTCGCTCTCCAACGTAAGCTCGGCTTCGAAGGACGCGTAGTGCTTCAGCCCGCGGTAGATTTCCCCATTCCTTGCGTCTCGGATCTGCAACATGGCATCGAGCGTTGGCAACTACGCTGTTGGCCCGCCAGACCTCGACAACAGCATGGGATGCCAGCGCCCAACACTCATTCCACCTGCAGGGTGCGCGGGCGCTCTCACCTCCGCGTAGGTCACCGGCCGCCCGTCCGCCCGGCACAGCGGGTGCGCGCTGCACTCCGACGTTGACGCCTCCGCGCAGAACAGCGACGCCGCCACCATGCGCCGCACCCTGTTCCCGTAGTCCGTGTTGGGCATCACGGTGCTCCCGAGGAGCGCCAGCGGGTTCGGCACGCACCCCGCGCCGTCGTAGAAGATCGCATTGTCCACGCCCGCGACGGACCTCACAGGCGCCGTTGGCACAGACGACTTCTCCGCCGCCAGGCACCTGGTCACGCTAAACGTCTTCACTCCCGATGTCGACGACACGCTCGGCGCGTTCGCGGCGCCCGCCTCGCCCGCGTACGTCGTCGAAGACAGATCCAGGACGCTTGAAGGGTCGATCGCGATCGTCACCGTGTTTTCCTCGCACGTGTTGCCCGTCAGGCTGCCACACGTCGCGTCGTTTGCTGACAGCGCCAACCACTCATCGTCGGCCATTGCGCCCGTCGACCGCGCCTTCGATGCGTCCATGAAGCACACCCCGGACGGGTACTCGGAGCTGGTCGCCCACGTGCACGCAGGAGAGCCGTTGCACGACGCCTGGTCGCTGAAGCCGCTGCACTTGGCCAGGCGGTCGACCTCGCTCCACAGCGTCCGGCCGGTCGGACACGTACCGAAGACCGCGTCCTTGTCCTCCTCCCGCATGCCATCCATCGAATCGCGAGGCTGGGGACTCCCGCGGACGGCGGCCGGCGGCCCGTGGGGCTATCTCAACAGTCGACATAGCGCGACCATGGCACATGTGGCCGAGACTGCCGGCTCGGGGGCCCCGCGCTGGGACAGCGCGCCGGTGGCGCCGCACAGGTTGCTGCACTGCCCGTTGCTCGGCCATCCCACGCACCCCCAGCGACAATGTGCCACCGACCCGGGTCGCTGAGCATGACAATATGCCGCGCACGTGAGCCACACACCCCTACTCGCTATGCTCGTCCCTGCCCCACGAGCACGACGTGGCAGCAGGGACCGCAGCCAGCCTCTGAAACCGTCTCACACTGCGGGCCACGTGGGACGGCCCGGGCTCCTCAATGTCCCACTGCCTCGCGGAGCAGCGCGAACTGCCCCGCGCCGCTCGCTGCCGCGCGCAATGAGGCCACTGCCAGACTGCGCCAGCTCCTACTTCCGGGGGGTCCCCGGGTCTGTACGCGCCCCGGGCACTTTGGGCTGTTGGTCGTGCGGGGTCAGCAGGAGTGCCGTGTGCGAGTCTTGCCCGTCAGGCTGGTCCCCAGAGCGGGCTTCGCGGCTGTGCTGGCGGAGAGAGGCGTTGGTGCACCACTCGAGGGCGCTCCGGGAGCTGCGGGGCGGCTCCTGGGGCGGCGCTGCTTGCAGGTCATGTATGGAGGTGTGAGCCGCGTTTGAGAAGACTCCGGGTATCACGCGCCACCATGTCGGCGCTGGGGCGGGTGTTGGTGGCACTGGGTGCTTCTCGTCGCACGGCACGTGTGTGTTGCCTGTGCGGCTTGTTCCGTCAGTGAGCAGGCGATATCTGTGCGGGGCGAGTGCGTCAGGCCGCGCCGCTCACACACCACGTGGGGCTGCTCAGCGATGAGGTGCGTTGGGGTCGGCATGGTCAGTTCGTAGCAGAGAGGACAGTTGCGACGCTCTGCTTCAGCGGCGCTCGCTGATGCGCGAGCGCACGCCGGTGCTCGGCGGGCGCATGCGCCATGCGTATCTGCCTGGGTGCCTGGTCATCGTGGCTCCGCCTACTCGTGGCACTGTCGCCAGCAAAGGCGAGCCAGCCGCCGTGACCGTGCGAGCAAGGCGTCGTCAGATCACGCGGTCACACGCGGCCCAGGTGCGCTAGTATGCTGCCGGGTGCAGGCTCGTCCTCTGCGAACGAGACTCGCCCTCAACATTCACCAGTTGCAACACCGGCCCCTCCGCAGTAGACACAGTAGGCCGCCTGCGGGCCGCGCGTGCTGCAGACCAGGAGACACTCCGCGCGGGCGCTACAGCAGCGCGGCCGCCAGCGCGCAGGCCACCATGGCCCACATCGCCAGCGAGGCCGCGGCGCCCGCCGAGTCCAAGACCCCCTGCCCCGAGACCTCCACCTGCTGCACGTTCACCGACCGCACCGCGACGTCGCTCACCGCCACGCCCGTGGCCGTCTGCAGCGCCGTGCCGATCGTCGCGGACGCAGCGGGGTCCTCCAGCCGCGCCTTGACGGCCGTGGACGCGTCCTCGGACCTGGTCGTGTAGCGGACGGTCACGTCGTACGCCGTGGCCAGCAGCCGCCGCGCGGACGTGGCAGCAAGCTGGAAGATAATGTCCAGGCCTGCGTCAACAAGCACAGACGCGAGTTCGCTTCCTGACATGGACTGACAGCAACACTGCGGGCGCCCGGGCGACGGCACGGCTTCCACGCCGATCAAGGCGGGGAGCAGAGGTCCTGCGCACCTGGGCTCGGGAACGTCAGCCCCATGCTCTCGGCGACGCTGCGCTGGGCGCCGAGCACCTGCTCGTCCGACAGCGCGGTGTCGAACGTCACGCTGAGCGTCGATTGGACCGTGTACTCGGTCACCGTCGGCGCGGGGGTAGTAGTGGCAGGTGCTGTGGTCGCCGCCACCGTGGGAGAAGCTTCTTGCTGACCAGAAACGCCCGCAGGCGTAGTGGTCCCGGGCGCCTGGGCCTCCTGAGCAGGAGCGGCGGTGTCCTGCGGCGCCGTCGTCTGCAGCGTTGATCCCCCCGTGTTCTGTGACCCGGAGCTGGCGGAGGACACCTCGCTCTGGGTGACGGTATACGCGTACGTCTGTCCGCTCTGGCAGCTCTGTGGGGTGAGGTCCGCGCACTCCTCGGCGTCGTCGATCAGCTGCGCAACACGTCGAACGGCACTACAGGTGATGCTGCTGATGTCCAGCTCATGCCAGTGCTCGTCCACGTCTCGAAGGAAAACGGTCTCACCTGCTGCACGAGCGCGTCGCTGCCGATGTAGGAGGTTCGCTTCAGAGCTTCGAAGTCGGGCTCGCAGCGACAATAGTACGTCCCAACATAGCCAAAACCAGGAATGCCGAGCCCACCCGGCGCTTCGAAGCGTGCGGCTTCTTGCATGCAAACAGCCTCCCCGACGTGGTAGTAGTTGGTGGTCCTGGTCTCAGACTGGCCAGTTGATGTGGACGTCGAGAACGCAGAAGCCCGGTCACGAAACCACCGTTTGCACGATCCCAGCGCCGCGCATGATTCTTCCGTGCCGTTGAAGCGCTGCGGGAACGGACCATCGTTTCTGCAAGGCGTTGTTTCCCTGGCAAGTTCCATGCTCTCGCGTTTCTCGCACGTCCCGAACAGTGCGTCGCGCTCCGCGTCGCTCAACCGCAAGGCAAACTGCGAGCACAGCACAGGAGTCATTCGTTCACCATGCACCGTGGACGCGACCGAATGCGCACATGTTCAACATGGCAGGGCAGCACATATCAAAGTCTCCGTGTGGGACAGCGGCGCGCAGCACCTGGTCAAAGTTGGAAGTCAGAATTCCGACGCTGTTCCCGACGCCCTGCTTCAGCTGAAGAGGAGTGGTATTCATGGCTTGAAAAGCGCGATAAAACTGCGCCAAGACGGACAGCGTCGATCCCTCGCACGTCATGAGCGACGCGATCGTGGCGGGAGCAGGCTCGCACATGGGGTTCTCGTTCTCGACGACACTGTTGAAGAAGTCGACCTGCACCCAGGGGCAAAATCCTGCAGATGAGAGCTCATGCTGCGACTGACGAATTCGATGTCCTTTCCTCCGCGCATAGGTCCAGTCTGCCGAGCTAGCCTCTGTGTCGCGAGCGCATACTGTACATGGGTCGTACACAATTGTCCAAACAGCCCCGCGCATGACGCCGACGTTCAATCAAGCGTCCCGCCTCCGCAGACGATGCGGCAGTGCGGGCTGGTATCGCACCTCGGGGAGGCTGTCGTATTCCTCGCTCATCGACGCGTCCACATCGAACACCGCCAGCCCAAGTTGTTCCACAAGTTGCTCCAGCTGTTCCTCGAGCTGTTCCTCGTCATCAGAAGTCATGCGTGCGCGACAGTACACGTATGGAACAGAATTGTACTTCGAGGTGTCATAGCACTCCACTGTTGTATCGCCCGAGCTGCTCCGCTGTTGACAGAAGCCCGTCCCGCTGCGGCGGTCGTTGCTCCCCGGGGCTGGCGTGGCTAGGTCGTGGGACGAGCCCGTCACGTTGACCGCCATCTTGAACCACACGACGAAGTATCGCGGGACGGGCACGTCCGTTCGAGTTGAACTGAATGTCGAAGAGTCGTACGTGTTGACTTCAGCCGTCGTGCTCGTCGGCACCGCCGCCGTGATGACCGGCTCGTAGAGGTCCGTCTTCGAGCACGACGACCACTGGGCGTTGATGAAGTCCGCAACACGGACACGGAGCTGTTCCAGGACTGCCGGCAGGGGCTCGCTCTCAAACGCAAACCTGGCGCTGAAGGACGCGTAGTGCTTCAGCCCGCGGAAGTACCTTGAACTCCTTCGCTCCTGGCGCTGCAACATGGTACCGAGCGTTGACAAGCATAATGTTGGCCTGCCAAACCTCGACAACAGCATCGGATGCCAGCAACCAACACTCATTCCACCTGCAGGGTGCGCGGCCGCTCTCACCTCCGCGTAGGTCACCGGCCGCCCGTCCGCCCGGCACAGCGGGTGCGCGCTGCACTCCGTCGTCGACGCCTCCGCGCAGAACAGCGACGCCGCCACCATGCGCCGCACCCTGTTCCCGTAGTCCGTGTTGGGCATCACGGTGCTCCCGAGGAGCGCCAGCGGGTTCGGCACGCACCCCGCGCCGTCGTAGAAGATCGCACTGTCCACGCCCGCGACCGACGCCGCGAAAGGCGTCGGCGCAGGGGAGCCGTCCGCCGCCAGGCACCGGCGCACCGAGACCGTCTTCACTCCCGACAGCGACGTAGGAGGTGCGTTAGCGGCGCCCGCCTCGCCCGCGTACGTCGTCGACGACAGATCCAGGACGCTTGAAGGGTCGATCGCGATCGTCACCGTGTTTTCCTCGCACGTGTTGCCCGTCAGGCTGCCACACGTCGCGTCGTTTGCTGACAGCGCCAACCACTCATCGTCGGCCATTGCGCCCGTCGACCGCGCCTTCGATGCGTCCATGAAGCACACCCCGGACGGGTACTCGGAGCTGGTCGCCCACGTGCACGCAGGAGAGCCGTTGCACGACGCCTGGTCGCTGAAGCCGCTGCACTTGGCCAGGCGGTCGACCTCGCTCCACAGCGTCCGGCCGGTCGGACACGTACCGAAGACAGAGTCCTGAATAGCAAAGATACCAACAAAACCGCAACACGTCGTTCAGCAGCGCGCCGTTCACCATTCTGCCGAGCACTCCACGCCGTCGCACAATCGTCGTCCCGCACACGTGCTCGCGCACCTTGTCCTCCTCGCGCATGCCGTTGTAGCCGCGATATACGAAATCCCAGAGGGGGGCCGCGGTCGTCGCCAGGGCAGCCATGAACGACTCGGGGCACAGCGCCACGTCGCTCACGGCCTCCGGATGCGGCACGCACTTCGTGTGCGCGGCCGTGCCGGTCGCCCGGTCCACATCGTTGATCTCCTGCAGCGCCTCGCTGACGACCTTGTCGATCTCGGCGTCGGCATCCACGCCGTAGGAGTTCGTGCTGGCCGAGGCTTGCACCCGGCCCGCGGTGTTTACGCCGTTGGCGAGATCCGTGGCCATCCACTTGCACACCCGCGTGGTCTCGAGCTGCGAGGGTCACCCGGTTCGGATGCGCTCCAATCAGACGAGCAATCAGACGACCTGGTCACTGCACACAGACAGCCTCGCGTGCGCGTGATCGTCCCGGCATGCGCGCCGAGCACTGCGTTCACTCACCGCGTTGCACGCCGCCTCCGTTTGCTGGCGAGAGCAATACTCGACCAATTTTGCCAGGCCGATGGAAGAGGTGCCAGTGACCGACGTGGGAGCGTTCTGTCTCGCCTGGTCGAAGGCGTACGCCCTCCCGAGCATGCACTGCACCGTGATCGTACGCAGAGGCATTTTGTATGATCCTGGCCGCGAACGTGACGAGTCGACGTCGTCGTCGTGCCAGCCGATCCAGACATGAGAGCATGGGTGATGCAGCCCTGACTCGACGCAGGCCCCGACACACCTGTTCGTTGCCTTTGCTCGCGTCGCCCTTCAGCTCGCACTTCGTGCCCTGCACCGTCACGTCCTGCGCCTGCGCAAGCGCGCGACCGCGCGCCTCCGCGCGCCCACCGACGCTCTCGCGCGGCAGGTCCACGCGCGCCCGCCCGGTCCCCGCCACCAGCTGCAGCACCGAGCGCGACGCAGCCCTCAACGCCCGGTCCGTGGTGGTGAGCGCGCCGCGCAGCATGTCCGACACGGGCGCGTGCCCGTCGCCGAACGCGTCCCACTCCAGCGGCGAGTCCGCGCGCGCAGCCGGGGCGCCTGCGAGCAGCAGCGCCGCGAAGAGCAGCGCAGCAGCCACAGAGGCGCACAAGCCTGCACACAGGGGGGTCGGCGGGGTCCGCTCGAGCAGGATCCGCGATCAACGAAACGGTTTCTCCTACGTACGCCTGTCCCGCTGGAAATCAGTCGAAAGGAGCCCCACCAGCATTCGTCGGCGTGTCGCGAAGCACCGCGCGTGGTCGGCGAGAGCACGGACAGCCGCATGGGCACGCACCGTTGCGCCTCATCGTGGCAGTGTCCGGAGTTGCGCTCCCTGGAATAGTTCCGATATTCTGCGCGCACATTCGAAGGCGACGCGGCTCTCGCGGCTCTCGTGGACGGCGAGACCGAGCAAGACCTCCCATCCACACAGCGGCCCGAGCGCCGCGATGCGGGCCGCATTGGAGCCGCTTGGGACATGTGGCGCATATTCATACATGATCCATACGGCCGAGGAGTAACGGCGCTGGCACGATGCTCCCCCAATGAGGTGGGCGACGGAGGTTCGAGGCAACACGTTTTGCCGCGGCGGGGGCGCGGCGTGGCTCCTGGCCGTGTACGGGCAGCGCTACAGCGCCTTGCGGTATATAGCGGCGCGCATCCAGCCCGAACCAGCATCGACGATGCGATGCGCAGGCGCGCTCACGACCTAGGAGCCCACGACCTCTTCTCACCTCTGCTTCAGAAGGCCTGAATCCCTGCCTCCCGCACGACACCGCACCGGTCAGCGCGATGCGGAAACTGCCGCGCCTTCCAGGCCGCGCCGCCGTTGTCGCCCGCCCGTCCGCGGGCGCAGCGCGAGCCCGACCGCCCCCCGAATCCTGACATCAGCTTATCCGCGCGGACGGCCTCGAGCGGCCCCAAAACACCGCGGAACGCGAGCACGCGGCTCGCACCTGGTCGCGTCTCGGCGCCTGTGCGCGCTCAGCCGCCCCGCAGCATCGCGCAGCCGGCGACCCCCCGGGAAGGCGAGACCACCGTGGCACGGGGTGCCGCAGCTGCCGAAACGCTGGCCACACAGCGACCGCTGGACGCCCTGGGGACCGCCTCTGCCCCGTCGAGCGCATGCCGGCAGCTACGGCCGCGGCGCCGCTCGATACCGCAGCCTCGGTCCCGTCTTCGCGGCAGACGGGCGCGGTTCTGATCTGGGCACTTGCCAGCCACGGCCACTGGGCACCTCGCAGGTCGAACACGTAGACCGAGTGTACCGGCGCGCGGTGTTGTGGTGCATTCGTCGACCAGCAGGTGTGCGCCGGCCCAACCACCCTTCAACACGGAGTGGAGCCGTGGCACAAGACATGGCCCTCCACCTAGCGAGTGCTGCCACCCGGTGCACTCTGAGCGGCCAGGAGTCGCCGCCCCGGGGGCCGCCAAGTACGACGGCACGCCGCGCATGCGAACCAAACACCCCTGCTCGTCCACCCTGCCCCACGAGCACGACGTGGGTGCAGCAGGGACCGCAGCCTCGCGGTTGAAAACGTCTCACACTGCGGGCCACGTGGGACGGCCCGGGCTCCTCAATGTCCCACTGCCTCGCGGAGCAGCGCGAACTGCCCCGCGCCGCTCGCTGCCACGCGCAATGAGGCCACTGCCAGCTCCCGGAGCTCTCGGCGAGCTGCAGAAGTAGGAGCGGCTCCTACTTCCGGGGTCTGTACGCGCGCCCCCGAACTGTTCGGAACGGGCATTTGGGCTGCTGGTCGTGCGGGGTCAGCATGACTGCCGCGTGCGAGACTTGCTTGTCGGGCTGGCCACCGGAGCGGGTTCGCGGCCCTGCTGGAGGCTCAGAGAGGTGGTCGTGCTCACTGGAGGCCGCTGCGGGGGCTGCGGGATGCATTCCTGGGGCAGCAGTGCTGCGCGGAGATGGCACCTCACTGCACGATGTGAGCTGGGGTAGCTCGGAACCTGCGCGGACGTGTTGGCGCGAGCATCATGCTGCGGCTCTCAGCTGGGAGCGCGCTCGACGCTGGGCTGGCGTGGTGGATAGGGGTGTGTTGGAGGAGGCCGCTGGCATGTATTGTAGTTGCTGTGGCTGCAGCGGTGCTTGGATCGCTCGCAAGCGTCGGCACCGACCCCTTGGCCACCATGGCGATCGGAAAGCGAGACGCGGACGGGTGGAGAACGGCGCTGTTTGGCCGGTCCGGACAGCGCGACCTCATCGCCGCGACGAAGCGACTGATCGAGGTGCGGCCGGACTGTTCCCGTATGATGGCGACATCGGCCTAGGTGTCGGCAGTTCTCAGACAGAGCTGCCACGCATTTGCAGGAGAGTCCGTCGAGAATGCACTCGGAGAGTCTGGGCACAGAGCAGCGCGCGAGATCCGAGCTGCTGGGCCAGACCGAGTTCTACGTGGCCTACAGGTCGCGCGACGGAGAGATGATTACGGCTGAAGCGATGGAGGTCATTCATGACGTGGAGCAGCGGCTTCTGTTGGAGACCCCGTGGGTGGACCACTGCATGCTGCAGTTCGATTCCATCACGACGGGCGAATGTGCCAGGCCGAGGTGCGGTCGGTGCTCTTTCACGAGCATGCTCGGTCGTCGCGACGAGATGTGTCGCGCTTGACGTCCGACACCGCGTCACACACACTTCTGCTGCGCTGTCACGCCAAACCTTGCCTGCAGGTCGGTCGCGAACTATGTGTACCCGCGCTCACTCGAGCAGGCGGCGGCAGGTTTCCCCGGGTACGGAAGCACTGCGAAGGACGTCACGGAGGCCGTGTCGGTGCTGTCGTTTCAGATGGCTGCCAACTACATGGGCATTGCACAGGTGGGAGCATTCTGCGCCCCCGCGCATCGTTGCCAGCCTCGCGTTCCCTCCCCCGCGCGCTCTCTCCTCCCCTCCCCGCGCCCGAAGTGCGGCGCGCAGCTCCCCTCGTGCTCTGCAGGACTCCATGTTCCGCCAAGGGTTCTTTTGGTTCTTCGACAGAGGCTTCCGGCCTGGTCACTTGCACTCGGAGCACGTGCTGACGGCACTCCCGTTCGGGTACCCCACTGGGCACGACAGCCCCCGCGTCGCGCGAAGGAGCCTCTGGAAGGCGGTGCAGGAGCACATGGACGCCAAGATGTGGCAGTCGGTGGGCGGGCAGTCTCAGTTCGGGACGATCACGCGGTTCCTGAAGTCCCCGTACGAGCTGCGCGTCAGCCACCCGGCGCAGCAGGACATCGAGCTGCTGTGGTTCTCGCAGCCCCTGTTCTTGAACGAGATGGTGCGGTGCGGGGTCCGGGACGCCGGGGTCGCGGGCGCGACGGGCCTCTGCATCGCGGCGTGGATGCTGCTGCACACGCGGTCGCTTTCGATTACCGCGTGCGGCACCTTCGCGAGCATGATCGCCTTTCCCCTGACCTTTGGAGTCTACCGGTGGGTCTTGGGAGTGACCTTTTTCGAGGTGCGTCGCCACTCCCTGTATGCTGAAACGTCCTCAGGACGTCATGATGATTTTGTTTTTTCCCTCAGGTCATGGCCCAAAGCCGTTCGATCCAACTTAGTTCGTGCCGTTTGTCCCCGTGGTCCCCACAGGTGCTGCACGTGGTCGCGCTGTTCCTGTTCCTCGGCGTCGGCGCCGACGACGTCTTCATTTTCTTCGACGCCGCGTCCTCCGCTGTTGAGGCTCTTTCTCATTCCGCCGACAACCAGAAGGAGGAAGTTTTCAAGCGCGCCATGATGCCGGCCGCTCGCTCCGTCTTCGCGACATCCGTGACCACGTCCTTCTCGTTCCTAGCTGGCTGCATCGCCGGCGTCCCCGCCGTCATGGCCTTCTCCATCTTCTCCGCGGTGGGCTTTGCCGTCATGTGGGTCCTGTGCGTGGCCGTCATGGTTCCCTGCTGCGCGTCCTGGGCGCAGCACCGAACTAGCAAGCGGCCGCAGCATGACATCCGCGGGCGCCTGAGCCGCGTGCTCCAGTCATCCTGGCTGCCCCAAGTAAACGCGCTCCGCTGGCCCATCTTCCTGCTCTTCCTCGGGTCGCTCGCGCACGGTACCATGATGCTCGGGCGGATGCAAGGCGACTTCAGGGTCGAGGAGGCCTTCTTCCCGCCCGGGCACATGTTCTCGCGCTTCCTGGAGCTGCTCGGACCCGAAGGACCGCACGGCATCCCCTCGAAGATGCATGCCACCCTGTCCTGGGGCATCCTGGGCCTCGAAGGGGACGAGGCCTCGATCCGCGGTGGCACCAAGCCGGACGAGGTCCGCTCTGCTCCCGCGACAGACGCGACTGCAAGACGAGACGATGGCGGCTAGAAACAACATCTCAGCTGCGTCGCTCGACGGTCTGCAGGTGGTGCGGGATCGTTCCATGGACGTCACCTCGAAACCAGCCCAGCGTTTCCTGCTGGGGCTCTGCGATAAGGCGGTGGACCCCGTGCTGTTTCCATGCAGCCTGGAACGCTGCAGGGGCGCGTCCGGAGGGGCACAGTCGGGCATTCTCGTGCACGACAAGGAGCGTGCCGCGAAAGCAGAAGATGCGTGTCTGTTCCACAGGCTGGAAAATCAACTTCAGTTTGCCCGTGGTGATGCTGAAGCAGGAGAGCCCGACATTGTTCACGGGACTTTGGACCCTGACGAATACATCCGTGCGATTCAGGAGATCGCCAGAACCGACACGGTAACAGATCCAGCCTATCGCGCCCTGGTTTCGGAAGACGACGACGGCACGCCGCACATGTTTTATCTAAGCGTGAATTTTGCCTTGCCATTCTCCCCGGCTGACAGCCGCGAAGCAGAAGTCATGTGGGCGGACCTTGTGCGCGTTCAGAACTGGTAAGATGCGGCTGCAAATTGCTGGAGGGTGACTTGCATGATGTGGGCGTGTTTGGCATGATGTCTTTTGATGCTGCTGTGCCGAACTCATGGTCATTCCGGCACGTTGCGTCGCAGGGTGAACGAGCACGCCCCGGAGGGCCTCAGGAACGCGCGCATCCACGTGGGCAACAAGTTCGCTGTCATGGAGCAGCAGGGCGGCATCGTACGCGGGGCCCTCATCAGGTGCGACACAGCCGCTCTCCTGCACCGTGCCCGGACGTCGCAAGGCGATCGAACGTTTCAAGCAACGTTGGCCCGCAGCCTGCGCTTGATCGTGCCATTCGTCTCGCTGTCACGCAGCATGGGTCTGGTGTGGGCAGCGAGCTCGCTCGTGGTTGTCGTCATCACTCGCAGCGCTGCCGTAGCCCTCATCATCGGGACAACGGTCGCCGGGATCACCGCGACCGTCGTGGGGACTCTCGCGACCGGCATCAACGGGTGGGCCGTCGGCGTCGCGGAGACGACGTCGATCGCACTCGTGGTCGGACTCAGCATCGACTACGGCCTCCACGTTGCTGTCGGGTACTGCGAGAGCAACGGCAAGACCGCGATGAAAAGGCTCGAGGAGTCCCTGGGCCAGGTCGGCCCTGCGCTCGTGTCGGGCTGCGTGACGACCGCCGGCAGCGCGTTGCTTCTCGCGTGCGGCAGGCTGATGTTCTTCCGGCGCGTTGCCTTCTACCTCATCGCGACGCTCGTGACGTCGCTGCTGTGGACGTCGCTCTTCTTGGTGAGCGCGCTGCTCATCTTCGAGCCGTGCATTCAGCCGCCTGCGAGGAAGGGCGCGTCCGCGGGCACGTTCGTCAGGAAGGGTGTTTGATCACGCTGTCATGTGCTCAGGATCAGCGCGACAGATACTGGCACTCCGCGAAGTGTGACCTTCTCCTTCCAAACATTCGGCGGCGCGGCTACCGGCCTCTGAACCTTTCTTGCCCATGGATGCCATGAGCCGCTGGAACGCGATGCACCGCGCAACGCACAGGTCCGAGTGATCCGTCGCGGCCCTCGTGCACCAGCGGTCTCGGTTGGTTCGATGTTCGATCACACATCTGTTGCCGCTGCTTGCTCATCCTGCGTGCAGGTACTCCACCGCGTCGTTGCTCTCGGCCACCCCTTTCCTTGGTTATTGTGACCTCCGGTTTGACGCCTTTTGTCAGACTGAAAGTTCATTACACCTGTGCGCCCGGTCACTATCAGTGCGTGTTGTGCAGCACATGTGTTGTGCAGTTCCCAACCCCTACATAGACAAGGCGGAGGACGGCCCGAGCCCGCTCCCGGCCGTGTGCGCGGGCCCTCACGGGGGCGGCGTGGCGAGGTCGGCCGCGGGCGTGCTGCTGACGAAGAGGGCGGCGATGGACGTCAGGGAGAAGGCGACGGCGACGATGCAGAGGGGGAACACGGAGGCGCAGAGGAACTTCTGCACGGGGATGCGCGTGACCTCGATGCCGCCGGACCCGAGCTGCTTGTCGTAGTCGGGCTGCGAGGCGAGGAAGTACTTGAAGATGCTGGCGGCGACGATGATGGCGCCCGACACGACGACGACGTCGAGGCGGCCGTTGAAGAGCTGCCAGGTGATGAACACCATGATGACGGCGGACGCGGTGCTGGCGAGCGTCTTCGAGATGGCGTCCGCGTACTTGTACACGGCGGTGATGACCACGCCCATGAAGGCGTTGCACAGCACCACGAAGGCCCCGGCGCCGGTGTAGCCCTCGAAGAACCCGCGCTGGTCGCTGCCCTTGAACACGAAGAAGGCCGCGACGTTGAGGACCGAGCCGAAGATGTAGAGCCAGACGTTCTGGACGTGCAGCGAGGCGGGGAAGGTCTTGAGCGAGTACTCGTTCCACACCGAGTTCACCGACGACATGATCACGGACGCGACGACCGTGATGAGGCCCGGGACGGACCCCGCGAGCCGCCCCGAGCACGGGTCGTACTGCGCGCAGGCGAGGCCGCAGCACACGGTGAGCAGCTCGACCAGCTGCGAGACCTTGAGGATCTTCGTGCCCATGGTGTAGGCGACGACGGCCGTGACGAGCGGCATCGCGGCCTTGATGAGCATGATGGCCGAGGGCTCCACGAAGAGGAACTGGAAGAAGGCCAGCTGGTTGTTCACGCAGTACATGAAGGCCAGGCCCAGGAGGTGCCAGGGCATGCTGCCGGTGGAGAGCCCGTCGCGGATGCTCTTGACCGCGAGCGAGCTGTTGCCATCGTGCTGCTTCAGGAGCGCCGCATAGCTCAGCGCCACCTTGCAGAGCTCCGCTATCGCGAGCGCGGAGGACGGGCTGAACTGGTAGGCCCCGCCCTGCTGGGAGAACTTGTACACGAGCGCGACGAACACTTGCAGGGCGCACAGGAAGACAGTCGCGATGACTGCCCTTCCATCCTTCATCTTGCCCGCGGACTATCCGCTAGATCGACGCCCCTGCCGGTTCAGCAGGGTCGCACTCTCCTCCCCTGCGCGCGGCCCGCACGAAATGACGCCACAACCGCGCTGGTCCGCTGCTGCCTGCCTCACAAGTATCTCGACGCGCTGCCGGTGCAGGCAACAGCGCGTGACGCCGCCCGTTGAGCTGCCACGGGCCCCACTGGGACGAACAAACCCGCGCCAGCTTGCACCTCCCCCGCTCGCGGGGCCTGACGCGCGTTGCGAGAGCGGTCCGCGGAGGCAAGGTGCCGGGCCCCGCGCCGGCCAGGGCAGTGCTTGCGCACGGTCGCCCTCCGCGAGTGACGCTCGCACTGTCCCGTGCGGCACCCGTCCCGCCGGTGCAGCGTGCCCCAGGCTGGCTCGGCAGCAGGCAGCCATGACGCGCGCCACGATCGCGGCGAGCAGGCGGGCAGCAGTAGGCGCGGCCAGGGAACCGGCGAGGGATCGTGCTGCGTCCGCGGCGAAGGACCGGGAGCGCAAGTGCTGCACAACAGCCAAGGGCCGCGACCAGCCGAAGCAGGGCACGCGCAGCCCGGGGAAGTCCCTGGTGCCATGTTCGCGCGAGGAGGCGTCCGGCTCCACTGGAATTTACGAGGCGCAGGTGCGGCTGCCGCACGTCGCGTTTGAGAGCGCCCTTGTGACAGCTCCGGGCTCCGCTGTTCCGCGCGCGGATGGCGTGCGAGACGGCGCCGTCGGGCGCAGAGCAATCTTGCATCACCCGGGATGCTTTGCAGGCGCGTGCGTTGTCGCTGGAGGTCGGGGAGCTGCGGCAGGACCTGCGGCGGTGTTGTTCCCAACGTGACGAAGCGCGAGCGGCCGCTGCCGAGCTCAGAGAGGCCCGCGACGCCGCGTTGCGCGAAGTGCGCCTCCTGCAGGTAACCTCCTCGCCGACCTTAGCCGTCGGTGGTTCGCGGCTCCTCCCTCGACGCGCTTCCCATCTGGCCCATGGGCTGCTGGCCAGCACACGGAAGCCATGCGCGGTTCCGTTCGGCCACGCGGGCGTGAAGTGAATTCCTGCGCGGACCCTCGCCGGCAAGCTGACTGTCGACTCATTTCGTTCGCGTTTCGGCAGTACTCGAACAACCGGCTCACGGAGCGAATGACGGAGAGCGATGCCAAGCACAGCCAACTTGTGGCGCGCCTGAAGCGCCAGACGGGCCAGCTGCGCAGCGATCTCGAGGACGTCCAGGTCAGTCTCGGCGCGACATCGCCGCTGTTCGTCGCCACCGCGTCGTCCATATCTCGCGCCAACTGGCCCCCACCTTGCTGCGCCGCGCAGGATGCGGCCGCGTCCAGGTCACAGCAGTGCAGCCTGCGGATCGACGCCGCGCGCGACCTCATGATCGAGCTCCAGACCGTCCTCGCACGGCCAGTCGCGCCCGTGGACTCCAGAGGTGCGCACCATGTCCACGCCACCCTTGAATCGGTGTATCCGTCACGGAAGAACGCGCGTCCGACACCGAGACCGCGCCACGTGCCACGCCCGCATACCGCAGGCGCTCCGGAGGCCCAGGCGCTCGTGTCGGAGGCCCTGTCGCAGCTCGCCCACGCGACGTGCAGTCTGACGGGGCACAGGCCCGCCGTTCCAACGCAACAGCCCGCCCCGCGCCCGAGCATCGCGCCCGGCCTGGGGCGCACTGAACCGTGCGCGGGGCCGGCTGCGCCGGAGCGCACGCCGTCGCCGGGGGACGTCGCGAGGGATGCGGAGGTGGCGGAGCTGCGGCAGCTGGTGGTGGCGCTGCAGACGACGGTGCAGGGGTACCGGGCGGCGCTCGCGAGGGCCGAGGGGCAGCTGCGCGAGGAGAACCGCTCGAGCTTCCTGCTCGGGCAGCGGCGGGGGATGCGCGTCGCGAAGCAGCAACAGCAGCGGCAAGACGAGGCGCCGGAGGTGCGTGCGGGCCCCGTATGGCTCGACGGGCGTGTCTTATGCGAAGTGCTAGTGCGAATGTGTGCGCTGAGGCGGAGCGATCGCGCGGGCCGTGCAGGTGCCGGGGCGGCAGCAACAACATGAAGCAACACAGGCTGCGAGCCCTGTGCGCGCCGGGGCCGCGCGGGGTGCGGAGGCGCGCGGGGAGGCGGTGCAGGTGCGCCACCTATAGCTCCGGTCTTGCTGAAGCGACGTGGCCAGCGACGCAGCTGCCGTGAGCTGCGCAGACTGCCCATTCCAGTCGCAATATTCAATCGATGATTGAAGGCGTGCGGCATTACAGAAACAGTCTAGCCGACATCTCCACGCCTCACGCGATCTTCTCGGCCCGCCCGTGCAGACCGGCGTGGACCCGGCGGTCGTCGAGGACCTGCGGGCACGCGCGCGCAAGGCCCTGGCGATCTGCGCGGGCCGGTGGCAGGCCAGCGCCCCTGCCTTCGGCTGATGCCGCCCGCGAGTGCCAAGGCCTCGGTCGCGCACGCGGCGGAGCGGCGCTCTCCTCGACCCGCCCGCACACCGCCCCAGCTGCGCTGTACCGTCACGGCACGGACGGTCCGGCGACGAGCGCGGCGGCCTCTGCGCGCAGGGCCGCGATGGACCGCCCGGAGCGCGCGCAGCAGACTCGTACCGCTCCGGACCGCCGGCTCCGCCATGCACTCGCGACCGGCGTGCCCACCTGGTCCGGGCCCGTGAAGACAGCGTCCTCGCCGCGGTTGGGCGTCGGTGCGGGCCGGATCGCGAACCTGGGGGGTGTGTCTGGTCGGGTGTGTCCGCTGGCTGGGGCGAACGGACGGGGGGCGCTCTGGGCGCACATAGGGGCGCGGCGCGGGCGGCGCTGCACACTCTGCACCTCACGGACAGTTGCTCTCGTTTCCTCGCACCCACGGACGACACGTACCAGCCCGAAGGTGAGAAAGCCGCGCCCTGTGCAGCGCGCTTGCGACAAGCGACGTGCGCCGCGGTGCCGCGCCGGCGCCTCCGCCGCGCGGTCCGGTGGGCCGAGCGGCAGCTTTGCACTGTATCCGCACAGATCCGCCGCTTCTACGCGTCGCGCGTCGCGTGTGGTGCTGTCGCGGCGCACATGCCCTCTGCGAACCGTTCGTTGCCCTGGGCGCATTTCTGCGAATTGCGCGCGTGTCCCTGCCGCGCCTGCGCCGTCGCGCCTCGTTGAGTTATAATCGCGGCGGTTCCGACCAACACTTCTTGCCTAGAACCCGCTGCGTCGCCGCGCGCGGGCACCGAGAGGTCGATCCACTCAGTCCATATCCCTCCAAGGGCATGAACCGTCTAGGCATCGTATCGCACGCGACCCGCCGCCGCAGGCCCGCCCGACCCGCTCCGCCGACTTATTTGACATCGAAGCTGCCGAGGAACGCTGCCATGTATGACGAAGACGCACGATCTCTCCCTCGCTGCAGGACATCGTCGTCTGGTGCCTGGAAAGATGTCCTACTACCAGTGCCCGGCACTCGCCGTGGCGAAGAGCATCCCGCAGGCGCCAAGTGACGCCAAGCGCGCCGAGCGGGCGAACGGCCTGCGCCACATGCTGCCCTCTGACACCTCCATCGACGAGCTTGATATGCCGACCATTCTCGAGTGCTTGACCGTGGGCCTCGAAGCTTGCACGGGCAGCGATGCTCGGGCCTGCGTTGCGCAGGCCATCCTGGCCGTGGTGACGGGCGCTGGTGACGTCGGGCGCCGCCGCGACCTTGCGCACGCCGCCGGAGTAATCGTGGCCTTGAAGAAGACACTTCTGAACGTCTATGCGTCGCAGCAGCGCGAGCCGGTGCAGCACCTGGCTGCTGCGCTCGAGGCGGTGCTGGGCGACGGCGGCGCGGCGCGCGAGCGGCGGGACTTCGCGGCGCGGCCTGAGGCGAGCGGCGGGGCTGGCGTCCTGTGCTGCCTCGTTATGGCGCTTCAAGATCCGTCCAGGCGGGGCCCCGAGGCGATCGCGGCGCTGTCCCGGGTCGCCGACTGCATCCTGCGCGACGGTGTTGACGTCGACACGAGCTGCCTCGAGGCCACGGCGTGTGCCGTTGCGGAGTTGCTCTTGGGCGACGACTCGGACTCGCTGCGGTGCGCGGTATCGAAGGCGGGCATGTCGCGGGTGCTTGCGTTGGCGCTCGTGCACGCCCGGTCGGTGCCCGCGCGTGCGTCGCTGGGCCGCACCATCGCGCTCATGCTCGGGCCAGGTGGGACGGTTGAGGCCCGGAGGGAGGCTGCGCGCACGGGGGGCATCGCTGCGGCGCTTGCGCAGGCGCTGTCGAGCGCTCACGACAATGTGGAGGTCGTTGCGCTGGCACACGCCGTCACAGCTTTCTGCTCTGGTGAGGACGGCAGCAAGCGCCGCGACGCCGTCGCGGACGGTGGCGCGATGAAGGCGCTTGCGGATGCGCTGGCCGCAGCCAACCGCGACGCGGAGCTCGTCGAGGTGCGCAAGGCGATCGTGCAGGCCGTTGCGGCGGTGATGCAGGAGCCCGGCGAGTTCCGGAGGAGGAAGGCCTACGCGGCGGAAGTGCTGTTGCCCATCAAGGACGCCCTGCTACTCGACGCGCCGATGGATGGGGCGCCCTCGAGCTTCATGTTGACGAGCTTCGGGGGCATCAGCGCTGGTGACGACGGCGACGCCAACGAGACCAACAACAGTGTCGACAACGTGCGTGGCTCGGACGACGCGCACGTGGTGCGTGCAGCGACCAGCGAACGCGTGGCCGGCAACACGGACAACTTCGCGGCGCTGATCCAGGCCGCCGGAGACGTGGTCCTAGCTTACACGAACCGCACCACATGGGATGAGGGCTGCAGCCAGCTGTGGGAGGAACTGGCCCGCGTGCTGGCGCGTGCACTGCCGTGCGCCGTGGGCACGGTGCAGCGGGAGCTGCTGAGCGTCATCAAGGGGCTCGTGGACGACGGTGTGGGCGCGGAGCGGCGCAGGCAGCTGGTGGCCCACGAGTACATGATGGAGGCGCTGGCTGCTTCGATCGAGGACGCCGCCCGCGGCCCGCCTGGGGCGATGGACGTGCCGCTCACCGCGCTGCAGCTGATCGTGACCGGCGACGACGACGCGGCGGGTGCGCGGCGGGACCTGGCAGCAAGGCACGTCATCGGGTCTTTCGCAGTTGCCTTGCGCGCGGCGACTGGGGTCGATGTGGACGCTCGCGACGCGGCACTCTGTCTCGTCGCAGGGACTGCGGGCGCTCTGCTCGGCGACGGCGGCGACGTCGAACTGCGCAAGCACGCCTTCATGGACTACGCAGCCAGCGCGCTGTGCGAGGCGGTGCGCGAGGCGTGCGGCGAGGAGACGCGCACCGTGCTGGTCAACCTTGCAGCGACGGCGCTGGTGAGCGACGACGGCGAGGAGAACGCCAGGGACCGCATGGCTGCGGCGCATCAGGCAGGCCTGACGCGTACCCTGATTGACTGCCTGCGCGATTCCGCGAACACGGACGGCCTGCGGGAGGCACTCGCGACGGCCCTGACTGCGCTCCTCGCTGGGTCGGGCGAGCGCAAGGACGCGGCAACGGCCGACGGCCTGACGGAGACTCTGCTGGCCGCCATGAGTGCTAGCCAGGGCGACGACACGCGCGTGGCGCTCGGCGTGGCGCTGTGCTCGGTGCTGGTCGGCAGCGGGCGGGGCGACCGTGGCCTGGAGAGCCGCCGCGTCCGTGCTGTCGGGGCTGCGGGTGCGCACGTGGAGATGCTCACGACGGCTCTGCAGGGGGCGTCAGGCGATCCGCTGCAGCTCGTCGCGGCCGAGGCGTTGGCGCGGCTGGCCGGCGGCGACGACCACAGCGCGCTGGGCAACTGCGAGGCGGTGTTCCAGGCACTCGCGGAGGCGCTTCGCGCCGCCCGGGGGCAGCTGAGCGACGACACCGAGCGGGCTGGTTCGAAGCTTGAGGTGCTCGCGTGGGCGAGCTGCAACCTCATGCGCGGGGCGCACGCAGACAGCCGCAAGGAGGCCGCTCTGACCACCGGGCTGCCCCGGGTGCTGATGTCGACCCTCAAAGCTTCGCTGAACATCGACGGCAGTGACCTTTCCGCTGCGCAGAACGCGCTGGGCTTCGCGCTTGGGTGCTTCCTCGTCGGCGGTAGCAAGGAGTCCAGCCTGACGCGCGAGGCGCACATCAAGGTCGACCCCCGGGACTCGTCCGTGAGCAGGGATTACGTTGACGTGGTCAACGCTGCGGCGCGCAATCTCGACGGCCTGCGGTTTGCGCGCAACGCGCTCACGAAGGGGCTGCAGGAGCGGGTGGCGATGAAGACGAACAAGGCGGCCAAGGCATGGGCGAGCCGCCAGCAGCAGCGCAATGCGTCCGGAGCTTGGTGGGGCAAGAATGTGGTCAACTCCGCAGGCAAGCATGTCCGCGTGGCGACGGTGGGGTTCGCGTGCGCCGTCGCTGCCGGGTTCGTTCAGGCGGTGTGTGGTGGGAACCGCTCGCCGCCGAAGCAGCCAGTCCCCGTGCAGCCTGAGGAGCCGGAGGAGCCTGTGGAGCCGGAGCCTATCAAGCCTGGGGAGCCTATCCAGCATGCCAGGTCGCGCTTGTGGCCGCTATGAATGTTGCGACTGCTGCGCTTGGCTGGCGGGCGTCGACGTTCGCTCATGCCGGAAAGGTTGTGGTTCAGATCTGACAGGAGGAAAAAAAAAGTCCTTCCTCTGCGCTGGAGGAAGGACTGCGGACTTTGCTTTGGAAGTTGTGATGCGATTGCTTTGACGTTCCGAAGCCTCCACGGAGTCGTTCGATTCACCACGTGTCCCAGCCGGAGCGCGTCACGCATCCGGAAGCTCGTTTGGGCCCGCAACAACAACACGCCCACTGCCCGCGATCTACGCAGCACTCTTCGGACGTCGCAGAACAATCGACAACCTACAGCGCATCCTCCTGACTCCGGCCAAGGAGCAACTTATCCAGCTCCTTCGCACCTGCGCCCTGCCCGGCAAGACACGTCATCGCCAGCGCCTCGAGAGCGGACCTGCAAACGTCGCACGCAGTCAGTGGAGTGGTGAGCCGATCGCAGGCAGTCTGACGAGCAAGCAGCACTACGCAGGCTTCCAACAGCCCCCACACCTGGCACCCTGCGTGCACTCCGCCACGACATCCACGAACGGCCTATCGCCGATCGACGCAATGTTCTCCTTGTCCCTCGCCAGCGACGATGAGAGCAAGTTGATGACCCCGGTTGGTGCCGGTGCGCCCGTACGGTTCGATATGCTCCCCACTCGCATCTGGATGCGCCGCTGCTGCTCCGAGGCCTCCTGGAGCGCCTCGTGCGTGCGGCTCGACCCCGACGGAGGCACTGCCACCGTCGCGCCCCGCCGCCCCGTTCCGTAGCGCGGGGCGATGCTCGAGGAGAACTGCGTGTTGCCCTCAAAGGTGCTCGCCATAAGCTGCGTAGCGACGTCCGGCTCCACTTCCTGCGCTCCGAGAGGCCGAGAGGAGCTGAGTTCAGCGACCGGACCGGATGCTTGTCTCGGGGGGGAGCAGCACGCATCGGTGCGAATCGGCGCGCTGTTTCGGTCCCTGTGCGAAACGATGGCAGGCATCAGGGTGGCCGCACCTGCAGCAGTCCAGACACCTGCAAGGCGTGGTTCGCTGTATCCCGGCAAGCCGTCGCGCTGCCCTTCGCGCGCAGCTGCATCAGCATCTGCTGCACGACGGTGTCGTCCGACAGGTGCTGCGCCGCGTCTGCGACCCCTGGCAACTCGACATCCGCGCCTGCAGCGTTCAAAGGATTCCATGGCTCTGCGTCTGAAACCCGCCCGAACTGTCAAACGGGAGGACGGCTGGCTGCGCGACACGCCTGCGTCCAGCCCTGCGGACCCTCACCTGATGCTTTCGGCCCGTCGGCGAACGCCTCCACCAGCCGGCGCAACATGCGGTTTGCCATGTCTGCCACAGCCACGCTCTGCCACGGCACGAGGTCCTTCCACGCGCTCGCCGCCACCGTCGTCCCCTCGAGCAGCCGCGCCGCAAACGCCGCGACCAGCACGCCCCCCTCCCGCCCGACGTGCTGCGGCAACAGCGCCAGCATGTCCCCCATGGCCACACCGGCCTCGCGGCTCCACTGCCCGCCCACGAGCGCCGCGCGCACCGCCGCCAGCAGCATCGCGACCTGCTCGCTGCGCAGCCCGTCCTCGTCGGCGAGCGGCAGCAGCAGCTGCGTCAGCCGCAGCGTCCCCAGCAGCAGCGACCCCGACACGACGCCCGCGCGCGAGTCCGGCGCGAGGAGCATGCACAGGCGCTCGAGGAGCAGCTGCGGGAAGGACCGCGAGGGCAGGTGGCGCTGCGCCGGCGCGTACGTCGCGATCGCCTCCGCGGCCTCGCACAGGCACAGCAGCACGCACGCCGCCTCCTCATTCTGCCGCGTGGTGCGGTACAGCGCCGACGTGATGGCCTCGACGACCTGCAGCGCGTCGTCGAGCTTCGTGGCCACCAGCCGGGGCACCTCCAGCGCGCGCTCGCGGTCCGCGCCGCGCAGCTTGGCCACGGCGATGGGCAGCTGCCGCAGCACCGCCACCAGCGCCGAGCCCATCACGAACTGCCCCGAGTGCTCCACCTCTGCGACACACCAGGCGCGGGGCGGGGCGTCAGGGCGGGTGGCGGGTCGTGGGTGCACGGCGGCGCGTTGCGGGCGCGGCCGGGGGTGCGTGCGTCGGGCGCACCTGCGTTGATCTCGTTGATGATGATCTGCGTGGCGTCGCCGGGCTCGGCGTCGCAGAGGTGGCGCAGGAGGCCGAGGAGGACGTGGAACCGCCGGCCGTTGTCGTCCAGGCCGTTCCTGCAGCGCACGGCGGATGCAAGCACGTCGGTCGGTTGGTCGCCACCGAGGTGCACGTGCGGGTGCGCGGGCGAGGCGGCGCGGCTGCCGCACCTGACGGCCCTGAACGCGAGCGACGTGAAGGTTTCCTCCCGCGGCGCGCTGCCCCCGAGCCCGCTCGGCGACCACAGGCGGTGCTCGGTGAGGTAGGCCGTGACGCCGTCGACCGCCCGCTTGACGGTGGCGTCGTCCATGTGCATCATCTCGCGCAGGGCGAGCAGGGAGATCGTCGCGGGGTGGCCCGCGACCTCGGCGTCGTCCTGCGAGGGCCGGCTCGTCTTGGCCAGCCGCGGGTGGTCGTGGAGGTTGTCCAGCACGGCGGTCAGGACCTCGGACTGGCTCCGGATGAGCGTCGAGCAGCGCGCCATCAGGCGGATGACCTCCTTCAGGGCCCCGAGCGCCGCGACGCGCAGCTCGTCGCCGCGGTTCTGGTGCATGTCGGTCTGCAGGCGCCCCGCCTGGGCTTGCGTGCACAGCCGGGGGAGGAACCGCTCCATCTGGTCCACGTAGGACGTCGTGACTTGGGCGTTGCAGAAGGCTGCGACGTGAGGACACGGGGCGCGGATGGGGGAGGGCGGTTGCGCGGCGTCGCGCGCGGCGGGGGCCGCGGGTCTCTGTTGGGGGCAGCTCAGCGGTGTGCGGACCTGTCAGCAGCGAGATGCCGAGGAGGCGCAGTTCCACGGATGCACGTGGGAGGAGCTGCGAGCAGACGCTGACGACCTGCGGGCCGACCAGCGGGACGGTGCTCGGCAGGGCCCCTAGAATCGAGATGAAGGCAGTCACCGCGACCTTGACGTATCCGAAGCGCTCCTTGCCCAGCTCCTTCACGATGCGCCTCTGGAGCCGTCGCGAGACTTTCGGCACCTGCAAGACGGGGGAGTGCACGCCCTGACGCCCGGAAGCACCAGACGAGCTGGCGCTCACGCGGCGGTGCGTCGACAGGACCGCGTGCGCGCCTTCTCGGGATTCTTCTCGCAGTACTCGCAGAGCTTGGAGATGTTGCGAATGATCGACTTGTCCAGGCTCCCGGCCAGCGGTGGTGGCTCCTTGGGGAACAACTTGGGCGTGAGCAAGTTGTAGCGCTTCACGGGCGACCGCGACGCCTCCTCGAGCCCCAGACAGCGCACGAACCACCCCATCGTGGAGACCTGTACCTAGATCGCGCCCGCTGAGCCGGTTCGATTCCGAGCGCCTGCCTCGAGGAGGCGCTTTCCTGCCGGCACCAGGTCCAGGATACCGCGCCGTCCGTCTCAGTTCAACGCGGCGCGCGCCCGCTATGAATGTTGGAATGTCCAGAGCGGTCGGAGCGCCGCGGCAACGCAACCGACGCCGCCGCGCGCCACCTGAGCAAGCACGTGCCCTCAAGTACGACTGGTCAACACCACCCTGCGCATCACGCCTCCGAACCGGGCCCCGAATCTGAACGAGAAGCTCACCAGCGAAAAGCACGCCGGTGCCTTGTTACGCTGTGTCCTCTGCGACCGATGCGTTCCCTCTGCTCTCCCGGAGCAGTGTATCAACACGCACACACACAGGCGCCACGGCAACCAGAGCACCGCGACGCGGCAGCGCGCCAGCGGCTCCCAACCTGGGCGGCACAGCTTTTCGCACTCACGCCGCTCGCAGTCCGACGCCGTGGACGCACAACCCTCACAGAGGCCCGCGCGCCGTCATCCCGACGCCAGCCACGCCTATATCTACACATCTGCGGGCGGGCCGTGCACATTGAAGCGATGGGCGTGCCCTACGCCGTCTGGTTGTGGTCGTGCGGCATGGCCCCCGTCGGCAACAACAGCCGCTTCAGCGCCTCATAGGAAGCCCAGCAGATCGCCGCCGACGGGACGTGGAAGAGCACCCGCGGCTTCCACCCGCGCAGCAACGCCCCCACTCCCTCCTCCTGCAAGCGCGCACACGCAGCCTCCTTCGCACCACAGCGCGGCAACGACTGGCACAAGCGTGCGTTGCAGCGCGGGGCGGGCCCGCACCTGCACGATGTCGCGCGCGACGACCGTCGTGAGGTTCCACTGCGACCCGGTGTACCGCTGCACCGCTCCGCCGGTGCCGTCCGTCTGCAGCCGCGTCTTGACGACATCCAGCGGCGTGGTGACCCCCGCGGCGACGCCGCCCGCCGCGGCGCCGGCGACGAGGTTGGACGCGAGGGACTCGACGCCGCTGCGCTCGTCCGAGCGCAGGGCGGCCTTGCAGTTCTCGTAGACGGAGATGTGCACGGTGGTGTAGGGGATGTTCATGAGGAGGGTTGTGGAGAAGGAGCGGAAGAGGGCCTGGGGGCCGCTGGCGGCGACGGTGCGCAGGACGCAGTCGAGCGCGTTGCGGTAGGGGCTGTGCGCCATCTGGAGGCGCTGCTTGACGACGTCGGTCGGCGTCATGACGGCATCGTGGGCAATCATGGCGCCCGCGCCGGCGAGGGAGGAGACGACGGGGTTGCTGGCGGTGCGCTGCGTGGCGCGCGAGAGCCGGTCCTTGAGGAGCTCGTACGTGCTGAAGTACGCCGCGTGGGCAGGGCCGGCGCCCGCGGCGGCCACCGCGACGCCCCTGCACAGCACGCGCGGCGCCAAGCGCGCGAGGTCGGGCGGGCGGCGTGGCGCGGGAAATTCGCGGCGCGCTCGCGACCGCGAGGCGGTTCGTGCAGGGGAGGCGGCTGCGCGAGGCCTGTCCAGAGAGCCTCCATTGGGTCCGAGGAAACACAGGGGTGTTGGCACGCGGTCAGGGAGCCGCCGAGGTCGGGATTCGCTGCGAGCGGCCGCATGCGGCTGACCTGTAGAGTCCTGCGATCCCGTCCGCGCGCAACGCGCACACGGCCGCGGCGAGGAACGACCGGTGCGTCGCAGCTGCCCTGGAGTGCGAGCGGCACTGGTTGACCTGCAAGTGCGGCGGCACGCCGTGAATGCACGCCCCCGGCTGGCTAAGGACCTGCAGAAGGACGAGAGCGCGCGCCGCGTCAGCGACCCCGCGGCCCGCACGCTGCGCCCGCGCGACCTCGCACGCCCCGGTCGGCGGCGTGCTGCGTGCGCCGCGCACCTGCATCCTCGTCTTCAGCGTGTCCACGGGAAACATCACGCAGTGCTCCGTCACCCCCGCGAACGCCCCCGCGAAGCACGTCGCCCCGAACGACCCCAGGTCCTCGTGGTCGTCCATCCCGCCGGCTACCTACCACCCTGCTGGCCGGGCCGCCCGCCGCCCGCACGCGGCGCGGCCGGGTCGCGCCCTGCCCCGGTACGCACGGAGCACGCCGGGGGAGCGACGCGGGGACCCGACGCGGTAGCAGCGGCTCGGGGGGGAGGGCTCGGGCGCCGGGTTAGGGAAGCAAGCACGATGGCGGGGAACGCTCTTTTTGTGTCGGACAGGAGGGTTCGGTGAACCGCACGGCAGCGTGGTGTGCGTGCTGCGGCGGTTCCGGGCCCCAAGAGGCGAGCGGTGCGCGCGGCAGGGTCAGACGCGGCGGTAGGACTGGCGCGGTGGGCTGGTCAGGTTGCCGACCCCCGCGGGGTGTTTTTCGTTGACGACGGCATTGCTGGTCGTGTGCGACGCGCGGCTGGACATGTTGGGGGGCGAGGCGACCGTCTCGTGACGTTCGATGTTCGCTCACGGCTGCCGCGCTGGGTTGGCTGTGGGAGTGCCAAGCCGCAGGTGTCGCGGTTGCTTCGACCCGGGGAAGGGATTGATTCTTTCGGCGAAAGTGCATGACTTCGTCGACGTCGCGGTCGCGCTTCGAATGGGACAGCACGCGCTGGAAAACTCGCGTCGCAGTGGCTGCCCTCGAGCCAGTCGAGTGCGACCTCCTTCTTGGCCGTCGCCCACGCGATATTTCTTCGCCTCCCCTTTGGTCATATGAGGTCCCTTTCGATGTGATGTGGGCCACTGAGAGCCACGGCAGGCTCCCAAAATTCTCGTTTGCAACCGAAAAAAAACTCCCGGCAGCCTGTCGCGGTGGGGCAGCGAGTCGAGCTCTGGTTGGGCCCGAAAGTATGGGCAGATGTATGTATCGTTGTGCGCCCGGGCGGCGGCACTGAAGAGGCCGGAGCGGTCCGGCGCGGCGCATTTCCCAACGAAATGCAAGCACACGCGTTAGAGCATGGTTTTTGTGCCGCCGCGCGCTCGACGATGGGCACGTCGAGTCCGTCAACCACAGACGCTCCTTCAATCCGGCCGCGCAGTCGTTCAAACATGCTGGCAGCCATCACGTCTCGGAGGCTCCCAAGCGCCCCCAGAGTACGTCTGGGAGGGTCCCTCCTGGCCGGGAATGGGCGCATTCCGGGGACTTGGGGGCGAGGGCGTGTCTTCCCGCAGGTACTTGACAACATAGTGCACGCGAAGACTTGCGGCTCGGCTTTTAGGCTCCTCATTCCAAGGTGAAGACGAAGCAGCATCAGGGTCCTCGCGGGCCGTGATTCCGCACGCGATGGCTGCTTCACGCTTCACAAGGGAGTCTTCCATAACGATGCGCACCATGTGCTGCGTTTGCGCGTGCTTCATAATGATGTGCCTCGCAACGGCGGCTGCCGTTGACCGCAGCGCACCTCCAAAGTGGGATGCGACCATCCCACAAATTCCTGCGCCTCAACGCAAGCACTTCGGCGCATCCGGGGTTCCCGTGGATGCTAGACGCTCGCGGGGCCGTCGGCTTCAAGGTATGGTCAAGACGTTCGTGAAGAAACGGCGTGCGACTGTTCATTTGCAAGTCTGTGCCTTTGGTGCCGGGAACCGCTTTGGGGAGCGCCGCTGACAGTCTGAACGGACAGCAGTGGCATTTTTCAGCAGTGGGACTGCTTGAATCGCTCATGAAAGCCCGTTTCAGGGCTTGCAGTACGAACGCCGATGTAGCTTGCCGATGTAGGGGTGCTCAGTCGAAGGCCGACGCTGTGCATCGCATGGTCGCCAAATTGCATGTGCCCGCTTTCCACTGACGCCATCATGACGTTCGTACCGCTCTCGATCTGTCCGCAGCATGTTCACCTGGGCAATATGAGTTCGACTCCACATGCTATGCCTGCCCTCCGAACTGGCAATGCGACGGAAACGGCAACAACCAGCCTTGCCCGGAGGGCTGCACATCGCCTGGAGGGTCGGCGACATGCGACTGCCGTAAGACCCCGTCACCGAATGTCCTGCTGGAAACAGCCCACAGACGTGCCTGGATGCGAAGATTGACGACACGCAAGGTTCCCGCTCATGAATGCAGCAACATGTCCGGTAGGCCAGTATGATGACGGAACATCGTGTGCCACGTGCACGGCTGGCAACTACTGCACGGGGGACAACTCGCAAACCCCCTGCCCGTCAGGGTACACTTCACCACCCGGTTCTGACGCTTCAGAAGACTGCACAGACGTGGACGAGTGCGCGGACGGCTCGCACGGGTGCGCGGCGGAGGCGACGTGCACCAACACGGCGGGCGGGCACACGTGCACGTGCAACGCGGGCTACACCGGCGACGGCACGACGTGCACGGACGTGGACGAGTGCGCGGACGGCTCGGACGGGTGCGCGGCGGAGGCGACGTGCACCAACACGGCGGGCGGGCACACGTGCACGTGCAACGCGGGCTACACCGGCGACGGCACGACGTGCACGGACGTGGACGAGTGCGCAGACGGCTCGCACGGGTGCGCGGCGGAGGCGACGTGCACCAACACGGCGGGCGGGCACGCGTGCACGTGCAACGCGGGCTACACTGGCAATGGCACGACGTGCACGGACGTGGACGAGTGCGCGGACGGCTCGCACGGGTGCGCGGCGGAGGCGACGTGCACCAACACGGCGGGCGGGCACACGTGCACGTGCAACGCGGGCTACACCGGCGACGGCACGCCGTGCACGGACGTGGACGAGTGCGCGGACGGCTCGCACGGGTGCGCGGCGGAGGCGACGTGCACCAACACGGCGGGCGGGCACACGTGCACGTGCAACGCGGGCTACACCGGCGACGGCACGACGTGCACGGACGTGGACGAGTGCGCGGACGGCTCGCACGGGTGCGCGGCGGAGGCGACGTGCACCAACACGGCGGGCGGGCACACGTGCACGTGCAACGCGGGCTACACCGGCGACGGCACGACGTGCACGGACGTGACGAGCGGGATTGCTCGCACGGGTGCGCGGCGGAGGCGACGTGCACCAACACGGCGGGCGGGCACGCGTGCTCGTGCAACGCGGGCTACACCGGCAACGGCACGACGTGCACGGACGTGGACGAGTGCGCAGACGGCTCGCACGGGTGCGCGGCGGAGGCGACGTGCACCAACACGGCGGGCGGGCACGCGTGCACGTGCAACGCGGGCTACACCGGCGACGGCACGACGTGCACGGACGTGGACGAGTGCGCGGACGGCTCGCACGGGTGCGCGGAGGCAAGCGACGTGCACCGGCCCACGGCGGGCGGGTCATCGCACGTGCATGGCCTAACTGGCGACGGTACTGATGTGCACAGACGTGGACGAGTGCGCGGACGGCTCGCACGGGTGCGCGGCGGAGGCGACGTGCACCAACACGGCGGGCGGGCACACGTGCACGTGCAACGCGGGCTACACCGGCGACGGCACGACGTGCACGGACGTGGACGAGTGCGCGGACGGCTCGGACGGGTGCGCGGCGGAGGCGACGTGCACCAACACGGCGGGCGGGCACACGTGCACGTGCAACGCGGGCTACACCGGCGACGGCACGACGTGCACGGACGTGGACGAGTGCGCAGACGGCTCGCACGGGTGCGCGGCGGAGGCGACGTGCACCAACACGGCGGGCGGGCACGCGTGCACGTGCAACGCGGGCTACACTGGCAATGGCACGACGTGCACGGACGTGGACGAGTGCGCGGACGGCTCGCACGGGTGCGCGGCGGAGGCGACGTGCACCAACACGGCGGGCGGGCACGCGTGCACGTGCAACGCGGGCTACACCGGCGACGGCACGACGTGCACGGACGTGGACGAGTGCGCGGACGGCTCGCACGGGTGCGCGGCGGAGGCGACGTGCACCAACACGGCGGGCGGGCACACGTGCACGTGCAACGCGGGCTACACCGGCGACGGCACGACGTGCACGGACGGGGACGAGTGCGCAGACGGCTCGCACGGGTGCGCGGCGGAGGCGACGTGCACCAACACGGCGGGCGGGCACACGTGCACGTGCAACGCGGGCTACACCGGCGACGGCACGACGTGCACGGACGTGGACGAGTGCGCGGACGGCTCGCACGGGTGCGCGGCGGAGGCGACGTGCACCAACACGGCGGGCGGGCACGCGTGCACGTGCAACGCGGGCTACGCCGGCAACGGCACGACGTGCACGGACGTGGACGAGTGCGCGGACGGCTCGCACGGGTGCGCGGCGGAGGCGACGTGCACCAACACGGCGGGCGGACACACGTGCACGTGCAACGCGGGCCTTGTTGGGGATGGAGTCGTTTGCATCGCGCCTGGATGCGGAGGTCCGGACGTTGATGACGACGGCGTTCCCGATACATGCGACAATTGTCGGGAGTTCAACAACCCCGATCAGGCGGATTCGGACGGCGATGGAATTGGTGATGCCTGCGATGGCACCCAACTGGTGAGGGCTCGCCTGTCGTGTTTTGCCTGCCAGCACGCACCGCAGCACTGCTCAATTTTCACGCCAAGCCTCAGCGGGCATGCGCGCTCGGAACCGACTTGCCGGCCTCGGATCGGGCTGAGTTCGTCGTTTCTTTGTTGACACACTTCACGAGAATGCTGTTGCAGGTGGCGGGGATGGCACTCGGTATCATTCTCGCAGACTCAACCGTCACAGAGACGGAATTGCGAACCGGGGTGCATCAGCAGCTGTTGAGCATCATCAAAACCAAGCCAGATTTGCAGGCAGCATTTTCTTCGGCGCAGCGATCATCAGTTGCAGTCTCCCTGAGGCCTGTCGAGGCGACAGTGCTGCGCACCGTCGCAGCTGTCTCGCGGACGGACGCTGCGCAAGGCAGTGCTGAAGCCAGTATATCTGGAAGGTGGGCTCACGCAAACATCATTTCGGGACTTACGCCTGAGCGTCAACAAGTCCCCTAGCCGCGATATCACCTCTCGAGCTTTTTGTATCTGCAGGAAGCTGATGGAAGTAGAAGAACGAGGTTTCATCGTAGTGTTGTCGGCAGCTATGACGCAGGCTTCGACATCTGCCGCGCGAACCCTTGACGCCGAAATTCAGGCCACCTTCGACGAGCGCTTGCAGCGTTCATTGTCTTCTGCTCCTAATTCCTTCGTACGTCATGTCGTCGTATCAGGGACTGACGTGCATGGCACTGGTCTGCCAAACATCAACAAGGAAATAGAACAACGGTGCGGCAACGCGACCGTCTCGTGTGGCACAGGCCGGCGCGTTGGTTGCTTCTGCGTGTGCGATCAAGGTTGGGGCTTCGACGGGAACGGCGCATGCAATCTCCAGGTGACAAGGCTACTGGATGCTGGCCGCATTGGTCAGTTAGTCGGACAGCAAGATGTCGAGGAAGACTCCGTGCCAGGGCAAGCCGAAGGGCCGTTCGTAACCACAACAGCTGGGGTGACAACCCTGTCACTCGCGTCGGCAGCTTGCATGTTGCTCGCGGTCATTCTGGTGTTGTACGCAAAATCGCGATGGAACACGTCTCGACCGGATCCACGGCAGCAGAATGAGACCGCGCGAACATCGCCGAATGGACGAGAGACGAGTGGCGATGAAGCAGACAATGCGGTTGAAGCGGAGGACCCATGATGGAATCCCTCATGCAAGTGTACTTCGTTGCGCAGCACAGTTTTTCCCTTTTCTTGGAAGCTTCGGAAGCAGACTTGCACAGTGCATCGTGGAGAGCCGCAAGCTCTCTGAAACCCGTACCGTAGACCTGCTGCTGGAAGACCCCCTGCCCCAGCGCAGCAGTGTGAGGATTTTGTCGACATGTGTTGCAGCAATTCCGACCATTGCTTGCACTCCGTCGCCTTAGTTGTCGCCTGATCCTGAAGTGATGTGTGGCAAAGACCGTTGCACTCAGCTGCGACCTTCAAGCCCGGTCGCGCCTCAAAAACACTGGAAAAGTCAACAGCGGTGAACATCTCGACTCAATCGTCCAGATCGGGCCGGTACACGTGTGTCGCAAAGTCTGATGCACGATCAACGCATATGATACCCCTCATGAGGCTCCGAGGGCGTGCAACTGAGAAAAAGGTGCATGCAAGACAGCATTAGCTTGAGCCAGAACTCTCTCGTTGGTGCGCTACCATGCCTCCATCAAATGCCTCATGGAGTCAGGCCTCCTTTTTAAGAATGCACGGTCAGTTTACCCACTCGGCATGCGGATTCCCGCGCTGTATTCGCAACCGCGGCTCTGTCAGACCTGACCAGCCTCGCGGAGAAACGAAACGTCAAGCGTCTGGCGGCCCTCATTGGGTCAGGATGCGTCCATGAAATGGTACTTCGTCACGCTCTGTCATCATCTTCCCAGAGTCCAAGGGTCTCGCACTGCCACGAACGCCCTGGTCACGACGAAAGCGGGGAGCTCTCCATGCGAGGTTTTGGGCTGCTTGTAGCCGTCCGAATTTGAGCTTTTTCCACGTCCAAGGGATGTCGATGAGATTGACACGACCACATCAAGTCCAGGATAGCATATTCTGGGACGTTGACTGCCCAGACTGCCCGGACGGACGGCCCTGTGTTGTAGCAACGAGCCTAAAGGTCATCGCCGAACCTGAGGTGTCTGGCGAGACTTTCCGGGTGCTTTTGGCTTTCAATCAAGACAACAAAGAGTCGTCCATCGATGGAATGCAAGAAAAGGCGCTCAAAGAGATCAAAAGGTGCACAAACGCCCGGCTTCTAGCTGCAACTTGATGGCACGGAATCACGCGGTCAACCCAACATGTTGGCGATTGCTCGTGCAGGTTCGATTCCGAATTGACCCACGCAATCAAGATGGAGGCTGACAGCGTGAGGAATCTGCTGGAGTCGAGCGATGAAGTAGCACCTCACTCGCTGCGGCCATCTGTCCGTCACCACGAAGTCGAGCCCGGCGCCAGTATGCGCGTTATCAGCGCTCGTATGCGCGCCACTACATCGTCTCCTCCGACAAAAGGTCCGATCCTGCAACGTGTGCAGCATGGCAAAGCAAGAGTCCCGATGGACAAACGACGCCAAGAGCCAGGTGATGCACGACCGACAATTCAGCGTCCACCCGAGGCTATGCAGGCTCAGAGATGACGTGCCGTCTGACGGTCTCGCGCGCCTGGCTGCAAGGCGACAGGCTTGGCTTGAGGTGCGCCGGCGACATCACACACAAACTTGGAGACCAATCTGCCATTTCTCCTGCTTCAAGGCCGCAGCGATTCTCGCGATATGCACTTCATCACCATGCTCACTGAACCGCTCGTACATCACGTGAGGACCTTCCTTTCTCCAACTCTCGTCAACCGTCCCGTGACATGCAGCTGGGAAGCTGAAAGCGTCCCGCAGGTCGTGAACGAGACACGCACGAGCAAAGGCGATGACGCAGAGGGTGATCTGAGCGAAACCAGTGTGGTGTTCTCAGATGACTCCGACGACAAGTCAGAAAGGTGCGAACTGTTGATAATTCATCATGACTCGACTCGACTTGTTACACCCCGACCAGCTCGGACACGACCATTTCTAGATATCATTGCAGCGACTCGCTCGTGCGTGCCCTTTGCGCTGCAGGTCGTCCACATTCGTCATACATCCTTCGAATATCGTGACAGATGGCATCAAGGAGAGTGGTGCAGGTGAAGTGCACAGCCTGCGCAGTTGCAGTGGTACCAGGCACCAACCAAATGCGCTGTTGAGATCACGTGAATAGTGGTCACCGCAACGGCGTTCGCTCATGATAGAGCCCCTGATAGCACATCGCAGATACGAGTCACGAGGACGAAATGGAGCAGTGGTTCGCAAGTATTGGAGGTGCAGATGACCACACGACTCACAGTGAGCACGACACGAAAGTTTTGATCGCAAACGTCGAATCGTCGGGATTGGACAGGGCGGAGGGCGACGAGTCGATGCAAAAAGGTCAACAACATGCAAGCACTGCACCCACGCTACACGTGGCACCGCCAGCAGCGACGCTGTCGGACTGGAATGTCGAGCAGTCAGGTATGTCACGGGATGCATGAGCCAAAGTGCGGAGCAGGATAACTGTCACTGTCACTGCGGAAAGAAATGAGGCACAGGTACACTTCTGTTTTTCTCCTTCTCGCAGAACAATTCACGCATCCAAATGCCACCAGTGATGCTCTTCATGTGTGGGACAATGCAGTGAATGGGCTCGTTCAGAAAATGGGCGTTGAAGATCTGAAGTCCCTGCTCCCACATCTGCAAGCGTCAAACCGCCAGGGTGCTGTCTCAGAGCTGGTACGTACGCGACCATGGAATCTTCCAACTGTGCCGCGACACCGCCTGAACAAATATGATCCGAGCACTCCTGCAGGTACTGGCTCTTTCGAGGATCGTCGATGAGAGCAACGTCTGGTCTGTTGTGTTCTTGGCACAAAAGTTCCACTTCAAGGAGCTCGAGAGGCGTGCTGTCAGGTTCATCCTCGAAAACTGGAAAACATGTTTGACTCCAGAAACGGCGGCTCAGCATGCTCGCGAAGACCCCTCTGCTTTCTTGTGCATCATCAACAAGATGTGTTCCATGTGGTTCGATGGCCATGCGCAGAGGCCTTGAGCATGATCAAGTTGCGAGCTCAGTTCTTACCTGCAGAATGTCCGTGTAAAGTTTCGATTGGCACGCATGTCAGCGGAACGCAGAGTCATCATCCAGTCCTTGACCAAAGCCGCAAGCTGCTGAAGTGTGTGGATCGTCTGCCGCACGCTTAGAAAGGCACTCATCGTGCTCGAGCGAAGATTGTTCCGCACAGGCCATGCGCATGGCCCTTGAAGCAGTCGTATTCCAGCGATGAAGGACGGTCATTTGCGGTAGCTCGCAAGACCATGCTCCGGGACTGGAGTACGCCTTTGCCAAGGACCGCCGCATGGTAAACATGGTCAGGGAACGCATCATACGGCAAATACCAGTCCCAGCAGCTGACAGCTCCATACCTTGGGATCTCCAACAACAAAGCTCGTCGTACACATGCTCGACAGAAGATCGGCGGTCTTCGCCGTCACATGGCATTACTTCTGCTCGAGGCCAAGTTCTCCGGCCAGTTCACCGCTGTTGTGCAGTTGCAGGAGGATGTCGCACCCACCGATGAACTCACCATCAACGAAGACCTGCGGGATGGTAGGCCAGTTCGTGTACTGCTTGATTCCCTCGCGGATCCCGTCATCCAACAGGACGTTTCGTGAGCCGTACTTGACGCCATACGCGTCCAGCACGCGGCAAACTGCAGAGTCGACCGAAAGCGTTCAGTTGAACTCCATGTGTGCCCTTGAAGTCGTCGACCTCACTGCTCGCAACGTGCAGGATGAGGTGAGGTGATGTGACGCGAGCGAACAACGACAGCTTGAATGGCTCGAAGCCTGCTCTTCGCCCGGGGCCAAGCAGACCTCACCTGCGTTGGAGAAGCCGCACTGAGGGGCATCAGGCGTGCCCTTCATGAACACAAAGATCTTGCTCGATTTGATGTCCTGCGAAATCTCACAACGGTGAAGAAAGTGTCAGGGCAAGAGTATCATACACTCATCAGCTGGGCACAGCGGGACCGCCTTCTCATGAGCTTGCAGGTGAGCGGTGCACCGTCGTGTCGTGGCCAGGCAATCCCGATCTCCGTAGCAGCTGAAATCTGCCGGATAAACCAAATCCAAGCTGGCAGTCAGGGAGCTGTCATGGAGTTCAGTCGGACAGACGCTCGAGCGAGCTGAAACCATGGCCTCGAAGAGGTGCTCATCGCTTGCGCACCCTCGTGATTTCATCGCGAACCGCTGAAACGTCCTGCGCAGACTTCTTCTGCGGAGCAAAGTCATCGTGCGAACCGCTGCCCGTGTCGTTCGCAAATGAGCGCACAGCTGCCAGGTTTCCCTCCACGCGACCGGTTAGAGCCGACATTGCGCCGCGTGCCCGGGCAGAGCTTCTCAACGAAACAAACATGCTGACGGCTTTGTTGAAGCAATCCGCAGAGCTTGGTGGAAGCCGACACTGGATCAGCGGACCCGGAGGCTCGGGGACACTGAACAGCTGGCAACAGGCACTTTCTGAAGCCGACTGTGACGAAGTTGGCCACGCGAACGACCTTGCGTGACGTATTTCGGGCACTGAAACGGCGAGTGCGAACCAAGCGTAGTTCGATTCCGTGTTGTGCGCCAGAACTGAACCGCAATGAGCCTGACAGCAAGTCAGGCTCAGAAGAAAGACTCTTGCAAGCAACAAGATCCTGACAAAATGACTTTGCTCATTGACAACGTCCCGGCGCAGTACCCGCGAGCTCGCTCAAAGCTCGCTGAGAAGTCAGAGCCTTGCGAACGTGTTTCTATACTGGTGGCAAACGGTATGCGGTACGCAGAACATCCACCTCAATCGTGCATCAAAACGGCCCCGTTACGGCACGCACAGACATGCGCAGCACGGAATGCCTGCATCTGCCGCCACATTCTCCGGCTGCTCCGCGTGAAGATACCACGTCACACCACGCAGTGCTGCTCACAATGCGCCCCCCCGCGACCTTTGCGAAACGAAAGCCATCACGCTCGCAGGCTGAATACGCGTGCCTCGCTGTCGTCCCCGCCCGTCAACACGTACCATCCGTCAGGCGACACACACGCGTCCAGGATGTGGTCCGTGTGGCCCTTGCGCTCGACGAGCAGGTTGCCCGTGCGGCCGTCGAACGCACGCACGACGCCATCGAGGCACGCCGTCACCAGGACCGGGTCCACGTGCAACCACAGGGCCTTGACCACACCAAGAGGGTGCGGTAGCTCCAACCGCTTCTGAAACGACCGCGAGTCCCACACGACGACCTTCCCGTCACTCGACGCTGCGGTTACGGGAGGGTACGTCGCTACATGCTCTCAGACGGTCGGAAATCTCGGCGGTGAGGGGCCCGTCGTTGACAGGAGTGCCCAGGGGGTGTGTCACCTGTGGCTGCGTATGGCTGAGTGCGGTGTAGCGAGATCGACTCGACGGAGTCCTGGTGGCCAACGGCCGACGTCACGACGCGGCCCGTGTCGATGTTGACCGCGTTCACGCGGCCGTCCTCGCCCCCTGCAGCTCCAGAGAAAGGGCAGGCGGCAGGTCACGGGCGCCAGCGCCGCACAACCGGACATCGTGGCGACGGCACTGAGTGCCCCCGCACACCTGTGACGACGAGCCGGTCAACGTGGTTGACTAGCGTTGTCAGAGGCCCTGCGTGAAACTGGTGGCCCGACACCTCCCTGACGCAGGCCCCAGTCTTCGGACTCCACACGCGCAGCGACCCGTCCGCGGACCCCGTCAGCACAAGCTTTCCGTCCGCGGAGAAAGACGCGCAGCGCACCTCGCCGCTGTGCCCCGTGAACACCTGCAGCCACAGCGGCACCAACCCCCCAGCGGAGTCTGCAGCCACCCCCGCGTCGCACGATGCGGCGGCACGCTGCTAGCGGTCACGTTCAGCTACCTGCATCATGCTCCCGGCGCGCCCGTCCCACATCCACGTGGTGAAATCACTGCTTCCCGCAAGCACCACGTCACCCTTGGGATGCCATGCCAGGCACTCAATCGCGTCGCCCGGCCCCTCCATGCGCGCTACCTGCTCTCCCGACGGCACCTGCCACGTCAGCACGACCCCGTCCATGCCTGCTGTGGCGAGCAGCTGCCCCGACGCGCTGAACGCGACACATGCGACGGTGTCCGTGTGGCCCGTCAGCTGCAGCGCCAGCCCTGAGAAGCCCTCCCCGAAGTCAGCGTCCGGCGGCGCTGGGCCATCTGAGAGCACGACGGCGGCCTCCCACAGGTATGCAGTGTCGTCGCCACTGCCCGTCGCCACAAAACGCGAACCAGGGCACCACGCGACGGAATAGACCGAGTCGGCGTGGCCCTGGAACGTGTGCTCTGCGTCGCGGGTCCGGGGGTGAGGAGGCGTTGCTCGTGCGCCGGCGCTTGCCTCCGTCTGGGGTGTGACGTTGTGCGGAGGGCACCAAATTTGCAAACGCGTGTCGTTAATGGCAAGGGGCGGCATGCTTTTAGCGCGAGCACATGCTAGGCGCATGCCAGCGCAAGCGTCGGGCGATTCTTTCTCCATGGAGCACACTCGCCAGGAGCCAGCAGAGTCGCGAGGTCTCACCAGCGCTGTCCTCGGCCTCCCCGCCCTCCGGTCCCTCTGCTTCGACAATCATCTCTTCGTCCGACATGTTGCAACCGCCTCACCCCAGCCCCGGAGCAGCAGGCGGCGCGCCACGGGCCGTCCGCCAGACTGAGCACGAGGTAGCGCAATGAGCTCGGACCCGGGCCTCAGCCGCAGCGCGAAGTGGCTCGACGAGAGATGCTGCCCACGTTGGCACGGGGGTGGCAGAGTCGACGTGTCAGGTGCAGTAGAGCGCGGAGACGGTGGCGGCTTGAGATTGTGCAACGCGCGCAGGTGACTTCAGGAGGCTGCGCGGCAGAGGGATGCACTCGCTTGTCCTTGCGCGCCTGCTGCGTAGTGATATGTGCCATGCGGGCACGCCGAACATGAGGGTTGCGCTCTCCAGCATCCTCGGCATCATGTTGCAATAATATACTTGTACCTGAGGGCCTCACGGGTGCGGCATGCGCGAGCGGGGCGCGACGGACGCTCGAGGGCCGGCGCGGATCGAGCGCTGGACTCATTCTACAATCGCGCGTGCGTCGGTCTCGACACGCTGGATCACGCCGGCCGTTTTAGGTTGGAGGGAGCCTTGTCGCCGCTGTCGTCCTTGCAGCGTTCCAAGCTACACCTTGGGCGTCCCACCAGCTCACTCAACTAGCGCACTGCCCCAGGCCGGGCGAGTTTCGGTCACAAACGCCCGCGTGGGCCGCGACGCGCTCCTGCAAGGCATCCCTGCAACCCGGCGGCCGACCACGAAGGGAGCCGTTCCCGGCGGAATGCGGCGATCTGACGGACTTCAGGCATCGTCGACCGCGTAACTAGATCGTCTGAGCCATGGATGCGCTTCACCGCGCGCATCTTGCGGCACTGGCGCCGTCTCCGGTGACGGCATTTGCCGCCGACGAGCGCTGCGTGGCGGTCGGACGAGAGAACGGAAACATCGAAATTTGGGAACCTGATACATGGGACTGCATTCAGGCAAGCGCCATTGCCATGATAGCGGCTGAGCTGTCGCGCATTAGCCGCTCATGCAGCCAGCTCTTGTGGGCAGCGCGGGGCCCGGCGCCGCATCCGGCGCCTCATCCCTGGCATTCGTCGAGGCATGCGCTTGCAGACCATTCCGGGCACAGCTGCCACCGCAGCCACAAGTCTCGTGTGGCTGCCCAGCCCACACAAGGCTGCCCGGCACAGGCTGCTGTCCGCCGGGCTATCGGGCGACATCGTCGAGTGGAACCTTCGCAGCCTCGTCCCAGCCGCAGCGACTGACAGCGCCGGGGGCGCCATCTGGGCCATGGCGCACCGCCCGGCTGCTGCGGGGGAGGACGCAGCAATGGTTGCGGCCGCCTGCGACGACGGCTGCGCCCGCGTCTTCCTCGCAGAAGCCGACGAGGCCGGCGTGCAGTACCACCGCCGGATGCCGAAGACCGAGGCGAGTGCCCCGCCCCGCGAGTGGTTCGCAACTGGCAACAACGACCAACTTGCTCTGCTGCGGCCTGGGCCCGTGTTTTCGCGCTGTCTCAATCTTCGCTCGTTGGCATCACTGTAGCCGGAAGATTCCTCGGCTTCCGCGTGCAGGGCCGCGTCCTCAGCGTCGCGTGGCACCCGGCCGGATCGATCCTGGTGAGCGGCGACAGCGAGGGGCTTGTGCACTGCTGGGAGTGGGAGACCGGACGGGAACTCGTCCGCTTGAATGTGTGCGACCCGGGGCGCGTCGTACAGACCTGTGTCTGGGCGTGCGTGGTCCTGCGGGATGGCACCATCGTGGTTGGGGACGCCACTGGCTGCGTGACCTTCGTGGACGGGAGCGACGGTGCGTTGAACACCCCAGACGCACATGTCGCACGTGCTCATTTGAGCGTGCATCCACGCAGCAGCGTCGGGGCCCCGCAGCGCCTCGTCGGGACCACGCAGCGCCCGTGATGTCGTCGCAGGCACAACGATTCGGGCCTTCCGACAGCACGCTGCCGACGTTCTGGCGCTCGCGAGCGACGCTGCGGGGGATCGCGTGTTTGCGACCGGCGTCGACTTGCAGGTCTCGATGTTTCAACGCACGGGAGAGGCAGCAGGTGCTGTCCCTGGCCAGGGCGGGACGGGCACGTCCACGTGGGTGTACACGTCGTCGAAACGTGCGCACACGCACGACGTACGGTGCCTGGGCGTCGTGCGTACGAGCGCGGGTGAGACGCTGCTGTCGGGTGGGAATGACGGGCGCGTGGTGGTGTACGAGGTTGGGGGCTTCCTGGACACGCACGCCTCGCGGCTGCCCCGCAGCGCCGGGCGTACGGTGGTGGGGCACTGCGCGGTCGGCGGTGCAGACGCGGTGTTCTGCGGGTGAGGCGAATCCCTGCAGTGCTGCGTGTCTGTTGATCCGGCATGGAGTCGTGATGAGCGGTTGCGCCGAGCAGAAGAGGTTTCCTGCAACTGCCCAGGCTCTGCGGCGGCTTTCGAACGCGCTCCGACTGCATATGCGCCAGGAGCTAAGCCACTTCGATCTCGTCTACCTGACTGCAGCGATCTCGATGCCCGCACGGTGGACGTGTGGCGACTTGGCAGCTGCGAGGTGCCGCCCGCCGCGGATGAGGGCGCCTCGGCCGACCTCACCGCACCTCCGGCACACCTCCTCCGCATCGAGACCCCGTTACCGCATGCCCTGCTGTGCGCGACCGTGTCCCCCGACTGCGAGCACGTTGTCGCGTCGGACACAAAAGCGACGCGAATGTTCCGAGTCGATGCGTCCGGTGACGCACCGACCGTTCAGCGCCTGGGCCGCGGCAACAGCAGCCGGGCATCGCAGCTGCCCGCTGCCCGTGCCGCAATTGTACAGCAGCAGCGCGGCCGGGCCGTGCTCATGACTCTTGAGAGTGGTCTGGTCGCAGTCGACCTCGACACGCTCGAGAGGGAGGAAATCGATTGGAGACACGTCAGGTGGGTGCTTCCAACTCAAATCGACAACGATGCGCACGATGCCTGGTCGACCCCTTCCCATCAAAGCGACTCACAGCCCGAGTGCTGGCCGTTGCTCACAGGGCTACTGTCGGGCCTCGCAACCCTGCAAGGCTTCTCGCCACGGACCCGGACGAGAAGTGGCTGGTCGTCGCTACGCGCCACGAGCTGCACGCTTACAGCTGCGCTGACGGCATCAAACACCACGGCAGGCTGCCTGTGCCGGAGGGACCCATCACGGCGCTCTCCTTCAGCCCAGACAGCGAGCTGCTTGCCGTCGGGACCGCAAGCAACTACGTCGCGCTCGTGGACGTTCAGCGCAGGTGCGTCGCCTCTCTGTGCGACGCAGCGCCCCTTTCGCACCGCTCCGTAACAACCCCGCCGTGACAACCACGCAAACTAACTCATTTGATGCTCGACGCATTGCAGGGCGCTGTCACCGCTTTCGGAGGTGTTCGCCGGCGACGTCGGGGACAGGATCGAGGCGATGCCCGGCGACATCATGTCGCTGAGTTTCCACCCCAAGAGACCATCACTGTTGCTCATCGCCACGCCTGCAGCCTTCTGCTACGTCGACCTCGCCGTCGATCAAGTGCAGGAGGTGCGTCTGCGATGAGGTCTCGCGCACCTCAGTCCACGCTGCAAGTGACGTTGTCGCTGCCTCCTCTGGTTTTGACGAGCTGCGACACAGAGTGCACTCGACGGTGCGTTGCAGAGCCAGCCGGCGCAGCCCACGCGCCGCCGGACGCGTGTACGCGAGGAGCCTTCGGCGATCGGGGAGAGGGGCAGCAACGGGAGAGTCCTGCTTCTCGACTCCTTCTGCCTGCACGTAGGGTTCTCGCGGACGGGGCAAATGACGCTCCTGGAGGTCGCGAGAGAGGCGCTCGAGACGGTGCCGGAGCCGATGTACCGGCCGGAGTTCGGAAACAAGTAGCGGCGCCAAAGAGGTTCGATGTGGGGTGCAGCCAGCAGCGGTCTGGCGTTACTGCTGTGGGACGACGCTCGATCTCCTTTTCGAGCGAACGGGCAGGCGAATGTTGCCGGAGCAAAGTGACGGCACGTTCCACGAACAACTTGCTTTGAGGCACAGGCTGTTGCTTCGCCTCATCGCTGTCGCCCCACCAACATGGATCCCGCGAGGCAGCCGAGCCGTGCAATGCCTGCGCGACTTTAGGGGGGCTGCTAGAGAAAGTGCACGTGCGATTGCGGCCCAGTTACAACCGACGAGAGCGGCGTTGGCCACTCGCAGGGACAACACACAGGTTTCCACGTCCTCGACACCTCTCCGAGGTTCGCATGGCGTAGATAGAATGGACACAGCTGGCCTGCAAAACATTGCCGGGATCAAATGACATGTTTGATTACATGTTCAATTGCCTCTCGGGCACAATACACCTGATGCGTCACGTGCCACGACCACATATTGCCTGTGAATCTCGTCACCGTCGCTGCAAAGAGAATTTGCGACCCCAGGAACGTCGAAGTCAACCCATGCCTGTTGGCCCTTCCCAGTAGACGGGGCGTCCACGCAGCCGCCTCGCGCGATCTCACCGTCGACATGCACCCCGATGCGATATCCAACGCCGTGTTTGATCTACTCTTGGCACGTTTCTCGGCAGCGACGGCCCTTGCGCCTACGCAGCAACGCTTTGTTGCCGAGTGCCATTCCTCGGCGCGTCGTGCGCCACGAACGCGAGCGGCGCGCCCCCCCGAAGCACAACCGCCCACTCCCATGCATGCGCTTCGTAGTTCGTGGCTGGCGACGGCGAGCGGGACCTGTTGGCCGCGCTGGTCCGGGCGTGTCTCTTCGACCGTCCGAGGAGACGTCATGCGGGCGCCAGTGGGTCGCGACGGGCTGAGAGAACGACGCCGGCGGTCGCCACCAAGAGCGCGCGCATTATCAGAATCGATCTGGACATCGTAGCTAGGCGTGCGACGTGGTCAATGCGCCCTACGAGATCCCCCGGCGCCCCGCAGAAGTGTGTTTGCCCAGGAGGGGGGGGGGAGAGGGGGGCACGAAAACGCCTGCCCTCGCTGCACGGGAGGAAGGGCGGGCGGGCGCGCTGGTGTCGCACAGTATCGCTGATGTACATGCAGCCATGCACTGCGGCGGGGATGTCCGGCGTCGGGCGTCCACGGGCGCGGTCATCATATGGGCCTTGTTCCCATGCGCTCAGCCCCCGGGAGACGAGGCGTGTTCGACATGCGTATGCTGTATTCTCAATGGAGGCGCGGTCCTCGAAGAAGTGACCTCGTCAACACGAGAATCGAGTGGGCTGCGTGGGAAGAGCATCCCCTGCAAACATCGCCCGCCGTCCTTCACGAAGGTCCCTAACATGGTCATCTATGCGCAGGCGAAGACACGAAGAGTGCGCTCACCCCCCGTGCCCGGCCCGCGATCGCAATCAAGCCGGACTGACCAGCGTGCCCCCGCTCACCGAGGTCCACCACTGCCATGATTTTGGGGAGCCCTCGCAAGGACCTAGCAAACCAGGGCCGTGCGTGATCACCTCAGTATACCAGATGGGCCAGTACACCGTGTACTAGGCGTATGGCGTTCGTGCGTTATTGAGGCCGCAACAGGGCCGGTGCGGAGTGCTTGCCTTCGCTCCCACGGGGCGTCGAATGACCCAAGTCGTGTCGCGGCACCAGAAATAGCGAGATTTGAACAATAATGCGCGAATACTGCCCTTCATGCGTGAGTTGGTGGCCCGGCTTGCTTCCGCGAGGGGCAAATTGCCACACCGGCTCACAGCAGAGCAGCTGCGCTTTTGCCCGCAAGGGCGCTGCCAGTCCCGCGCCCTACAAGCCACACATCGTATGAGCGCGTCCAGTGATGTGCGCACGTGAGCGCCGCTGTTGCCGACCTGGGGCAAATGTTCAGGTCCCCTGACACCCCGCGGCCCGTCGGACGGAGGACTTATGAAACAGATTCCTAGTGCGCCGCTTGTACGCCCATCGTTTTGCCGCGGGCGGAATGAGGTCCGTACGAGGAAACCTCGCAAGATCGGGCTCCCCAGAATCATGGCAGACATTCGCAGGCTCTCGTGTGGAACTCGAAGGCCCACGTGGCCCGATCACCACTTGAATAGTCGCCGTGCACGTAAGTGGATTGAACGCACCATGCCTGCTTGGAACACGCAGGTCAGCGAAGTACAAACGCAGCCCCCCACTTCGCACCCGCCACCCCGGAAAGCGGATTTCAGGACCACTTGTCCGCGAGGTTTCGCGCCTCGACGCGGCCCACGCGCGGGCGACCCATGCATGTCCCGTGCATAATGCATGCCCGACGCGCGCCGTCGTACCGTGCGCGGCGCTGGCGGCACGGCTTTCCGCAATCTCCTCATGAACAATTTCGGTTCACCCCACCCCCCTCCCCCCCCATCCCACCTCCTCCCTCCCATCAAAAGATCATTCGACTAGGTGGCGAGTTACGTGAAGCCCCCCGCCGATATGGCAGCGACAGGCTCGGCAGCTGTGACAGGGTCCGCTCGAGATGCCATGAGTCAAGAGCGCCATGCCTCGCTGATTCGGCAGGTTCAGAAGATCAGGCACGGCAGCGTTGGCATCGGCTTCCGAGTCGAGGGCTGCGGCACCGTGCGGGCCCTCGAGGCATCTGCGACTGCGACTGCGCTCTGCAACACATCCAGCCTCACCGTCATCATGCTTGGGTTCTCCATCATCGATGCGAACTTCCCATCATCACAGACTGTCCGGTAGCGACAGACTGTCTGAGATGAGGTGAGGTGAGGTGTCACATTCTTCGCGTCGTCAGCCATAAGGCTTTGGGACCTGAAAAGATCATTCTGTAACAGCGGTCGCTTGGCAGAAGTGTTTGAGCGGAGACTGCACGCAGACAGCTGCCAAAATCATCCTCACGGAGAGGATTTGTCCATGAACGCAGAGCGCCAAAGCTCAAACGCCGACGACACCTGCGACCAGAAAGCGACCAGATACCTGGCAGACTTCACTGCCGTCTCGACGAACAGCACGGTGCCGATCATGACGATCGCCATGTTGATCAACTGCCGCCGCAGATGCCCTGCCCAATCCTTCGACCTGACGACGTCGCGCCGCCCTGCTGCACCGCGCCTCCGGTCCAGGAACTCGCCGAGGCCCTCACGTGCCGGCCGCGTCTCTGCGAGGGCTTGCTCGAAGTGCTCGACCTGAACGCAGGGCCACTGGCGCTTGAGAACGCCGTGGAGGGGCGTCTGGCCCGTGGGGCGCTCAGCGCAACGAGACTCGTGGTGTGCGAGGAGGAACGCGCGCTTCATGGCGTCCTTCAGATCGCAGCCCGTCCAGCCTTCCAGGCTTCGGACAAGCTCAGGCACAGCCTTCCACAGCCGAGGCGACACTGCGCCCACCAGGTCGAGCTGCAGAGCGAACGAACGAACGCACAGGGCGGCGCGTGACATGATGGAATGCCACGCCGATCCAATCGCTTCAGTTGGAGAGTCAACACACCCCGTTTTCGCCAGGGAACGCGTACCTGTCCCGTGTCGCGATCGATGTTCTGAATGTCATCTCCGCGGGCTTCATCTCCGCGGAGGTATCGCTGCAGCTTGTCCCGCGTCGCGAGGACTTCTCTGTTTGACAGGAAATCCTGGCTCTGCTCCAGCAAGCTGTGCATACGGCACACGTGGTCCATGAACAGCCTCAGGCGCACGATCTGGGCCCGATCAGCGGCGTCCGGCAGCGGCACCTCGAGACGCACGGTGAATCGGCGCACCGCCGCGTCATCCAGGCTGTCGGGCAGATTGGTAGCACCCAGGACGAGCACCGCTGCGCCCTCGCTCTCAAGCTCGTCCCAGAGCTGCATTAGTTCTGCCTTGTAAGACCCGGAGACCTCGTGCTCCTGGTCTCGGCGGGCTCCCAGCACAGCTTCCGCCTCGTCGATGAACAGCATGCTGGGCTCTAGCTTCCGGGCCAGCGAGAAGTAGGCGTGCAGGTACTTGTTCGTCTCGCCGTAGTATCTGCGACATACGCGACGCGAACGAGGGGGCCGTGATAAAAAGACGACTCCAGCAGTGCAAGCCGCCGCAGCTGTCAAAGCATGGCAATGCTCAGGGTCGGCGTGTGCCCCACACTTGTCCAGGAGGGAAGACGCCTTCAGTCGCACGAAGGCAAGGCCGGCTGACTGGGCCACGGCCTTCGCGAGCATCTCCTTGCCCGTGCCAGGTGGTCCGTACAGCAGCAGTCCGTGTGGGGCCTGCGACGCACTCAGGGGGTCTCAACGCCGCGATATCTCACGCGTTGCGTCGTCGGTCGATCCAGGGATTCCGTGAGAACATCCAATCAGCTGCACGGCAGAAAATTGCGCTCCAGATGCACGGTAGATTCGGCTCAGCGTGTGACGCCCGTACCCGCATATTGGGCGTCCGGAAGACGTGGGGCTGCGTCAGAGGCTCGATAACCTCTTCGTGGATGACTGTTTTTATCTCCGTCAGACCTCCAATCGCTGCGAATGAATTGGCACCGAGCTTCTTCACGGCGCCCCGCACGACAAGCTCCCGCTCGTGCTGCGACAGGCGCTCCACTGCCACGCGCGGTCTGTTCGGAAAGAGTTCCCGCAAGAACGCCTCCGGAGAGACAGATGCTGTCTTGCCCGGGGACGGAGATGCCGTCTTGCACGCACGCGATCGCTTGCTCAGCCACTTCGCGGACGCAAACACCGCATACGCTGTGGCCTGAGCAATCAAATCCTGAAACTGCGGCACAAGGGGCGATGATGAGGAGTCGCAGGTGTCGTCCACGAACGCGGCCGCTGCACGGCCCGTCCTTGGTAGCGCGCAGTTGCACGACGACTCTTAGCGCAGCTGATGGCGTCCGCTCTGCTGCGCTCTTTCTACGATGCATTGTGACAGGTCAAATGTGTGTTTCGTGCGATTTAGCGATGATTGAGGTGAGATCACGGTGTCCAAGGGATGGTTGTCCGTTGGCGCACTCGAAGAGGCACGCCACGCCAAGGCCGACGCGAACCCTCTCCTCACCGTGTCATTGTCGCGGCCCCGAGATTTCTCCTTCGTGAACGAGCGGGTCGGCTGTTCCCGCGCAGAATCTCCAGCTTGGCCCGGGGCACCCGCGCGACCACTGGCTTCGCGCTCCACTGGGTTTGTAGACTCGCGCTTCTCCGGCTTCGGGCCATCGCCGATCCCTGCCCCCCCCGAGAACGACATCTCGGGCGAAGGTGCTTGAGTTGATGGGCCATCGACGGCGTTGGGTTCGGGCAAAGCCGCGGGAAAGCGAACAGACATCTCCTACAACAGGAGCGTTTTTGAGATGCACGGCACTTGCCTGCGAGCCCTCCGCTGACAGTCAGGTCGCAGGAGGCGCAGTGCCTCTCGGGGAGTGGTTGTCGCCGTCGATCGAGCCCGCACATCAGACGCGCACACGCCTCGCGGCTGATCATACCTGACTGACTGACACAGGAGGGAACCCTCCTCGTGTGGCCAACGCTGACGCGGACCATGTTCTCGCACATGATGACGCCCCGATTCAAGCGACCGCGAGCACTTTGCCTCGGCCGCGGCGCCCGGGGCAGGCCGGAGAAGCAATCAGGAGCGATCCCTGGCTGTCGTCGCCAGCAAGGCCAGCGCGACGTTACATGTGCCCTGAGACGGCCTACCTGGTCGCAAGGAGCTCGCCGCCCGGTCCCGTGATCGGTCTGGGTCGAGCCTTGCCGCCTTGCCACCAGCCTTGCCGCACAGCGCCGCATACACACGCTCAGCTGCCGCCACCGCCGCCGCCCCGCGCGAGCTGTTCCAGATGTCGGTGAGCGTGCACCTCGTGACGTTTGCGCTGCTTGGCTTTCCAGCGCTGCAACTCCCCCCCGTCGGGCAACACCACTCCCCCCTCGGGGGTCTCCTTGGCACCAACAATCAGGTCCCGCACCTTCTCGCGCTCGCTCTCTTGCGGCGGCTCGCGGCCCCAGAGCTTCACCAGCAGCTGTTGCTCCACAGCGGCGAGCTGCGCGCATCGAAAGCGGCCCGCAATCCGTCGCACGCGCATCACCACGAGGTCATGAACGGCGCACTGGCGATGCGAAGGCCGAGGCAAGTCCGCGATCCATTGCGCCGCGCACGGGCAGCGCGATAACCCGCAGCTCGTGACGTGTCTGCCCGCAAATGGCACGAGATGTAATGCGCGTCGGGCGGAGAAAGTACGGTACAGTGGCTCACCTGCGCTGCAAGGGCCGTGCGAGGGAGCTCGTCGTCCTTCGACGCCGCCGCTGTTTCGTCGTCCACGAACGAGTCGATCGCGATGTTGTTGTTCGCCCAACCGCCCTGCACCATCCAGCACGGAATTTTGACACTGAGGCGCGCAAGACTCGTGCGTGCATGTGTCGCTCAGCAGGGACTCCGACCGCGGCATTTTGGCGCCAGGTGGGCACACTGTCAACGACGCTCGAACTGTCGCGACGTGGCTTGTGGTAGAACTCAGTGCAAGAGATGTGAGAAACGGCACCGCACCCTGTTCCTTCTGCCTGCCTTGAGCGACTCAGGCATGTAAATCGGATTCGCTGCCTCGTACGCGCTCTTGAACTCCCTGTGATCCTCGTCTGCAGCGGAGATCCAGGCCCAGGCGACGCAATTGAGCAGAGCCGCAGCATGACATCCCCGCGTCAAGGTTCGAGTGGCGTCAGCCTCCGACGTTGATCGGGCTGCGAGCGGACACGCCATGCAGAAGACACGACGCACCATCAGAATCGACGATCCCGGGCTTGCGCTGCTGCGGCATGTCCTCTTCTCTCGCTGGCTTGGACATGGCCACTTGCTGCGAGAACACCACCCCAGTCTCAACTTGTTACCGCGGCGCTGTTCGCCACGCAAGGTTCAGCCGTCAGGACTCTCAAGACAGCCAGTGCGCGAAAGCCACAAAGTCTGTGTGGACAACTCTTCCCCGAGAGTCGGCCCCGTGCAAGCAGCACACGGCGTCGCGGCACATGCGAAGCACCGCGACCATCATGACACGCGGCCGGAAGTTTGGGTGTGCGCTTGCCTTGCGGTCGCGGCGCTGGATGTCGCGCAGCACAGGGGCCGTGTTCCACAGCATGAGGGCGCCATCCCACGCACAGCTCACGTAGCAGTTCAGGCCACGGAGCACTCCAACGCCCCTGCGAGTGTTCGAGAAGGAGCAAGGGCTCGGCACGGACGTAGCGGCTGTAGCGGTCACTGCGAATGACGTGCCAGAATGACGATGGCAGGAAAGCCGGATGCTCCCACGAAATGCAGGGCACGAGACGTTGCGATCGCGCGAGGACTGCGCCTGTCGGATAACGAGCGACGCGCTGGTGACGCGCGCGCAGATCCTGATCGAGCCGGCAGGGCATTGGGGACAGCAGTAGTGCGGGAGCACGTCTCCGGCGGCGTGCACACCTGATGGAGTCGTCGTGGCCCTGCAGCTTGGCGAAGATCTCGAGGCCCTTGAGGGTGTACACGCGGACACACTTGTCCAACATACAAAGGACGACGTAGCCCTGCTCATCATCTACGTACATCGCCGAGACGCCTCCGCCTGTGGTGGTCCGAATGCCGACGATTTCCGGCGGTTCGCACTCCTGCACAGCAGCAGACACGCGTGTGACCGTCCACGGGATCGTAAGTCGCGCAGGAAGCGAGGCAAGGGACGAAGCGGGGAGGTTGAGGCCGCGACGGAATCAGGTCTCCTGTCCTGCATGGGCCATGTGCGCGACGACGCATGCGGAAGCAGACGGCATTCATGCAACAAGCCCCGTGTGGCGTTGCGTTGGCAGCAAGTTGAACCGCGCATGCCTCAGGCCCAACGCTCAGGCCTCTCGTCCTCGGCCGGCAGCGCGTCGCAACACGCACCAGCGAGTTCATCGCCGTGAACGACAGGTTGCGCATGATCCGTGCCAGCGCCGGGGCCCTGCGTCTCTGCGACGCGTGCCGCCCCATCGGGCTCGGGGAGCTCGCGTTGCTGCGTCTCTCATCCTCGCGTTTCTTCGCCGCCACTTTCGTAAAGGCCTTGAACTTGCTCGCCGCGAGCCCGACGTTCCTGCGTGTGCAAGGAGGGCGCGCTCGAACGTCGACGTCTGCAGGGACGACACCGCCACCACTGTCAACATCGCTGTCCTCGACCGCACAGCGGGCCTGTGGGACCCCAGCGCACTGAGGTCTCGCACGGGGGGGTCAGCGGGCGCACTTGTCATCTACATGCACCAGGGACTCCCGCGTTTCCTCTTCGTCGCTCTCCTCGCTGTGGTGATCCTCGTCGTCCTCGTTCGCGGATCGCCGCTCGAACTGCTCGCGCATCGACTCGTCAAAGGACCACGCTCGCACCTGCACGCGAACTTCTGTTGACGCAGCGCTCTGCATCGCGCAGACCTAGACCATGCCGCGCAGATCACGCGCGGTGGAACGCCCCCCCCTCGCACCGTTTCGTCGTCGGACGTTGAGACGAAGCCGTTGAGAGACTTGCTCCACTGGCACTGCGTCACCTCGGCCGTGTGCCCGACCAGCCAGTACTTGGTCTTCAGCGAGACGGACGACATCACCAGGACCACCGCGCTGGCGCCCATCACCAGCAGCTCCTCGCGCTCCGGAATGTACCTGCGCAACAGGGAGGGGAGGGGGGAGTCCGAGCGTCGCGGCGACGAACCTGCCAGGGGCGCAGTGCCAGTCTGCTGCACTTTTGGCTGCTCAAGGCGCAACATCCGTGCGCGCGTTCGTGTCGGGGCGAGCATGAACGACGGAGCAGCAGGAGAGGCAATTGCTCAGGGAGGAGAGGGGACACTCACTGGACGCCAGTCAGCGTGATGGCGTCGTCCTTCATCTCCACGCAGCAAACCTCCGCGGCGACATCCAGGTCCCAGATCCGCAGCGTGCAGTCGGACGAGACCGAGGCCACCCGCTTCTGGCCAATGTAGGCCACACCTGCACACACAGCGGCGCGCGCGAACGACGCGTTGAGGACCACGCAGGTGCAACGCAGCCCCGTTTTGTCTGTCGTGCGCGGCGAGGGAAGGGCTCCGGCTCGCGCACCGGTACAGCGATCGTTGTGGCCCTCGAGTGTCAGGGCCAGCTGCTCCCCGCCAGTCCCTCCCTTCCCGCGCGTATGTTTGTACCAGCTGTACGCGTGGATCCGCCCGTCTTCGGCGCCGCCGATGAACACTCCGATGTCCATGGCGTACGTGCTGCGTCAACGGAGCAGTTTCGCACATTAGTGCCTTTGGTGGGAAGACAGCAGCAGTCCCTCGGCACCCGCGTGCGCTTTGGGCCTCGTCGTACCAGCAGAGAATGTTGCGCTTGCACATCCAGAGCTCCTCCCGGACCATGAGCGTCAGCTGCCCAGACCTGTCAGCATCCTCACTCCACACCAACAACCTGCCGTCGCTGGTGCCCGTAATCACCATCTCCAGCCCCGCGCCCTCCTGTGGCCGCGTAACCATCAGACATTCCTGCGGGACGCAAAGCACGCGCGCCGGCGATGCCAGGCAGTCTCGATCGATTCAACTACCAAGGGCACACACGACAGCGCTCCGAGGTGGTCGAGGCACGCAGCCCAGCAGCCACGTGCCGCTCGGTGCGATGGGCAGTCCGTGCGATAGACACACTGCAAGATAGCCATCGCTGGAGCCATGTCGAAGGCAGGGACCATGCGGGCTTGCAGCTGTGTGCAGCAGGAATGCGGCGCACCAGCCAAGCGCTGGGCTGCGACAGCAGCCGCAGTGGCCGCGAGGGATTGAACCGCCAGAACACCATGTCTCTGCGGTCCGACACGCCCATGAGCAGCCCGGCCTGCGGCACCATCCGCAGCAACGACAGCGACACGTCGCCCAGGCTGCACATGTCGCGAACCTGCGCGGTGATCATTTCGCCCGTGCGCGAGCACACCACCTGCGGCACACCAGCAAGGTCGCAGTTGCCGATCAAGCACGACTTTCCCCCCACCATGCACAAACCAAAGCCTGCACGAACAACACGGCGCTTAGGCTGCAGCCCGAGCGCATCCCGAGAACCAAGGTCTGCGCGTACCTGCGTGCGGTGCGTGCCGACGACCCAGATCGACCGCATGCTGGGCACGTAGCACACGCTCTGCACAGACTCGCCGATGCCTTCATACGAGTCGAGCAGACGCCCCTCGCTGGACCACACCTTCACCGTCGCATCGAAGCTGCACGAAGCCGCGCGCGCACACGTGCGGGGTCAGCAGGCGTGCGGCGCGCGCACGAGGCGGGCCACTTGCATGGATGCCATGTGCTGCACCGCACCTGCCCGTGATGACCACGCCGGTCTCGTCGTCGACGGTCATGGAGGAAATCGCGGCCGTGTGGCCTCCACCGCCTGCCTGGAACGCCGTCACGTCCTGGGCATCCTCTGTGGGCGGAGGAGACACAACGCGACAGTGCCGTTTGTGAGAGCGTGCCGAACGTGCAAGACAGCCGCCCGCGTCAGACCACGGCTGAGCTGCAGCCTTCGCCAGTTCCAGCCAGGCCAAAACGCTCCTCGTCGCGTCACGTGGTGCGGCGGTTGCACCAACTGCGGTTGGCGGCAGGATGAGCGCGCAGCTTGCCTGCCTCGAAGTAGTAGACGATGCGGTCATAGCCCGCGGCGAAGGTACGGCCTGTTTGTGTCGTGATGATGTTCTGGCAGATGTCCTCGTGGAAGGTCAGCGGGCTGCATGCCAGCTTCAGAATCTGCACGCCTGAGTCAGCCATGGGGGCCTTGGACTTCTGCTGGGACGGGTCGATCGAGGACGAGAAGTATTCCCGAGGAATCGACCTGCGGGACAAGGGACCGCGAAAAAAGCGAGAGCACGGTGACTGCCATGACGGCGGTTACGTGCACGGGCACGGGGCTGCTCAGGGACCTCTCGCCCACGGCCGCCATGCTGCCGCTGGCACCGTGCGGGCACGGCGATCGCGGAGAGCGCCCTGTCCGTGTCCGGGCTCGGCACGACGGCCTCGCGAGTCCGGCACTGACTTGTGCCAGTGAGCGCGAAGCGGGGCTCGCAGGCGGCGTACGCATCGGTTGGCGCAAGCGTGGCGGACCTCGAGACCTTGAAGACGACGATGGTGCCAGTTCCGCCCGCAATGAGGGTGTTGTGCTTCGGGTGGAAGGCCACGGCATGAATGGGACCGCTGAACAACTCCGTTTGTTGCAGGATGGCGCCGTGCGGGCTCCACACGATCAGACAGCCGTCGATGGAGGACGACACGACTACCTGCGACCAGCGCATGCGATTTCGGGCGGTTTGGACCCGGGAACAGCCGCGCAGGAGGCAACCTAGTGCCATGCGCGGGTGCGTGCGAGCTGCGGGGAGGTGCAAGGGCAGGCGCACCTGGAGCGTTGGAATCCACTCGATGTCGGTGACCCAGCCGCGGTGGCCGGCCATGGTTCGCGCGAGCCGGCCGGAGTCGATGTCCCATGCCCGGACAGTGGTGTCCTCACTGCCGGTGAGCACCTCGCGCCGCTTCGGGTTGTAGGATATGCAGGTGATGCGCTGCTCGTGCAGCACCTTCTGAATCCTCCATACTTGCATAGACATCGTGCTTCATGGAACGCTGCCAACCACCGCTAGGGGCACTGCAGGTGCCTTTGCACGCCCGCAGCGCTGTCCCGGGCGACTCCCTCGATGCGAAATGGCGGTGCTCGACGCTCGCCTTTGTGACAGTGAGAAGGGCGACCTCGTCGAAACCCAGGTTTCCGCCAAAATGCGCCGACCCGCTGTGAATGTCCCTCAGCAGGAAGAGTGCGGCTGGTTGTCCGCTATCTCAGATAGCGCCGCTCGATAATCTGCGTCGTTCTGCCGCCTGACAACGACCACGACGAATCTCAGAGCGAGTGTCCGTGAGCGCGTGGTCTGTGCCGCCAAGCAAGCCCCAGCAATGCAATGTGCAACCGAACGAGTCCGCCGCGTCAATGTCCGTCGTGGCCGTGTCCACGCAGGCCGCGCCACTGTGGCCGCCGCGCACGCAGCCGCGCGCCTTGCGCCCGGGCGCGTCTCAGACGCCACCAGATGCCACCTCAGCGCCGTGCTGTCAGTCGGACGCAACAGAGCACCGGGCACGTGGCCCGAACGCGGCGGTCGCGAGCCCGGCGCGGCCCAGAGGGCGCTGCGCGCACCGCGCTGTGTCCGGCGACCGGCCCTGAGCTCCTCTCGCGATCCGCGTCCGACGAATCGTGCGCATCAGTGCCGCGTGTCATGGACCGTCGCGTCGTCGGCCGCGGCGCGCACCGAGCGGGCGACGGGCGCGCGTGGCTCCGTGGGCCTGCCTGCGGCCCCGTCTCTACGCGCCCCCCCCCCCGGACACTTGTCCAGGCCTCCGCCTGACTCAGCGCTGCAGCGGGGTGGGTCCGTCAGGCTCCGCCACGCGGGGCGCAATGCGCGCATGGGCGCCTCGGCCACGTCCAGATCGTAGAGCGTCCGTGTCGCGCCGAGCTGGATCGTTTCACGCGCGGGGGAGAGCGTGGCGGGCACTCGCGTCAAGGCTGTAGATCTCGCCGAAAGAGCTGGTGGCGCGGGCCGTTTCGGGCCAACGTCCGGCCTTTGGAAGGAGGAGGGTCTAGATCAGAGCGGGTCGTGGCGGGACGCTGGGATCGGGTGGGTGCGCGGCGATGACGGCGCCGGACTCCATCGCGGAGGTGGAGGCCATCTGCCAGGCCCTGTACACCGCGCACCAGCCCGCCGAGCGCGCGAAGGCGGAAAATGCCGTGGCGTACTTCACGAGCAGGTGCGGCCGGGATGCCCTCGCACCCCAGTTTCGCGCCCGCCACGCGTGATCCCGCACCTGGCCCCAGTTCACTTGGTTGGGCCGCGCCGCGCGTGACCAGCGCCTTTCCATGCGCGCGGATCCGACGCGAGGCAAGATACCGATGTACAGAGGCACCCACGTGGCCCGGTGCGTTGCGTCGTGCCTCCGTGTGCAGCGTGGACGCCATCCCCGATTCGCAAAAGGTGTTGGAGCAGTCGTCTTCGCCCTACGCGCAACACATGGCCGCGAGCGCGATCCTGCAGCTGATCACGGAGGTCCCGATCTCGCCACAGGTGCGGAGCGCCGCGCCCGGAGGGCCCCGCACGAACCACACACGGCGCACGCATCCGCTGACCTGTCACACAGTGCTGTTCCCGCTCGAGTGGGCGAGCTCAGGTCTGCGCGCTGCCACAGCACCCACCGCCTCCCCTCCACTGCGCGCCAGGGCAAGCTGGAGCTGCGCGGCTGGGCGCTGTCGCTGCTGTACAACAAGGGCCCCACGCTGGAGGCGTTCGTGCTCACGTCCCTCCTGCGGCTCCTCGCGCGGGTCCGGAAACTCGGCTGGTTTGAAGACGACCAGCACCGCAAGGTGCGGAGCCCCCGTGCGGCGTCGCTCTCGCACTGTTCCAGATCCGGCGTTTGTTTTCTGTTGCGGCGTGCATTGCTGTGTGCATGTCTCTATCCGTCGCTCAACGGCGGCGGTGCGACGCGCGCGCAGATCGTCGACGATGCGCGGAAGTTCAAGGTCGGCGGCACCGAGGCGCACGCGGGGCTGGCGCTGCGCATGCTGGCCACCACGGTCAACGAATTCAACCAACCGACACCGAACCAGACAATCCGGGACCACCGCAAGACCGCCGTCAGCATGCGCGACAACGGACTGCTGGCGGTGCGCGCCCCCGCAACGTCTCGGCGCGCCACCGCGACAGTCCTTGCCCACGCTGCTGTGGGCTGCGGTGTCATGTCCCCGGCGCGGTGCGTTCCCGTGCGCAGGTGTTCCAGCTCGCGGTGGAGATGCTTCAGAGCGGGCGGCAGGCCGCGGGCCGGGGGCCGCTGTCGTCCCAGGAGAAAGAGGCGCTGCTCCTGTGTCAGGCCTGTCTGTCGTACGACTTCGTGTGCACCTCGATGGACGAGTCGACCGAGGACCTGGGCACCATCCAGGTGGCTCCCTTCACCACACTTGCGGCCCCCCGCGCGCACGGGCGAACGCGCCACGGCCGCGGCACGGCTGACACACACACATCGCGGACGCAACAGGCTGCGCTGATGTCTGGCACTGCTGCGCTTGCCCCGCAAACCCGATGCCCGGCTCGCGCTTCACGTGGCAGCCCATGTGCTCATGAATGCAGATTCCGTCGTCGTGGCGGTCGACTGTCGAGGATGCGACTCTGATCGAGACCCTCCTGGTGGTGTACCACGTCACTACGCCCCCCGAGTCCAACACCGCCCTCGACTGCCTCGTGCGCCTGGCGTCGGTCCGGAGATCTCTGTTCACCGGGGAGACGGAGCGAATCGAGTTCCTGCGCACTCTGGTGGAGGGCACGCTGAGCATCCTTCGTTCCCGACAGGGGCTCCAGGAACACCCCAACTACCACGAATTCTGCCGGTGAGCGACTCGACACCATCGCCTTGGCCCAGCTCGAACGGCGCGCACGGCATCGCTCCCCGAGCCTGCGTTGCGCACTGCTCTGCCGCATTCCTTCGGCCCGGCCGTTTCTCCGCGCCTTCCGCCCCGCTGCCACGCTGCCACACGGAGGGCGCGGCCGACCTGCGCACGTTGGGCGTCCATGCAGGTTGCTGGGTCGCCTGCGCACCAACTTCCAGCTCTCGGAGGTGGTCTCGCTGGCGTGCTACTCGGACTGGATCGTCCTGGTCGCCGACCTGACCATTGGCTCCCTCAACTCCTGGCTCTGGGTGTCCACCAGCGTGTACTACCTCCTCGGACTCTGGTCCCGCTTTATCGCGTCAGGTCAGTCCCCCGCTTCATGCGGCTCTGTTCTTGGCCGCTGCATAGCACGCAGCGCCGCGTCAAGAGTATGCCCGTTTGAGACGAGACTTTAGCTTCGCTCGGGCCCCTGTGTGCGTTATTGCAGCCCCGTTGCTCTCTCTCGCGCACACTGCCATCCTCTGTCCTCGGCCCGCCTGCGTGACAGGGCGCTCGGCGCCGCGGCTCGCCCGGCTCACCGCTCGCTGTCTGCTTCGCGTCTTGCAGTGCCGTACCTGAAGGGCGACAAGCCCGCGCAGCTGGACACACACACCCCCAACATCATCCGCGCGTATGTCACGTCGCGCCTGGAGAGCGTCCAGGCCGTGCTGCAGAACCCGAGCATCGACAACCCGCTCGATGACAACGAGCAGGTCCAGGTGCGTGAATCCGATGCTCCGCACCGCGGCCGCTCAGGCGTGTGCGGATGCCCACAAGCGCATGTGTTGTCGCGTGTGTTTGCTGGCCCGTGGTAGCCGCAGCGCAAGCGCACGGCCTCGAGCACATGTGTGCCCGATCCGTCCGCTTCCGCGCCTGCTTCGCCACGAACGCGAAGCATGTCGAACAGCAGCCACATCCGTAGCTATCGAGCGCCCCGGAGGATCGTTCGCACGCCGACCACCGTCTCTTGCGACCAAGAGCGCACCTTGACAGGCGCGCTGCACCGCTCGACCGCGATCGAGAATCCCAGGCGGTTTGATTCCTGCAGGACCAAATGGAGGCCTTTGCGGTGATCTGCCGCTACCAGTACGAGCAGACCGCCATGTACATCACCAGCACCTTCCAGCCCCTCGCGCAGCGGTTCGCCGGCATGGCCTCGCAGCCCCTCCCAGACGCGGACGCCACGCTGCTGGAGGGCCAGCTGACGTGGCTCGTGCACATCATCGGCAGCGTGGTGCGCGGCCGCCAGCCCGCAGCCGTCGCGGAGTCCCAGGTGCGCGCCCGACTCTGCGGGTCAGTGCAGCCGCTGCCTCGCAAGGCCGCATTCGTGTGCAGGCACATCTGGGCACCAATTGCAGCCGGTCATCACAAATCGAACTGGCTCCCCTGAGTCGTAGTTCTGGCAGGTGTGTTGCCGCTCGTATCGTGCATTAGGGTCGCCGGGCCCACAGTGTGCGTTCCCTTCGCCCGGCGCAGGAGTCGATCGACGGGGAACTGGCGTCGCAGGTGTTTGGGGTGCTCAAGGTGTGCGACACGGGGTACCACGCGCAGCGCGCGGCGGCCCCCTCGCGCCACCGCCTCGAGCGCGCGCTGATGTCCTTCTTCCAGGCCTTCCGGAAGGTGTACGTCGGGGAGCAGGCCATGCAGGCCTCCAAGGTGTTCCGGAGCCTGGGAGAACGCGTGGGGCTCACGAGCCACGAGGCGGTGCTCGCGGCGATCGTCGCGAAGATCGGCAGCAACCTCCGCGTGTACGGGGCGGCGGAGGCGGTCGTGCAGGACACCCTGGAGCTATTCCGGGACCTGTCCGACGGGTACATGTCCGGCAAGCTGCTCCTGAAGCTCGACAGCGTGACGTTCATGCTGCAGAACCACTCACAGGAGCACTTTGGATTCCTCGGCGAGCCCGGCAACGCCCGGAACCGCACGATGTACTACGCAACGCTCGCGCGGCTGCTCTTCACGGAGGACTCCCCGAAGAAGTTCCGGCAATTCGTGCGGCCGTTCCAACAGCTCCTGGTGCGTGCATGTCGGGATTTTGGCTTCACGACGACCGACTGGGACGACTTCCAAACCGCATTGTTCCTTGCACACTCACTGCCCAGCCTGCGTGCATGCCGGCCGGCTCGATCGCGCGAGCCGGAGCGGAGACCTGAACCCTTCATTGCTCTGAGATGGTGTCGAGCGTTCCATCGTCTGGCTGACGTCTCGCGCGTTCGTGGGACGACGTTCGTTGCAGGGAGCGCTGCAGCAGACCTCCGCAGGGGGTGACGGGCAGCTACGACAGGCCGTGCCGGCGCAATCGATCTCTGGGCTGTTTCGAGACCTACGTGGTATCGTGCAGGCCACCTCATCTGCGCGGACGTACCTGCAGGTGGGGTTCCTCGCCTTGTCCTGTTCAATGCTGCCACTACAACGATGGCGGACACGCGCGTTTCTGGGCTTAATTTCCGCTGCGAACCCCACGGCGTGCCTCCTGTGGCCAGTTTCGCTGTTTCCGTACGCTGCACGCTTCCATCTGCCCGGAGCCGGCTCCTGCGCTCTTCCAACTCGCTTCTTGGCTGTCCTCGCCGCAGATATTCGAGTGGCTGTACCCGCAGCACTTCCCGACGATCATGGCCTGTCTCAAGGCCTTCGCGGGGCAGCCCGAGGCCGCCGTCCCGCTGCTCAAGTTCATCGCGGAGTTCGCCCTGAACAAGACACAGCGCCTGTCGTTCGACTCGTCCTCGCCGAACGGGATCCTGCTGTTCAGGTACGCGCGCGGCTACGACGCGGCTGTTCTGGACCTTCGAAATCCGTCCTGGCTTCATGGTCTGGTTTCCATCCGGCGGACCTGTTGCTTTTTCTTGCTGCAGGGAGGTGTCGCGCGCGGTCGTCATCTACGGGACGCACGTCCTGTCGCTGCCTCCGCCCGCGGATATCTACCAGGGGCGCTACAAGGGCACGTGGGTGGCGCTCCTGGCCCTCACGCGCGCCCTCGGCGGCAACTACGTCAACTTCGGGGTGTTTGAGCTGTACAACGACCCGGCGCTCAAGGACGCGCTCGCCGTGGCGTTCAAGCTGGCGCTGGCCATACCTCTGCGCGACGTTCTCGCATACAACAAGCTCGCGAAGACGTTCTTCGCGTTCATCGAGGTGCTGTGCCACAAGCACACGCGGGTGGTGGCCGGACAGGACTCGGTGACGTTCCAGTTCGTGATGGCCGCGCTGCAGATGGGCCTGCAGAGCCTCGACGTGTACATCAGCTCGCAGGTGAGGCGACGCGCGGCGGCTCTTGGCGTTGCGACCCGACACAACGTTACCGTGCTTTGGCCTGGACGGTTTGCTGGCCGACGCTGTCCTTTGCTTGAGAACGCTTGCGGGTGCCAGCGTCCTCGGGTGGATCGTACACACAGTTCAAGATGTGTTGCGGCCGTCCGTCGCGAGCGCGCGTTGCCTCGAATCCACCGCACCAGGCGTGCACTGTGCACCTGTTTGAACGCCCGTCTGCCGCACCTTCCGCTTCGCAGAGCGCCGCAGCGCTGGACAACCTTACGTCGTTCTACTTCAAAGCCGTCAGCAAGAACGACCCGGAGGACCCCAGGCCAACACCCCCGGAAGCCCAGCAGCTTTGCCGGTACGCACCCATGCCGTCGCTGACGCTGCCGACGCCGGATCGACATCCAGCCCGCAATGCTCCCTTTACCCGCTGGATCGACCGCGCTTCCGCACAGGCTGCATTTATGTCGCGCGCCTCCCCGGGGCAGCCACACGGCATGCAACACGTTATGGCCCCTTTGGGCGACAAACGCGACGCGAACGCACCCTAGCACACCACGAGCACCGGCGCGTTCGGCGTGCAGGCGTTTCGAGGAGCACCCGGACCTGATTCCGAGTCTCATCCGCATCCTGATGGAGTCGATCATGTTCCGCGACGTGTCAAACCAGTGGGCGCTGTCCCGGCCGCTGCTCCCGCTCATCCTCATCAACGGACAGGCCTACCAGGAGGTGCGCTCGCAGCTCCTGCAGCAGCAGGTCCAGCAGCGGCGCGCGGTGCTCTCCGACGCCCTGGAGCGCCTCACTGCGGACGTGCAGCAGAACCTGGACCACAAGAACCGCGACAGGTTCACGCAGGTGCGCGCACTGCCGGCGCAGAAACACTGCTCCTCCTCCTCGCGCTGCATGCCTCCTCGCCAACGCGACGCAGCCCTGCACCGGCATGCGAGGCGCTGCACAGAGCTGAGTGGGCGTGGTTGCCCTTTTCTCGCGCGATGACACAACCTGCGTGCGTCCCGTGCGTGCAGAACATCACCTGTTTGTTGCACAACATGCGGGTGCAGCGGCTTGCGGCCGCGCAGCAGCCAGTTGGGTCGCACCCATAGCGCAAGCTGCTTGCGTGCTGTCTGACCTGCCGAAGTCAGCGGGTGGGGTCGCTAGCGCACACGAAGGAACGTCGTTGGACGCGCGAAATCGCCTCCGCACGAGGAATGTTACGCACGTCCGACAGGAATTACGCTGACAGCCGTGCGGTCTCGATTGCGCACCCGTGCATGCGATATCATGGCGCGATTCCGTTCGCGGAATCGTGCCGCTGTTTCGAGTCGCGGGCTGCTTGAGCGAGGCCGACCTTCTCGCCTTGGCGCGTGTAGTGGCCACTCCACTTAACCCCGCCCGCGACAAATGACAGTCTCTGGCTGCATCGTCCTAGTCAACGACGTACCTCCACCATTCCCGTGCTCGCTCCACCCATCGAGTGGGGCGCTCCCACTTGACGAATGACTCGCATCTCGCCTCGACAACGCGAGTGCAGAGAGCTTGCCTTCGCTTGCAACGGCATGTAGATTATACGCCCACAAGATTTATACGCCGAAGCGACAGGTCCACGACTGCACAGTCTCACAGATGGACCTGCACAGAGGAGTTCCGAGCGTCGCGCAATGCTTGCGCGCCGGCGGCGCCGATGCGGTTGCCGACCAGCTGCAGCGTCTGCAGTGTGGCGTTGGTCGCCAGCGCCTGCGCCAGCGCCTGCGCCCCGGCGTCACCGATGCCGGTGATGCCCAGGTACAGCGTCTTCAGCGTGGTGTTGGTCGCCAGCGCCTCCGCAATCGCCCGTGCGCCGACATCACCGATTCCGCTGCCGCCCAGCTGCAGCGTGTGCAGTGCGGTGTTGATCGCCAGCGCCTCCGCGATCGTCTGCGCGCCGGCGGGACGAATGTCGTTGCCACCAAGCTGCAGCGTCTGCAGTGTGACATTGGTCGCCAGCGCCTGCGCAAGCGCCTGCGCGCCGGCGGGACCGATTTCATTGCTGTCCAGCTGCAGCGTCTGCAGTGTGGTATTGGTCGCGAGCGCCTTCGCAAACGCCCGTGCGCCGACATCACCGATGCCTCGCATCGACGGAGCGCTGAACAGCTGCAGCGTCCGCAGTGCGGTGTTGGTCGCTAGCGCCTTCGCGATTGCCTGCGCGCCGGCGGGACCGATGCTGTCCAGCTCCAGCGTCTGTAGCGATGTGTTGCTCTTCAGCGCCTCCGCGATCGCCCGCACGCCGGCGTCCCCAATGCGGTTCACGTTCAACTTCACCGTCTGCAGTGTGGTGTTGCCCGCCAGCACCTCTGCGATCGCCCGCGCGCCGGTGGCACCGATTTTATTGCTGTACAGCCGCAGCGTGTGCACTGTGTCGTTGGTCGCCAGCGCCTGCGCCAGCGCTCGCGCACCGACATCACCGATGCCGTTCTTGTCCAGCTCCAGCGTGTGCAGTGTAGCGTTGGTCGCCAGCGCCTGCGCCAGCGCCAGCGCCCCGGCAGCATCAATGCGGTTGCCGCCCAGCTGCAGCGTCTGCAGCGATGTGTTGCTCATCAGCGCCTCCGCGATCGCCCGCGCGCCGGCGGCACCGATTTCATTGCTGTCCAGCTGCAGCGTCTGCAGCGACGTGTTGCTCGTCAGCGCATCCGCGATCGCCCGCGCCCCGGCGTCGTCGATGCCTTGACTCCGCAGCGACAGGTGCCGCAATGTCTCGTCGTTCCTCAACAGACGCAGACAAGCGTCCCACACGTGCGCTGGCAGGCCCGTTGCGGCCCACCTCCTGCGCCACACATCCGCGGCCTGCACACACCACCGCACGCATCCAGGTATGAGCCGACCACTGCGGTCCTACCAGGGATACCTCCTCCAGCCTCGACCCGCCTGCACATGACGAGGGACGCTCCACATGTGCGTGGCCCCCGCGCACAACACACCTGCGTGGCCCCCGCGCCGCTGTGCTCCTCGTCGCTGTCGGCGTCGTGGACATCCTCCACGCCGGTGGCCTGCACCGTGCTTTCCCCACCTGCACCGCACGTCCCGCGGGAGCGGCCGCATTTGACTTTTGAGTACACACCCCCGCTGCAGCAATCATTGCATGATGCACCGTTGGCGCGCCCCTGTGAGCCGTTCGACACTCACCACCCGCGCTGCTCGGTGAGCTGTACGCCGTGGTCGTCAGGTTGTCCAGCACCAGGCCGCGCGCCTCCTCGGTCGCACGCAGCGAGATGCCTGCCAGGGTCCCGTTGCGCAGGGCGACGCCGGGGCGCGACACGGCGAGCGTGACGGGGGCGGCGGAGCGGACCGTGCAGCCTCCGAGGTCGATGTCCTGCACGCGCATCGCCACGTCGACGCGCACCGTCGTCAGCACGCAGCAAGGCTGTCAAGGGCACACAGGTGTGTGTGTGGTTCACCGCATGACGCGCAGGCGGCGCCGGTGCGTCAGCGCGACGGCGCGCCGACGTCGTGTGTACATCGCATGTGTGCGCACGCCGCCATGCAGGCCTACGTCGTCGCAGCCGCCCGCCCGCACCCAGGCCGTCTGCTTCATGTGACCCCCACATTAGGCCACGCGCGCAGCGCAAGCAGCGCGCTCCCGCGACACGCCTCCGCGCATCGCCGCCCTCGTACCGTGACCACGCACTGCGCGGCCGACCACCCTCGCCTCACGCCCGCACCGCCCTCTGCCGCCCTCGAACTGTTCGTCTTCCACGCACAGCACATACGGGCCACCGTCGCGGCGCACCTGCACCGTGGGGTCCGCCAGCGCGGCGCGCAGCTTGTCCAGCGTGTCCACACACTCCGCATCTGCCTTGTCGCTCTCCTGCACCGCCGCCGTCCGCGCCCGCTCGCCTTCCTTCTCCACCTTCCGGATGGCAGCGACGATCGCGCGGGCGACCAGCGGCGGGACTGGGCGATCCGCGGTGGCCCTCCAGTGGTCCATGAAGTCACTCTCGATCGCGCAGACCGCGATCCGGTGGTTGTCGACGCCCAGCTCGCGGCACGCCCGAACCACATGGTTGCGGAACGCACCCACGCCCGCGCGCTCGACGAGCTCCTCGATGTACCTGTCCCCGGTGAGCTGCGCCATCACCACGATCGCCGCGTGTCGCTCGTGCAGCCAGAAGTGTGCCGCGCCCGCCCAGGCCGCGCCCCCATCGCCCCCGCCAGGCCCCGTGACCGCTCGGGGGGTCCTGCGGTCAGGCCCGCGGCAGGGGCGCGTGCGGGGGCCGCGCACCGCACCGGGCCCCGCACACCCGCGCCACCGACCGCCGCAGCCCTCCGAGCCACGTTCGACCCCGAGCCCGCCCCCACCACGCCACCCAACCGCGGCCACTTGCACTCGCCCACAAGGTCAGTGCCTCACCGCACCGACGCACCTCCTCCGAGCAGCGCACGCACGCGATGCCGCGAGGAGGCCACGCCCACAGCGTCACGCGCCCGCCCGGCCTCCCCCACGCCAGCGGCCTCGTCCCACGGGCGTTCGCGCGGGCCTGCATGGCATAGTCTGCGGCTTGCGCAGCCAACGGAGCGGAGGACGCGGACCACTGGCCGCTGCCGTCGACTGCACACGCGCCGGCGCTTCGTGCGTCTGCGCGGCACCGCCACCGCCGCTGCACCACCCGCCGCCCCGCGCCGGGGCACTCCTGCGGCACGAAACAGATATCCTTCAGTTGTAACTATATGAAGCGTTGCGGACGACCATGCCGGCCTGCACCGCGCCTCGCACACATACCGCACGTTCGCTCTGTCGGCTTGGACACGCGCTCCGGCATGCGAACGGCCTGCGCCGCCCCCGCCCCACACACACACCCAGACACATGCACACGAAGCAACAGTGGCGCTGCCGCGCCGCTCAGCATCCATGCGCGAAGCACAGCGCGCCGCCGCCGCACCTCACCACGCCACAGCGTGACGCCCGGGCCTCCTCGCTCAGCCCCCGGACAAGGACGGCGTCACCGTCAGGCTGCCTTCTCTCCACTGCAGCCGAGAGCTCTCAGGCGCGCCGAGCTCACCGAGCTGCGCCAGGCCGGCCAGGACAGCCACCAGATGCGTGCCGGACCTCACGCGCGTGGGACGTCATCACTGAAAGACGACCAGCGGGTGCGGAAAGAGCGTCTCGCTGAGGGGGTCGGAGGAGACCTCGCACGGGCCTACACAACGCCTGTACGACATGCCACTCGCATGCTCGAGAGTGCGCACTCTCGTGCGTCGCTCGCATCGCCGCGACAGTGCGGCGGCGGAGCGTTTGCCTCTTCTTCAGGGAGGCCTCCAACGCTCCAACGCGCGCCGCTGCACTGCGAGCCGCGCGTGCTGAGACGTGCATCGCACATGGCCCGTCTCGTGAGCGCAGACGACCTTGTTTGCTTTCGCCGGAGCGAGCCTTCCTCGGGGCTCACAGCAGCCCTGGCGGTCCCGCCCGCAGCAGAGCCGCTGCTCCGACGCTCCCCGCCAGACACGGCACCGCCCCGTGCAGCACAGTGCCTCACATCCGGCCGCGCCCCCCTCCCGGCCCGCAAGCAGCCATCCGCCCGCCAGCAGCCCTCGCAGCAGGCTAGTGCACCCGCCCGCGCCCTCCACGGGAGGCCCCAACGCACGTTAAGCCTCAGTCGATTCGCCCCGACCGACTGGCCGGCGAGGGCCGCGTCGCGCTCACTGGTGCCCCGCCGCCGCACGTGCCGCAGGTTGCCTCAGGCACCCTGGTCTGTCCTGGCCACGTCCAGTCCACCGGCATCCCCCGCCGCGGCGCGATCCGTCCGTGCGAGCTCGCCTCGCCCACGACAGCGCCGCAGAGTCACGGCAGCAAATACCGGCGTCGCCGGTATTCTCGGAGACCTTTTGACTGCACTTGCCCCCGAGGTCTCGTCCGCATTTAGGGGGGCGAGCTGCTGGACCTGGTCCCGGCGCGGCCAGCGCAGTCGCGCGGCGCAGGTGCGGGGGACGGCACCCACACGCGCACATTGTGGGCACGACGTGTGGCTCCCCTGCTTGCAAAGTAATTGACCACTAGCGCAGGAAACGAAATGTGCACTCAGATCGCAAGGGACGGCGACGCGAGAGCGGCAAGATGGAAGCGCCGATGATGAGTAGCTGTGTCGGTGGACAGGTCGAGGATGGGCGTCACATCTGGCCTTTGTACAACTACTACTACTTGATTTCTCACACACTTGCAAGTGATCGACATCCTCCCGCACACGCACATACATCGCCAGTTTCATCGAAGCCGCCTCCACATTGCACGCCTCTGCGGCCAGGTCGTCTGCCAGCGTTGCACTGTCGCATGGCAGTGCAACTTCTCATGGGCGCTGCACATGGCACCGCGCGATGACGTCACCGGAGGTCTCACGAGCGGGCCCGGGGCGGGCTGCTTTGAGCACGGCGCGCCATCCGCACGGCAGACTTCTGGACGACCGAGGACAGGTCACGAAAGCACGACAGGAAAGAACTCGAGCACTTTTGAGATGGCACAGAAGACGAGCGGCGACGGTGAAGAGCAGCACGCCGGCGGGCGCGGCAACAGGGGAGAGGGCGCGCCTGAGATCGCACCCGTCATCTTGCTCGAAATCGTGACGCCCACAGACGGCGATGCGGGTCCGTCGGCGGCGACCACGCCACACACGGACGAGAGCGCCACAGGTGTGCTGTTTCGAGGGCGGCGCGCGCCTCGACGCGTGCGTCGAGCAACGACAGCCCGCTTCCGTCCTCTGACGTGGTATTTGCCGATCGGCTGCGCGACTGCAGACTGCTGCGCATGCGTTGCTAGTGTGCCGATCACCATGGTTGCGATCACATGACAGCTGCTCTCATGTTGGCGGTTGAGGCGGCTCGCTTCTCCCCCCCGACACCGAGCTGACGTTCTGCCCGCTGCGGTTGCGCACGATGCAGGCGCCTGGACGGTCGTCCAGGCCGCCGCCGCGAGCGAGAGCGACCCTCCCCCACCGGTGGAGTCCGCAACTGGCGAGGCGGCCCCGCGGGACCTCCCGGTCGCTCCTCCCGCTGCTGGCGGCGATGCAGACGGAGAGGACTCCGACAGCAGCGACGACGAAGACGCCCGTGAGCTCGCCAGGCTCAGGCAGGCCATCCTGACTCGTCTCGCCCTGGTGAACCTGCAAGAGGAGATGAACGAAAACCTGATGCAGGACGCGTTCCGCCTAGGCGACCGGTACATGAACCTCCGGGAGCGCATGGAACGGCAGCGGGCGAGGTGCGTGAGGCGACACATAGACTTGCATCAGTCCGTCTGTCTGTCTCCCTCACCCATTCCCTCCGCAAGGCAACACCGCACGCAGGGAGGAGCGCGCGAACGCAGCTATCGCGAGGGCTCAACATACGTCCGCGCGCCGCGCTGGCAACCGAGTCGCCCGCCACATGGACGGCGAGGGCGAGATCGCACCTGTGCACGCGGGCGCACCGCGCGTTGCTGCGGCCACGCGCCCGTTCGCTGCGCCCACTGGTCGCTGTGGTGCGCAGGGTCCCGAGGATCCGGACCTCAGCCTGGCCGAGATCGAGAAAATTGTCGCTCAATTTGAGCGCCACTTCAATCGAGGGGCAAGGCGGGGCCGTCGGGGCCGCCGTGGCGGCTCGCAAGGACCACGTGCACAACATGTGGAGGACGAGAATTCCGACCGGACGTGGCTGCTGGAGGCTCTGGCGGCTTTGCTGGCGATGGGGTTTTCGGGAGTCGCTATTTGGCGCTTTCTGCACAAGGGCGCGGAGCGGGGCGCCTGAGCCCTGGCGCAGGCACACGCCGTGGATCGGCGCGTGCGTTTCAGAGGGGGGACAAGTTGGCAATCTTTGTCGTCGATGACTGACAATCTCATCATGCGTGTGTAAGTGCTGATAGGAATCGTACGACATGCCACACGTGCCCTCACGGCCGCCCAGACAGTGTCGTTCGTAGATCGTCGTACGACGCCTGGAACGAGCTGATGCACGCCAGGGACTCGTGTGGGTCTGAAACACTGTTGTCGACAATCACCATGTTGCTACTCGAGGCTCCCCCGCCCTCGCAGCAGGCCAGCGCACCCGCCCGCACCCTCCACGGGAGGCCCCACCGCACGTTGAGCCTCAGTCGATACGCCCCGACCGACTGGCCGGCAAGGGCCGCGTCGCGCTCACTGGTGCCCCGCCGCCGCAGCCTGCGGCAGGTTGCCTCAGGCCTGGTCTGTCCTGGCCACGTCCAGTCCACCCCGCCACGGCGATCCTTCCGGCGGCCACGCGTGCGTACGGGCCGCCCTACACACAGTCCGCGCGGGCGCACCTCGCACACATCAGCGCCGCAGAGTCACGGCAGGACATGTCGGCCGCATCTCGAGCTGCTGGACCTCGTCCCGGCGCGGGCCACGGTCCACGGAGGCGCGCAGCAAGGCGATGCAGCACCTGAGCGCGTGTGCGGGGGTCAACAACCACACGCGCACATTGTGGGCACGTGCAGCTCCTCTGCGTGCACTCTGATTCTGAGTGGGATCAGATCGCAAGGGACGGCGACGCGAGCGCGGGACGATAGTGGCGCCGATGATACGCTGCTCATCTCTCTGGATCGGCTCGTCCAGTCGTTGAATGACATCCCTCGCAGCCCGGCTCGTCCTCCACAGCCCAGCCACGGCGAGGCGAGGCGCATCACATGCCCGCACGATGCGCGCCCAAGCAGCACACCTGCGAGCGCCGTACTCCTCTGCAAGCCCTGCCCGGCTGAACGCCCCGCGCTGCGAAGCAATCAAACAAAAGTGGCTGCCTGCTTCCCCCACAATGCAGTCCGCCGGAAGAAAGCTTGCAGGATCCCTCGACGCTCCGAGCTCGCGTATACTATTGCTCCGCAGGAGGGACCGAGTGAGGGCGCTTAGATTGACAAGACCGAGGTAAGGAGGGGAAGAAACGCTATGGACCGAATAGCAGCCTGCGCCCACACGGTTCCGGGACCGGCACGACCGCAGAGCGGTTTTGAGAGCGCGGAGGGCGGGCGAACGTGAGCATGAATGTCGAGCCAGCGGTTGTCAGGGTCGCCGGTGCGACGAAAAACAAACTCTGCGCAGCAGTTGCTGTGTTGCCGCCCGCCGGTGTTTGAGCACAATTCAAATTGAACGGGCCTGACTTCAGGTGGTTACGGTGCGCTCCTTTGCTGTGCTCAAACTCACCATTCTCGACTCCTTGCTGGTGAAGACTGCAATGCCGCAGTAAACCACCGTCGGCGCCGCGGCCCAGGCCAACATCGTCGGCCACAGGCGAAGGCCAAACATGTTGAACACAACCCGAGGCTGCCTCGCTAGCAAGTCCAACCAGAAGAACACTTGTACGCACAGTACGGCGAGTACGACGAGGCCCGCACGCCGGGGCGCGCTGCGGCCCTTGCGGATGAGGTCCAGCCCGCACAGCAACGTGACGATCACTGCGACTGGGGAGCAGTCGAGCACGCGAGTCGACGCCCTTTCGACGTACGCAAGCGCCGCGACCCAGGACACTGCGGCGATGCCGACCGCGACGCGAGAGTTTCGGTTGCCCGTGGAGGCGAGGGCCAGTGCGGCTACGGCAATGCACTGCGCACCCAACGCCGCAGCCAAGCTGCGGGCGGATGCGGATGCGGATGCACAGCCGACGTTAATGAGAAGACGGGCGTAAACGGCGTCGTCGCGCGTCAGCAAGTTCATCGCGTCCTGCGCGTAAAGCCACAAGTCGTGTTACGTATTTATTATCATGTCGTGAAGAATGTTCGAACTTGCATGTGCCGTCGGGATCCACCGGGGCCGGCAGCAGCTTCGGTGACGCAGAACGTCGGGTCGCACCAACAGCTCGGGGATGTCCACAGGCGGCGGCAGTTCCAGCCCCGGGATCAGGTACGGAATGGCCTTTGCCACGTAACAGTATGCCTGCAGCGTTGCGGGGCGACGGTGAGAGCCGTCGCGGTCCTCGTCAGGGACATGTACTTACGAGCAATCTCGCCGTATCGATGTGCGCTGGAAGCCGTACCGCGCAGCACAAGAGGAGATCTGAGAAGGGGCCAGACCCCAACTCGCGGTGGAGCTCGTTGGGCGGATGTGCCTTTCGACGCCTGGCGCCGCATGAGAACCTGTACATGATTGCTAGGAACGTCGGTGAAGACCGCCATCTGCTCACTGCTGCCCGTGCTGCTCCACGAGAAAGGGTCAAACACAACTTTAGCCGATGCCACTCGCACCTGCCCTTGTCCGGCCTCGTTCCGGTCGCGTCGCCAGAGCCAATACCAGGTTGTCCTGGAAACGAGGTCTGTGGAGCTCGAAAGGGTGGAACAGACTCGCGGCGCTCCATGGGACGAGCAGCTGAGCCCCAGGTGGGCCGCGCGCCCACTCCGCGGCCGATCACAGGCATTGCAAGCATCTTGCCGGACACGAGAGGGCCATCGGGCGCGAGCACTGTATTGCGCAGTGCCCGAGTCGCACCATAGGCGGGACGGGAGAGGGGTGTTTCCATCTCTTGAGTGTTGGACTCAATCAGCACCCATCACGCCCGACTGAAGAGACACCGCGGATCCTTGATCGCGCGTGCCTGCGCCGCAGCTCCCGCCTCGGCGCGCGTGCTGCTTCACACACGACCACCGAACCACGTGCGACAATCGCACACATGCTCACTGCCCGCCCTGTCGCTGATCAGTCACCGTCGCAACTGCGGCGCGCTCAGCGTGCGACGCCCGGCAGACCGTGTCGTATCGGCCGCACGGGCGGCGTCCGACACGGGCCGACATTCTTCCCTGACGCACAAGACATAGCTCCTGTGCCCGACTCGGTCGTTCCCGCGGCCCGGCGGGGGCAGGCCGGTTACAAGTGCCGCCAGTGCCGTCTACACACGCCATACGCACGAACATCTCGCCCGCACGGCGGCCATCGTCCCTCGTGGAGCCGCGCAGTCGACTCGACTCTGGCACAGGACCGGTGTTTGGCTGAGAGATGCCGCGCCCGTCGGCCAAGGCGGCCGATGCCGGCGAGACGCGCGAGATGAGCGCGTACGAGAAGGCCCGGCTCGAGAAGATCAAGAAGCGCGAGGCCATGATGGAGGAACTCAAGCTCAAGGTGTGAATCAAGGCCTCGCCGCCCACGCCGCGAGTGCCGGCGCGCACCAGCGCCGCCATGCACCGCTGTGCGCACACACTCACGCCACACGCCTGGTTGTCCCCGCTCGGCGCCTCCTCCGGCGTGTTGCCTCGCGGCGCGCAGCGGGAGCGGCACCGCCCTAGCACACACCAGTCATTTCCCGCGCAACGCGCACCGTCCCCGCGCGCCGCTCCGCCCGCGCAGGACATGGCCAACAGCCTCATGCCCGCCAAGCCCAAGCCTGCGCGCGCGACGGGCCCCCGGAAGCGGCGCTCCAAGCTCAAGCGCGACCCGAGCCTGTACCCCCCGCGGCGCTCCGGACGGCTGCAAGGCGAGGCGGCCGCGCGGCCGGAGGGCCTCCTCGACCAGGGCGGCGTGCTGGTCAAGATTGCGGGCGAGACGATCCGGTACCGCGCGAACGCGGAGGGCCTGCCCGGCGTGGCGATGGACCGCGGGGAGCACTCTCAGAAGCAGCGCGAGGCCAAGCTCGGCGGCCCCGTGGCGATGACGTCGGCGAATGCGAGCAACCGTGGTGACAGGGCGTTCAAGGAGCTGCTCAAGACGGAGGGAAGCTGCGCGGAAATGAGGCAGCTGAAGGGCAGGGGGCGGAAGGGCAAGGACATAGCGTCGTGGACTCTGGAGGTAGGCAATTCTCGACTGATTGTCACGCATGCGACCATGGTCATCATCCCGCGCCACTCCGGCACGCGCGGCCGCGTCGCAAAGCTGCTGCGGCCCCGGCGGCGTCGCGCCACGCGCTGTCTCGCCGCCCACGAGGCAAATACTCCCGCGACTTCCCCCGCCCTGGCCTCGAACGTACACACACACTCTCCCGCGACACCGCACCGACGTTACCCTCTCCGGTCCGCCCGCAGAGCGACGACTGGGTGGTCAAGGTCGTGCCCTCGGCCGCGGTGCACATGGCGTTCGCTCCCCGGTCAGACGCGGTCGTCCTTGCAGCGGGGGGCAAGGAGGGGAGTGTCGGCCTGTGGTGCCTCAACCACGACACGTGGGAGCCGTCGGACGCCGCGGGCTTCACCGCGGCGCTCGAGGGCGTCGAGGCCGAGGAGGGCGACGGCGCCGCGACGGCGAAGGACGTCCTCGGGAAGTCGGACGGGGTGTCTCTGTACAGCGTGCACGCGGCGTACATCTCCGGTGCGTGGCGGCCCGCACGCGGCGATGCAGCTGCTTGCGTAGCGTAGCGCCGGCCTCGGCGACTGCGCCGTCCGTCGCGCACGGCCGCGTGGACGCGGGACATGCACGCACGGAGCAGCTGCGGCCTCGTTCTCTCATGGTTGCACCGTTGTTGCTTCGTTGTCCGGTCCCGCAGGGTTCGTGTGGACGGCGGACGGGCTCACGTCGTCGTCGTACGACGGCACGGTGCGCCGGATGGATCCCGCAGCCGAGCGCTTCGAGCTGCTGTTCCGGGACGAGGACCGGCAGTTCAGCGCGTTCGACATGACGCCGGGACTGTCGCTCCTGGCGGACAAGGACGGCGAGCTGTCCGTGTTCGACCCGCGCGCGCCCAAGGGCGGAACCAAGTGCGACCCTCGTTGCCCCTGACCCGTCGGGATCATCCTCCAGGGCCACGTGCTGCCGCCGTCTGCGTGGGCCGAAATGGCGCGCTCGACATGCGCCTCGCGCAGCAGCATGCGCAGGGCGGGATCGTTCGCACGCGGTCACAAGCAGGACACGCCCCTAGACTCTTCACCCCCCCCCTGTGCGTCGTTTGCTTGCAGGTTCTTTGAGGCCCACGACCGCAAGATCAACACAGTGCACGTCGAGCCTGTCGAGCAGCGCCTGGTCGCGACCTCGGGCACCGACAACGCCGTGTCTGTCTGGGACTCGCGCAAGCTCGGGTCGAAAGCCAAGCCGCTGCACTCGTACGACCTCGACAAGTCGTCCCAGGGGGCGTTTTGGTCTCCGGACGGATCGCAGAAGCTCCTACTGACGTGCTACGACAACCACCTGCGCGTCGTTGACGTCAAGACGGGCGGCAAGGACGGCGGCTGGTCGAAGTGCACGCGCGTCAAGCACAACACGCAGACCGGGCGCTGGGTGACGCCGTTCCGCGCGGTGTGGAGCCCAGAGGGCGACAGCATTGTTTGCGGGTCCATGAACCGCGAGATTTGCATATACGACGCCGCGAAGTCGTCCGGCGGCTGTCTGGCGCGGCTCTCGAACGCTGAGCTGCAAACGGCGATTTCGAGCAGGCACGTGTTCCACCCGGAGCTGCCGTTCCTGGCCGCGGCGACAGCTTCGGGGCGCGCGCACATCTACACGCCGTGATGCGGCCCCGCGGCGGCCGTGGTCGACCACTCATCGCTCATGCCTGCATTTGTTGTTCGCGACGCCAGGACGTTCCAGCGGCGGGGCACGCTGCACTGTCTGTAAGCGAGAGTGCAGCGACGCATGGCGACGAGTGTCACGAGGCAAACACGACACGACAGCACGTCCCGCAACACAGGAATGCCTTGCTTCAGAACGAGAGAGGGGGGGGCGTCACCGCGCGCGAGTCTGCCACGTCTGCGTTACTCTGCTCACACGCCCACGGTCTGCGCGCCCCTCACGACGACCTGGACCCCCCTCCTCCCGAGTAGAAGTCCTCCACGTCCCGGTACTGCTCCATGATCTTCTCGGCACGCACCTTGCGCGCGCTGTCCGTGGCCACGCCCACGAGGATCAGCACCGACGTGCCCGCGAACCCGCGGAAGGCCTGCAGGTCGGTGAAGGCCTCCACCACCGCGGGGGCGGACGCCAGCACGCCCAGGAAGACCGACCCCAGGACTGACATGCGGGCCAGCGTGTCCGTGATGAAGTCGGCGGTCTGGCGGCCCGGCCGGACGCCCGCGAGCGACGCACCCTGCGAATGGAAACGACGCCGCGTTCGCCGTGGGCGAGGTGCCACATCGTCGGGATGTGGCGGGCAACAACGCAGCAACAGGCAGGGCGTGTCGACGCGGAGGTCGTCGCGAGTGGTGGTGATGTGGACGGTCGAGGCTGAAGGTGATTGTAGCTGTGACGGACCTGCTTCTTGAGGTTGTCGGCGACGTCCTTGGGCTCGAACTGGAGGAAGGTGTAGAAGTAGTTGAAGAGGACGATGAAGAAGACGTTCGCGGGGACGTACAGGGACCCCGCGGGACTCATCGCCGCCGCAAACTCCTGCGAAGAAGCGCCCGTGCCCCTGAGATGAGCCAACGATCGCGTCGTCCGCCACAGGGGTAGCCATTCGAGCTTGCGGAACAACTAGGGCAGCATGTCACGCGTACGACGGCAGCGGAATTTCGACATAACGTCACGGCGCAGCCAGCGATGCGCGCGACAGACGGTGCCATCCTGCGCGTGCGCGTGCGAGAGGTGGGCCACGGCCGCCGCACCTGCAGCGCCGGCACCGTGGTGAACCGCGAGAGCGTGGCGGGGAGAGCGAGCAGCGACGTCGAGAAGATGACGGGCATGACCCCCGTGGCGTTGACCTTGAAGGGCAGGTACGCCGAACGCGCCAACGCGCCCGCCTTGAACCTGCAACGCGGAACCAAGCGTCGGACGCACTCGTTGCCACAACCTGCGCCATCGTGCGGCCCGCGACAACGCTGCCTGGCGTGCGCGGGGCGGCTGCGTGTGCCCGCACCTGTTGGCGTAGTTGATGGGGATCTTGCGCTCCGCCTCCTGGACGTACACGATGCCGAGGCACGTGAGAAGGAACGCGCCGCCGAAGACCCCGAGCGACCCGTAGTCGCCGCGCTCCTGCACCTGCGCCAGCGTGGATCCCAGCGACGACGGCAGCGCGCTCACGATGTTGGCGAAGATGAGGATCGACGTGCCGTTGCCCAGCTTCTTCTTGTCAATCTCGTCCGCGATGAACGTCAGACACATCGCGCCCGCCGCCAACACGAAACTGTTCTCCAGCAGCCACTGTGTGCTGCAGCGCACCAGGTGCGGGGCGAGGGGAGCGATGAGCCACGCTTCGCGGGGGAACGCGGTGCCACATTACCGAGCATGCATACGGGGCGGCGGTCGCCTCGCAGGACCGCGGCGAGCGCAGCGCGGGCTCTACGAGTGCGGAGAACGCGTGCCTGAAGTCGTCCACGAAGGGCCGGCAGTAGTTGAGCTGCCCAAAGGCCTGGAGGAAGGCAAACGCGAGTGCGGCCAGCTTCTGGTACAGCTTGAATTTGGCGCGGCCCTGGGGGCCCTCCTCGCGCTGGAGCTGCTTGAGCGACGGGATCACCGACGCCATGAGCTGCGGGGGGTCGACGGAGGCGGGCCGGCGGTGGTGGAGCAGCGGGCACGCGTGCATTTGCAGCTGCGTCGTTTCAACGTGCGGCCCCACGGCGACCGCCAGCTTTCAGCATCGAATACCAGGACGATGTGGTGGTGCGCTTGCGGGCCTGCGAGCGGAGGCCCGCCCCGGGGCGTTGAGAGTGCAGGGGGGGGTGTGTTTTGAGGATACCTGGAAGACGATCGAGGCGTTGATGTAGGGGATGATCCCCAGCGAGAAGATGGACACGCGGCTGATCGACCCGCCCGTCAGCGCGTCCACGTACCCGAGCGCCCCGGCCCCCTGCGTTCGCACCGCAGCGTGACGGCTGCGCGTGGTCAGTGCTTCGGCGCCGATGGGGGCCGCAACTGCCGAGCGTGCGCAGGGACCGGCGTTGTCTGACCTGCTTCAACGCCTCCGAGAAGGCCTCCGTGTCCACGCCGGGCACCGGCACATAGACGCCCAGGCGCGACAGGAGCACGAGGCCCAAGATCGCCGCCACCTTCTGCGGAATGCCCTCTTGATCACCCCCTCCGAGACCCGATCTGCGGAGCAACGCGTGCGCGAGCAGTGCGGCGTCGCGGAGCGCGGGACGGAGGCGCGGGGCGAAGATCATCGTGCCCGGGGAGGTGCCCGTCGCGTTCGCGATGCAGGGTCGCTGAGGGCGAGAGATCAGAGGCGTTGCGTCGCGTCGGGATGATCGATGCGGCAAGATGTCAGCGGCGCGGTTCAAGGCGCGCATCACGTACCGGCTCGCCCGGCTCGCGGCCATCTTGACGCTGCGCACACAGTGCCCGGGCCCTGCGGCGTACCCAGAGCGCCCGCACAGACCCTTGGGCGCAGCGGCGGACCCTAGAACCTGCAGCTACGGAAGGGTGACGCGGTGTCGAGCGGCAGTGCCGCACCAGAGAGCGGCAATGCGCCCTGCCGACCATCACAGCTTCGTCTCGGCCTGGGCCGCGCACCTTGGAAGCGCTCGCGACGCCATCGATGCGCGAGCGTGCGGGCAGACCGCGGAGCTGCGCGCCGGGGACGGCGCTCGCCGCGACGGTGCGCAGCTGCGGCCTGCAGGGGCGGATGGCCGTCCCCGGGAGCGCGCCAGCGCCTTGCATCGCGACGCTGCGTTCGTCCGAGTCGGATGTCCCAGGCGCAGCCCTAGCGCGACAGGTGCCGGCGGGCGCGCGGGCGCGGGGCGATGAGCGCCACGCGGCGCCTGACGGGCGGTCGGGCTGGAGGCCAGGCGCAGGTCGGGCGACATGCGCACGTCGTGCCGGTCGCAGCCACGCCGCTGTGCGCGCACGTCGACAGGCTGCGCGGCCGACGGGCGCCGCTGGCTCGAGCTGGCGCACCCGCGGCGACCTACCTCTCGCAGCGCGTGCAAGAGTCGCACGTGCGTGACAGATATCCAATCACGATGTATCGCGCGCGCAGGTGATCGAGGACTGCACTCATGTCATGTCGCACGTGAGTGCCGACATCGCGCTCCAGCGACCCGGCACGATGCGCCGCACTCCGCCTCCCCTCGAGACGTGTCGCGGGACCCGGTCATCCTCGCCGCGAGCTTCACCCTCACGCACCCACCACCATCATGCCCTCCCCTGCACGTCATCATGCCAACACGTGGTTGCGGACGCACCGCCGAGCCGCGGCCGCCGCGGCGCCGCGCGCGGCTGGCTGCGAGCTGGCGGGGCGCCCGCGGGGGCCGTCGCCGTGCAGCGCGGCTCGGTGTTCGCGCAGTGGGGGTGCATGAGAGTCATGTGGGAGGTTGGGCGCCTGTGTGCGGCGCTTACGTCTTCGATACCGGCGCAGGAGACGCGCTGCGGGGCGGGGCTTGACTGCGTCGCTTGTGTCCGCGTGCGCTGGGCTGGCGCGCGGGGCCGGTGACGCACGCAACGTAACGTAATGGCGCTACGGGCGGAAACGCGCCGGTGGGACGAGGCGCGCGTATGAGCGGAGGGGGGAGACCGCCGCGTTGAAATCCGCGCTCCCGCTCGCGCGGGCGTGCGCGGGGCGGGCGAACGCCGGCTGCTCGCGGAGGTTGACGCCCCTCTCGGGTACGACACCGTCCCCGCCCGAGGGAATGCGCCACGGCGACGCACGCGGCGGCCAGAACGTCGGCATTTCCCTCCGCAGTTCGACCGTTTGCGCCTGCCTCGCGAATAGGGCCGCGACGCCGACGCACGGGGCCATCCTGGCTGCAGTGCCCCATTGCTCAATTTAGCTTCCCCCGCCGCCATGGACGGGGTTCAGCGCCCATAACAGCTCTGCGAGCCCTCGAAGCGGCCCTGCGGCGATGAGCGGCGCCCAGGCCGCCAACGGGGACCACGCGCCGGCCTTTCGGCGCTCCCACGACCTCCAGGCCAAACACCGGCCAGCCGGCTCGGAAGCGTCCAGCCAGAACGCGAGCTTCCCCACCATCTCCGTCGTGCGCAACGGGGGAAACATGTCGCCCTCGCAGCAGGAGCTCGCAAAGCGCCGCTTCGCGCGCAACGTGGACTCTGGTAGCGACGCAGGGCGCTCCTCGCTGCGCTCCCGCAAACTGCGGCCAGGCGCGCCCCCGCGCCGCGCCCGCACAGATCTCAGCCCGCCAGCGGCGCCCCCGCGGCGCCGCGCGACCTGCCCGCCCAGCGACGCCGCTCTCGCCCCCCCTGGTCCAGCTGCCCCCTGCCAACCTCCCCGGCGCCCCGATGCGCCGCTGGCCCCGCAGGCTCCGTCACGGGCGACGACGAGTCCGTCTTGCAGCACGCAGCCCGGGCGAGAAGCGTCCGGTCTGAAACGGTGCGCGCCCGCGCGCGTTCCCCCGCGTCGCTCCCTCCTGCCTGCGCCCACCCGCCCCACCGCGCCGGCCCGCCCCGCCCGCGCCCGCCCTCGCAGGGGAGCCTCTTCTTCGTGGACCAGGACCACGTCGCGGCCCAGGCGCCCGCGGTGGAGGGCGCGGCGTTCGTGATCGACGACGCGTACTCGGAGATGATCAACGCCTGGTGGCCGTGGCGGTTGTTTCCGCGCCGCGCCGTCACGGGCGCGCTCCGGCTCGCGCAGACGCGCAGCTGGATGGTCACGCTCGCCGTCGTCGCGGCCGTCAACGTGTTCGGAGGTGCGCCCGCCCCCGACGACGACGACCCCAGCAGCCAGCCCAGGAGCGCCACGCCGCACGCCCGCGGTGCCGGCCGGCGCTGGGCCCCCGCGAATCACACGCTGCATCTCGGCCAGAGCCCGGGCCGCACCGCGCCCTGTCGCGCTGGCGCCGCGACGCGACGGCGCCTCGCTGCGCACGTCCTGGCTGGCATCGGTCGACCCGCTCCGCGCGCCACGGCCACCCGCCCGCGGCCCCGCCCCCCGCACGGCGGCCCACACACCCGACCGCGCCCCCGCCGTCCTTCTCCGCCCCCGCCCGCTCTGTCCGCGCCCCCGCCGCGCGACCAGCCTGTCGCACGGGCGGGACCCACCCGCGCACTGCCGACCCCGCGCGCCCCCGCACCGCCCCGCAGGCGAGCTCGCGCTGTGGGCGTTCGGCTCCGTGCGCGCGTACCAGGCCATCACCGCGACGTGCACGGCGCTGCACGTGATCGACATGGTGTGCAGCTCCTCCACGCCCGTCAACATCTTCCGCACGCGCTCCACGTACCTCCGGAAGACGTCCATCCTGGCGACCGTCGCGTTCGTGGGCTGCCTGGCCTCGGTTGGCGTCGCCGTGCTCAGCGCGTGGGGCTGGGCGGGCCTCGAGTACGCCGGCTCGGGGAGGGGCTTCCTGACGGTCGCGACGCACGCGAGCGCCGCGGTGAACGTCGCGCACCGCTTGTCCCTGCTCAAGGTGCGCCGCCGCGCCGCGAGAACGCGCGCTGCTGCCGCCCTGGCCGCGCCACGCCCAACCCACCCTGCCTCACCGATGTGTGTGTGTTGCACTCCACGCGGCGCATCACGAGCTGCACGGCGACACCGCGACCGCGATCGCTCGCCGCTGCCCTCCAGCCACAGCACCCACCATCCACAGCCCCCCCCCTCACTCCCCCCCCGCAGGCCATGTCGGCGGTGTCCATCTTCACGCGGCACCGCATGGCGCGCATGGCCGCCGAGCTCCACGTCAGCCGCGCGGGCAACGGCTCGCCGTACCCCGCGGGCGACCAGGCCGCGTCCGACGACTCGGCCCCCCCGCCCCCCGCGGTCCAGATCCCCACCAAGATCCAGGAGATCGTCAAGTTCCGCGTGTGCCTCCTGCTCATGGCCGCGCTGCTCTTCCTCACGCCCATGCCCGCGCTCGTCCCGCACGCAGCGGCCTCGCTGCCCGGCGCGCTCGCCGCGGCGGTCCGCGGCGCCCGGGGCGACGTGGCGGCGCACCTGACGCTGGCGGCGGAGGTGCTCGCGCCCACGCTGCCCGTGCGGGTGCCGGAGGTCGCGGTGGGGGTCGGCGACCGGCAGTGGGTCCTGCGGGCCGGGGGCGGCGTCGAGGAGAGCCCCGCGGGGTCGTGGGCGGCGCTGCGCGCCCAGGATGGGGACATCGTGGTGGTGGACGGGGACGGCGGCGTGCAGACGCGGATGGAGTTCGGGGCGTACTGGGGGACGTACGCGCTGCAGCTGGGGCTGGCCAAGGCGCTGTGCCTGGGCGCGCTGCTGGTCGTGGTGGTGGGCACGAGCAACGCGCTCGAGGCCAACTTCATGCGGCCGTTCGTGTCGCTCTTCGGGGCGCTCTTCGGCGCGCTCAGCGCCCTCGGGCAGGAGAACGAGCTCCTGCAGGTGCGACGACGGCGCGGCCCGTGCCTGCCCGACGCGCCGCGCTGCATGCTTGCCGCCGCCGACGCACCGCGTGGCCGGGCGCCCCTGCGCTCCGCTGCGCCGGGTCCGGCTGGCGTCCGCCCGACCCTCGGCCCGCCCCCGCGCCCCTCGCCGCAGGAGCTGGACGCGAACAACGTGTTGAGTTTGGAAGGGGTGGACAAGACGCTGTCGTTCGAGGACGCGATCGAGCAGGTCGTGCGCATGTCGATGGTGGTCCTGGGCTCGAAGATGCTCTCGGACAACCGCGGCGCCGCCAAGCGGTACAAGGACCTGGAGTCGGTCGACAAGCTCACGGCCGACTGGATCGCCACGCAGTACATGGCCGACGGGCTCGACGACGTCTCGGCGCCCAGCATGGACGACGACGCCATCGAGCCGCGGCGGTCCTTCGCGCCCTCGCTCCAGGACCACTCTGGCGCGGTGAGCACCCCCGGGCCTGCGCTGGTGGTCGTGTGGCTGCACCAGTGCGCCACGCAGGACATGACGAAACGACCTGTCTGTCTTTCGTCTTTCCGTTCCGCGTTTGTGTTCTTCTCCGCCGCGCCCATGTCTGTGTGCGTGTGTCGCTCACGGTGCTGGCGCGGCGAGGTGCGTGCGTGCAGGGCGCGAGGTGCGTGTCGACTCAGGACGCGACGGTCGCGCACGACGAGGTCGAGGTCGTGTCGTGGTCGGAGCTCGGGTACCCCTCCCCGCTCAAGATAGAGTGGGCCGCGCACATCCTCACCATCCCGGAGGAGAACCTCCTCATCCAGTCCGCGCTGGAGATGATGGACACCACAGGTGCGCGCCCGCTGCGCACGCCGCCGCACCGCGCACGCCGAGCGTCTCGCCCCCACTCGCCGAGCGCCGTCCCAGTCGCTTCCTTGCGCGTGCGATCGTCCTCACCGCCCGCGCCCGCGCCGGTCGTCCCCCCGAACCGCAGGCGCGTTCGACGGGCAGATCTCCCGCCGCAAGACGGCGCTGCTGCTGTCCAAGCTGCGCGGGGAGTACATCGACAACCCGTACCACAACTTCCGGCACGCGATCGACGTGATGCACACGTGCCACCACCTCCTCCTCCTGATGAACCCGCGCCTGCGGCCGTGCCCGCTCGAGCAGTACGCGGTGCTCCTGGCCGCCATCGCCCACGACGTGGGCCACCCGGGCGTCAACAACGCGTTCCTCGTCGAGACGAAGAACCCCATCGCGCTGCGGTACAACGACAAGGCCGTGCTGGAGAACCTGCACGCCGCCACGCTGTTCGAGCTGGCCGCGGACTCCGACTCGGACATCCTCGCGGGGCTGTCGCAGAAGGACTACCGGCGCATCCGGGCGCTCCTCGTCGAGTCGATCCTCCTCACGGACATGACGCAGCACTTCCAGATCATCTCGGACCTCGACCAGATGGCCACGACCAAGGCCGAGGAGATCGCCGCCATGACGCACGCGCTCTCCAAGGGCGCGGCCTGCGCGACGGACGCCGGGCGCCGCGCCGTGCAGGCGGGCGCGTCCATGGACGAGAAGGACCGCAAGTACGTGCAGAACATCGTGCTGCACGCCGCCGACATCGGGTCGATGCTCAAGCCCGGGACGCTCCCCTGGTCGGACTGCGTCCTCGTCGAGTTCTTCGCCCAGGTGCGCGCCCGCGCGAACGGCTCCCCGGCGTCGCCCCCGCATGCCAGGTCCCCCGTCCGCCCCCCCGGATCATGCCCCCACGCGTGCGGCCGGCGTCTCGTTCCCGGTGCGCGCAGGGCGAGCGCGAGGCGAGCATGGGCATGCCGGTGTCCCCCATGATGGACCCCGCGCTGGTGGACCCCGCGGACAGCCAGCTCAAGTTCCTGGAGTTCATCGTGTTCCCTCTCATGGAGGCCATCGTGCGCATCTTCCCCGAGGTGCACGCGCTCCTGCCGCAGCTCCAGGTGTCGTACCAGGCGTGGTACGACCGGTACATCGAGTCGGTGGCGAAGAAGGAGGCGTCGATGCGCGCGAACGGCGCGGCGGGGCAGGCCGTGGCGGACCAGCAGCAGAAGATCAAGGACGTGCAGATCCGGGCGAGCAACTTCAACTCGCGCGCCGCGGCCTCGCAGACGCAGGCCAAGGAGCACCTTGCCAAGCACGGGTTCAAGGTCGCGCGGCCGAGCGTGAGTACCCCCGTGCCCTGAGCTCGACCTGCGCACTGAGTCAGCAGCGAGTGTGCGCTGGGGGGGAGGGGGCGGGCCTCGCGTGCGAGCCTGAGCGTCCGGCGGGCCCGTCTCGACGCCGTGCAGGTCCTGCGGGAATGAAGGCGCCAGAGGAGTTCCGATTGTCGCGCACCCGCGCAGACGCACGCTGCACGCTACATTCCCAGACGCCCCCGCGCGCTGGGCTCCGGGCCACGACCTGTGGCGCAGTCCTCCGTGACGTCGAGGAGGGCAGCCGTCCCTCGTTCGCTCCGCGCGGGCGGCCAATGGTTGTGCCGCGTCGGGCAGGCCCGGACACTTGCGCACCATGCATACCTGCTTGCTTGCTCGTACGACTCATCTGTGTCTGGGCATCCACTATGTCCCCATCTCTTTCCCCGCGCACACTCGGTCGGCGTTCAGTTGCCATCGCCGCCGCTGGGCTCTGCCGGGCGCGCCCTCGACCGCCAATTGCGAACGTGAACACACAGCCGCACACGACCGTCGCGCAGACCCCGGGTCGCTCCGTTTGGGGCAACCAGGCGGGGAAACCAATCAAGGAACCCCTCCGAAGCTCCCCCTCCCCTAGCCCCCTCCGTTACCCTCCCACCAGGGAGACTCACTTGGCGACCTCCAGTTGGCGCCCGCCGTCCCGCACAGCGCAACTGCGCGCACGCAAGCGACCGACCACGCCGCGCATGTCCTCGCCGCCTTGACGGGCCAGCCGACGTGGCGGCCGCCGGCTCTCCTAGTGCACCACCGTCCCGGTCACTCAGCCAGAGATCCAACCCCCTGGCCACCGAGCTGCGGGTCGGGTGGTGACACACGAAATTCTAGGGGCACATGCTCTGGTGCGGGGCGGCGTTCCTGTGCAGGCGCCCGCTCGCAGGCTTCCTCTCTCGGCCAGCCACAGTGCAGCCTGGCCACTCATCCCGTGTGACTTCCCATCAACCTGCTCGCGGCGTCCCTCTCGCGCGGGTGTACCTGTCGCTGCGTCTGCGGAAACCGCACCGGCCGTCGCCCGCCTGCGCCCTGACGTCACCATCGGCTCGTTGCGACTTGATTGTTTCATCGTCTCAGGTGCTCGACTCATTCCGGCGAGGGGATGGTGCCTGATGGCGATCGCCCCCCTGTCGCGGTGTGCGCAGGTGCCGCCCGGGGCGCGAAATGTGCTACCTCGAATCGGCACGTGTCGCGCCGCCGTATCAATGCTACAACGCTCAGCGCGTCACAGGAAACCCCCCCGGGGGGCGCGTGGGGAGCAGCTCGGAGCTCCTCCGCCGGCGCGCGCGGTCTTTGCTGTCCCACGCGTTCGTGCACGCACAGTCGATGCTCTGCACGCCACGGAGGCGCAACTATCGGTGTAGGCTCCATTAGGTGAGAGGACACACACTTCTCCGCCCCCTCTTTCCTGGCCCTCGGCTGGCATTCTGGTCCGGGCGCGGAGTTCCTCACGCGCCTCGGTCTTCAGTGAGCAGCGTGACATCTAACGAACGTTTGTTCGCGTTACACCGCGCCCTGGGAGGAAGCCAGCAGTGAGGAGGCAGCGATGGCGCAGGTTGAGGCCAAACAGGTGCGCTTCGCAGCGGTACATTTGCATGTTCAGCGATCACGAACTCGGGGCGCGGCTCGGCAACGCATGCCGCGCAGCCAACGCGCCCTGTGCGCACTAAGTTCGCCTAGCTTCTCCTCGCACGGCCCGCTGGGCCAGCCGCTCCTGGCGTTGCGAAGTGGACTCACCCTCCATTTATCAAAATCTTCCCTGGCTGAAGTGGTGTGGCCGTCGCATCGCGCACCGCGCCGGTGTCGAGAGCTTCCAGTGCTCTCCTCCGTGGCAGCTGCGCGGCGGCTGACGGCACAGATTTCGCGCTTTCTGCTGACTGTACCATCCCATGTATGGCTGTCTGCCTATGAGGCTGAGCTTTGAGCGGGGAAACCGCCGCACCAGTCCCTCGCCCGCCATTGATAAGCGCACCCATAGCTCACGCCACATGCCCTGTACAAGAGCGAATCCGCTCATTTCGTGCGTCAATGCGCCGGACACTTGCTCCAGCTTGCGTCTTTTGCGCGAATCCACTCAGGCCCGCGTCTGCATTCAGCACCGCGCCCCCCGTCCCCATTGCTTGGCCGCAATCCTTCCACCCACTCCGCCCGGCTGTGCGGCCCTTGCAACGCAGCTCCAAACCATGGCAGGCGCACGGGGTCCCGAGGGGCGCGAGGACACCCTCCGCAACTCCGGCAGCACGTCGGACGCGGCCCCCACGAAGCCCGCCAAGGCGCCCAGCAGCGACTCGGGCGGCAGCCGCGCGAGCCGCGGCTGCCTGCGCTTCTCCGACGCCCTGGCGCACGCGATCGACAAGGCCTTCTTCAAGCTCGGCGGGTTGGTGGGGCGGAACCCCATCAAGGTCGCCGTCGGGGTGTTTGTGTTTGTGCTCCTGTGGCTCGCGGGGCTCGCGCGCTTCACCAACGAGACCCGGAGCGAGAAGCTGTGGATCCCCGCGGACAGCGAGGCGCAGGACGACAAGGTCTTCGCGGAGGAGCAGTACCCGTCGATCGTGCGGCCGCAGGTCGTCCTCATGTCGGACACCAGCAGCACGCGCAACGTGCTGACCAAGCAGGCCCTCGACCAGGTGCGCCCGCCGCACGCGGCCCCGCAGCCGGTCGCCTGCCTGCACGCACCACGCGGTCGCGGCCTGCGGCCCTGCTGCGGAGCTGGACTGTTTTGCCGACGCCCTCATGTCGTCTCGACCCCCCCCCTGCAGATGTTCAACGTGGACCGCGCGGTCCGCGCCGTCGCCGTGCCGTACACCGGGCCCGACGGCGTCACGACCACGCTGACGTACGCCAACCGCTGCTCGACTCTCGGCGGCGCGTGCTGGGTGCGCGGCATCCTGGAGGCCTTCTACGACCCCGCCACGGGGGACTACAACCCGGACCTGTGGGCGACGACGGAAGCGATCGTCTCCCGCCTGAACGCCGCGGAGATCCGCGCGTCCACGGGCGAGCGCCTGTCCCTGTTCGACCTCATCAGCGAGGTGGGCGTGGAGCGCGACGCGCAGGGCCGCGTGGTGTCCTCGCCGGCCTTCCGCATGGCCTGGTTCATGCGCAGCAACGTCGGCGCGTCGGACGACGACCCGGAGTCGGAGGCGTGGGAGCAGGGCTACCTGGACGCCGTGGAGCTGCAGAACACGGCCGTCGAGGCGGACCCGAGCACGCTCAAGCTGGACTACCTCGCGTCGCGGTCGTTCTCGGACGAGTTCGGCGGCGCGATCAGCTCGGACATCCAGCTCCTGCAGGCCGCGATCATCGTGCTGTTTGTGTTTGCCACGGCGATGCTCAGCCGCTGGGACCAGGGCTGGGTGGGCGTGCGCGTCGCGGTGGCGTTCTACGGCCTGATCACGATCGGCCTCGGCATCGCCTTCACCATCGGGTTCTGCTCGGCCGTGGGCCTCTTTTACTCCCCCCTCATGTCGGTCATGCCCTTCCTGGTGCTCGGGATCGGCATCGACGACGTGTTCGTCATCGTCAACGCCATGGACCTCACCGACCCCGCGCTGCCCATCGCGGAGCGCGCCGCGCTCGCGCTGGCCTCCGCGGGCAGCTCCATCACGGTCACCAGTCTGACGGACTTTGCTGCCTTCCTGATCGGGACCAACACGTCGCTCCCGGCGCTCCGCAACTTCAACGTGTACACGGCGATGGGCATCCTCGGCATCTACGCCTTCTCGTGCACCTTCTTCCTCGCGCTGCTCTGCCTCGACGAGCGCCGCCGCAACGCCAGCCGCGCCGACGTGCTGTGCTGCCTCACCGTGCAGCCGCGCTGCTGCTGCGCGCGCCCGGGCGAGGGCGACGACGGCACCGGCGCCATCGTCCGGAACAAGACGACGTCCTACCGCGTCATGGCCCGCCTCGGCCAGTTCCTCGCCAAGCCCGTCACCAAGGGCGTGGTCGTCGTGGCCTTCCTCGCCATCATCGGCGTGGGTATCTCCGGGGTCCCGCAGATGCAGATCGAGGCCGACGTGCAGGACTTCGTGCCCCCCGGGTCGTACCTCACGGGCTTCGTCAGCACCAACGAGGACCTCTTCACCTCGGTGGGCGTGGACTTCGACGTGTACTTCGAGTCCGGGGTCGACTACAGCTCCGCGGGCGTGCAGGCCGACCTCGACGACGTGCGCAACGCGATGCTCGCGAACCCGCAGGTCGTCAACGACTACGTGGACTCGTGGTGGTTCTCGTACAAGGCCGCCAAGAGCGCCGCGCAGCAGCCCGTGCCGGCGGACGCCGCCGCGCTGTACGCCGACATCAAGGCGTTCCTCGACACCGGCGCCGGGAAGCGGTTCCAGCGCGCGGTCGTGTTCGTCAACGACAACGACGCCGCGCAGGGCATCCGCACCAGCCGCTTCTCCGGCGTGTTCATCAAGGCCGCCGACTCGCAGGAGCAGGTCGACCTCATGGACAACGCGCGCGTCATGGTCGCCGACGCCGTGCGCGACGGCCCCCTCGAGGGCAAGGCCTTTGCCTACGGCGAGTCCTTCCTGCAGTGGGAGCAGTACAAGCGCGTGGAGCAGGAGTTCACGACCAACATCGCGCTCGCGCTCGCGATGGTCGGCGTCATCATCTTCCTGCTCCTCGGGAACCCGCTCGCGTCGCTCGTCACCTACCTCACCGTCGCGTGCGTCGTCGTCGAGATCATCGGCTACCTGCACTACTGGAACGTCACCATCGACTCGGTCGTCGGTGAGTGCGCCCGCGCCGCCGCCCGCCCCGCCCCGCCTCGCCCGCCCGTACGCACACACAGGCCATGACGCGCGCCGCCCGTCCCCCCCCCCTCCGCCCGCAGTCATCATGCTCGTGCTCTCGCTCGGGCTCTCCGTGGACTACTCCGTGCACATCGCGCACGCGTTCATGTCGTCGGGCGGCGAGCCGAACGAGCGCCTCGTCGAGACGCTGGCGACGATGGGCACCGCGGTGCTCTCGGGCGGCCTCTCGACGTGGCTGGCCGTCCTGCTCATCGGCGCCAGCGAGTCGTACGTGTTCGAGACGTTTTTCCGCGCGCTCTTCCTCTGCACGACGCTGGGCATCACGCACGGCCTCATCTTCCTGCCCGTCGTGCTCTCGCTGGTCAACCCCAAGGCGCACGCGCACGCGGAGGAGCGCTACGAGGGCAGCGTGACCAAGACCGCCGACGTCTGAGGCGCCCAGCTGACCAGCGCAGCCGTCGCCGCAGGCCCGCATGCCACTCCACCTCACTCCACACCGAACCGTGTTTGTCGCCGGGACGCGGTCCACCCAAGTGCACCGCGACCTCGAGCTTTGCATTCCTGTCACGCGGACGTCGACGTCCCTTCCGGCCGCTCCCTGGCCATGTGATGCGCCGCAAACAAATCACGCCAGCCGTGATACTTGAGATCTGCGAAGGACGAGTGCCACTCGCCCGGGGTGACCAAGATACCTTGACAGTCGAGGTGTTTTCCGCAGTGCGCCCCGCTGGCCACTGCACGACCAGCGAAGCCGCCAAGGCGCGTGGCGGAAACGCCGCAGCTGCTGTCTGCTCGGCCATCCCGTCGACTGGTCGCTATGACCGCAGGGCAGGTCAACACACGCTGTTGTGTGGCAGTTGAAGCCGTGGCTCCTCCGCCACGACCAGGCCGGACCTCTCGCGCCCTCAGAGCACCCTGCTGGAGCGTGTCGGCGAGGGCGGGGCCGTGTGTGCGGCAGCGCACCGCGACACCATCGCGGGCCTGCCGCACGTGGTCAGCGCCCGACTCCGCACTGGAACCGCCACGGTCGCCGCTCCGCACCGACCTGCGTGCTGCCCTGTAGAAAAACTGCGTGATGTGATCCGCGCGTCCATTGACGGGTTCTCACTGGCGCATGTCGGGGCTGGTCCGCGCGGGACGACGAGCGCGGCGTGGGGAGGCGACCAGCGCCGAACTGGCCGGTGCAGAATTCGGTCCCAAAGACACGTGAAATTCGGCGTCGGGTCGAATTCCCCGCAGCAGCTTCGAGCGGCGAGCGCCGGCGGCCATGACTACTGGGGGTGTGGGCACGCCCCCGTCGGCCCGACCGCCGGCGCTCAGGCCGTCCGGCGGGACAATGCCGCCTCCCCGGGCGCCGCGACTGCAGAACCAGGCGTCGAACGGGATCAAGAGGACGCAGCCTACGCCTCCGTGGACAGCACTGGCACAACAAGCGGGCTCCCCGGCCGCGGCGCGACATCCGGGGCGCGGGCAGCTCCCGCTTCTGGCCGAACGTCCCGACAGGCATGGCCAGCGCAGGGCGCGTGCGGATCTGATGGCCGGACGCTGTAGAAAATGAAACAGCCTCACAGCACAGTGGAGGCGCTCTTCCGGGCGTCCAAGAAGCACTTCAAGCTAGGCCAACCGGTGCGCAGCGCACCCGTACGTCTACAAGCGCCGATCACCCAAAAGCTCGCGCCCTATCTCTCCCCCGCTGCCCGCCTCCCCTGCTTTGCCCAGTAGAGCCATCGTCGCTCCGCCGGCAAGAGGAGGGCCGCAAAAGCCCGCACCCCGCCGTACCGGGGAGCACCTTGCGTCTCGGACCCACGCGCAACCCGTTCCGCGCCTGTTCGCGTCGCAGGTGGACCCGGAGGGCGTCCGGGCCGTTACGGAGGCTCTCGATGCCGTGACGCTCCAGGACCTGGGCCTCGAGGCGCCCCGCGATCGGCGGCAGACGGAGTTGTACGCGGTGAACAATGCGGTGCACGGCAGCGTGGAGGCGTCGGGGGACAGCAAGAACCGGTCCACGCAGCCAGGGCAGTCGCACCACAGCAAAGGCGCGGTGCGCTACCTGCACATCTACGAGGACGAGCACTTCACCATCGGAATCTTCTGCATGCCTGCCGGAGTGCAGATCCCCCTGCACGATCATCCAGGGATGACGGTCATGTCCCGGTACGCGGCGCCCCACCTGCCCTGCGCTGCACCGCACACGTCCCGCGCCGCGCCCCCGTGCCTGAACGCCCTCCGCGCCGCGAACTCGCTCGCAGGCTGCTCTACGGGAAGATGCGCGTGCTGTCGGCGGACCTCGTCGACGGGCCGCGCGCCGCGCCGCACGATGCCTGCGGGGTCCTCAAGGCCAGGCTCAAGGGCCTGCGCACGGTGACCGCGCCCGCAGCAACCATGCGGCTCGACCCCAACGGCGGCGGCAACATCCACTCGTTCTACGGTGAGCGCCCTGCGCCACGCCGACGCGCGCTCCCACAATGCTCATGACAGCTCCTCCCGCTCCCGGCGGGCGGGGGCGGCGCCGCTCCCAGCGACCTGCGATGCTGGCCGCTCTCCGGGCCAGAGTGCGCCCGGTGCGGCGCGTCGTCGCGCCCTGCGCAGCCGCGTGCTGCGTCCCGCGACGCCACCACAGCACCAACTGCACGCGACCCCTCGGCGCCACCGCGCACCCGCACCCGCCCTCGCAACGCGGTCCCCAGCGTGCACGCAGCGCAAGCAGCGCGCCGCGCGCACCGCGCCGCCTCCTCGCGCCCGCACGGCACGCCCCGCGCGACGGGCACCCCGGTCCCCTGCTGGCGCCCTTGTGCTCGCCCCCGCGCCGACAACGCCCGACAAGGCCCCGCTCCTCGCAGCCGTTACGGACGCCGCGATCCTGGACATCCTAGCGCCGCCGTACGACCCCGCGGCGAACCGGGGCTGCACGTACTACTCGCAGTGCCCGCTGCCTGAGGACTTGGACAGGGCGCGGCGCGGGGCGCTGCGGCGCAGCTCGAGCCAGCCCTCGGTAGCGGACGCGCCAGGCAGCGAGAGCGGCGCGAACGGCGGCCCGCAGCCCCCGAACCGGCCGCACGTAAACGGGGACGCCAACGTGCACGTCATGGCTGGGTCCTTCAGTGGGCCGGCGCGCTCCGCACCGTCTGAGTGCCCGCGGCTGTCGCCAGATATAGGTCAGCGACGCCCTGACCCGCCGGCCGCGCGAGCCCCCCGCTGCTGCTCGACGCCGCAGCCCACCCTCCCTGCCGCGCGCCGCGGCGCGCTGTGGCGCCGGCGTCGCGCAGGCAGTCGCCCCTGGACGCTGCATGCCTAGCTGCGCGCCCTGACCGCGCAAGCTCCCCCGCCCCGCTTCGCAGCCACGGCCGAGAGCTCACGGGAGGAGGACCGGCCGCGCATCATCGGGTTGCTCCCGTACGATCCAGGAGAGGACGTGCACGTCGAGTGCGGGGAGTACCTCGGCCACCCAGTGGCGTGACGGCGCGGAGCCCGCGCCAGCGAGGGCGCGGCAAAACACCCTCCTCGCAGCTTCGACTCCCGCCACCACCGCAGGACCCTACGCGCGACGACATGTGTCGCCCGACGCTCTCCGGCAGCCTCTTCTTGGATTCATTCGAACGCCATGCCCCCCGGTCCGCCCTGCCGCGGACCTCTGGGCTGACATGGCCCGCTCGGACTACCTGCGGGGCCGCCCCCGCCGCGCCTCCCCGACGGACCGCGCACCCCGGCACGCAACCCATGGACGGTGTCGCCGCCGGGGCCGCCGGCCTGTGCCGGCCCCGCCGCGCTCTCTGCGTGCTGCTTGTCCGCGACTCTGCATGGCTGGAAGGGAACGAACGGTGCGCGTTGAGCGCCGATTAGTCTGGGCCAGGGCGCGCAGTACCTGCTGCGCTTGACATGCAGCCCCCCCCCCCGCCATGACAGCTGGCAAAAAGACCCTGGATACAACGACGCCCTGTCCACCCCTGCGCAAACACTCTGGCACTCCAGACCGGCGCTGCATCTCTCGCGCGGACGCATCCACGCGCGCCACGGTCGCATCGGTCTCGAACGCCGACCAATCGGCGCCGCTCGCCGTGGTCGTGCGCCGGGTGTCTGAGGCCCCCGGAGGCTGCGTGGCATGATGCGTCGTCGTTGGGCGGCGAGCTCTCAGCCGATGCGGGCTGCACTCAGGTTCACTCTGAGTATAATCATTGCACCCAATGATACCTGAAGGTTTCCACCCTCCCTCTCTCCATTTCCCCCCCCCCCCAAGTTAACCTAACCACCCCTCACACCCCTCTTCGTCGTCGCGAAACGTTTCCTCGCTCTGTCCCCCAGCACGTACGAGGGCTGTTCAGAAACACCATCCATCGTTCGCGGGACGACCGCCCGCGGAGCCCCACGGCCTCTGCGGTGCACGTCCGAGGGCCCCGACGCGGGCCCGTGCCCCCTGGCACCGCCCCACCATCCCTCTCTCTCCCTCCGATCCGCACATCCCCGCACCGTCGCGCCCCGCCCCCCGCGCGGGTGCACGACGAGCACCAGCGGGACGCAGGCAAGCACGCATGCGCTCTGCAACAAAGATAGGCCACCTTGTCGACACGGGCCCGTGGCACACGTGCCCCCGACCGCCCCACGCCCGCCCTCTCGCGGCGCATCCGCCAGCCCCCTGCGCCCCCCCCCGCCCTGCCCGCGCGCGAAACCGCATTCGTGCTGACCACTGCGTGCGCCATGAGCCGGCGCGCGGCAGCGGCGCGCCTCGACGCGCGGCAGGCGCTGGAGGGAGTCACCGCTCTGGACCGAGTCACGGCAGGCGCGCCAAGCTGGTCGTTTCCGCCTCAGATGCGCAGGCTGCCTGCGGCCATCCGTGGACTGGCGCAGCGGCGCAGCGGCCGCGCACCCGAGCGTGCTCGCATGTCGAGCGCGGTGTGGGTGCCGGATTTCAGCGCCTGATCTGGCGACTGTGCGGGTGGCTTGTGTGCCGCTCTCACTCTTGTGAGGCAACTCCGGGCCAGAACGCCGAGAGGCAGGCGCCGTGGCGAGTCGCTCAGATGCATCCTCGAAGGCCGCGCGTCGACGTGTGCGGGTGTCCGTCCTACCTCTCTTGCGTGCCCGGGCGTCCCTGGTGTCGCAGGGATCACTGGGAGGAGTTGTAGTCACCTGGTTGTTCCTTCAACCAGCCTGTGTCGACACGAAGAGGTCGTGCGCTGGGCGCGCATCAGACGTTCTCGCTCGCCGTGGCCGTCACGCCGCGCGGCCGGTGCGCGGCGTGCCGCGGTCGCGGCTCCCGAGCGTAGCCCCGGGGCCACAGTGTGGTCCCTTCTGTCGAAGGCAACGATATTCGGCAAAACAAGTCTCTGGTCCTACCTGCACTGACTCCGCGAAGCCCGCGCAGCTCGGCTCCTCAGGAGCTCAACGGGCGCTCCATGCCGGCGCACCCGACAACTGTGCACGCCTGGGCGTCAAATCCCCGTGCGCGGAGCACCGTGCCTGCCTCACGCAACGTCCCGCGCGCGGCGTCGTGACCCCAAGACCTCGCAGGCTCAGCCCTGGCCCGTCCCCTGGAAGGCGCCGAGAGTGCTCCCTGCGCCGATCGCCGCCCGCTGACGGGTGTGGGCACGATGGGCAGTGTGACAGGTGCGTCCGGACCTGCAGCAAGCGACACCGCGCGTGGCCTGCACCCTCCAACGACCTGTCTGCCACCCCGCGCCGACGCTTGCCGCAACCCCGCGGCGGACGAGCCACGAAGATGATCCCGTATGTGATCCGCGCGCCCCGGGGCTCGCCGCGTCCCGCGCGCGCCGCGCGCCACGCCAGACGCCGTCCTCTCTCGGGGGCAGTAAGTGACCTGCTTCGGGCGAGCGCGTTGCGTTTCTCGGTGTCTACGCGCAGTGCCGCGGAACTTCCGTCTCCTGGACGAGCTTGAGAAGGGCGAGAAGGGCATTGGCGATGGAGCGGTGTCGTACGGGCTGGCGGATGGTGAGGACATTATGATGTATCACTGGAATGGCACGATTATCGGGCCGGGCGGAACGATGCACGACAGCAGGATCTACAACCTCAAGATCACTTGCGGCGACAACTACCCCGAGGGCCCGCCCGAGGTGCGCGGCTGCGTGCGCTGCTCTCAGCGCCGACAGCCTGGCAGCGCTCTCCGCGCGAGTTGGCCGCCCCGCCCGCGCCATCCGGATGCGTGCCCGTGTCCGTGCCAAACGCCGGCGACTGCATTTCGGCCGTCCTGTGCTCGACGAGCCCTTGCGCTGGACGTAGCCACCTTGAGGGCTCTCACACGTTGCGTCGCACGCGATGCCGCGCGCGCAGGTGGTGTTCGTGCACCGCATCAACATGACGTGCGTCGGCAGCAACGGCAAGGTCGACCCCCGGCAATTCCAGATCCTGGGCCAGTGGCGACGGACGGGGTGCCCTTCCCCCCCCCCCGCTCCACGCTGCACCTCGCCGCCGCTGCGGCCGGTCGCAGCCGCACACCAGATGCCCCCGCAACCGCCGGCAGCCGCTCCGGCAGCTTCTGCGTTCGCCGGCCGGCAGCTCGCGGCGCAACGCACATTCGCATGACGCGTATGGTGGGAGCTGCCTCGTCCGACGACGCTGCGCGCTCACACGCCCGTCGCGCACGCGTGCTGTGCAGTTCACGCTGGAGACCGTGCTGACGGAGCTGCGGAGGGAGATGGCCGCGCCGCACAACCGGCGCCTCCCGCAGCCCCCCGAGGGCAGCACGTACTAGTGCCCCGCGGCGACAGCGACGAACCCCGCGTGCCGCCTGTGAGCCATTGGCGCAACCGTGACTGCGAGGACGCGCCGCGCTGAGCGCGTGTCTCTCATGGAACGTCCTTTTGACTACATTCTATATATATTTGAAGAGAGAGAGAACGCCCCCACAGCCGCACTACCGGCTGTGCGTCCTGGCGGTGGGAGTGGTGACAGAGCATGCGTCGTGAGAGACGCGGCCGTGCAGCTGCCACACTGCGCTCAAGTTGTCTCACAGCGTGCCGCCGTTGCGCTGCGGCCCCTCCAGGGGACTCGGCAAGTGCCCCCCGGCAGCCCGGCCGGGCTACCGCTCCCAGGGGAGGGGCGGGGAGTCCGGGAGCCGCGCCGTGAGCACCTCGCACCCCGTCTCGGTGACGACCATGGTGTGTTCGTACTGGGCGCTGCGGGAGCCGTCCAGCGTGACGGCGGTCCAGCCGTCCGGCCACGTCGTGTCCTTCCAGCCGCCCGCGTTGATCATCGGCTCGATCGTGAACACCTGACCGGCCTGCGGTGCGCAGCGGGGGACGGGGCAGCAGGATTGCACGCAAACACCCAGGATGTAGCAAACGATGAGTCGACGTGCGTTTCTCCGCTCCTCTGCGACCGCGCGATGATCGAGATCCTCGAGTCCATGTGCGAGGCCCGGCGCCCCTCGCGACGGCCGGCAGAGCCCGTTGGCACAACATAAGAGGCGAACATCATCACGAACACGAATCTGCGGTTCCGGAGCACGTATTCGCGGCGCAGACGCCTCTCGATCTCGCAAACGTCCGCACGTGCAACACACACCGCGCACCTTCATGGCGCCCACTGCCTTGTTGCGCGCGTAGTGGGGGATGTTTGGCGCACAGTGGAACAGGTCCCCAATGCCGTGGCCGCAGTACGTCTTGACGACGCTCAGGTTCTGCGAGGTCGCGTGCCGCGATATCACGTCCCCGAGGTCCCTGCGCGGCAGAGCGCGGCGACGGAGCGGTCGCGGCGGTGCGCGCCCGGGCGTCGAGTCCCCCCGTTTGCGCATCGCACAACGGACAACGGGCTCGTCCGCGTAGCGAACGCCTCACGCAGCAGGATCGGCGGGGAGGGCGCGCGCGCCTGAAGCGTGTGCCGGGCTTCACTTGTTCGATGGCTTTGTGCAGGCAGTCGTGCGCGGTCTTCATCAGCTTGATGCTGGCGTCGTCCACCTTGCCCACCGCGAACGTCTCGTTCAGGTCACCGTGCATCCTGCGACGCACCGGTGCCGCCACACGAGGCGCGTCGGTCGGAGGAGACAAGCATGTCGAACGAGCGCGGCGCGAGATGAGAGATGCAAGCGGATGAGCTTGCCCCAGGGGCGCAGCAACATGCACAGTGCTGCGCGTTCCGCGCTCCGTCGGCGCGCGTTGAAGCAGCCATATTGCGGGGCGGCGGTGCGATGTTCTTGCGCGCGGCGGTGTGGTTCGGGTCCGCGCGCACCCGTCCTTGTAGACAGTGACGTCGACGTTGACGATGTCGCCCTCCTCAAGCTCGCGCTTGTCGGGGATGCCGTGGCAGATCACCTCGTTCACCGACGTGCACACCGACTTGGGGAAGTTGAAGTAGTTCAGCGGCGACGGGTACGACCCTGCACCGCGCACAGAGACACACACGCCGCACCGTTCCGTGCCGCGGGCGGACCGGACCGACAACGACACCCGCACACGCACGAAGATCCGCCAGAACTAGTCGTATCGAGCGCGATCGATCAGGACGGGGTGCGCGGGCCCGCCGCACCGTGTTCGACCGCGTACTCGTGCACGACGCGGTCGATCTCGTCGGTCGTGACGCCCGGCTTGACGGCCCGGTGCGCCGCGTCCAGCACCTCCCGCGCGAGCCGGCACACGGACCGGAGCGTCTCGATCTCTTCCGGGGTGCGCAGTTTGATGATCTGCTGCTGCTTCGACTCAATCTCCGAGTACGGAACACCCCCCTGCGAACAGCCGCGCCGCCGGACGCGCTAGTCAGTCCGCGCGGGCCGCGGCGCGTGGCCGCGCTCCGCGTCGTCGGAGCTGCGGCCGCCAGGCGTGACGTCCGGGCGGGACGTCGTCGCGGCTGCAGATGCGCGCCGGTGCGGGGGCATGCCGTGGGGCGCACCTCGGCGTAGTCCGGGCGCACGATCTCCGACGGCACCTCCCGCGTCGGCCCGATCTTGTGCGGCCGCAGCGCGCCCGTCCACTTGAAGTCCGGACATACCTTGGCTCGGCCCGCTCCCCTGCACGGCGGACAGGGGCACGGAACTGGGCCCTGAGCGCGCCGGCCGCGTGGCCTACGGTGCGAGGCCGCGGGTGGCGATAGATTTGGGCGGTGCGGCGGCGTGCAGGTGCGAGGGAGCGCGCACTTGTTCGTGCAGTACAACCAGCCGTGGGTGACGTGCTTCGACTTGTGTGCGGCCCAGTTCTTCTTGAAACAGTCCTGCGAGCAGAAGAAGCTGTGCTCCGGCGCCACCTCCAGCTCCTTGCACTTCGGACACTGCAGCTTGGCCGGCTGCCCACACGCAGCACACACGCTCCCGTCCTCCGCCATCGTCCCGCACCTAGAACCGCAACGACGATCGCCGCCGAACGCAACTGCCCACCCCCCTCGCGGCGCGCCGCCCTCCCGCCGCCCCCGCCCCACGCCGCCGCCGCCAGTCCGACTCGCGTCGCTCAGGACCCACGCTCGCGTCGAGCCGCGCGTCTGCGCCCCCCCCCCCCGATGCCGCAGCGCCCGCGCGCGCCCCCGCACTACCGTTTCGAGGCCCTTGCCGGACCGGGTACCCGCAGGAACGACTTCTGCGCGGTCGTTGCACACACCCAGGCGCGCGTGGCAACCACCCAGCGACGGGCGCGGTGGCGGACGGCACGCGGCTGCTCGCGCCGGCGCAGCGCGGAGAGGCCCCACCGCAGCAATGGCCTCCAACGTCGGGCCGGTGCCGCTGCCGCGGCGCCTCGAAGCCCTTGGCTCGACACCAGGCCCGCGATGCGGTCACGTCCTCACCGCAGGTCCGCCCCGCCCCCACGCGACGCGCTCCGCACCCTGCTTGGGTCCTCGCCGCGCCCCCGACCCCCTCGCGCGCGGAACAGCCGCGTGGCCGCCGGGTGCTGCGAAACGCGCGTGGAGCCCCTCGCCAGGGCTCGAACTGGCGCGCTCGTCGCGCAGCGGCGCGGGGGGCGCGACGCGCGGACGTGCGCGGCGCCTCCTGCGCTGAAACCCCGCGAGGCCGCGCCCGCGCGTGCTGTGCGGCGCCGGGCGGTGCGAGCAACGCCGCACCGTGCGCGCCTGCACTGGCCAGAGGCGCCCAGCACAGCTAGCGAGGCACCGCGCGGCTTGCCTGCAGTGATGGGCCCCGGAGGCGATCTCACGACGGCGAAGCTCGTGCTCTTCGGCGGCGCGACCGCTCTCGAGGGCTCGGCGCGCGGCGACGCGGCGTCCCCGGCCACCCCGGGCCCCAACAGTGCGGGAGCGGGCATCCGGCTGGCGGGCGCGACGAACGACATCCACATCTTCGACGTCGCCACCGGCGAGTGGACCAAGGTCACGCCCGACGGCGAGGTGCGCGCCCCGAGCGGGGCGTCCTACCCCGCGCAACGCGCCGGAACCACTCCGCCCCCTCTGCCACCGCCTCCCCCGCCGCGCACACGCCCGATCTCCGCGCCCCGCCGCCCCACGAGGCCGCACAGATCCCGCACGACGCCCCCGCCGTGCCCCCCCGCGCGCGCAGGCCCCCTCCGCGCGCGCAGCCCACGCCGCTGCTGCCGTGGGCAACATGGTCGTCGTCCAGGGCGGCATCGGTCCGCACGGGCTCGCGGACAACGACCTGCACGTGCTCGACTTCAGCACGCCGAGCAGGCCCAAGTGGCACCGCGTGGTCGTGCAGGGCCCCGCGCCCGGCCCGCGCTACGCGCACACGCTGAGTCTCGTGCTCAACCGCTTCCTCGTCATCATGGGCGGCAACGACGGGCGGTCGACGCTCTCCGACTGCTGGGCGCTCGACACGAGCGAGAAGCCCTACCAGTGGCAGAAGGTCGCCGTGCCGGACAAGCAGCCCGCGGGGAGGATGTATGCCGCCGCTGTGCCGAGACAGGTGCGACGCGCGCGCCCGAACTCGAGATTCCTCGACTGCCGCCGAACAGCTTGTGCCGCCCTGGCGAGCGGCGTGCCGCGCGCGGCGAACGACGCCCGGATCGCGCTCCACCCCGTCGCGCCACGCCTCCCGCCGCGCCAGCGCAGCGCCGCCGCCCACCCGCCGCCACCCACGCGCCGCGCACAGCAGCGCAGCGCCCACACCGGGTGGCGTCGCGCGCGCCCGCGCGCTCGCCCGCTCACCGCCCCCGCGTTCCCTCCGCGCCGCGCAGGACGGCCTGATGCTCCTGTGCGGCGGCCGCGACGCCTCGGGCGTGCCCCTCGGCGACGCGTACGGCCTGTCCCGGCACCGCGACGGGCGGTGGGAGTGGGCCGAGGCCCCCGCGCAGATGCCCGCGGGGCGGTACCAGCACGCGGCGGTCTTCGTCGACGGCCGGCTGCACGTCGTCGGCGGCGCGGTCGGCGGCGGGCGCATGGTCGACGCGGCGTCGTCGGCGCTGGTGTTTGACAGCCGGGTAGGGGTGTGGCAGGCGCACGACGCCGGCGCGGACGAGCTCATCGACCTCACGCGGCGGTGTCGGCACGCAGTCGCCGCGGTCGGGCCGCTCGTGTTCGTGTACGGCGGCCTGCGCGGCAGCACGCTGCTCGAGGACCTGCTCGTGGCCGACGACTCCGCGGGGATGGACCCCATCGTGCGCGAACTGCGCGCGAAGAGCGACCTCTGGGGGCGGTTCCTCGCGGACGGGACGGCGGGTGAGCGGGCCCGCGCGCCCGATGCGGACTGTGCCGCCGCGTGCTGCCTTGGTTGGTTGCTTGCGCTGTAGACTGACTGATTGCGGGGTGGCGTGCTCCGTGTCCGGTTGCGCAGGGTCGGCGGTGCTGCAGGACTTCGCGGCGGAGGAGGCGGCGCGCGTGTGGCAGGTGCAGTCCGAGTCGTCCGGCGGGCCGCAGGGCAGCGGCGGGCGCGGGTCGGCGAGCGCGGGGCGCCGCGGGACGCCGGCGGGGCGCGCGGGGCGGGGGAACGACCACGGGCTGCCGCCCATGACGCCCGACGTCCGGCTGTACCACCGCGCGGCCGTCGTGGCGCACCAGCCCGACATGCGCGGCCTCATCCGCGACCTCAGCATCGACGCCTTCCACCACGAAGGCAGGAAGGCCGCGGCGCCCGGGGCCGCCGTGGAGATCCGGACGCCGCAGGTGCGCGCAGTGCACCCGACGAGCCGCGCGCCGTTCCTGCGTCCGTGCGCTGGAAGCGGAGCGCAGGACGGCTGTGCTTGCTGTTGTGTCGCGCAAGTGCGTGTGGTCGCTCCGCGGCGCAGCGTGCGAGGTGGCGCGTCGGCGACGTCGAGGGCGCGCATCGCGTCCAATCGCGGCGCTTGCTGCGCTCATTCGCGCGGCGGGGTTGGCGTCGCGTGACCGCCTGTGCATGGTCCCTCGCGCTGTTGCAGGGTGTGGCGGGAGGGGCGAAGAACTTCAACGACGCGGACAACGCGGTGCACCGGCGCGTGATCGACGGGCTGCTGCGGCCGCGCGAGTGGGCGCCCACGGACGGCTTCCTGCTGTCCTGGGAAGACATCGAGGATCTGTGCAACCGCGCAGAGGACATCTTCAAACAGGCGAGCGCCCGCGGCCATGCATGCAAGCGCGCAGCCGCCTCGTGCGGAAGTGGGCCGCGCGGGCACGTGCGCTGGCTCGCCCTGCGTCCCCCGCGTGAGATATCGCAGCGCAACTTGCGGCGTTTCCGTGTCGGGGCTGCTGACGCTGTCGTGCTGCGGCTCCCCTCAACGCGCAGGAGCCGACGGTGCTGCGGCTGGACGGGCCGGTGAAGATCTTCGGCGACCTGCACGGGCAGTTCGGGGACCTGATGCGCCTGTTCGAGGAGTACGGGGCGCCCTCGATGACGGGCGACATCGCCTACATCGACTACCTCTTCCTGGGGGACTACGTCGACCGCGGACGACACTCCCTCGAAACAGTCTGCCTCCTCCTCGCCCTCAAGGTGCGCACCGGGCACCTGCAAGCACGCCGCCTCGCTCCCCAGCCCGCGCACCTGGTGGCTGCGCCGCGGCTGCTTGCCGTCCTTCGTCGTCACGCTGCACGTTCGACGCCTGCGCGTCGTCGTCGGAGGCGCGCGGGCCGGCTCCCACGTGCACCTAACTCACTGCGTTGTGCTGCAGGTGGAGCACCCGGACCACGTGCACCTGATCCGCGGCAACCACGAGGACGAGGACATCAACTCGCTGTTTGGTTTCCGCGACGAGTGCATGGACCGCCTGGGGTCGACCCCGGGCATCCAGGCGTGGAAGCGGTTCAACGACCTGTTCAACTGGCTCCCGCTCGCCGCCGTGGTCGCGGGGCGCATCTGCTGCATGCACGGCGGCATCGGGCGCGTCATTGAGACCATGGAGCAGATCGAGGAGATCCCGCGGCCCATCTCGCTCAAGGTGCGACGACAACAACGACGACGCGCGGCGACACAGACGGGCGAGGAGGCGCGCGACGGAGACCTGTGCGTGAGACAGCTGTGCGGAGTCGCTGACGCCCGCGACTCCCCTTGCTGACCGCAGGACGCCAACCAGGTGTACACCGACCTCCTCTGGTCTGACCCGACGACGAACGACGCAGTCGAGGGCGTGCAGCCGTCCCCGCGCGGCCCGGGTCTGGTGTGTTTCGGCCCGGACCGCGTCACGGAGTTCTGCAACCGCAACAACCTGCAGATGATCATCCGCGCCCACGAGTGCGTTATGGACGGGTTCGAACGGTTCGCAGCGGGGCGCCTCATCACGCTCTTCAGCGCCACGAACTACTGCGGCACGGCCAACAACGCAGGTGCGACACCCTCTCCACGCCTCCCGTCGCGTCAACCCCATCCCGGTGCTCTGATCGCCGTCGCCCCCGGTCCCGCTCCTTCATCTAGCGCGGCGTCCTCTGCTGGTCCCGCAGGTGCGATCCTCGTCCTGGGGCGCGGCAACGTGATGGTGCCGAAGCTCATCCACCCGCTGCCACCAGGGGCCAAGATGCTCACGTCGCCGGACGACGAGTTCCACGCATACGGCGTGTCGGACGCCGACACGTGGATGCAAGACATCAACGACCAGCGGCCGCCGTCGCCGCCGCGCGGCCGGGCGCTGGGGGGCTCGGGAGGCATGAGCACGTTCTAGCTGAGGGGGTTGTGAAACGGTCCTGACGCGTCGGGGGGCGTGAGGGCCGGACCGGGCGTCGACGCTGCAGCGCACACGGCGGCGCCCTGCAGCAGCTGCGGGGGTGTCGGCACGTGGTCAATTACTACTCTACGTGGGACTTGATGGGTCACAGCGCTGGGGTGGGTTGCGCGACGCTGTCGCCGACGGAGCGTCGCCGGTGCCGTGATGTTGCGGTACGTTTCAGGAAGAGCGGCGCCCCATCTTCTTGGCTATCGGGTGCTTGCTCACGCGTTTCATCGGCGTGGCCTTGCTGGCGGTGACAGGACGGTTGAGCCAGAGGCGGTTCATGAGCCTGCCCTGGTCGCGCCTGTCCAGGGCGTGGAACAGCTCCTCGATCAGCACCCCCTGCTGCTCCGGGTCGAGAGCGCGGCACGTGTGGATCGCCATCCTCACTTGAGGGTCCTCGCTGGGCCAGGGCTCGCTGCCCGACGGCGGGCTCTCGACCGACCGGCGGAGCGGCGTGGCCTTCTGTCGTGGTTCGTCCACGGAGGTCACGCGCGTCTGTGACCTCGGAGGCGGCACAGGGGGTGTTGGCAGCGCCACAGGCTCCGCTGGACCACGAGCGGGTAGAACAGGCCCGTCCTTTTGCACGCGCGCCTGCGTGTCAGCAGAATCGGAAGTTCGCGGTCCTTCCATGTCTCCCGATTCGGAAAATCCGCGTTCGGGCCGCGACGCACCTCTTTTTTCTCGGCCTTACAGCCTTTGCAAGCGGTTTGTCTGCCGTGGCTCATGCAGGAGCACTTCCGGCACACCCACGCCCACTTGGGCTTCTGCTTCATGAGAGCGCTGAGAATTTCCTCCGTGACAGCCGGCCGCGTTTGCCCGAGGGCCTGGAAAGCCTCTCCCAGCTCGTGGAATTTCTCTCCCGCATTCGCCTTCTTCCAGAGGGCGAGGAAGTCGCGCGCTGCACGGTCGCGTGCTTCAGAGTCGTCAGTCTACAGCGCTCGTGGCGTTCGTCGGAGAAAACACGCGAGGGCAGGACTTCGCACCTTCCTTTGTTTCTGTCATTGCTGCCTCTCACTGCACGCGCGACACGTCCACGCCGCAACAGCTAGATCGAGATAGCCTCTGCTCGCTAGCGGCGCAGATCTGCGACCCCAACGCGCCAGGGATGCGCAGAGACGACGCGGGCGGATCGTGGCAAAGTACAAGTTAAAGTACAACGTCTATTTTTTGTAGGACACCCCCCCTGAATCGTATCGAGTACGATAGTACTTCGCTGACCTACAAGCGCCCTCGCCGCGAGGAGCATGACTCACGCTGCGAGGCAGCCGCGGCGACCGCTGCGTCACATCCGCGCAGTCCACGCGCGAGGCCGCAAATCGAGCCCACCATCGGGCGCCCAAGCACCTGTAGCGGCCTGCCTCACCAGATGGGCTGCAGCTTGTGCGCTTTCGCGTTCGCGGCCGGAAACGGCATCATCGCCGGCATCGGGTTCGCGTACCCCGCCATCGGCCCCATGGCACCCATGTGCCCCACCTGCCCCTTGCGTCTGCGGCCGCCCTCGCCGCCCGCGCCCGGCGGCGGCACCATGGCCGGCAGCATCCCTGCCGGCGGCGGCACGCTCATCATCATGTTCGGCGGGTGCGATGCGCGGCGCGGCGCGCCCGGCGCCCCCGGCATCGACCCGTTGAGCTTGGCCTGCCCGCGCGGCGACCACCCCCACTGCATGGCCATCTGCTGCATCATGACCTGCTGCATCATCATCTGGTGCTGCATCATCATCATGTGCTGCTGCTCCTGCGCAGACATCGCCGGCGCGCCCGCCTTCCGCCGCCCCCCGCGCGCCCCCGCGCGCTGCTGCTGCTGCTGCTGCGCTGGCGCCTCCGCGCGCCGGCCGCGACGCGCCGGCTCCGGCGCGGCAGGAGCCTTCTGCGCCGCGGCCGCGCCGCCACGACCGCCCGCCTGCTTCTCGCGCTCCTCGCGGCCCCGTCGAGGAGCCGCCTGCCGCTGCGGCGCGTCCTGCACCTTGCCCCGGACAACGCCGCCGTCCTGGCTTCCGCGCACCCCCCGCGGCGTCACGTCCGCGGCCGCACCGGCCCGGGCGGCCCGCCTGCGCGGCCCCGCGGGGTCCGCTTGCGGCCCCCGATCGACACCGCGGCGCCCCGCACCAGCGCCCCGCGCGACCTGCAGGACCTGCGGGGCCGCGCCCGCGCCCGCCGTGTCATCCGCCACGAGCATGCGCGGGTCGAACGCCGCCGACGCCCGCATCGCCCCCTCGGGGTGCGCCCTGGTCAGCTCAGCGATGCCCGAGTCGTCCAGGTCGTCCGCCCGACCGTACGCCGGGGCTCCGCGCCGGCCGCGGCCGCCATCGCCTTGCCGCCGCGGGCTCGAGGCCGCCTGCGACCCGGGCTTGCGCACGTCGGAGTGCGCCCCCTCGTGCCTGCTCCCCGCACCGTGCGTCGTGCCCGTGTCGTACCCCGACGCCTTCTTGTCGCCCGGGAAGCGCGGCGTCTCGGCGGTGCTGGAGACGACGGCGTCGACGCCGCGCGTGCCGGGCACGGAGGCCAGGAGGCTGTCGTCGTTGCTGCTACGTCCGTGCCCGCCCTCGTCGTGCGTGGCGGTGTCCGTGCACGTCCCGATGTCGTCCTCGGGGCGCGAGGACGGCAGCGGCGCGGGGTGGGCCAGGTGCTCGCGGTACGACGCCAGGAGCTGCGTGGGGTGGAGGGGGCGGGTGCGCGCCGTCAACATGCGTGTGGGTCGGCTGCCGTGACGGGGCTCGCGGGGGCGGTTCCGTCGCCGCGGACGGCTTGCCGTGGGGCGCGGAGGCGTGGGCGGGTCGGGATGCGCGGGGGCGCGGCGCGCCGTGCGCTGTAGCGGCGGGGTGGTTGGGTGCACTGGCAGATATGGAAACAGTATCTGGCGGCGCGGCGCACCTGCTGGTTCTGCCGCTTCACGCGGGCCTTCTCCCACTTCTGCCTGCGGGCCATCTCGTACTGCCTGCGGCGCTCGAGGCGCTCCTGGTCCACCTTCCTGGCCTCCGCGTCGTACGCAGGCGCGAGCGTGTTCCACCCGCGAGCCTTCTTCGAGCTCGCCCGCTTCGACACGACGCGCGGAGACAGGGCGCCCTCCTGTTCCACAGGAACGTCGTCGTTGTGCGCCCTGGGGCTCAGACCCGGCGCGTCCGTGCGCGGGTCGCCCGGCTTCCGCCTCGGACTGACCCGTGGTTCCCCCAGGTGCGTCCAGCGCGTCACCACCTGCGCACACGCGCGGCAAAGGCCCGCACCAGTCAATGCATCAGCGCAGTGCGCGGTCGTCACGTCCGCCCGCGCTGTCTCCCGCCCACGGAACGCTCCGGCACGACGTCCAGTGCGCAGCGGCGCGTCCAGCGCGCCGTCGATGCCGCGCGCACCGGCCGCGTCGCCCGAGAAAGCCACCAGGTGCAGGCGACGGGCGCGGCAGCGCGACGACGCGTCGCGGCGCCCCGTCCGCGCGACCCCGCGACCCCTCGCGCCCCACCGACGCACCTTTTCTACCTCGTCCACGTCCGCCACGTCCGCCACCACCTCCCCCAGGGCAAGGTCCACCTGCGGGCACACCGGGCGCATGGGCGGGTCCGTGCGGCGCTCTGTGAAGCGCAGCCTGCTCGCGCCGCCGCGCGCGTCTGCGTCCCGGGGGACCGCGCCACGGGCGCGCGCACCGGCCGCCGTCCCGCCCGCTGCTCCCGCACAGCGCCGTGGGAGCGCGTCGCAGGGGGAAGGTCCGCGTCGCGGTCGGTGCGGCCGCGGACGCGCCTGGCTGGCCGTGCGCGGCGAGATACGCGCGACTGGTCGGGGTTGCCGCCAGTTTCCACGCGGGCGGGGCGGCGTGCGCACCTCCAGCTCCCCAAACGGCACCTCGTGAGAGGCCATCGTCTCGATCATGGCCTCGCGCGCGCTGCCAGCGGCGCGTTCTGTCAATTCGGCGATCTATCTGCTATCTTCCGGATCAAGACTACCGCACCAGGGCGTCAACAGCCAGCCATGGCGTCAACCTGCCCAATCGCGCAACCCGTGACAAGCAAGTGCGCTCTAAAACGTGAAGCAGGAATTCGCAGCGACCGATCCACGGTGACTCCGATCAAGCCAGCCAGCGTCGAGTACTGAACTATGGCAACCTCGCGCGCGGCACAAGAGCCCGCGCGCGCCCCGTCGGTGACGCCCGGGGCCAGTCGGGCTCACCCAGCGCAGCTGCCACGCCCCACACACCCACCCGGAGGCCGCCCCGCAGCGCGTCGGGGCGGCCGCACGAGGTCCCCGCGCGCCCCCGTCGGCGGCCAGATCCGCCGGGTGCGCAGAGAGCGACGTCAGCACCGTGCGAGGTTTTCGACACAGCTCGGAGCGGCGCCTGCAGGGGTGGTGTGCGACGACGCCGCGCGGGCGGGGACGCACGGCACGCGGGGGCGCGGGACCGCATTGAGGGGCGCACGAGCCGTGTTTCTAGGCGGTCCGCGCGCCGGAAGGGCGAGGGGCGGTGCAGCGGCTGCTGAGGCTGCTGCCGCGGGTCGAAGATGAAGCTCCACGGCGGCACGGAGGTGCTCGCTCGCCCGTGTGTGGACTGTGCTCGGACCCAGATGTGGTTGTACTGCCTAGGAGGGCCGAGTATGGTTGCAATGCGGTTCTCGCGGTGGCGTGCGCGCAGGTGGAGGGAGCGTTGCCTTCCCGGAGCCGGGTGCTCTACATCGGGCACCTCCCGCACGGCTTCTATGAGGACCAGCTGCTCGGGTACTTCAGTCAGTTCGGAAGGTATGTTCCGCGCGCCGACGCCAACGTGCCGCGACGTCCCGCCCCCCAACGCCCACTGCCGTGCATGGCGTGATCGCGCGGCGCAGGGTGACGCGGGTGCGCGTTTCGCGCGCGAAGAAGAACGGACGCGCGAAGGGCTACGCGTTCGTGGAGTTCCAGCTCCCGGAGGTCGCGGAGACGGCCGCTGAGGCCATGGACGGCTACATGATGTTCCGCCAGAAGCTGGTGTGCAGGCAAGAGCGCGCGCACTGCCGCGAGGCCGCCCGCCCCCGCATGCGGGACCCTGCTCGGCGCTCCCGGCCCGCCGGCGGCGCCCCCGCCGCATGATGATGCATGCATGTATCTGCTCCCCTCATAGACGTCGCGTCTCTGGCGGCATGGCCGCCGGGGGGTGCGCCGGGGGCCGCGATGCGAGTTCTGACGCGCGCGTCGTCGTCGCTGCGTGTGCCCGCGTGCAGGGTCGTGCCGGTGGAGAAGCAGCACCCGCAGCTGTTCAAGGGGGCCAACCGGAGGTTCCGCGTCAAGCCCGTGCACAAGCTCGAAGCCGAACGACATGCGAAGGTGCGCCCGGGCTCGTCCGCGCCGCGACGACGGCGTTCGCACCGTTCCGCCCGCCGGCGCTGGTGAGACCCGCGCACGACGCCCGTCCGTCCACGTTGCGCGTTCGCGGGATGTTTGCTTGTTCGCAGAGCAACACGCCGAAGGGGTACGCGAAGCGCGTGGAGCGGCTGGCCAAGCGCAGCCAGGCGCGGTTGGAGAAGCTGCGTGACGCGGGCATCGAGTACGAGTTCGACGCGGCGCCGCAGATGAAGGTGCGGAGCAGGATCGTGTTCGACGACGACGAGGAGGAGGAGGAGGAGGAGGAGGAGGAGCCCGTGGTGGCGGTCAAGAAGAAGAAGAAGGTCGCGAGGCGGTGAGGTGGGAGCTGCGCACTGGGCACGGGGCCTGGTGGGTGCCCGCGACGAACGCAGAGACACGCGTTACAGCGACCTTCCGGTGCGCGCGATCTCGCCGTCCGAAGCAGATCGGAGCTGAGGGCGGAAGTAGCAACGAGAGCTTTCACGCTTAGGTGGCTGCGCGCACAGGCATCACAGATGTGACGGATCCAGGATGTCAGGCACCCGCGACCACGAGCCTCCCGCGCGCAGTGCTCCCCGCCGCCCCCGCCGCTCACGTCCCCGGGTTGAACGGGCTCATCACGCTCGACCCCGACTCCGAATCCGACTCCCCCCCCCTCGCCCCCGCCTGCCCCGTCACGCTGTCCTCGCTCCCCCTCCGCGCAGGCACCGCGCCCGCCCGCACCTCCGCCGCCGTCGGCAGCACCGGCCCCGCGCGCTCCTCCATGTAGCGCAGCTTCTTCTGCAGCGCGCCGGGACCCTCGCCCGTCACCTCCGCCTCGCTGCCTCGGCCCGAGTCGTCGTCGGACCCCGCGCCGTCGCCGTAGGGGGGCCCGCCGCCCGGCGGGACGTACCCGCGGCCCCCGGCGTCCACCGAGCCGCACGACTCGACGTCGTCGTCGGGCGCGCTGGCAGGCGCCGGCGCGGTCGGCGCAGCTGCGGCCGGCTCCGGCACTGGCGCTGCTGCGACCGTCGCATCTGCACGGAGCGACGGGGCGCGGCCGCGGGCTCGCCCTGGTGAGCGCAGCGCAGCGCCGCCACGAGTGCACCGAACACAAGCGGGAGCAGGGCTTGCTGCGAAGCGCCGTGCTCACCTGGTGCGAGGGTCGTTGGGTGCTGCGGCGCGGCGGCCCGCTTGGCGTGCAGGATCACGCGGTCCTCGGGGCGCTCGTCGAGGGCCGCGTCGGCGCCGTCGTCGCGCTCCAACGCCGTGCGCTTCCGGTGCACAGCGGCGGGCTCCGCGGGCGCCGGCGCCGGCGAAGGTGCGGGTGCGGGTGCGGGTGCCGGCGCCGGTGCGGGTGCGGGTGCGGGTGCGGGTGCGGGTGCCGGCGCCGGTGCGGGTGCGGGTACCGCCTCGGGCGTCTGCTGCGGGGCCGGCGGCGCGGTGAGAGCGGGCGCCGGTGCGGGGCCCGCCGGTGCGGCGCCGTTCGCAGACGGCTCCTGCAGGCCAGGACACGCAGGGGGGCTCGTGATCACCCACCCGTTCGGTGTTTGGCTCCCCTACATAAACAAATATATATATACTTTGTTTGTGATACGGTTTCACGGCATGACGCGAGCCGCGGCAGCATCGCATGACTGCCCAGTGCATCGAAGATCTTGTCCCGTGCGCACGCACGTGCCGCTGCTTGCTCGCGTGACCTCGAGATATGACGCGCTGGTCATGCGGTCGCAGCAATGCGCACCTGTTCGTCGGGAAGCCGGACGTCGATATGGTCGGGCGTCTTCGGCCGTGCGGTCGCGCTGCGGCCGCACAGCCGCGCGAAGAGCGCCGCGAGGCACCCCGGCATAGCGCTACTCCCGCTCCCCCCCGCTGCCGTGGACTCGCAAGCCTGAGGCGCAGTCGCGGGCCGTGTGCGGCGCGGCTGGCGCGAACACCACTGGCTGCGGCGCCCCGCTGTCCTGCAGAGACTCGTCCCGAGCGTCTTGCGATTGGCGCGTGCGTGCGGGCGGTGCAGCGGGCGGGAGCGCAGGCCGTGTCCCGGTTGGCGCCGTTGGCCACCGCCGCGCCGGTCGCAGGCGAGCGGGGCTGCGGACCAGCTGTGCGGCAGGACGTTGATGCGGGGAGTCACCTGGACTGCTAGGGCGTCGTCGGCAGCGCGTGCTCCTGTGCGGGGGACCCTAGGTTGGAGGAGGCTGTTGCAGGGCAAGTGTGCCGCGCACGCCGCGAGGAACAGACGAAGCCGCGGTTGTACTAGCGCTGGAGATTCCCTAATGCTGAGAGAGTCCGCGCGGGTGGTTGTCGCGACGTCGCGGTCCCTATCCGACCTGCCCGTGCGGTGCCACCGTTGAGCTGGTTTTGCCCGGGCACGCCTGTTGCGCTCAGTGCGGAGGTCAGCCGCGCTCCGCCTCCGCGCGACGCCCAGCTACAGTCCACGAGCTCCCGGCGCTCACTGCTCCACAACGGCACCCGCCAGCCCGCGGCCGGCTGCACTTGCCTCGTGCAGAATTCCCCAGCGTTCCGATCGTTGCCGCGCACAGCTCGCCGTCGCGCACCCAACACCGTCCCTGCGTGATCTGGGCGCCGCCCAGGCGCACGCGCGGCCCTCGAGCGCCCCCCTGGCGCTGTCACAGGGTCCCTCCTGCCAGCTTCAGCGTCCTACCACCTGAGGTGGCGCAGTCGCGCCGCTCCGAGGGGCCCCGCGTCCGGCACCATGGCCGGTGGTCGCCGGACGCCCGCAGTATCTTCCCAAGCCACGGCGTTTCGCGCCACGCCAGCGCCAGTCGCACCGCAAGCGCACAGAGCGTCCCGCTGGTTTGAACGCGCGTCTCCGCGGCCCCTGCAGCGTGTGCAAGGCGTCTGCAGCTGCGAGAGGGCGACGAGCTAGGCGAGGGAGTGCCCGGTGCCCCGTATGGGGCGTGCGGACGTCTCTGCAACCCGCTAGCACCTCAGTGGCGATGTTGAAGAGCACGCTAGTGCTGCTCATAGTGATTCTTTCGATAGCGGGGCGGGTATGGGCGGACGCAGGGGATGCGAGCCGACAGCGACAGGCGCAGACAACGCCTTCGGTGCGGTCCGGGTTCTCCCGGCTGCGCACATACGTGGACGTGGACGCCCTCAAAGGGTGAGTGCTCCTGGGCCCACCGCGCCGCGTGCGCGCGCAGTGCGCCAGCGCACACGTGCGCGAGCCCGGCTGCAAGCAATTGCGCTCCTCGGCGCCACAGGCGCGATAGACATGCGGAGCGGGGCCGAAAACCCCGCGAAACGGAAGCTCTATATTTGGGCAGCGCTTGCACGGCGCTCCGCCCGCCCCGCCGCGCGCCGCCCGCCCTCGGCCCGCACCGAATCCGCTCCGCCCCGGCTCTCCCCGCTCTGCGTCGTCGCAGGGACCCGAAGACGTGCTATGCGACCTCGGACGTCGTGCGCATGGGCGACCCGGACGCGTGCGGGTACGGGTGCCAGTTCGCGTCGACCATCATCGGGTCGTCGTCGGCGTCCGCGTTCGGCACGGCGCCGCTGCTAGGCGCTCCGGACAAGTGGCCGCTGCCGAATGAGGTCCGCGCCCCTTGCCGGCCTCGCAGCCGCGCGCCAATCGCCCTCCGCCGCAACGCCCGCTGCTGCTCCGCGCGCGCGGTCGAGGCGCTGCGACGGCTCGCACGGCAGGGCCGCGCGTCCTCGCGCACGCAGAATCCACAGTCGCGTTTCGGTTCTGGCTCGTAGCCCGAGGCCGCAGACCCCTTCCCCGCCAGCGCGACGCACGCAGCTCTCACAGCCGCACAGGGCCCGCGGGACCATGTCGGTTCCCACGGAAGCCCCGAGCGCATCACACCCGTGCGCCGGCGGCCTGCCGTCGCGCACGCTGCGGTCGAGCCGCGCGCCGTGCGTCTCTATGCGTCCCCAACACCCCCGGTGTGTGGTCGCCGCTGTGCAGGACAAGCTGGGCCGGATCTGGATGCCGTCCACGCAGAACGCGGGCACCGAGTTCATCGAGTTCTCCGTGAACGCCCCGGTCTACGTCACGGGCTTCTGGGTGTACGAGGCGTGCGCAGCGGGCGCGATCGTGCTCATCGAGGGGCGCGGCGCGGACGGCGTGTGGACGCGGCTGTGGAACGGCACGGCGAGCCCCGTGCCGGGCACGGTGCTCCAGGGCGACACGTGGTCGTGCGTCGCGCGGCTGTTCAAGCCGGACGTCCAACCGCCGCGCCAGAAGCTCCTGCAGGACTTCCGCATCACCCTGAACACCGCGCAGGGTGCGACGCCCAGCGCACGCGTACCGCCTTGCTGGTGGTCCTGCATGTTCCGGTGCCGTGCTCGCGGCCCGCCTCGCAAGAGACCTTGCGCCGGGCACCAGTTGCGCTAGCTGCGTCGTGGGCCTGTGCTGTTCCGGCTCCGTTCGTGGTGCCGTGCATATCGCTTGGGTATGCGTCGCATGTTTGCGCCGCGGCAGCGCCCGGCTGCGGCCGGTCGCCCCGTGAGTTGACGCCTGGTGTGTCTGTTTGTTTGTGTCCCGCAGTGACGGGTCCGAACCAGCTGGACGCGGTCCAGGTCTTCGGTGACGACTCCGACGGCCGCCCCGTCGACGACACGTCGCTCGACACGTGCGCGGCGGCGAACGTCGGCGCCTGCTGGCTGCGCTGCACCAACGCCGTCGACGTGGCCTTCACCGCCCGCGTGGACGCGGCGCTCGCGCTCCTCCAGGACGTGGCCGTCTTTTTCGCGCGCGCCCTCACGATCGCGAACCCCACTGCGCCCGTCAAGGTCCCGCGCGACACGGACGGCCTCGTCAAGTGCGGCGACGTCGACATCCCGGCGTACCTCGCCGACACGGGCCTGCAGGCGACGAGCCTCGTCGTCGTGCCCACGCTCCGCCCCGACACGCAGGTCCTGCGCGTGTCCGCGTGCCACACGGACGCCGGCACGCAGCGCCCGTTCGTGCTCCGCGTCAACATGGTCCCGCAGTACGTCGACCCCTACACCGGCACGGACGAGCGGCTGCGGCGGCTCGCGATGGACGCGCTGCTGCACGAGCTGTACAGGGCCATGGGGTGGTCCTCGCAGACGCTCGCGGCCGTCCGCGGCACTGCGTCCGTGACCGAGGCCGCGACCGTGTCCTTCTTCGGACAAAACCCGACGACGTGGAACCAGAGATACACGTGAGCGAGCCTGCGCACCCGTCGCCTGCTGTCCGTGTAGCGCGGCGCTGTGGCGGAGCGCTGCCGTCACCGTATCCAGCACTCGCCAGTGTCCGTTCGAGCCGCGACTGCCGTCTCGTTGGGCTGCAGGATCACGACGAACGCGCAGGCGATCCTGGGCAAGGCGCGGGAGCACTTCGGCGCGGCCAGCCTGCAGTCGGTGGAGTTTGAGAACGACAACGCTGTCGGGTTCGGGGGCACGGCAGTCACCGGGCGCATGCTCGAGCACCGGATCTTCCTCGGCGAGCTCATGACGACGCCCGTGTGGACGACCTCGGCCACCTACGCCAGCGCCTCCGCGGGGTGGACGTTCCCGTCAGGTAGAACCCACGCAGCCACATCAACCCCCGCCCCCCCGCGCTGCACGCTTTCGACGTGATGACGGCCCTGCGCGTCAGCTCCTATGATGACTGATCGTACGTGCCCGGCCCTCGCGATACCGTTGATCCTCGATCTGTGTGCTGATGCGTGCCCCTCGTCTTCTTCTCGGTGCGTCGCAGCCCGCACGGCGCGCCCGCTGCACCGCTCGGCCATCTCCCTGGCCCTCTTCGAGGACCTCGGGTTCTACGTCCCCGACTACGCCGCCGCGGAGCCCCTCTCGTGGGGCTTCCAGCGCGGCGAGACCTTCCCCACGGAGGAGTGCTTCCGGTGGGTGACGCCCAACGCTCCGTCGTCCGGCGCCTCGGACGCCTCGGCGTACGGCGTCCAGGAGATGCTGACGTGCCCGCCGACCGCGGCCCGCACCGCGTTCGACCCCGCGGGCCGCGGGGACGAGCTGTGTTCGCACGACCGCACCTTCAAGTGGCAGTGCCAGTACGCCGACTACGGCACCCCGCTCCTGAGCCAGTACTCGTACTTCGACTCGGCCATCTCCGGCGGGTTCTGGCAGCGCGCCGACTTCTGCCCGCTCGTCGCCCCGTCCTACGCGCACCTCCCCACTGGCGCGCCCTCGGGCTCGCCCAACCCGGCCGACACTACGGGCCGCGACTGCACGGACGGCGCGTTCCTGCCCGCGGGCTCCACGGGCGAGGAGTACGGCACCAGCAGCCGCTGCTTCACGACGGTCGTCGGCACGGACGCCGCGGAGACCACGTACGCGAACCGGTGCTTCAAGACGACGTGCATCGGCAGCGCGCTGCTCGTCAAGCTGGGGGCGTCGTGGCAGCGGTGCCCCGACACGGGCGGCAGGCTCTTCTCCACGGGGCTGGGCGTGACCACGTTCTGCCCGCCCGCCACGCAGCTGTGCGCCGGCGCCCAGGCGGGGAACCCGAAGCCCGACGTGCGCGTGTACACGGACGTCAGCCTGGTGAGTGCGCCCGCGACTCAGTCAATCTCAGCTCGTTTTCAAGGGTGCACGTTCTTCAGGAGGAACACACGCATCTTGAATGATCTTTTATATGTTTCCCTCCCTCAGGATAAACATGCTTGAGATACATCCATGTTTCCGTAATGCCGGCACGGGCGTGACACGCGCTCGGGGGGCTTGCGGAGCGTGTCGCCGCTCTGAAACGTTGCTTCCGTGCGTCACTGTTCGCAGATCCTGCGGCCGTACGTCCGCGTGGACGTGGAGGTGACGAACTTCGCCATCGGGGAGGCGGGCCGACGGCTGCGCGTGACCCTCGGGGGCGTCGAGGTCGGCAGCTTCGCGCAGACCATCACCACGCCGGTCATCAGCCTGTTCTTGCAGGTCAGCATTTAACCCCACCCCCCATGATGCCACACATCTCGTTTTCGTCACAGGACTCGCTCGATGACCCTGCGATGCGCCGCGTAAGGATCGCATTCGCACAGCTGGGCGGTGCTCTCTCATTCTGTGTCCATAATCGAGCGTGATAGTCGTTGACAGCGCACAGCAAAGCCGCCCAGACTCGTCGTGGAAACTTGCAGGACCTCCCCGAGGCGGCTGCGGGCACGACGATGTCGTTCGAGCTGGTCGACGCCCTCCAGCTCGTCCACGCCACCGACCAGCGCACCGTCCGCGTCCAGCACGAGGGCCTGACTCAGTTTGCGGCCTCCACCACCGCCAGCTCCCAGTACACCTCCGCGGCCGACCTCGTCACCCTCGGCGTCCTCACGGGCCTCTCGTGCCCCGCGTCCGGCGCCGTCGGCTCCCAGGCGATCACCTCGTACGGCGTCGACCAGCCCGTCGGACTTGTGTCGCGCGCGTGGTCGCCCCTGACCGGCGGCGCAGGCATCCGCGCGACCCCGGGCGTCGAGTTCCTCGAAGTCACCGTGCCCGTCGCGGTGATCGCGACCGACGTCGCGCTGTTCGAGGCCTTCTCGCCCGGGACGCTCAGCCGCGTGCTGGCGTGGAACGCTACGGCGCAGAGCTGGGCGGTGGTGTACAGGGCCGAGCGGTTCACGCAGCGGCAGCTGCGGACGAGGAACGCGCTGCGCGCGGGCAACACGATCGGCGCGGCCGCGACGAACGTGTACCGAACGCGGCCCGTGGACGTTTTCTCGGACCGCTTCCGGCTGGAGTTTGCCACGCCGTCGTGGGTGCACCTGGACGCCGTGCAGGTGCGCGCGCGACGCCGTGCTTGGATGTTGCGTGAACGGCGAAGCGAAGCCCTCCCTGGGCGGGTCGGGCGTGCCGCGTTGCTACACATAAGCAACTTGAGGGGCCGGCGACCACCGACTTGCTCGTCTTGCGAACCCGATTCGACCCGCCCTTGTGCCGCACGTGGCTCACCGCACGTAGCTTCGCTGGCCGCAGATCACGGGTAACTCGGCGATGCTGGCCAACACGCCGGCGCACGTCCCGGGCCCCACGAACACCGTCGAGGTCGCCCTGGGCAGCACGGGCGCGCAGGTCGTGCCGCTGACCTTCACCAAGGCCAACAACGCCACCCTCGCGTGGGAGCTCGTGGTCACGTCCGGCGCCACGTGGCTCTCCGTGCCCTCTACCAGCCAGCGCGGCTTCGCCGTCGGAACGGCTCCCATCGAGGTACGCACACACACGTACAATAACACACTGTTTCCGCACGGATCGCCCTCAGCGACCTCGCCTCGCTGAGCCAGCCGAGCCGCATTCTTTGCGCTTCATTTCGATTGAACGCTCGCTGGTGTTGCCCCGCGCGCATGAGCCGTCTGTGTGTATGTATTGAAGGTCGGTTGCCCTGGGCGAGTCGTCGTCTATTCTGCAGGTGACGGTCTTGGTCAACGCGACGGCCGCGGGCAGCGCGCGCGAGTTCCTCCTGCGCGGCGCGGTCACGCTCCGCAACCGCCTCGTCGGGAGCGCCGCCCTGGGGGTCGCCAACGTGAACCTCCTGCGCAACACACTGTCCGGGTTCGACATCCACACGCCGCCGTGCGTGCACGGCATGGTCGTGCCCAGCGACACCGCCGACAGTAGCGGGACCTGCCGGTGCTTCCCGGGGGCGTACGGGAGCACCTGCGAGTTCCTGGAGTGCCCCCGGGGGTGTTCCAGCAACGCAAACGAGAACCGGGGGGTGTGCGACAGGTAGGGCCCCGCCCCGCCGCGACGCCACGCCCGTCCTTGCAGAGCCATTGGCACGTTGCATCGCGGGTCGAGTCGAGGAACGCGCCTTTTTCGTTCTAAGAAGCGTGGCTGTGTTTGGTGGATGCAGGTACACGGGCAAGTGCGCGTGCCAGGCGGGCTTCTACGGCGTCGATTGCAGCGGCGTCAGCGGCGGGTGCACGTTCTCCTTCGACGGCACGTGCGGCCCCAGCTTCAGCGCCGGGCGCTACGTCATCAACGGCGAGGACTCCCAGAACCTCAACCGCGGGGACGGCGTGCTCCCGCGCTCCATGCAGGTCCGACACAGCCGCACGCCCCTTGCATCTCGGCCGCTCTGTTCGATTACGCTCGCTGCGAGGTCATGGGGCACGTGCAGTCTCAGCACCTGGTTGCGGTTTGGCAAAGGAGCGGCAACGGCCCGAATGGACCGGGGACGCCTCATGATCCACGCCCCATGTTGACGATGAGCACTTTCCGTGCGTTCTCACGAGGCCGCCACCCCTTGTTTGGTCGCAGTGTGGGGGGGGTGACAACTTCTTTGGCTGCGACACCCTCGTACGCATGGAGCTCTGCTGCCGCGCCTCCACGAACGCCGTGTGTCCTTTCCGCGCCAACTCGGCCCCGTGCGCGTCGCCGTCGTGCCCCTTCACGGGCGCCCCCACCGCCGCCCCCGCCACCCAGGGATCCGCCACGGCGGCGCCAGGCTCCGGTGCGGCGACCGCGGCGCCGAACACCACGGCGCCTGCCGCACCGACGCCCACGGTCGCTGCCGGCAACGGCAGCCGGCGCTTCGCGAGTGAGGAGGAGGTGGCTGTTGCGGCCGCGAGGGTGAGCGAGCGGCGCGCGCAGGGCAACGCGACGACGGCAGCGCCCGGCACGACGACGGCGGCGCCCGGTACGACGACGGCGGCGCCTGGCACGACGACGGCGGCGCCGGGCACGACTGCGGCGGGCGCTGCCGCCACCCAGGCCCCACCGACCAATGCGCCTGGGACGACGCCACCGGCGTCGGCAACGCGGGACCTCACCGCTGGCATCGCAGCGTCGTCGGCATGCCTGACAGGTGCGATCGTTTGCCTGAAATCAGCCGATTCGTGCATGACCAACCTGTCAGCAGCCACATCTTGCCAGTCTCCTCTTGTGCGGTTTCAGAACAGTCTTGTTCTTGGTGCAGCTGCGTGCGCGTGAAGACTGCATGAAGCGCGCCCCGACACGCACGCCGCCGGACCTCTGACGCGCCGCACCGCTCGCGCGTCCTCGTTCCCCGCAGTGGTCAACAACTACTGTTTCTACCAGCCAGACGACCCCGCGTGCCACTGGTTCCGCCCACACAACATCCCCTCGGACTTCCCTTGCCCCGCGGCCGTCATCGCCAAGTTCTGCGCGATGCACCCGTTCGACGCCGACTGCGCGACGTACGTGGAGCAGAAGGTCTGCCGGTTCGGAGCCAGCGGGTGCGTCGGCGCATCCCACACGTGCCGCACATGTCCACGCACGGTAACTCGTCGCTGCCACGCCGCGCCTGCGCGCGATGCCCGAGACAGTCCGGGCCTCTGGACCGGCTGCCCGCGTGGAGACCGACCCCCGCTCGTCCATGTGCTTGCATCTCCGCGCCCGACTTCCGCGAGCCCCTACCGCGGTGTCCGCTGTCCCGCAGGCCCTGCGAGAGCGCTGCATGCCGCGCCGACCTCCTGTCTTCCGCGTGCCGCGCGGAGATGCGCACGTACTGCACGGCGAACCCTACTGACAGGGAGTGCATCGTCCAGGGACTCGCGCCGCGCGGGTGCCTCTTCGCGGCCGGCAGCGCGCCGTGCGTGGACTCCGACTGCCTCACGAACGGCTGGGAGCGCGACGTGTCGTGCAACGCCACGGTGCGTCCCCAATCGTCGATTCCCATCTCATCGTCAACTGACTAGTGGACGACTGTTTCGCCCACGTGCGCCCGCCGCCCCCTCCGTGCAGATCGCCACCTACTGCGCCACCTCCGCGGGCGCGGCGGACCCCGAGTGCATCGTGCGCGGCTACGTCGCCGCGGAGAACCTGGTGATCGACTCGAATGCGTGCCCGCTGACGACGGTGCAGCGCGCATGCGACGAGTTCGGGGCCGCGGACGAGTTCTGCGTCCTCCTGCGCATGTACGGCGTGACGACGCGGTCGGAGCTCGCGCCGTTCGACGCAGCGCCGACCATCCTGGCCCGGCTCGACGGCCGCATCGCCCAGGACTCGAGCCGGCTGGCCGTCACGCAGCGCGAGGTGGAAATCGGCCGGCGCGAGTTCGTGGCCCGCCACGCGCTCTACTCCGAGTTCTTTGCGTACGCCGACGCGGACGCCAACGGGCGCCTCGCGCTCGACGAGGTGCCGGCCGTGTCGCGCTTCGCCAGCGCGTTGCGCTCCGGGTCCGGGAGGGGGTTCCCGGCGGCGCTGGCGCTGCTGTCGGCGCTGACGGACGCGGAGATCGCCGCGGCGGTGGCGCCGACGACGACCGCGGGTGGCGACGGAGCGTTCGTGACGCGCAGCGAGCTGTTCACGCGGCTCGAGGCGGCGTACCAGCTCAAGGTCCTGCCTTGAGAGTTGGGGGGGAACGAGGGAATCTGGGTGTTGTTCGGGAGGATGAATCAGACGGATTGGCGATTCGGAGGCTTGGTGCAGAGGGATGGCGCACGGGCGGAGCGCCCTCGGGGAAGGAATAGGTTGGCGAAGGTTGAGCAGTCGCAAAGAGCAATGTACGTGCTTCGAGACGACGGCTGCCATGATGTGTAATCAGCGAGACACCGACGTGCGGTTCCGAAGGCATTCACAGCGGCATTCTGGGCTCAACACAAATGTCCGATTCAACCGGCTGACATGATGCCGCGAGCCTGCGGTGCGCCAGCGCCACCGACGCCCCGCGTGACTCTCAGCTCTCCCCCACTCCCCCACGACTGCGCTCCCCGCGGCGCGCTCACTTCTTCTTCGCCGCGAGTTTCTTCTGCGCTTTGCTCATCTTGCTCTTGGCCTTGATGTTGCTGCGCTCCACCGCGAGGCGCGCCGCCGCCCGCTCCTCCTCCTTCGCCGCCGCCTCCTCGTTCATCTCCAGGTACTCCGAGTAGTCCGCCTCGTAGTCCTTGAAGTCCCCGTCCTTGATCTCGATGACGCGCGTCGAGATCTGCCGCAGGAAGTACCGGTCGTGGCTCACCGCCAGGACCGCCCCGTCGAACGACTTGAGCGCGTGCTCCAGCATCTCCTTCGACGGAATGTCGAGGTGGTTCGTCGGCTCGTCCAGGATCAGCAGCGTGGCCGGCGTCAGCATGAACTTGGCCAGCGCCAGCCGCGCCTTCTCGCCGCCCGACAGCACCGACACCTGCGCGGGGAGCGCTCCGGCGGAACGAAGCGATGGGACCCGGAGCGCTACCGCAGTCGACAGCGCAACGACCCAGGGGGGGGGCTCCTTGTCGTGTGAGTTGTTCAGTTCGGGCTGGAGGAGCAACGCATGGCGCAAGATCAATCCGCGATTCGCGGCGCGCACCTTCTTCTCCATGGCCTTCCCAGAGAACATCATCTGTCCGAGGAGCGCCTTGATGGCGTCCAGGTCCGCGTCGGGCGCCGCCAGCTGCAGCGTCTTGAGCACGGTCAGGTCCAGCTCGAGCGCCTCGGCCTGGTTCTGCTCGAAGTAGTTCGGAACGATGTTGTGCGGGCCGAGCCGCGCGATGCCGTTGTTCGGCTTCTCCAGCCCGCGGATCAGCTTCAGGAAGGTCGACTTGCCTGCGCGCAAACAGAGTGGCAGCACCGCGTTAGCAGCAGGGCACTGGTGCGATCCCAGGAGCGCCTGCAACGGCCGTGGGGAGCGACGGAGCTGCGAAGCGGCGCGGGGGCCTCACCGGCTCCGTTGGGTCCGAGGATGGCCACGCGCTCCCCGCGCTGCAGCACGAGGTCGACGTTCTCAAAGAGCTGCTTGCTGTCGTACTTCTTCGTGAGCTCGAGGCACTCCACGACCACCTGCCCGCAGCGCTCCTCGGTCACGGGGAACTCGAACCGCCGCCGCTTCTCCTCCCACGGCTTCTCCACGAGCCCGTCCTTCTTCATCCGCTCCAGCTGCTTCTTCGCCTGCTCCGCGCGCCCCGACTGCGCGCCCGCGCTCAGCTTCTGGATCATCTCCCGCAGCTTCTTGATCTCCTTCTGCTCCTTCTCGTACGCCACCATCTGCGGCGCGGGCGCGGGAGGAGCAGCGCGTCGCATGCGGTGCGCTTGCGAGGGCAAGAACGCAACGCACGCTTCGAAGCAATCGTCCAGAAACGGCCGGACACATGCACCGGTCATCGCCGTGCGCGCTGTGGAGCGGCGGCGGCGGCGAGGCGCGTGGCTTGCGTGCGCGCACCTGCTGCGCGTAGTCCTCGCTCTTCTTGGCCAGGTACGCGGTGTAGTTCCCGTCGTACGTCTTGGCGTACCCGCGCTCCGTCTCCACGATCTTGGTGCACAGCTGGTCGAGGAACTCTCGGTCGTGGCTCACGATCACCATCGGGATGTCCTGCTCCTTCAGGTAGTTCTCCAGCCACTCAATGGTCTCCAAATCAATGTGGTTCGTCGGCTCATCCAGCAGCAGGATGTCCGGGTCCTGCGCAAGGCGACGAGGCGCACGACCACGGCCCGTCAGAGACCCCTTGGTGCATGCAAGCGCCAGCAAGGAACAAAAACAGGCCCGCGCAGCCCGCGTTATGTCGCTCGTGCACAGCGCCCACATTGCACGCCCAACGCGTCTCGCGGCAAGGGAGGAACGAGCGCCTCACTGCCCCGGCACACCCCACCACCACAGCATGCAGCGAGGGCAAAGCAGCAGCGGGGGGCATCCGGCTTGCCTGGAGGAGCAGCTTGCCGAGCATCATGCGCATCTGCCAGCCGCCCGAGAAGGCCGCGACGAGGCGCTCGTTGTCGTCCGCCGCGAACCCCAGCTGCGCCATCACCTTGTCGATCTTCGCATCCATCGTGTCTGTGTCCAGGTCCGTCGCCTTCCGGTTGAGCTTCTCCATCTCGTCCAGCAGATCCCCCATCCTGCAGTGGTGCAGCGAGGGCGGTGTGGCGCGGCGAGTTTGCAACGCATCGAAGGTGGAGTGCGCATGCACGCCATCGCCGCGGACTGTGGGGTTCATGAGCCCCGCGCTGCGGTGCAGGTGCGTGGGCGCACTTCTCCATGTCGTCGCCGATGTTTTCCAGCTCAGAGGTGATCTCGTCGATCCGCTTCAGCACCGACACGCTGGCCCCAAACACCGACGCCAGCTCCTCCCGGACGGTGCGCGAACCGTCGACGTCGAACTCCTGCTTGAGGTACGCCACCTTCATGTTCTTCTTCGCGCGCATGATCTGCGAGAGCCACACCACGCCACGGCGCACGCATGCTCAGAGACGCCACCCCCTCAATCGAAAGCGAACCTCGCGCCGCACCCGCAGGCGGTCCCCGCGAGGCAGTCCGTGCAATCGAGCAGGAACCTGGGCGGCGCGCGCGCGTGCGGTGCCGCACTCCCCCCTCGCACCTCGCCGCCGTCGGGCTCGATGTTGCCCATGATGATCTGCAGCTGAGTGGTCTTGCCCGCGCCGTTGTACCCCACCAGCCCCACGCGCTCGCCCTTCTTCACCTCCCACGACACGTCCTTGAGCACCTGCGTGTTCTTGAACGTCTTCGAAATGTTCGCCAGACGGATGCCGCTCGTCGACCCCACCAGGCCGTCCGCCATGCGCATCGAGTCGTCGTTGTCGCCGATCTCGCCCGCAGCGGCGCCTGCGGGCACGAGCACACAAGCACGCGGATCGCCCCGTGAACGGACCGCTCGGCCGCCGAGGTGCACGCTCTTCATGCGTGTGCTGCAGTGGCGGTGGTTGGGACGGCAGGCAGACGCCGCGGCGGATAGACGTGCCGGCGGGCGCGTGCTGGCGTGCCGTTGCTCGGCGGGACGCACCGTTGGCTCCGTTGGTTCCGTTCGCGCCGTTGGCGCCGTTGCCGTTGCTCTCGGCAGCGCCGTTGGCCTGGGGCGCCTCCGAGGGCGGCTCGTCCGCGACATCGACGCTCGCGGCCTTCTTCTTCTTCTTCTTCTTCGCCTCGGTCATGACGAGGCGAGCGGGCCGCATCCGCACGCCGGCCACGCGCCTGCAACGCACCGCGAGCGCACGCACGCTCCGTGGGCGGCCACAAAACAGCAGGCGCCGTTCCTCGCGATGCGCGGCACATTCGCCCCTCATCTGCCACATCCAGGTGAAGTAGCAGCAGAGAGCAGAGGGACTCGCAGTGGTTTGCCCGGGAGGCCTCAGATGCGGGGCTACCGGGACGGGAGGGGCTCCGCGGGGATAAGAGCGCGGCTGTGCGGGCGCAAGACGGGGAGTGATGACACGTTTCGCGGCTTCGAAGGCCGGATGTCAGTCCTCGTCGTGCGCACAGCGGGGGAGATCGTTTACCTGGGCAGCATGGGCGCGGCCAGGCCCGGCCGAGCCGGGGTGCGCAGGCACTGAGACGCTTGGAGCGCGTACATCGCGGCTGTGGGCGCCAAAATCTCAAGGGCGCTCTCGCGCTTGCGTTTCTAGCTAGTGTCGCGTGCGAGGGGACCGCCGGATGATTCGGGGGGGTCCCGGGTGCCACGCAAGCCCCTTCCTCAACTGGGAGCCAGGAATTCCCGATTGTCGTCGGGCTGCTTCGATTGAGCGGCCAGCGCCGAGCTGCGTCGTCCGGAATTGATCGCTGCCGAGAGAGTTCGGTGGCGAGGCGTGCGGCCCGCGCAACCGAGCGCGGGGCTGCGGAGCGCCGCTGCGTCAGTGCTCGGGACCCTATTGCAGGAGCTTGAGAGGCCCCCGCTGCGCGACCGGCCGCGAGTTCCGGGCCTCTAGGTGGCGGGGATCACTCACCGCTCTCCGCGCAAGGGTCAGATTGGCGGGTTCCGCGCTGTGGGCGGACGTAGTGGGGTGCAACTGCCCGGAACTCACTCGGACGGCGCGCGCAGTCAGACCGTGTCAGGCGTCGCTTGCGGGATTGCGCGGAGGACGTCTGTTTTCTCCGCGTCGAGGATCCGAGGTCGGTTGGGTCATCTGTTGCGCGTGCGATGTCGGAGCGCACGGCGTTCATCATCGGGGTGGCGGGGGGCACGGCGTCGGGCAAGACGACGGTGTGCGAGGAGATCGTGAACCGCCTGAACGAGCAGTGCGTCGTCATGCTCAGCCAGGACTCGTTCTACCGGTGAGCGCGCCGCAACGCACGCAGGACGGAGCGACTCCAGCACGTCCTGCGCCACCGGGCCAGTGCGGCCGTCGCTGCGCGCGGAACGAGCCATCATGATGTCGTTCCCCTTACTCTCGAGCTCAGAGTGACACGGACTTGGCAGCGTGCTATTCGCGGCCGTTTCGTGAGTCCAGGGTGTGTCAATTGGCCACCGATGGAGGCTCAATGGTTGCCGGCACCATCCCATGTTGTCTCGCAGCGGTTTGACGCCCGAGGAGGAGGCGAACGTCAAGGAGTACAACTTCGACCACCCGAGCGCCTTCGACGAGGACCTCATCATCGACACCATTTGCAAGCTCCGCGCCGGCCAGGGCGTCGAGGTGTGCCGGGAGCCGCGCGCCCCCGAACGCAGCCCCAGGCGGGGCGCCCGCACCCGCACGCCGCCGCCCTCGCCCCGCGCGGACGCCCCCGACCGCGCGCGCGACCGCCGCGGCCTCCCCGCAGGTGCCGATATACGACTTCGAGAGGCACCAGCGGGCCGAGGAGACCACCCGCGTGAACCCGGCCGACGTCATCATTCTGGAGGGCATCCTCGTGCTACACATGGAGCGCATCCGCGAGCTGTGCAACATGAAGGTCTTCGTCGACACCGACGACGACCTCAGGCGCGCGCCCACCTCACCTGCGCGCCCGCCGACGGTGCTGGGGAAGCGCGCGCGTATGCGAGACGACGCAACGCGCCCATATGTGTCGCCCCGTCGCGTTCCTGGCACTCGATAGCGTCGAGAGCCTCGCTGTGCGCCCCCGCTGCTCTCTGCCCGCCCATGTGCTGCAACTTGCGCGTGGCCTGCAGGCTGGCGCGGCGCATCCAGCGCGACATCGCGGACCGCGGGCGCGACGTGCGCGGCGTCATTTCGCAGTACACGCGCTTCGTCAAGCCGGCGTTCGACACCTTCGTGTCGCCCTCCAAGCGCTACGCGGACGTCATCATCCCGTGGGGCAACAACACCAACGTGGTGGCCATCGACCTCATCTCGCAACACATCCAGTCCAAGCTCTGCCAGCACGAACTCAAGCGCGTCCACCACAACCTCCAGGTCATCCGCTCCAACTTCCAAATCCGCGGCATGCACACCATCATCCGGGATCGCACCACCTCGCGCTCCGACTTCGTGTTCTACTCCGACCGCCTCCTCCGCCTCGTCGTCGAGGCCGGGCTCGGGTTCCTGCCGTTCCGCGAAAAGGCAAGCTCGCGCCAAGCGCCTGACTCACGCCGCCTCACACATGCGCGCTTGCTTCTTGCCGCAGCGCTTGCGGCGCGCCCGGGCCGCTCGACGGTTTGCACGTACGGAGCGAAGGTGCTTCACGTGGGCCGCCTTCATCGCGTCGAGGTGCCCGCAGGTGGTGCAGACGCCGGTCGGGGACTGGTACGTGGGGTTGGAGTTTGCCCGGAAGCTGTGCGGGGTGGCGCTGATCCGGTCAGGGGAGGCGATGGAGACGGCGCTGCGGGACTGCTGCAAGGGCATCAAGATCGGGAAGATCCTCGTCCACAGGTGCGTTGTGCCGCCAACACCAGCGGCAGATGATGACGGCTCGCGCGTTCCCGCCCTGCTCTTCGCATGCATGGCCGCCGGTCGCGCGACGACACGATGCTGCGCACCCAAGATCCAGCTATCTTCGATCGGGCGCGGGGGCGCCGGCACCTGCCGAGTTTCAATGCTGTCGAACGAGACTGGCGCAGCCAAGACGCTGCCAACCAACGCCGCCGACGACCACCGCGCCGTGCTTCGCAGATCAGCCGCGGACGACATCGACCAGCCCGACATGATCTACGAGCGCCTCCCCGCGGACATTGCCGACCGCCACGTGCTGCTGATGGACCCCATCCTCGGAACCGGGAACACCGCCACCCAGGCCATCGAGGTACGCGGACGTCACGACCTCCGTCGCTCACGACGATGTTTGTCCCCCACGCAGACGCACGGAATATGAAACACGCGTCGAAGTACCATCAAGACACACACGTGTTTCTTGGGCGTCCCTTCCGGGACAGATAGACCAGCGAGACGCTCGATGCCTGCACAGGAGGCCGTTCACGTGCGTGTGTGCGCTCCCACCCGCTGTGCAGCTGTTGTTGTCCAAGGGTGTGCCGGAGACCAACATTCTGTTCCTCACGCTCATCTCCGCGCCGCCGGGGATCCGCAAGGTGTGCACGCTGTACCCGAACCTCAAGGTGATCACTAGCGAGATTGACGACGACGTGGCGGGCGGATCCGTGCGCCCAGGCGTGGGGGAGTTCGGTGACCGATACTATAGCAGTTGAGGGGCCGGGGGACGTGTTGCACGAACAGAGGTGATGCGACGCGAATGTAAAGGGCCGGGGGCGTGCGAGCAGGAGGCAGGGTGCCAAGGGTCGGGCCGACAGGGTGACGCAGGGGGCGATTCTGCTGAGGGTGTGGCGGTGCACGGTTGCAGTGACAGCGTGAACGCGAAAGAACCGACGGCGACAGCCGATGTGCGTGGAGCCAACACTCCCCAGTCAGTTTGGAAGCAAGAAGCCGTCACACAGACGACCCCAGCATGGTTGGTGTGTCATTCGACCGCCTCAATCGCGCCACACCGTTCACCGGCTGCGTCACGTCGGCCCCGACAACGCCTCCGCGAGGCTCGCCCGGTACCTTGACCGCCTCCCGAACACCGCCGCGACCTGCCCAAGCTGCCGGCCCCAGTGCGTGTGGTGGACGACGCCATCTGGCCGGGCGCTGGAATGCGCGTTGGGCAGCGCCTGCACACGGACCCGATCGGCCCGTGCGGGCCTGCGACAGCGGATCACCCGTGTGTGCGAGGGAAGGGTGCGGCGGCGCATGCGCGATGGGAGTTGGGCGAAGTGCCGTTGGTCTTGGCGACGGTCGGTGCTGTGTGCGCTCTGCGGCGCTGCGCGTCGAAAAACGCCTTCTGGTTCGTAGTGTGGTAGATTGGTATGTATGTGCATTGGCAAGTAAGTGTGTGTGTTCGGGAGTGCGAGCTTCGGTGCGCTGTGAGGCGGTGTGCACGCCGAGGCGCTACTGCATCCTGCCCGACAGGCCAGCGCCGCCCGCCCCGGCCGGCATGTGCATGTTGCGCGCCATCTGCGCCGCCGCAGGGCCAGGCATGCTGCCGTGCGGCATCATCATCCCCATGTGTCCTGCGAGCAGCGGAACCCAGACAGAGCGGGTGAGGGGCAAACTCTCAGCACACGATCGACTCTCGAGCGTCACGTGTGGCCCGACCCCGGCAGCTGCTCATCGCGACACTAGGCACGCGTGCGTCGCACGCACCTTGCGGCACGCCGTGAGGCGCCCCCTGGGGCTGCAGGCCCATGCTCCCCATCGACGCGCTCAGGGCCGCCATTTGCATGTTGTGCGGCCGCGCCTGCGCCTGCGCCTGCGCCGCGCGGGCCCACTGCTCATGCGACATGCGCCCCTGCGCCTGTGCTAGAGCCATCGCCTGCGTGCACGCGACCATGAGGGCGGGTGAGGACACCGCTGCTGCTAGAGACAGGGGAAGAGGAAGGGGACCGTTCGCGAAACAAAGACGACGTCTGCGCTGCGTGTTCGACCTGCCCGCGATCACGTGCGTATGTGTCTCACCTGCGCGTGCGCGTGGGCCTGCGCCTGGGCGTGGGCGTGCGCCTCTGCATGCGCCGGGTGTACCTGAGGTGCCCCTGGGCCCGCGCTTCCTGGCACGGGCATGCCCGCGAAGCGCTGCTGCAGGTGCGGGGGCAGCGAGACGCCCGGCGGGAGGCGCCCGGGCTGTCCAGGCCCGCGAAACGCCGCGGCCTGGGCGGGGTCGGTGATCATCACCATGGGATTCCCCTGGGCGTGTCCCTGGCCGTGCATGCGCTGCATGGGGTGCGCTGCAGGGGACCGGGGGAAGCAAGAGGAGTGAAGCATGGTTCCAAACAGAGCGCGACTGCTGCGTCGTCGTCGTCGCACCACACTCGGTGTCCAGCGTGGTTCGAACGCGGGCCATGGGCGCCCCGCACATCTCCAACAACACAACAGAAAGGATCTGCTTGACCGGCAACTGCGCTTTCAGCCCGGGTCGATGCACGCGGTACACGCTCGGGCACCGCCACGCACCTTGCTGGGCCGTTCCCGTCGCGGTGGGGTTGCCCCCGTACGCGGCCTGCACGTGCTGCATCGCTCCGCCACGCGCCTGCGCCCCCTGTGATACGCTCGACAGTAGCTGCTGCAGCTGGTCTGGTCGCGGCCCCGCCCCGGGGCGCGCTTGCATCGCTGCAGAGGTTGCGCCAGGGGGCATGCTGCCGGGCACGCCCTGCCCAGGAACCCCGCCGCCGCGGTGCCGCTGGATGTACTGCAGCGCTGCCAGTAGCGGGTCGTTTTGCGAGCTGTCGCCGCCGCCTGGCCGGGCGCTCTGCTGCTGCTGTTGTTGCTGTTGCTGCTGCTTTTGCTGCTGCTGCTGCTGCTGCTGCTGTTGCTGCTGCTGCAGCTGCTTCTGCATGAGCTGCATGATCTGCGCGTTCGGGTGGTGCGCCTCGCTCGTCGGCATCCCCGGTCGCTGCTGATGCACCTGCTGAAGCTGCATCTTTTGCAGCTGCTGCAACAACTGCTGCTGCTGTTGCTGCGTTGCCTGCGGCTGCTGCGGATGCTGCTGCAGCTGTTGCTGGATGAGCCGCTGCTGCTGTTCCAGCTGAAGGCGCATGATGTTCTGCTGATGTTGTTGTTGCTGCTGCTGCTGCGCCGGCAGCTGCTGCTGCGGCGGCTGCTGCTGTTGCGGCTGCTTCTGCTGCGCCTGCGCCGGTGCGCCGTCGTCCTTCCGCACGCCCAGCAGGCTCAGCAGGTGCCGCGCAGCCTCCTGGTTGGACCCCGCCTGCCCCTGTGCACCGGCGCTGCTCGGGGGCTGCTGTTGCTGCTGCGGCCCGTTCTGCTGGTTCTGCGCGCCCCCACGGCCGAGCAGGGCCATGATCGTCTGCGAGGCGTTCGGCGCCGCCCCGCCGCCGCCGCCCCCGAACCCGGGCGGCCGTGCCAAGTTGCCCCCTGGCGCTGGGGCGGGCTGCACCGCGGGCCGCACGGGCGGCAGCCGCGGGCCGATCGTGTGCAGCGCCCAGTTGTCGGGCTCCGCGGCCGGGGCTGCGCCGGCCCCCGCCGCTGGCGCCGCGGCCGCCCCGCGTCGCCGTTGCGGGGCCCCGCCGCGCCCGGCCCCTGCCGCGCCCGCGCCGGCGTCCCGCGCGCTCGCGGCGCCTCCCACGCTGGCGGCGTCGCCCCCCTCCTTCTTGCGCTGCTCCTCGTCCTCCCGCAGGATCTCCTCGAACACGTCGTCCGTGGCGTCCTCCATCGGGCCGTCGCCCAGGTTGCCCGCCCAGGCGCGGTGCCGGGCCTGCCGCTCGCGCTCGATGTCGTCAATGCCGACCGCCATGTTGCTGAAGAACCCGAAGCCCTCGCCGTCGTCCCCGCCCAGCCCGCCCCCCGCGTCGCCGTCCATCCACTCGGGCGTGGGCCCGTCGTCCAGCCATTCCGGCCGCGGCTCGCTGTCCGGGTCGTTCCAGTGCCCGCCGCCCCCGCGGGTGTCGTTGTCGCGCCAGTGCCCGCCCCCGCGGTTGTCGCGCCGCGCGTCCCGCCCCCCGCGGTCCTTGGACGGGCCCCACTCGGAGTCCCAGCGCCCCGAGCTCGGGCCGTGCGGGCGCTTCGGCGACAGGAGGACGTCGTCGCCGCGGCTGGAGCTGATCTGCGCGCTCCCGTCGATCAGCGCGCTCGAGACCTGCCGCCGCGGGACGTACAGGCCGTCGCGGGAGGCGTCCCCGCGTGAGTTGGGCGGGCGGTCCGAGGCCTGGAAGCCCTTGCTGGGTGTGAAGCGACGCGCGTGGTCCGACGAGTCCTCGTAGCGGTTCCTGGAGCCGCGGAGAGGCGCGTGGGCGGGACCGTGAGCCGGGGCGCGCGGCGCGCGACGCGCGGGGCGCGCGGTGCGTGCGAAGCGAGTGCGCACCTGGAGGGAGACTGTCGCGCCGCTAGGGCCTTCAGGGCGTCGCGGTCCAGGATCCTGCCCTGCACGTCGAAGATCGAGTCGACCTTCAGCTGGTTCCGCAGCGCGAGCAGCTCGTCCTTCGTGTACGACGGCATCCTGCCCGTCGCTTGTTGAGGTGGGACAACTCCGGCGATCACACTCGCATCCCCGCCGGAACGGATCGACCGCGACCGCGGACGTTGGGATCGCGCCGTGGAGTACACGAACCGCCGTGAGGTCTGCGTGGAGGCGCCGGGGGCGCGCGGCAACGGCCGCCCTGGCTGCAACCTCCTCGCTTGAGTCGGGGTCGCACGAACGCGCTGGAGTCCCTCGATTCCCTTCCCCCTACGCACCACATTGCCTGGGGCCGCGGCCAGCCGCACACAATGCCCGAGCAGCGTTCCAGTCCCGGAACGAGCCGCTGCGTCGCGTGCGAGCGTCCCTGCACCGCGAGGCAGCGCCAGCGCGCCTGCGTCCGGGCGCAAGCGCGCCCACAAGGCACCGGGCGCCCACTACCCCGCGGCCCGCGCGAGCGCCTGCGACGCCTGCGGGCACGAGGCGGCGCATTCTAGGTGATCGTGAGGGCGTGACGGCGCGATTCGGCGCACGAACGTTGCGGGGGTCGGGGGAGAGCTCCTGCTGGGCGCGATGTTTGGGGGCGGTGGTGGCGTGGGGGTGAGCAGCGCGGGCGGGAGCGGGGTGGGCGAGCGGCTGTCGGGGATGTGGAAGAACGCGAAGGTGTCGGTCGGGATCGAGCAGCCCGAGGAGCGCTCGATGTTGCAGCGGCTCGAGGACGCCACCACGCTGGACAGCACCTCGGTACGTCACGCCCGCATGCAGTCGGCTTTTCTCGACTCCCGTCGCCTCCGTACTTCTCGACTGCATCGCGCGGCCCCACGCGCGCGCGCCGCGGGCCCCCGCGCCCGCCCGACCGCCGGACGCGACCCCGCGCCGCCCGCACCACGTCGCCGCAGAGGATGTACGGGTTCGGTTTCTGCTTCGTGTTCGGGCTCATCATGATGGGGCTGGCAGTGCTCTTCATCTGGACGTTCAACATCCGGAAGTTCGCGCTGGCGTTCACCCTCGGCAACCTCCTGCTCGTCGCGTCGACCATGTTCCTCATGGGGCCCGTCAAGCAGGCGCGTCCCGCACCGCACGTGCCCCGCATGGCACACGTGCAGCACATCTGCAATCTGGGCCCGACCGCCCGCCCCGCCGGCGACGGAGCCGACGGCACGCACGCGTCCGCATCCGTGCGTGCTCGGTCCGCCGCGCGGACGCCCCCCGACCACGAGAGGGCGCCCTGTCGCACGCGCGTTGCGTTGCGAGACTTCGTTCCTCGAGTGCCGGCTGCTCGCAGATCCGCTCGATGATGGACAAGGGCCGCATCTACGCGACGGGCGCGTTCTTCGGCTCCATGGCGCTGACGCTCTTCGTGACCCTCAAGCTGCAGTCGTTCATCCTCGCCGTGCCGTGCGTCGTGGTCGAGGTGCTCGCGCTCCTGTGGTACTGCGCCTCCTACATCCCCTTCGGACAGTCCGTGCTCCGGTCGATCTTCTCGCGCTGCATGGGCGGCAGCTGCTTCGGGGAGGACAGCCAGGTCTGACCGCGTCGCGCGAGTCTGTGCGCAGTATTCAACAGGACGCGCCCGACGGCGCGGCGGCGCCGCTGCGCCCCGCGCGCGCTGCCTGTAAATCGCATCGATCGCGGGCTCGCGCGGCGCCGACCGCGCGCCGACAGGGCGCACGTCGGGCTGATTGCTTCGACACCAGCAGTCAACGACGCGCAGCACCAGCGCGGGGGCCGCGCAGCTCCGCGTGCGAACGCCGGACGTCGCCGGGGCAGCCACAGCCCGCGTCACTGCGCCGCGTCGCGCGCCCCCTCGCTCGTTGACCGCACTCCCCCCCCCCTGAAGCTGACTAGGCCGTGTGCGGTCACCGCCGACACTCGCGCGCTCAAGCGGGGCCGCTAGCGCCGGTTCGCGGCAGAGTGTGCCCGAACCTAGCCGCACGCGTTGCGAACGGTGCGAATAACCCGCAGAGGCGTCATTCCGCGCGCCGACCGTGCCCTGCCGCGCGACCGATCCCTGGTGCGCAATCGCGGGCCTCGGCTCGATCGAGCGGCCCGGCCTCTCGGGACGGACCGGCCGCTCCTCGCCCGGCGCCGCGCCCCCGCGGCCTAGGTAGCGCTCGGTCGCGCCGCGATGCCCGCGGCGTCGCGCACGGCGCTGAGCATGCGCCCAGCGTCGGTGCGCCGCGGCAGCGGTGGAGGCGCCGACCGGCAAACGCTGCTGCACTTAGCCGGGATGATGGTGTTCTCGTACGTGTGGATGTGGCACCTGAGCGAGCGCGCGCAGTCCCTCCCCGGCGCGAGCGGGTTCGGGTGGTTTTTCCGCTACATGACATTCTGCAGCTTCACGCTGCAAACCATCACCTCCATCCTCCAGGTCCTCGCCGACCTCAGCCAGGAGCACAAGGCGCCGAAGATGTTCCGCCTCACCGTCCGCCTCGTCGACGACCTCTCCTGCTTCACCTTCGCCGTCGCCTGCACCGTCACCGGTGCGCCCCTCCTGCCACCCTCACGAGCGACGCTCCGCACCGCGCCGCGCCCCCGCGCCCCCGACCGCCCGCGCGCGTGGTTCCTCATGTCGATGCGTGTCGGAGCTCCGCGCGCCCCGCAGTGATGTATTACGGCGTCGAGAAGTCGATGAAGGGCGGTGCAGTGAGCGTCGAAGGCGGGGCGCACGACCGCCCGCCGTGGCTCAACTGGGCCGTGCACGTCCTCAACTCGATCTACGCCGCCGCGGACGTCCTGCTCAGCGAGCCCCGGACGTTCTCGCTCACCGCTGCGGGGTACGTTGCTGCCTTTTGCGTGGCCTACCCCATCTGGCTCCTCGTCATCAAGCAGGCAAGCTCCCGCCCCCACGCAGTCGGCGCAGACGCAGCCTGGCGCGAAGCCAGCGATGCCGCCCGATCGCCGTGCGTTCGCCGCGCTGCCACGTCCGTGCAACCCGTGTGGGCTAGGCTTCCTCGTGACGCGTTGCGGGGGCCGCGAGCGCCCCGAGCGGCGCATGCAACTCACGAATCGGCACCGCTGTACCGCAAGGAACCTGAATTCGCGCGTGCGGTCTCGCGGCAGGGCGCGTGCTGCACGCGCGCGCCCGCTCCAGCTGAGGTTGCACGCCAACGCGCGCCGGCACCGTCGCCCCGCGTCCGCGCAGGTCATGAGCTCGTTCCCGTACCCTATCCTGGAGAAGCTGCCCTTCCCGCACGGCTTCATCTTCCTCTCCCTCGCCGGGTGGATCTCCATGCTCGCCTTCTTCTACACGGGCCGCTTCTTCCACCGCGTGACGTCGCGCAACGCCCCGCCCAGCCCGAGCGGGACGCCAACCGCCGCCGAGGCCAAGCCGCGGCGGCGCGCGCGGCCCGACGCGTCGGAAACGGTGGTGGTGGGGCACGACGCGGCGGCGGCAGAGAAGACGGTCGAGGGCGGCGGCGGCGCGCTGCCGCAGAACGGGAAGGTCCGGAGGGGCAAGGGCGCGGTGGCGGAGGGGGGCGGCGCGGAGCCGATCGCGGCGCGGCTGCGGCCGAGGCGCGCCAGCAGTCCCAAGAAGCGGGTGCTGACACTGCCCGCCGAGTTCGGATGAGGGGGGAGTGTTGGTTCTCCGTTGGTGGGGCGGTCCCGAGATCAAGACGATGCATACGTCGCTCCGCGCATGATGATAGTCGGCGCCTGTGAGGCCGCAGGCAGCAACGAACAACCCTGGGGCATGCTGGCGTGGGCTGGCGGCGCGGCGCGCGCTGAGCACGCGGGGGAGCTGCGGGACATGCGGCACCTCGCGCGGACCTGCGTTGCTGTTTGTTGACGAGTGCGTGGCGCGTTTGTTACATGCGGGCGCGGCGTGGTGCCGAGACGGACGGCCGCGCCCCCGCTCGTATCGGAACGGCCCAGCTTCACGTCTCGTCAGATGAGCAGCTTCTCGATGGCGTCCTTCATCTTCTGGATCTGCGGCTGCAGCTGCGACCCCTCGTTGGAGGTGATGGAGGCAGCAATCACCGGCCGCGACACCCCGCACGCGCGCCCCAGAGCCTGCGGGAGCGAGACGCGGTCGGCGAACGTGAGGGCGCGCGACAGAGGCACGTCGCATCGCGGGGCAGCCTTCTGGCTGTTTGGCATGTGTATCCAAGAGGTTCCCGACGCACACAGCTCCACGGAGGTTTGGCGGCCGCGATCAGAAGACCGCGGCGCGTGCGTGTGCTGCCGGGGGCTCGAGGGCACGCGTGGAGCGGGGTTTCGCCCAGCGGGAGTGGGATGTGCACCCACCTGCTTCGAGTGCACGAAGACGTAGGGCACGTTCTTGTCCTCGGCGAGGAGCGGGAGGTGCAGGAGGATCTCGATCGGCTCCGTGTCCGCGGCCGCGACGACCAGCTCGCAAATGCCGCTGCAGCCAGCAGGGAACGCGAGTGTTGGGCGAGACGTGACGCTGTGCGTGAGAGCAGGCTTGGTGGCGGAGGACGCATAGCGGAACCGCTCGAAGGTGCGGGCCTGCCGCCATCACGATGACATACAGAGCTGTGCGTGGGGGCTGAAATCGCCGGTTGATACGTCGGGCGTGCGGAGCGCGGGCGGAGTGGGGCTGCGCCGCACCGGTTGAGGGTCTTGGTGGCCTCGTTGGCGCCCTTCTTGAGCTGCTTGTAGTTGTTTGCTTGGTTGACGAGGTCCAGGATCGAGCTGTTGAGCTGCGAGGAGCATCGGAAGAAGGGGAGCGTGGGCCAGAGGGACGCATTCGGGTCCCGGCGGCCGCCGCGGCAAGCAGCCCCCCAGATGGCGCGCGATCGCAGCATGCAGTGCGCCAGGTCTGGTGTTCATCAGGCGCCATGATGGCTCGCGGCCGCAGAGAGGAACTGGGCTCGCGGAACAATGAAAACTTGCCGCGGGCTCCGCGGGGTGCGAGGTTGCGCCCCAGGCGGGTAGCAGCCTACCTGAGCGTCGGCGAGCGGGTACGCCTTCGGGTTCACAGCCGAGCCGGACATCCTGTTATGTACTACTCTGCGGACCCGGCAGCTGATCACGACCCAAGGTGCTACTGAGAGGGCGCTGGGCGCTGAAAGTGCTTGCGGAGACGGACGGTCCTCGCTAGGCACGCTCGCTGGCACAACTCGCAGTCTCAGTGCGTCGTCCACATGAAAGTGACGCTGGCACCGCACCGGGCTGGGCGTTGGTGCCCCGAGGCTGCCCGTGCCCGTGTCGCGGGAGGGGTGCTGTGGCAGTGCAACTTCCACAAGGTATGACAGCGTGGGCAAGACCACGAGAGGGTCGCTCATGCCACACGGTGCCAGTGGGGCTACGCACGACGCCGCCGGCGACGGCACACGTCTGCAACTTGATTGCAGGAGCGCTCGCACACGAAGGCGACATGCCGACACAACAAGTGCCGCCTGACTATCCTCGCCGCGACGTGGATCTTGGTCCGGGCCAGGGGGCTCGCCAGGGCTCAGCCGCCCAGGACCTTCCATCGTGCTGCGATGGATGCGGTGTGCACTGTCCTCACACGCACACACCAGAACAGCATCCGCCGGTGCTCTGCAAAGCCATGCCGAGCATTCGTCGCACAGAAACCAGCGCCGATTGAGTCTGATCCGCGGGTTGCGCGCTCCAGGCCGGCCACGTACCACTTCCAGCCCTCTCTAACATATATGACAGCCTTTCTACCGCCTGGGTCTGAGTGCCAGCGCCTTGACATCACGCAAGGCAAGTGAGCTCTACGGGAGGAGAAACGCATCTTGGCGCGTTGAAGCCGTGTGAACGCGGCGATGAACCTTTGCAAACGCTTCCTTGCATTGCAAGCGTTGACAACGCATGTTCAGTGCGCACGAGCGAACCGGACCGCCCGGGCGCGACCAAGCGTCGATACGAAGCCGTCGTGGCACGCCGTCGACGTGCATGCGCGTGCAACAACACGCACCTCTGAGGCGTCCAAGGAGTCCTTGTGGGCAATGCAAGGACCGGCGCAGGCGGTCCTTGGTGAAGCTCGGTGGATGTTGCGCGCTTTGTATGCATGCTACCAAGTCCGTCGCCATCGCATCTGTTCCATGTTCATAGTCATGTGGTAGAAGACTGGAGAGTAAGTAATTATATTACTTCCATGTTCTGATGGTTTCTTTTCTCGCACCGCAACCTGATCGGCGAGGTAGTGCTTGCGACAGGAATGGCGCGCCCGGCTTGACCCAGCTCGCCCCAGCTGGCCCGCTCGTGAGACCCCTTGTGACGTCGTTGCATGCGTGAGTTGCTCACGCGAAATCGTTTTGTGTTGTGTTGAGCTTCCTGGAAACAGCACCGCAGGCCAGCCGCGCGCGTGCAGCGCCGCGCCGATGGCAGTGATTCGCTCGAGCTGTGTGGGCGCGCCATGAGTGAGCAATGTGCGGAAGGCAGTCGTGCACATGCACAAGCTCAACAAAACCAGACCGCAGGCGGTTGCCACGCATGTCAAGACATATACACGTTTACAAGTGGAATTCGAGGACCAAATTGCCGAGAAATCTTACTAGTCCGTGACCGATGACCGTTGGTACGAAAAGAGCTCGCGCTTTTTCTGTCGGGTGCGCCCTCAGGCAGCCTGGGCGACGGCTCGAAGGCGTCCGCCATCATTTGTTCATCCAAACAGCTCGTCATGTCGCTAATCTACTCTGTGTAGCGGGTTGAAGCCATCAAGACGCACGCAGCGACTGAGAGAGCGCAGAATGTGCTGCCTCAGAGCCCATGTCCTCGCTAGCTTCACTCGCAGGCCCAGTGCATGCAACATATGGAAGTGCCACGATCCCGCGAGAGCCCGAGCCTTGTCATCCCGACGTCGCCCCTGCCCGAGAGGCGAGGGAGCCTCGAGTAGCAACATTGTTGATGGTCGACAACAGTGTTTCAGACCCATATGAGTCCCTGGCGTGCATCAGCTCGTTCCAGGCGTCGTACGACGATCTACGAACGACACTGTCTGGGCGGCCGTGAGGGGACGTGTGGCATGTCGTACGATTCCTATCAGCACTTACACACGCATGATGAGATTGTCAGTCATCGACGAAAGATTGCCAACTTGTCCCCCCTCTGAAACGCACGCCCCGGTCCAAGGCGTGTGCCTGCGCCAGGGCTCAGGCGCCCCGCTCCGCGCCCTTGTGCAGCAAGCGCCAAATAGCGACTCCCGAAAACCCCATCGCCATCAAAGCCGCCAGAGCCTCCAGCAGCCACGTACGGTCGGAGTTCTCGTCCTCCACATGCTGTGCACGTGGCCCTTGCGAACCGCCACGGCGGCCTCGACGGCCCGGCCTTGCCCCTCGATTGAAGTGGCGCTCAAATTGAGCGACAATTTTCTCGATCTTGGCCAGGCTGAGGTCCGGATCCTCGGGACCCTGCGCACCACAGCGACCAGTGGGCGCAGCGAACGGGCGCGTGGCCGCAGCAACGCGCGGCGCGCCCGCGTGCACAGGTGCGATCTCGCCCTCGCCGTCCATGTGGCGGGCGACTCGGTTGCCAGCGCGGCGCGCGGACGTATGTTGAGCTCTCGCGCTAGCTGCGTTCGCGCGCTCCTCCCTGCGTGCGGTGTCGCCTTGCGGAGGGAATGGGTGAGGGAGACAGACAGACGGACTGATGCAAGTCTGACGTAGCCCGCCATGTGTCGCCTCACGCACCTCGCCCGCTGCCGTTCCATGCGCTCCCGGAGGTTCAGGTACCGGTCGCCTAGGCGGAACACGTCCTGCATCAGGTCTTCGTTCATCTCCTCTTGCAGGTACACCAAGACGAGACGAGTCAGGATGGCCTGCCTGAGCCTGGCGAACTCACGGGCGTCTTCGTCGTCGCTGCTGTCGGAGTCCTCTCCGTCCGCATCGCCGTCAGCAGCGGGAGGAGCGACCGGGAGGTCCCGCGGGGCCGCCTCGCCAGGCGCGGACTCCACCGACGGGGGAGGGTCGCTCTCGCTCGCGGCGGCGGCCTGGACGACCGTCCAGGCGCCTGCATCGTGCGCAGCCGCAGCGGGCAGAACGTCAGCTCGGTGTCGGGGGGAAGAAGCGAGCCGCTTCAACCGCCAACATGAGAGCAGCACTGTCATGTGATCGCAACCATGGCGACCATCGGCACACTAGCAACGCAGGCGCAGCAGTCTGCAATCGCGCAGCCGATCGGCAAATACCACGTCAGAGGACGGAAGCGGGCTGTCGTTGCTCGACGCACGCGTCGAGGCGCGCGCCGCCCTCGAAACTGCACACCTGTGGCACTCTCGTCCGTGTGTGGCGTGGTCGCCGCCGACGGACCCGCATCGCCGTCTGTGGGCGTCACGATTTCGAGCTGGATGACCGGTGCGATCTCAGGCGCGCCCTCTCCCCTGTTGCCGCGCCCGCCGGCGTGCTGCTCTTCACCGTCGCCGTTCGTCTTCTGTGCCATCTCAAAAGTGCTCGAGTTCTTTCCTGTCGTACTTTCGCGACCTGTCCTCGGTCGTCCAGAAGTCTGCAGTGCGGATGGCGCGCCGCGCCCAAAGCAGCCCGCCCCGGGCCCGCTCGTGAGACCTCCGGTGATGTCATCGCGCGGTGCCATGTGCAGCGCCCATGAGAAGACTGCCATGCGACAGTGCAGCGCTGGCAGACGACCTGGCCGCAGAGGCATGCAATGTGGAGGCGATTTCGATGAAACTGGCGATGTATGCGTGTGCGGGAGGATGTCGATCACTTGCAAGTGCTAACTTCTGCAGAGGAGGTTGATGGAGATATCCATGATCGCTCATGAGCCGGGGCACATGCTGGGCAAGGTGTCACATGGAACTCCATGTCACATGGAGCTCCTTTGCAGCCTGTGGATCAGGTTCGCCCCGAAGCGAGAAGCAAACGGCACTGCGACCAAGTGCAGCAAGCAAGGGACAGGCTGGCCGTGCACGGCGAATTCTCATCACCGGCGCACGGGGCGCATTTTCGCCCGGTCAGATGCACGGACTTGACTCCTGCGTCCTCCACGTGCACTCAAGGCGGGCGAGGGCGCATCGCTGTGATTCTGCTGCCACCAGGCTGTGCCACGCAGCGAGACTCCGAGAAGCTGAGGAGTGATTTGCGGCGGTGCGCCGTGATCATCCAAGCTCCCACGTCACCGTCTCGGAGCTCAGAGCTAAACGGGAGAGCCCAACAAAATCGCAGCTGAAAGTGCTTTCAAGCGCACTCCAGAGCACATCCACGCGCGGCGCACAACGGGACGGCTTGATGGCGCATGGGGCTCCGGTAAACATCGCTGGAAGTTGGATGCTGATACGCCGCGCGGGCGCCTTGTCAGCGCGCGCCACGGGCACTCCTGAGGAGTCCTCCTTGCGACAGACTTGCCGGCTATTGTGCCCCCGCTGGGTTGGTCTGCATCAGGCACATGTTAGCGCACATTGCGCCTCGTTCGACCGACATGCTTGCATGATTGTCCGGCATCGTGTCCGCTGCGTCAGGACCCCGCGCTGACGTGCGCGGGTGAACAGCTGTTTCGATTTGCGTGCAACGGGCACGAGACCAGCGGCCACTGACGTCCCGGGCGCTGCGCCGGGTAGTACGTTGCACCATCAAAGCGGGCGAGGGGCAAACTGTGTGGCCGGCCAGGCCTGAAGGAGCCGTGACGAGCACAAACGTGCGCGTTCTCTCCGCCTCAGCGGGCGGCGAAGGGAGGGCCGTTGGCAGGCCGGATCTTGTCCGAATTTTGTCGTAGGTAGTCGTGCGATGAGCGGATCCCCTCTGACCCTCGCGCTGTACCGCGATGCCGTCTTCGCTCGCAACTATGGCATCTGGGACACCAGCAGCGCGATGGAGGTCGAAAATGAGGTGCGGCAACCACCGGCACAGGCCACGAGACGTATGCGTACAGATTCATCTCGCATGTTTATTTGGTAGCAATAAAAGCCAGGAGCGCCAAGGGAGCCTCTCTCGTGCTTTGCAGGGAGAGGGCGTGGACGGCCACGCGGAGTGGGGCAGCAAGTGGGCGGCGCTGCAGCGCGAGCAGGACACGTATGACAAGCAGTATCGTTCCGTGTCGAGTCTCCTGGAGGAGCGGGTCATGCGGGACCGCAGCTGCCTTTCAGACCCTGCGGTCAGGTGAGCCGACATCGCCGCGTTCCCGACCGCACGCAACGCATGCAACAATCGAGCCACGCGGCAGAGAATATGCCCGGAAGGTCCACGAGCTTCTCACGCAACACATCCAGACCACGTGTGTCAATATATCTCAACAGCAGCATTGCGTGTGTTTGTGAACCTCTCCGCGCACCTCACAACCGCCGCGGCTCACGCACGACCCACCCTCTGCGATCTCCACCGAGCAGCTCGTCCCCGCCGTCCCACGCAGGGCCCGTGAGATCCAGATGGAGTTGCTGGACAAGGAACTGGCAGCACTCAAGAGCCGCGCTCTCCCGCCGCTCACAGCGCTGCTGGACGACCTCGCGCCGGAGGAGCCCGGGCTCGCGCCGGAGGAGCGCGAGCACCTGGAGGAGTTCGCGCGGGAGCCGGAGGGGGCGTGGGAGAAGCAGGTGGGGGGGGCCTTCCGTGCCGGGAGCGAGGTGGTGGCGCGGAACGGGCCGGCGAACCTGGTTCTGACGGGGAACGACGTGGCGACGCTGCGGGGCCTCGGTTGGCTGAATGACGAGGTCATGAACTGCTACCTGGCGCTGCTTCAGGTGCGAGCGGGGCTTGCTGTGCGTGTGTTGAGGAAGAAAGTAGTTCCCGGATGCGTTGACTGAGAGAAGATGGTCTTTGACATTGGTGGACACCTTTGACATCTCCTGTGCTGCAGGCGAGGGACACGCGATGGCGAGAAGAGGAGCGTGGGACGCCCAAGTGCCATTTTTTCAACACATTCTTTTTCGCGAAGCTGTACTACAACAACAGGAAGTACGACTACGCTGGCGTGAAGCGGTGGACGAAGACCAAGGCCATCCAGCGGCAGGGCCAGGTGCGTGCCTTTTGGTTTGAGCCCTTGATTCGTTTGTTGGTCGTTGCAAGAGCTTCATCTCCTTTCCTTGCTTTCAATACGTCCTGGGACTGCTTGGCGTTTTGCACGCACAGATGTCGTCCAGAACCCACGAAAGCACCGAACCATTTCAGTGCAACATGCGAAATCTTTTCCCACTGAACATGAACCAGCCTTCCAGATTATGGCTTTTCGATGTTGTGCGAACCTGCCGCTGAATGTGTGCTGCCTCACGCGATCATCCTGCAGAAGAGCGAGTGCGTCCTGGACTGCGACCTCCTGCTCGTGCCCGTCCACCTGGGCAACCACTGGACTTGCGCGGCGGTGGACTTGCGGAACAAGGCGCTGCACTTCCTCGACTCGCTCGGGGGCGCATGCGATGAGGCTCTCGAGAGCATGGCGTGCTGGGTCCGTGACGAATACAAGTGCGCGCCCTCCCAATCGGCACGCGATGGTTTCACAGATGCAACCAGTTCACATGTATGGACAACATGTCGTCATGTTTTCGCTGCTCATTTCGATTCCATCGAGCTGGAAGCATTCGCGCAGGGACAAGCGGGGCGAAGTGATGGACGTGTCTGACTGGGAGCGCACCGCATGGGGATCCGACTGCCCGCAACAAGACAACTGCTCGGACTGCGGGGTGTTCTCGCTGATGTTCGCAAACCTGCTGTCAAGGGGCCTGGCACCACCGCTGCAGTACGAGCTGGACGGCGAAGAGGTGCGGCGCTCTGAATGCGTGTCCTTGAAAATGTGTGTCCCAGCACCGCTGCCAAGCGCACGCACGTTGACTCGCTCTGCTGCGCGTGATGGCTCGCAGGTGCTGTGCGCGGACAGGATGCCGTACTTTCGAAAACGCGTAGCGTACGACATCCTGCAGCAGCGCGTAGACTAGCATGGTGCACCCCGACCAAGGCGCCGTCGGGTCCGTCGCTGTCCCCGTCTCGACAGGTCGCTCGACGACGAGATGCCCCGTCGGGAGAGCAAGGCCCATTCCGAGTGGAGCGCGTTGTTGCCGCCCTCGAGGGTCAAGTAAACATACACGTCCTCGTGAACAGCGGCGCCGATCTGGACGATGCCAGCACGACGGCCCCCAGGCGCGCGGTGCAGGGCGTGCACAGGCTCGAAGCGCTGAGGCTTCGCGCATGCGCCCCGAAGCGCGATTGCCCTTGCAAACATCCTGGCCTAGCAGGACGGCCTTTGCGCTTCTCTGCGCAAGCTGGAACTTAGCTCGAGCAACATCGGTGGCGAGGATACGGACGTGATCGCTGCGCTGCTGCCGCGCCAATCTCCGCGACTCCAGCCTTCGCGACAATTGATGCAAGGGCGCATGTGCCGGCGGGCGCGCTGGTGCCGTGCCCGCATCTGCGTCTCCCGGACCTCGACCGCAACGGCATCGGTCGGTCGGGGCATGGCTGCGATCGTGCGCGGCATGGAGCGTAGCCCGACAGCCAGGCACACACTGGAGCTGCGTCTCAGCGGGCGAAGTGGCGAATCAGCCTGACGACTGACGCGATCGCCGCGCTGATGGCATGGCTGTGGCACAACGAACACCTTCACGTGCTGCGCATGGAAGGGTACCACGAGCTGAGGGGCAAAGCTGCCGAGCAGCCGCATTCTTCGGAGTACTGGCTTGGAGCAGCACGCTGCGGAAGCTGTTGCCGGAGGACTGCGGGATCGATGCGACGGCGGTCGGCTGGCTGTTCGAGGTGCTGCGTGGTGACATGCCCCTCGAGGAGCTCTTCCTGGAGGGCAACAAGATCGGATCCATCGAGACGGGTAGGCTGGAGGTCGCCCGCAGGGAATGCAGCGTCCACGTCAATCGTGGCGCCCGCACTTCCGTCATGCCCTGGCACGCCGGAGCGTACAGCCGCCCGGACCTGCGGGCTTAGGTCACGGACCTTGGGCGCGAACTCCTCGGCCGAGCGTCCCACGAAGGCGGCAACACAGCAGCGACAGCAGCATGGTCTGAAGCACTCGGCGGAGCTGACCTCGCACTCGGGCTTTCGGCTGTCGTGGGCCTGGCATCTCTGGCGCTGATGCCTCGCAGGCAGAGACACCCCCTGAGTAGGGACTTTGTCGAGCATGACGGGATCGACTCGGGCACGGTCTGAATGCGACGGCGGAGGCCAGCGAGGGGGCACAGGAACGAAACTCGATCACGTGGTCCACGGCGTCGTCCGGCGACGCTTCTTCGCAGCAAAGCGTACGTGGCAACATCACATATTCTTGGGATCCTCGAATCGGTCAGTGACCCGAAGCAGGTGCGAACGAGATGCGCAGCCACTCGTCGCTCGAGAGACCCGATCTCGGGCGATGCGTGGACCTTCGTCAACGGCCTTGCGGAGGGAGTTGCCGCACGAGGCAGTGCACTTGCTGCCCCTGCCTAAAACGAGCCTTGCGATGACCTCCACGTCTCGTTGTGGTGCTCTTGCGTGCACAGGCGTAGCCCATTCTTGCACGTCTCAGGCCCCGCAAGGCGCGCGTGAGCCGCTTTCTCGCAACATTCCATCTGCAGACCAAACACTTGAACAGCATCTCCGATATTGCGCAGCGCCCGTCTCGCGGCGGCCCGTCTACGCGCGCTTTTCCGTACATTCGCACTGACGAAGCCGCGTCGATTTTCCGCGAACGCAGGTGATTCAGGCGCTCATGGACCTTGCCATGATTCAGGCGCGCGGCGTGCCATCCTATGGCCGCGTCCTCACCGGCGATTCCGCCCTCAACACTTCGCAAATGTGCTCGGAGGGGCGTGGGGTTGGCCTAAGGTGTGTTTGTTGCCCTCGTCTCGGGCGGCATGTCGTGTGTCATGGAGGTCTGTGCCTGGGAATGGCGGTTATGCACGACTCAGCGCGCGGTCGCAACGGTAAAAATGCATTGCAGACGCACCACACGGACGATGACAGGGACTTCCGTTCGCATTTCCTGGCGGACCATCATGCAGCGCATCATCTTCGCGTTCCCCGGCGCCGAACGTGGCGAAGTCCGGCCGAAGCAGGGGGCGTTCGCCGATGGGGTCGACTCCGCACTTGGGCTTCAGGCTGCGGCTTTCTTCGCGGTACTGCTGCTGATTCCCTGGCGGGCCAGTGACGTCAGGCAGCTGTGACGGCGCAAGCGACCGCGGACCTGACGTCAGGTATAAGCATGCAAAGCAGCAGTCTAGGGGGGGCAAGCGCGCTCTCAAGGCAGCAGAGACGAGCGCGATCACGCTACAAACGCCTCGAGCGCCAGGCCCACGGCGTCGTGCATCGAGGGGTGGCGCCGCGTTCGTTCGTGCGCGACGAGAGCACAAGCCATATCGTCGGGCTCTTCGAAGCGGCAATCGGCCCGGATCGTGTGCGACTGAGGTACGTGGCGACCCGCAGCTCAATATGTTTGTCACGAACAGTGCACGAACGGACTGCGCGGGCGTTGACACTTCGATGCGGGGCAGAGAGGCCCAATCTTTGCTCGTTATGTCTACAGCATGCCAGCGCTCCGCGTTGCGCAACACCCCGACCCCCGAATAGCCTCGTGATGATGCTGCGACCTAGTCAGAGCTCGCCACGTGGCTTCATTACGTATTTGCCTTCGACCCGCGGTCGCTATTGCGTTCCAACACAGATGGCGGGTCGCATCAGGGCAGATGCGCGCCGCGCCCCCTTGGCGCCGTGCAACGTGCTCGCGCTGCGCCCGGTAGTGGATCGGGCTTCTTGTTGACGGGATGTCGCTTGAGTGCCTTGCCTACTCGCAGGGCGAAGCTCTCCACGCTCGAACATCCTCGATTGTTGTCTGGCCTCAGATTCGGTCCGAGGCTCGAGACCCAAGATGGCGCACGACCAAGCAAACGGAGCTCCAGCGGAGGGTGGTGTACCGTCAGAAGCGATTCGAAACCTGAGCTTCGCCCGGCTGTCGATTTTGGACGCGCGGGGCGGACAGGGCAACGTGGCCCACATCACGTCGATGCTTGCCGGGGCTCCCGACCTCGAGAGCCTGGACATCAGCGAGACACCGATCGACGCGAGTGGCATGGCCGTCCTGGGGCGCCGTCTGCGCGACCTCACGAAGCTCAGCGTGCTGCGGCTGAGGTACTGCCAGATCAACGATGCCGCTGTGCGTGTTCTGGTCGACGCGCTGCACGCGCTCGCGCAGAGGGAAGACTGCCGTCTACGCGTCGTCGACCTCAGCGGCAACGTCATCAGCCACCGGGGCGCCACGTGGGTCGCGCAGCTGGTCGGTCGTCGCGGGGTCCTCAGAGAACTAGCTCTCAACAACTGCCAGCTCGGGGACTCGGGCGTCGTGGTTTTGGCCGGCGCGCTGGCCAGCAACGAGAGTCTGCGCGTGCTCGACCTGGACTTCAACCCGATCGGGAACCCCGGCGTGAGCGTCCTGGCATCGACCCTGGAGCGGAACAACAAAACGCTCGAGGAACTGCGTCTGTCGGGCGGGGGGCACGGGCAGGCGCGCATGGGGCTCGCCGGGGTCCAGGCGTTGGCTCGCATGCTGGGAGGGCGGACGGGGCTGAAGGTCCTCCGCCTGGACCACCAGAGCGTGTTCCTTGACGGACGGACCAAGGTGTTCTTCGAGGCGTTGGCGGAGAATCGGACGCTGCGAAGCCTGTCGATGCGGAGCTGCACTTTCCGGAAATACTATCCACGCTCGGCAGAAACTTCTTGCGACGGCACACCTGGGCACGTAGCCAGCGCTCTACGCAAGAACTCAACGCTGCAGCGGTTGTACCTGGAGAACAATGGTATGAACGTGTCTGACATTGCCAAACTCGGCAGAGGACTGCGCAGGAACGAGACGCTCAATGAACTGCGTCTCTACAATGGCTGCTCCGATGGCGTTTCGGCTGCACGCAAAGCAGCAAAGGAAGCAAAGGTCGCCTTGGTGTGCGGAAGTTTGCTCGGTGGAGGTCTTGTAGCGTTTCTTGGAGGTGCGATCGCCGCGGCCGTACGTCAGGAGCGGCAGAATCAGGCACGTTGGCGTCCCTGAGGTAGGTCGACACAACACTCGGAGGCCCCGCAGGATATTCGCTGTCTCGCATAACAACGTCCGTAGCCAGAACGCATGCCCCTTGCGAAGCTCCGTCGGTGCAGGCCTTGGGTGACCTGCGAGACGATCGTTGGCATCAAGGCGGTTCCCTTGTTTCCAGCGCAGACGCCCATGTTGCGGACGCACCCGGGACACGTCTTCGTACTCCAGTGCAAGGGGTTCCCGTCTCACGTTCAAGTAGAGTGACTTTGTGATACCATTCATCCGGTTTGGTTGCGAGCAGTTCGCTCGTACACTTGCACCATGTCTACGCAATCGAAGGGCTTGCAACTGCCCCCGCGAACTCGGAACTGCTTCCAGACGATGTCAAAGTCGCGTTCTGTGGACATCTGTTGGCGTTTATGACAAGCCCTCACATGAAAGGCATTCCCAGGAGACTCGGTCGGGCAGTTCCACATTCAATGAGTTATAATTTTATCATAATGACTCATTCCGCCCCTGCTTCGGAAACCTTCCAGTGATCATTGCTGCAGCGCCCATCCACGTGCGGCCAGTCGCGAGGACGATTGAGAGATGGAGTCGCGTTGACAATCAAATTCGGTGGAAAACGTTTGCCAGAAGGTACGGGCCAAGGAATGCAGCATCACACCTCCGGTAGCACCTCCGCGCACTCCCGGTTGTCATGTCGATCCTCGGCCATTACTTTCGTGTGGTCAAGTGTTCGTTCGAGCGACGAGCGAGCCAGCCGCTCTTTCGAGCGCCCGCAAGGGCCTCCTCTCTTTCAGGCGCATGATGCCTGCGTGTCCAGCACCGCCATGTGCGAGCGGCTGCGTCAATGCGCGATTTCCTGACAATCATGTGCAATAGAATGAGCAGGACGATCAATCCTACCACCCTGTCTAGCGCCCATGCAGTCTCGAGACGGGAAACAAAGCCACATTTGGCCGGTTGTCTGCGCCGCCCCTCTGAGCATTCACGACAACTGCATGAAGGGTCCAAAGACCTTCATGACCACGTTGTCGTCGTACCGAGACGCGTCCGGGATGCCCTCCAGCTCCACGTCGTCGTGCACCCAGCGGGCTTCTCCGCAGCCTCCACGAGCCCGCGGGTGGCGGGCACGGACTGCGGACTCGGAACGCTATCGCTGCATCCCACGCCATGGATCGCAAGCATGCCGGCCGTCTGGATTGACCGGGGAACGGTGGTGATGTCGAGGTAGGTCGCGTTCGCTCTTAGTTGCGCCCTGAACCTAGAGCCGAGCCGGACGCAACCAAACGTCGCAGGCAGCGCCGCTAGCGTCATCGCTCGCAGAACGTACGGACGGCATTGCCGCACTGCCTCTGCAGACGTCGGCCGGTGACTCGACCGCACTCCATGGCTTCGCGACGACGCCCGAACCACATTTGACGGTCTGTTGGCGATTCAACAAGCCTTGCTGGTCCAGCTCCGCGTTGCAGATGACGGCAGCCGTGGATCCGCGCTCGGTGCGTTCGGTCACACCTGTCCGGTCAGATGCGTGGAAGGGAACGTTCATCAGATTCTGATAGATCGTACAAGTTGACCGTCGCCACGTCGGTTGTGCCAAGGGCGGATGACATGAGGGCAAACAGGAGCGCGGGCGATCCTCCGCCCGCGAGAGAGGTGCAGGCGGAGCTCACGCACAAGACGTCTTGCGCGTGCATGCTTTGGGCGGACCAGGCAGTCTGTCGGCCGCCTCAAGTCATGGGCGGCTTGCACAAGAGGTACGACACTCCGCTCGCCGTGATGATGACATGTTGCCTCTTGCGGGGTGCTTGCCGTCCCGTTTCTACAATTAGGTGCAGTGTTGCGGCCCGCCCGTCGCGTGCAGGTGCTGTGCGCAGACATCGCGTCACGCCCTTCGGCGATGTACGCGCAGGGTCCTCGCGCCACAGCGCGTGAGTGCGGCCCACAAGCGTCTGACGTCAAGAATCAACTCCTCCGCCCGAGTCAGGGTGACGCCCTTCGCACGCAACAGGCCTTTCAAGATCGCGGCGCATGTCCGCAGTTGGTCACTTCGTCACTGAGTGCCTGCACAGCAACGTTGTGCACCAAGGTGCAGCTCGGCGCTGTCGGGCGTCGGCATCACACGACCAGGTCACATCGTCAGCTGCTTAAAGCTCCGATCGCCGCGGATCAGGTGCGTTGCGATGGGACGTACCTTGTCCTCGGAACGATCATGGTCTGAAGCAGCGATGTACGTGTTCAGCGGACTCGTTCCGCGGATGCGTGCCCACGCGTCGTGCATGGTCTGCGGCAGGAGCCCTTGCCCAGGTGCCTTCGTGCGCGTGCGAAGCCTGCCTCAGCGATCTACTCGCAAGCTGCGAGACTCAAGTGCTCGCCGTGCTGATCTTGTGGTGCTGGTCAGCGCCGCGGGCCACGTCGCCCGTTCCATGACGCCCTCGTTCAGACATGGGACCTTTGGTCCTGACCCCGCGGAGCGTCCGTTCACGACAGCGCGCAGGCGCAGATCCAGATATCGGGATCAAAGGATGCTCTCCCTTGTGTGCGCGTGCAGGCGGGCCCACAAGCCGAGCCTGACTCGAGGTTTCTCTTCCAGCACCTTGCGGACAAGCTGTCGAGGCTCATGGTGCGCACGCGTCCATTAGCTGACAGCTGCACTCTGCAACGTGAGCTTGAGCACGCAATGGCTTGATGTTGGGGTCGAGCTTGCGTCACTGCGACGACGTTTTTGTGCATGACAGGCTGTGCGGATTTCCGCTGACAAATTTCCGCTGCCGCGCTCCTCGCATCCACCGAATCTGCTTTCCCTGCGCACCCGTTGATAGTGCGATGGATTTTGCAGACACATCGTCGCTCACGTACTGAGAGGGAACACCCATTGTGGTGTTTTGCTCTTTCCTTTTGTTCTTCGCGTGCTTGACTGCCTGACTCGTCGACGCGGATGTCTTGCGTCAGGCAGCTCGGCGATTTCGTTGTCGTGCGGGGAGTGAAGCCCTGGGTGGGTTTGCAGAGACCCACGTCACCCTGCCTCTCCGTAGCAGCCCAGCGGACAACGTGCACAGCGCTGACTCCTGCCGCGTTGCAGGGCGGGGGACAGAGCAAGCCACCTCGGCGCTCTTTGACGCTCGCTGATGTCCTACACTTCGCTCCGGAGATCCTGGAACGGGTCGGTCTCGGAGACTTGCTGAGCTTGCTGAACTCTTCGCGGGACGTACGCTGCGCGGTGTTGCGACGCATGGCTGCCGTGTGGACCGCTGGAAAAAGCATGCTTCGAGACGTGGCCGATGACGCGGAGGAGATTGGGGACGCGACGATGTCGTTGAACTTCGATGGTATCTGGGTGCCAGCCAATCAGGCGGCCACGCTGCTGGCCTCCCTCCAGAGCTGCCGGCTGGAGACGCTGCGGCGCGACGACGACCCTGCAGCGCATGTGCGGGCCATCAGCATCGTCCTGGAACAGTCGCTGCAGGGCGGGAAGCACCAACAACTTTCGTTGAGGGGGTTGTCGCTTGCAGCCCCGCTCCCAGGGGTCCATCTCAGCTCAGATGCACAGCGCTTGGGTCCAGAGCTCGAGAGACTTCGGAAGGTGATCCACGAGCTGCGCTGCACACCCGGGCGCCAGGGCGGCGGCAGGTCCAGCTCTCGACCACTCCATGTGGGCTTCTCGGCCAACTCGTGCAGCGTGGGCACGTACGTCGGGCCGGACCGCTTTCTTGTCCGCGAGCTCAACGGATCGATCAGCGTTTTCGACCTCCCGGGCGTCCTTCAGGCGCACCACGTCGACCTCGAACACGTGACAATCAAGGGCAACGCCAACCCGTACCACAACTTCCCGGAGCCAGTGCCGATGTCGGCTGTATCGCAGCACTGCCAGCTGTGGGACGCGGTGCGAGATGCTGCCAAGCTACGTGTCTTGCGGCTCGAGCTGTCCGGCATGAGCCCCAACCTCGTCCTCGAGGCGCAAGTCTACGCGAGCTTCGTGGCTGCGCTCCGCGAGGGGATCTCACGGCTCCGCGTGCTCGAACTCGGCAACAACATGGTCTCCGGTGCGGCCGTCCCAGAGATTGCGCGCGCCGTGTCGACGAGCAAGACGCTGGAGGAGCTGAAGCTCAGGTCGTGTGGCATCGAACAGGAGGGCGTTCACGTGCTGGCGACGACGCTGGCCGACGGGGGCGGCGGTGTTCTGCGGATTCTGGACCTTGGGAACACGAAGATCAAGTGTCCCGACTGCTACGCAAACGCTGCGACGACCGCCACAGCTGCGCTGGCGCGCCTCGTGTGTTGTGGGCGGCTGGAGGAGTTGTACCTGGCGCGAGTGCAGCTCCTGGACGTCGATGCGGCATCCTTGGCCACGGCGATCGAGGCCGCGAGCTCGAAGCTGCGCATCCTGGACGTCACAGACAACAGGATCGGAGATGTGGGCATTGCAGCTCTCGGCACCGCCATGGGGACCAGCAGGACGCTCGAGGTGCTGAAGCTCGACTGCAACTACATCGGCGACGACGGTCTCCGGGCCTGTGGGCAGGGTCTGAAGTCGAGCACGACCATCAAAGAGCTCGGGCTGAACCGACCTCTCTTGATGTTTGCATCAACATCGACGCCCGCGATCGGCGCGGCTCGGTCTCTCGGCGAGGGTCTGAGACACACCCGATCGCTGCAGGTGCTGCGTCTCGACTGGTACAACACCTTCGGGCTGGCGGAGCACATGGAGATCCTTGGTGGGCTTGCAGCGAACACATCGGTGCGCGAGCTCTCCCTGCTTTGCGCTCAGGTCGACGACGGTTTCCTCGGCGAGGTCGCCGGCATGCTGCGGCGCAACAGGTCGCTGCGGAGCCTCAACCTCAACAGCGCTCACTTCACGAAAGAGGGACTCACCACGATCGGCATCGCGTTGCGGGGCGGCAACATGACGCTGGAGCACCTCAGCGAGCAGCACCGCGACGCAAAGGGCTCGTGCAGGTTCAGGCGCGACGCTATCAAAGCGGCCGATGAAGCCCTGAGGAGCAGCGAGGTCCGTCGGACGTCACGACGCAACCTCGCGAACACGTGCGTCGCAGCTTTGGCCCTCTCACTGGCCAAAGCGCTGGCCAGCGAGTCGTGATGGAGCGCCCTTTTGTGACACGTTTTTCCTTGCCGCACGCTTTTCGTTGCCGCTCGCCCCCTCGTGACAGTTCGACAAGGCGGCGCACTCGCATGCCAGGCGACCTGCCATGCTGAGTACCTACGGCGAAACAGCACCACCGCCCTGGTGAGGTCAAAGAAGGAAAGCTCGACCCGGATTGAGGTACGAGCATGGATCAAGTAAGCGTGAACTGTCCGACGGTGACGCCGAGAGTCCGATGAAGTCAGGTCCAGCCGCTGGCCTTTGGAGAACGAGTGTCCAAGCACGTGGCAGTGCCGATGCCCTGCGAGATGAGGGGAGTGCGAGCTGACTCAGGTATGAGCACTTCCCGAGGTGGCGTTATTTGCGCATGCGATGTGGCGCCGTGGACAAGGCCTAGGCGCGCTGGATGGACCTTCCACACACCTCGTCTGGCACGGGGTTCCGTGCGTGGTTGCGATCCAGCAATCTCAGGCACAGTCCCTCGACGGGCAGGGAGGGACATCTTGGGCTTCCCGACGGAGATTCCGGGTAAGGGGTGTCGTCGCCTGCATTTCTGAAACGCCATAGTTGATGGGGTGGATACACCCTACGATATCGACATAAGTTGCGGCGCGTTGATGCGTGATTTCGCGCAGCAGCTCTGCACGACCATCACGCTATGCAAGCCTTTGCGCGCCTTGCGCCCATCCAGGCTCAAAGCGGACAGTACATTGCATGCAATGCGAATGACATTTATTCACGCCCGTCTCAGCATGTTGAACGCGCCTCTTGCTGCAAGGATTGATCGAGGGCCCTGCCTGTTTTTTGGAGTCGCATCATAGATACGGAATCGGTAGCAGCGAGGCGCTGCAGGGACACAAGGGCGCATTTCATGTCACTGTATCCCTCAGATTCATCCTTGATGTGCTGCAGACACCTTTTGCTGCGCGTGGAAACACTCGAACCGCGAAGTTCGCGACGGCCATACTGGGAGAAGCAAGATGGTGCACGTGCACATCCGTCTGGGCGAGCCGATGCCAGTGGACGCGGACAACCCGGACGCAATCACGAGCCTGAAGTTCAGCGGGGTGTCGGCGGCGCACAGACTCGAGCAGCACGACGACATCCTGCAGCACCTCACTGACATCATCGCTTGGGCGCAGGGCATGACGGAGCTGGAAGTCAGCGACATTGCGCTCGATGCCCAGGAGGATGCAGCTGCCTTCGCCAACGCACTGTGCGGAGCTACTCATCTCAAGCAGCTGCGCCTGCGGAACTGTTCACTTTCCGATGCGGGCATGCACCTCGTTGCGGGCGCTTTCCTTTCGATGGTCGAGATCCCGCAGCTGCGAGTCCTGGTCCTACGGGGCAACAACCTTGGCTACCAGGGTGCGCTCGCGACAGCCAAGCTCATCGCGGCTGCCGGGCAAGGGTTGGAGATGTTGGATTTGTCGTTCAACGGAGTCGGCGACGCCGGAGCGACGTTGCTGGGCGCCGCGCTCGCGACGGGCACGTCGCTGCAGCATCTCGACCTGGACGGCAATCCGATCGGCGACATCGGGTACAGGGCCATCGCGAACAGCCTGACGTCGCACCACAACACGCTGCGCGAGCTGGGGCTGTCCGCGGCGGACGACCACGCCGGGGTGACGGACACCGGAGCCTCCGCGATCGCGAGAGCTCTGGGTGCCGCGAAGGGTCTTCACGTGCTGCGTCTGGACGGCCACAGCAACCTCGTGCAGCAGTTGGGCTTCCCCATTCGCAAATGGTTTCCGGGGAAGCAGCCGCCGTTGATGGACGCACTTGCGAACAGCTCTCTGCGGGTGCTGTCGATGCGCAGCTGCGGATTCTCGGGACCGGCCGTGAACTGGCTGGCAGACATGATATCCAAAAACCCCTCCATCCAAACGCTCCGTCTGGAAGGAAACAGGATCGGACCCCGCGGCCGAGCCGCCATCGATCGTGCACGGCGGCGCAGGAACACCACGTGCGACGTGCAGATCGCCGGAACGGACCCGAGCCGCAGGACGGCCATGCAGGCCGCCCACAAGGGACCGGACCGCAGGGGGGCAGCGATTGCCATCGCCGTTCTTTTCGCGTTCGGCGTTGGGTATCAGCGGGGGCGGCGCGCAGCAGCTCGGAGGAACGCCACGAGGTAGAACGGCGAGGTGGTCGTGTGTGTGATTGTTTCCAAGTCGAGGATCACTGTTTCCAAGGCGTGGGCGGCACTCCGCACGTTGCCGCAGCCGTCGGGGGCGCCCTCGATGCACCGCGCAAGCATGCGTGCTGCGCGCATGCTGGACGACGCATGTGCGGAGGGAGGGACACCTCCGGGACCCGGCGCAGGGTGGCTTCCCTCGGGGGACATGAATGCCGCTCAGCGCAACCCCGACCCGCCACTCGCGACCATCGGCTCCATTGCCTGATGCGCAAGCGAAACGCTCCGAGAGTCGGCGCCGTGAGTGGCAGGCTGGGCGCTCATCATGCTCTGCCCGCTCTGGCACAACTCAATGAGGCTGGTTGAAACACGGCCGCCACGTTGTCACATCACGGCGCTGTGATCAGCGACAAGTGGGGTGTGTCATGACGGAGCAAACGCGGTCGGGAGGGCTGCGCATCGGCCGCACTTGTACAAGGAGGCTGATGCCCTGTCTCTGAACGTGCTGGGGGCGAAACGAGATCCTTCAGGTACTCGCCAGGATGGTACGTCGCCAGTGACCAACGCGAAGTCACGGCAGTGGCGAGCCGTGCCCGCAAGCACCTCGGAAGCCGCAGGGGAGGGTCCCGCAAGCACGCATGTGGCGACAACGGTGCGTTCCCGACGCCGTTCCCATGTTGCGGCGCGGCAAAGGCGATGGAATGGACTCGAGTGATGCGGCAAGGCCCGGTAACGGCGGTGTCCGGCGCAGTTGGGCGTTTGCGACCTGGGCGAGTTCTTCTTGCAGTGCAGCAGCATCGAGACATGATGTGCCACCCGGGAATGCTTGCAGATGGTGACGTCGTGCACGCGAGGCTCCTGCCGCATCGTCGACGTTCGCCGAATCGTCGGGCACGTGAGGGATCCGAGCGATCATGAGCGCTTGTTTGTTTGTCGTGTGCGTGAAGCTCGGGCTGGCGACCTCGAGAGCCCGGGAAGCCACGTGAGCACAAGGTGAGCAGCTGCTGCAACGACGCGTTGACGGGCCTCCTCGCCCGCGGCACATGCTGGCGCGCGCGGGGCGCTGCCGCAGTGCATCGCTGCAACGCCTACACCATCTGCTCTGGGAGAGACCGTGACTTGCACGGTCCACACCTGACACGGGCAGATGTGCGTGCCGATGGGCCAGTCGGTGCGATGCCGCGCACTGTGCGTCAGGGCTGCCTGCGTGCAAATCAATCAAAAGAAACGTTTACCATGTGGCACGAGGGCTGCTTGATGCGTTGCCGCGGTGCGTTGCCGCCTCTCGCCGTCCTCGACCCCTCTTGGTTGCTGCGATGTACCTCGCAGAGCTCCGGGCCGGACAGGGTTGTCGGTCGGGGCCCTGAGCTGGCTGTCAGACTGCTGGCGGTGCGCAGCGCCGCCAAGATCCGGCCCCGGCTTGAAGGGTGCGCGCGTTGCCCCGGGACGGCCACGATGCCAACGTGGACCTCAATCACGTTGGTCAGCCGGAAGGGGTGGCTCAAGGCGGGGTCTCGCTCTCTGCCTCGGCATCGGTTCTCACTCATTTGGAGACAAGCGTCGGAACGTCGCCCGCGGCATCATGGTGCGCACTCTTCGCCCGAGCCGTGTATCTGAGTGCCATATGTATTCTCGTTGTTCCGCCTCGGGGGCACATGCGTTCGAAAGCTGGATGCTTCGGCCTGCGGGGGTGGCAACCCACCAGCACTGAGCTCCACGCGATTGCGACCGTTGCGAGGATCGCGAGGCTCTTGACGCGCGCGGCGTGGAACTGCACAGCTGTGCTCTTGCGACGGAACACGATATCGCGCCGAGAAAATCGTGCTCGACCGCCGGGCACGCGAATCGACGTTTCCATACGACTCTGCTGGTGCTCCACGCTTCCTCGCTCGCTCGCTCAACCACCGCCTCAGCTGCAGGCGATATGCCTGTGTCCGGCGTGCGGTGGTTCTCTGACTGGCTTTGCTGTCTCGGTCGGGGGAACATCGAAGCCAGCGCTGTCACACTGCTGGCATCACGCCCAAGTTGGATCCAACCGTGCGCACTGCGCCGTTCGACGGGTGTCTTTGCAGGGTGGAAGACAGAGCAAGCCCTCAAGTGGCAATGCTACGCTCGTGGACGCCCTGGAAGTCGTTCCCGGGATCACGCAACGACTCGACGCTGATGATTGCATGAGCCTGCTGAGCACGTCCCGCGACGTGCGGAACGCGGTGGTGCGGCACCGTCCTGCTACCCTGCGGGTGACACACAACTCGCTGCGCGCTCTGATGCGTCGCCCCGAGCAGCTCGGGGACGTGCTGACGGTGAACTACGATGGCCTGTTTGTGCCGGCTGGTGACGCCGGGAAGCTGCTGGCAGCGCTCGAGGGCTGCAACATGAGGAGTCTGGAGGCCGCAGGGAATCCCGCAGACCACGTGCGGGCGGTGCGGAGGGTACTGGAGAGGTCGATCCAGAATCTCACGCCCCTGAGCATCATTGCCTTGCACCTGAAAGCCCCGCTGCCGGGAATGCAGTCGGGCGGTGCCGGCATGGATGGCTTGGAGTCGGAGCTCGCGGCACTGCAGCAGGTGCTCTGCCAGCTGCAGCAAGCGACCGGGCGTCAGGCCACCCGGGTGGTGTTCAAGGCAGACCACTGCACGGTGACGACGAGGGCGACGGCGGAGGCGTTCGAGGTCGTGCGGCTGGCGGGATCGTGCAGCACCCCGAGTCTGACGGGCGTTCTGGGGGCGCATCACGGCACGCTGGAGGAGCTGGACGTGACGGGTGCGTTCGACCTGAACGGCGACTACGAGTTGCCGCTGTCGGCAGAGGTGGCCTCGGAGTGGGGCGACCTGTGGAGGTGGATCGGGCGCGCTCGCAACCTGCGCGTGCTGCGGCTGGCACAGTCCGGCATGACGCCCAACCTCGTCGACAACCTGTCGTTCCAGCAATGCATGGTGGACGCGCTGCTGGCCTGCGAGCAGCTGGAGGTGCTGGAGCTGCGGCACAACGTGCTGCCTGATGCCATGATCATGCAGATCATGGCGCGGCTGGTCACGCTGAGGGAGCTGCGGCTGCGGTCGTGCGGCGTCAATGACGCAATCGTACAGATGCTGGCAACCGGGCTGGCCGACAGGGGGGGCGGAGCGCTGCGGGTCCTGGACGTGAGTAACGTGTTTGTGCTCAGTGTGGGATTGGGGTACTTGAACATATCCAACTCCGCTGTGGCACTGTCCAGCCTCGCGCGCATGCTGAAGTGTGGGCGGCTGGAAGAGCTGCACCTGTCGGGCGTCGGGCTGACGGACGGCGGCGCGTCGAGCCTGGCGGAGGCCATCGAGGACGAGAGCTGCAAGCTGCGCGTGCTCGACGTGTCTTTCAACAATCTGAGGGAAGAGGTTGCTGCCCTGGGGGCTGCGATCGGTGCGAGCAGGACGCTGGAGGTGGTGAACCTGGACGGGAACTTCATCGGCGACGAGGGCCTGAGCGCCGTGGGGCGTGGGCTGCAGCTCAGCAACAACATCCGCGAGCTGACTTTGCGTCCCCGGCTAAGCTCCACGTTCGAACCATGGACCGAGGGCGCCCGGTCGCTCGGGGAGGGCCTGCGTCGCACGCGCTCGCTGCGCGTGCTGCGCGTCGACGGCTGCTGCTTCCAACCGGCGGACTACGCGGCGATCCTCGACGGGCTTGCGGCGAACTCGTCGGTGGAGGCGCTGTCCACGTTCAACCGGGAGGGCAACAGCGTGGACAACCGCGTGGCGAGGAAGGTCGCGGACATGCTGCGGCGCAACAGAACGCTGCGGAGTCTCAATATGCTGTGGGAGAACGTAACCACGCGCGGTCTGGCCGCCATCGGCAGCGCGCTTCGGGCGGGCAACGACACGCTGCAGTACCTCAGCGTGGACCGCGACGAGGACGGGCGGTGCCCGCTCAGGCAGCTTGCTGTCAGGAACTCCAAGGATGCCGCCTTCAACCGCTGGGCTTCTCTGGCTTTCTGGTCCGTGTGGGCGTTTTTCGAGTACAGGAAAGTGACGAAGGTGCTGAAGCAGCAACATCAGGCCGCTCCGAGGGGCAGAGGCGCCGAAGCCCAGACCCCGAGCTCGACCGGCAACGCTGACGGCACCTTGAAGGGCAAGGACACCCCAGCCCCTGTCAAGACCTCCAGGCTCGTCACCGCCGCCAAGGTGGCTGGCATGGTTGGGGTCGATGCAGGCATGACTGTTTTGGATGGCCATCTCCTCGATGCGGTGATCAGGCGCATGACGGCCGGGAACAAAGGCCCGACCGCATAGGTGACCGGGTAGATCGGATCGCAGACGAGGCTCTCTGGTTGAGGGCCTGTCAATGATGTGAGAACGCACCCGCCGCCTGTGGCCTCGCCAGCAACCTCCGCGCAGCTCTCACGACTCGCGCACGAGCCGCGTCCATCCAGGCCGCTGTCGTCCCGGCGAGCCCCCGTCGTGCGCTGCTTGATGGCAACACAACGCTGCAGCACCTGAGCCCGGTGTGCGACGAGGACGGCGTCTGCCTGGTCAAGCGAGCCGCCATCGACGCCGCCATCCAGTCGTCTCTGGCGCGTCCCGCCGGCCGCGTGGACCCCTCCCCGGCACCAGCAGTCCCCCAGTGCCACCCTATTTGACTCCCCCGCATGCGTGTGCGGGCTGTGAGCGACCGGTGCCGGGCGGGGACGACCGGTCGCGAGTCGTGCCGATATCCGCGCGCGCACCGTGCACGTGCTCCGCGGAAACGGGACACAGCTATTTTCATTATTCTACCACCTGCGTCATTGGACGCTGACGTGGTGCTCGGAGCATGCTCTGGAGTCCAGTCCGCGCGAGCCTGCCATGCCCGTACACTCCGCAAGACTGTGTCCAGCGACGTGGCAGCACTCGTGCGGGCAAGTCCGCGCTTGGGCACGTCCCAACGCTCACCACACACAGCGCGCACGAGTGCGGGCGAGTGGCGGCGACGTATGACGCTGCCGGCGCGCGGAGAGATGGAGCCGGTCGGGCATGCTCGGCAGCG